TATAAGTAAAATCAAATTTCCACACTTACTTGTATGCGCACAACTAGAATTACCATAATGGTAGCAATCTTCATATTCTTGGACAATTAACTTGTTAGTTACAGAATCAAGTGCTTCCTTCATCTCAATAATTGCTTGGCGCTATCAATGAGAAATAAGGCACCTCGACCAAAAATATGAATAAGTGTTTTCCTATTTGAAAACGATTATTAAGTGAATCAAGCAATAAATTGGCAAAGGGCAAACGAAGGATTAATTGGGTCCAACTCATCAAGAAAAGGAAAACATATAATAGTTTTCTTTTATTGAGTAACACCCCATGTGATCGTTTCCTCTTGAATTGTTAATTGCTATATTGTAAATGTCATTAATAGAGTTACAAGAAAAATAATATCAAGATCAATAACAAATTAGTTAACAAGAACCTGTTTTTTTATACTATTTAACTCTGTAAATATAACACTATGCATATTTATGTACTGATATAGTTTATTATACTTTCACTGTGCTAGAACGCTTATTCCAAATTATTCCTTTCCTGCATACTGTAAATAACTTCACACATACTTTTTTGCAAGACCGCGTGTACAGCACTCTAGTGGTTTGATGACCTGAATCTCTCATTTTCTAACAAAGAATCCGAATGGATTTTATCTGCATATTACTGTGCCGAATCTTTTTGGATGATAGCTTTTTTTTCAAACACTTCAGGTCTATTTTTAAAAAGTGGTTTTCCTATTGATCATTCCTATTTCCTATTCATTTTCAGCTCTTGGAATTAATGGAGTATATGGAAAATCCACTGATAGATATTACGCGTATTAAAAGATAATTTCAAAAGACTGTAAGTATGGAAATTGCTATCTTTACATGTGGAGTTTATTATTAATACTAAAATAAAGCAGGTATTAGTAAAATATGAAATATATCTATTTTATATTTTTTACATTATAGCATAACTGAGACGTATTACGTTATCTATATCCGGTGAAAACAAGGGATAAAAACAATTTGTTATGCATTCATTCATAGAAATACATGGAACTACATGGAACTATACTCAGACGTTAGTATTATTAAGTACCAACTATTCATAATATTTATCACGATTTAAACAACTATTTATACTCATCAATATTACTCTCTTACCAGTCATTCATAAACTAGTACATGTTCTTTTGTTCCACCTGAAATTTGAAAAGAGATAAAGTACAAAACAGACATTATCTATACATTCATAACATAGTAATTACAAAGTAATCGTACATTATAAACAAACAGAATTTGTTTCTGGTGTTATATGACACTAAATAATATGATAACTACTGTGTATAATAAAGAGCTATACATATATCATAATTAAATTGAAAAGGTATTAAAAGGAATCGATTTGAATAAGAAACATAATAATACAATAATAAGAGAAAAATGAAACACAGAAAAGAAATACAGGCAATACAGTATGATTATTATAATTTATTCGATCGAACAACATTACAATTATAATATTTATGAGAATAATCATCTAAATGACTCGTGTGCAACAATAATCGATTTTGCGTCATATTCTTTTTATCTATTTCAATATAATACATTGCTGATTTTGTTAATTTTGTTAGTAATCACGTCCATATTGAAGTACTATTAATCGAAATGTACAAGGATGTTTGGGTAAGGAAATGAAACCAAATGGCTGGATTTCAGTCATATTGAGTAATAGAAAATGTGTAGTATTGCAATTCAATAATGGAGTACTTATTAATCAAGGATTTGTGCTCAATGAGCAGAAAGTGTTGAAAGTGTTTGGAAATCATCAAAATGGTGTTATTTCATATAATGAAGAACAATCCATAGTAGTAGTAGAAAAGGGAAAAGTTTACTTGGATCATGGAAGTCGATTTGAAGGACGGGTGTTGACAGAAAAAGAAAAAGAAGGTAAAATTGGAATTCCATTTGGATATGGTGAAATGTATGATGATGATGGAATATTGGTGTACAAGGGCATAATGATCAATGGGAAACGATTTGGATATGGAATGAGTTATCATAATAATGGATGTATTGAATATGAAGGATATTGGTGTGATGATAATCGATTTGGAATTGGAAAAGTGTATGATCGATCAGGCAAATTAATGAAAGAATGTGAATGGTATAATGGAATTGAATGTGATATTGATTATGAAGGAGATGGCAGCAAACCACTGAATATCGGAATGAAACATTTGAAACTGAGTAACAATTGTGTATTGGTTGATTGGGATGTTTCATTGTTGTATAATTTGGAATCAATCGAAATCGGCAATGAATGTTTTGGATCAGTGCAAACATTCCAAATCGATGGATTGAATCGATTGAAAATTATCAAAATCGGAAGCAATTCATTTACTAAGATGAAGAATGGAGCTGAAAATGATAAACTGAAATCATTCCACATATTGAATTGTGAATCATTGGAATCCGTTTAGATATTCTAAGAATTTGTCTAATATCACAGATATAATACTTGAAACACAATATCATAGAGGTTTTAGTAATTTGAATTGCTTAGGTTAGCACTTATTATTGATTGCCCATCACTAGATGTAGTAAGATTCTGGTGAATCCTCTTCCATGTAATACATTTATTATTCAGTATCTCTAGCTTGTACCAATTGCATGTTATGTTTAAAATCTTCTTGAAGTGCTTTTCGTTCATTCTACTTCATACCATGACTGTGTCATCTTGTTGATGTATAACTATGAGTAGAGGTGTTTTGAAATATCGATATTCTAAATCATTCAATTTTCTTGATTCAAATATTGAATGTATCACAGTAACTCTCTCCTCAAAGAATGACCCTAAAAGGAATTGAATGATATTCCGAGTTTCCTGAATCAGACATATCTTAATCCCAATATTGCCATTCATCAAGTTTTCCCTTTTGTTGTGATTCATTTGTTCTCTACAATAAACAACATTTCTCCTTCTCAAAATGTCCTAACTCTATTCATTACAGTAAACGAATACAAATAGTAGTATAGTACAACACACACCTGACACATAGACAATGGATACAGTTGCACACTAGCTCACGGAGAATCGATTATCCAATTCCACTCATTTCTCTGTTTCGATTTGACCCTACAATCCCAAAAATCTCTTGAATCAATCTCACACTATTTCAAACAGCAACGCCATCGATCATTCAGGTATTCAACAAACAAGCAAACTCATAAAGAGTTAACAATCTTAATTCTTACTAATATACTCAGGGTGGATCATTTCCTCGGGAACAAGATACTTATCAACCTCCTCCTTCGTGCACAGGCCCAGCTCGACCAACACATCGCGCACAGACTTTCCGGTCTGCAGCGCTGTCTTCGCCGCCTTCGTGCAGTTCTTGTATCCAATGAACGGCAGCAGGCAGGTCACGATTCCGATCGAGTTGTTCACCATTTCCGCGGTGTGCTCGGGGTTCGCCGTGATGTCCACCACGCACAGCTCGCGCAGCGTCCGCAGCGCGCGAGTGAACATTTGGATGCTGTTGAACACGTTGTAGATGATCACGGGCTCCATCACGTTCAGCTCCAGCTGGCCAGCCTCGGAGGCCATCGTGCAGGTCGTGTCCGCTCCGATGATCTGGAAGCAGGTCTGGTTCACCACTTCGGGAATCACAGGGTTCACCTTGCCGGGCATGATCGAGCTACCAGGAGCGCGAGGCGGCAGGTTGATCTCATGGAGACCGCAGCGAGGACCCGATCCCATCAGACGCAGATCGTTGCAGATCTGGGACACGCGAGCCGCGGTCACCTTCAGCGCGGCGTGGAAGTTGAGCATGCCGTACGTGTTCGAGGACGCCGAGATCATATCCGGCGCGATCTTCATATCGAAGCCCGTCACCTCGCACAGCGCCGCGCAGGCTTCCTTCGGGAAGTCGGGGTGCGCGGCCGCGCCCGTGCCGATCGCAGTACCGCCCAGGTTCTGCACCTTGAACGCCTCCGCAGCCACCTTGATGATCTCCAGCGACTCGCGCAGCGTGCTGGCGTAGCCGTGGAACTCCTGGCCCAGAGTCATCGGCACGGCGTCCTGCAGCTGGGTCCGACCCATCTTCAGAACGTCCTTGAACTCCTCCGCCTTCTTCTCAAAGGCGTCGATCAGCTTCTCCAGCTCCTCGACGAGAGCGAAGTGCTCCAGATACATGCCCAGCTTGCCGGAGCTCGGGTACGTATCGTTCGTCGACTGGCACTTGTTGATGTGGTCGTTGGGACTCACAATCGTGTACTCTCCCTTGTTGTGGCCGAGGATCTCCAGAGCACGGTTCGCGATCACCTCATTGGCGCACATGTTGGTGGAAGTTCCAGCTCCACCCTGGATCATGTCCACGATGAAGTTGTCGTCCAGCTTTCCTTCGATTACCTCATCGCAAGCAGCAGAAACGGCATCCACGATCTCCTTCTTGATGAGGCCAAGTCGGCCGTTGGCAATAATACAAGCCTTCTTGATCAATCCGTAAGCTTTAATGAAGTTTCGGAAGCTCGAAAGGCGAACTCCAGTAATGTTGTAGTTGTAAAATCCTCGCAGAGTCTGAACTCCGTAGTAGGCGTCCTTCGGGACCTTCATCTCTCCAAGGAGATCAGATTCAACACGGAATTCCTTAGCGTTCAACTAACAATTCACAAGGAGGGTCAATCTCATACGACTTCGCTGATGGCGGCGCTATTTTTATCGGATTCGTAGACAGAAAGAAGAGGGAACATGGTTTAATAAAAATAATGATAAAGTTTTGATAGTAGAAACGTGGAAACGTAGTAATTTTTGTTCGAGAAGATTGTGTTTGAAAAATGTTCTTAGCGAAATGATTTTCCGGTGCTATGTATCTCAGATACAGGAACCCTTAAAGAGATCTTTGAATCAACGTGCATGAGGAGATTCCACCATTCATAGATCATAGTATTACCACCTCTAATAAGAGCCAACCTTATACATTTTCTATGTAATTCACATTTTCGTTGTTCTTATGACTGTTTCCCTCAAAGAGGCAGTCAAGCAGTTGTTTATCAATTCCTTTGGTGGTTTACCACAATGCTACGTTTTTGCTCCAGGTCGCGTGAGTTTCATGGGGGAACATGCGGACTACTGCGATGGATTTGTGTGTCCTATGGCGATTCATCTGGGTACTATGGTCACTGGAAGATTGATTCCTGGCTCTGTTTGCTCATTTTCACAGTTTTATCGTTAGACTTGCCGTGTCGTATCTGCTAATAAGGGAGGTATTCAGGAGTTCAAGGGTGATGCTTCTCTGGCTCCTGATGAAAGTGGAAGTAGGGCGAACTATGTATCTGTACTTTATTTGTTGGTATTGTGATAGTTAGGGTGTTGTCCACGAATTTATGAAGCATTTTTCGATTTCTGAGATTGGCTTTGATTTAGCTATCGTTTCAAATGTTCCGTTGGGAGGTGGTCTCAGCAGCTCTGCGTCGCTCGAAGTCGCAGTTTCTTTGTTTCTAGAGCAAATCCTCCACAAGCCCCTCGCTCCTGAGCTCCGCGCTCTCCTCTGCCAGTCCGCCGAACACACGTTTGCTCACATGCCCTGCGGCATCATGGACCAGTTCACTTCCTCTTGCGGTGTTCGCGGTCATCTTCTGCTCCTCGACTGCCGCTCCAACCACTTCGAGCTGGTTCCTCTCAGCGACCCCTCCGTCTCCATCGTGGTCTGCAACAGCAACAAAAAGCACCAGCTCGCCGGCAGCGAGTACCCCGACCGCGTCCGTCAGTGCAGAGAAGCTTTGGCCGTGCTGCAGTCTCGCTTCCCCGCGCTCTGCGCTCTGCGCGACGCGTCGCTTGCCTAAGTCGAGTCTGTGCGATCGCAGCTAAGCGAGACGGCGTATCGCCGCGCGGTGCACATCGTTTCGGAGTGTCAGCGCTGTCTAGACTGCTGCGAGGCGCTGCGAGCGCGGGATTTCGACGCGGTGGGACGGCTGCTGCTGGAGAGCCACGCGTCGCTGCGCGAGAACTTCGAGGTGAGCACGCCGGAGCTGGATCTGCTGGTGGAGATCGCGATGGAGCAGGACGGCGTGTTCGGAGCGCGGCTGACGGGCGGAGGGTTCGGAGGGTGCGTGGTGTGCTTGGTGGCGAGAGAGGAGGCAGAGAAGGTGATGAGGACCCTGGAGAAGGAGTTCTGGAGTCGGACGGGGGAGAAGTGCGATGTGTTCAGGACGGAGCCGTCGCAGGGAGCGAGGGTGGTGAGAGAAGAGGAGGAGTGGGAAGAAGTGGAGCCAGCGAATGAATGAATGAATGAATGAATGAGTAAACGTTTTTGAATGTATCAATCAATGAATGAGAGAGCGATTCACGGTAATTCGTTCAGCTCTCACTATACGATTTGTTTGTTGGAGAAAAGAACTGATGAACAAACAGACCGAATGAATTAATTAATAATAAATAGATGAATGAATGAATGAATGCATGAATGAATGAAAGCTAGAAGAACTCTATGTCCTTCAGTTTGGAAAAGGCTTTTTCTTCCTTTTCAGCGTTAAACTTGTTCGCCAACTCCAGTTCCGACTCCAAATAGGGAAGAGTCACTGCGTTCTCGCCTTCGGCCTCTTTGAGAGCTTTGATTTGCTCGGTTAAAGCGGTGATCCACATGCTTTTCAGTTCCGGACAAGCACGCTTTAATAGATTGTTCACGGTGGGAGCAGTCGACATATCGCGCGTGTCACTGATCATTCCGAGATCTCCGCCATGTACACAGATAAAAATACCGGGATATCCAGGAAGCTCAAGTTGATGACGATCGTTCTAGAGATTATCACGAAAAATAGGCAATACCCTCAATTTCTCGCGCATTTCTAACAATTTCTTTGGTGTTGTAGAGTCATCTGGCCATTTCATACAGTAGTTCCAACTAGCAGTCACAAGCACTAAAAATGTGATACCGCACTAAGATACGTTTAATGACTTCATACTTTTTTACACAATGCTCCGGCCAAGTGTAATACGTAGGAAGCTATCAGATCACTACGATAATACCTCGGCTCTACTTGAATTGTTCCGCGATACCGTGCTGGTGATTTAGCAATGCTTTTAGCTGGTACTACACAATACTTACAACTTTAGCTCATATACCTTTTTTATTTGAAGTAGACTTGCTGTCCGATTTTGATCCAGACGGAGCCATATTCCAGTGAACCTATTTTTGTTTTGAAATGCAAAAACAGTCCGAAGAAGAATGGAAATCAACGTTTGTTGAAAGCAAGAAGAAGGTGCAGGATGACGTAAGCCCTGAAGAACTCTCCTTGGTTAATGCAATTCTAGGTTTGGGTTTTTCTTTGTGCTTTTTTATTTTAGACCTGATAGAGAAGGTGGAAAAGAAGGAAATTACGATTCCTGAATCAAATCGGGAACTCAGACATATTACCGAATTGTTTCAGCAGCTGAAGCGCCAGTTATTGTCCTACCGAGCTGAAAAGTGGAATAGGGTATTTTTGGCTTCGGTTTTTCAATTAGGACCTGAAACATTTACAGCGATGGGTTTGTTCTTCTCTCCAAAAGTCTCAAAAAGGGTTTACAATGTCAAACATCATTTCTTCAAACTCTCCATTTTTACAACAAGATCGACCTATTTTGGCAAAGCCAGGAGTGGTAGCAGGTTCCGAACATCCAGTTCGTCCTTCCTCTTCATTATCGACGTCGTCCTCAACACCTGCACTCCCCATCCCACCCAAAAGCGCGACATCCCAATTTGTAGTTTCCTCTTTACACAACACAGTTCACTCAATACAAACAAAAGAAAACTCTCTATCGATTACAGATATCTCATCGAGTCTGCTCACTCTGTATCCTCTTCACCCCCTTTTCACACGATAGCGAAGAGACCAAAAGGGGAATTTTCATTAGCTCCGTTAAGGATTCGGTGATTTTGATTCGCGAAATAACGGGAAGTGTGTATGTGAAGGATGTCTCGAATTCCATTATTTCAGTGAACTGCCAGCAAATTCGGATTCACTGCACAACAAATTCGCTTTTCTGCCTGCAAATTCCAAATCATCCCGTGATCGAGGACTCGAACAGCGTGTCTTTTTCTGAAAACGTTTTCATTTGGGGTCAAGAGCTAGCTGCCAGTGTACAGAGCGTACTCACATTGGATCCATACTATGTAGAATCGATTTGCTGATGTGCTAGACTTCAACTGGCTACGAAAAGAAAAGTCCCCAAACTGGAAGAGAGCGTCCTTGTCAGAATTTTTGTTAGATCATAATACACTTTTAGCACTTCTGAAAAGAGCAATGGGATTCTCTTTTGTTCGCATTGATTCTGGTCAGGTTGGAATGCTCGAAGGCTATTTCTGTTTGTTTGAAACACAAACAAGTGAGAAAATCCTCCGCACCAAGATAAAATGAATTCCCGCGGAGGAGTATTTTCTGTACAAAATCTAAAACGGCTTGCACTCGAATGAAACTTTGTTTCTCTTCTTCTGGATTAAGGGATGTGTCAATTTCACTGGAAATTGGTGTCCAAGAAGCAAAGAAACAACTTGGCCAACTCATGGGAATAGATCCAAATTTAATATACTTAATTTATAAAGGAAGAATTTTGAAGTCTGAAATCTCGCTTCGAGAGAGCGGTACTGGTTGTTGTGTTTTATAATCTCCAGGGTTAACAGAAGATTCCATTCTCCATATTGTAATTAGTAGAGAGCTTCATAGAGAGCCTTCTACAAATTCAGATGACTCGTCTTTTAAGCCATCTGAAGTGTGTTGTGAGGATCATTTTTCTCGTGTTTCTACTGATCCTGAATATCAAGAAGAAGAACCTATAATTGCCTCTGTCATTCTCCATATTTTTGGTGATGCTGTAAAATCTTGTCAAACTCAAGATGATTTTTCCAAAGCATTACGTAGTGTTCGGAATGCTCTAGATCTCAACCCGTCGCTAATGAAAGAAGTCATTTGTACGCCCCTTTTCCAGGACATCATGTCGGATCTATCGATTGTCCGTCAGCTGCTACTCTCAAATAAGCTAATTGTGGAACTAGTTGATTCAAACCCAGAGCTTCTCGATTTCCTGAACGATGATTCCCACCTCCAAGATCTCATCAATGTCTTATCAAACACCGAAAACTATCCAGATCTCGCCCATCTTCGGCGAATGGTCGTCCAGAAAATCGAACAGGTCCTCGGTAACAGACTCCAATTCACCCCAGTCAAGGAGGAATTGAACGCTCCGGCCGCTGATTCGTCTGTTGAATCGACTGCTCCCAATCCCTTCAACCAAGCCGAGAAGGGAGAGCGTCGCTGTCGTGAAGACCATATCACGTTGCTGTGCCAAATCATTGCGCATCGACCTGATATCGTCAAAACAGTGAGCGAATATGTGTGTTGTGAGACGTAGTTTATGCGAAGAACCCAGATTTATAAGCAGATCGCGGCTCGAAAACCCGAGTTGCTGGATGAATTGCTAAAACCAGAGCGACTGCGACTGCTGGGGAACCCGGAGATGATCCGAACGCTGATTCGGATGGACCATTCGATTCAGCAATGCGTATCGAAACGGAAAGGATCGGATGTTTGTTCTCAAGTAAATGATAAAGAGAACAGTGAAAAGAAAGGATTGGATGTTTGTTGTCAAACGCACAACATAGTAAAGAGAAGGATGAAAAGAAAGGACTGGATGTTTGGTATCAAACACACAACATAGAATATTACTGACGTGTTGTCACAAACTCCTGCGCTTCTTCCTGGGTCGTTCTTTCGATCCGACTCGTCTCATTGCGTAACAAAATGCGGTAAAAACGCGTCGCCACATCGAGGAGCTCCGGCTTAAACGTCGTACAGAAAATCTGGCACTGCGCTCCCTGCTGCTCCGCTTGTCTCTGCATCAGCCGAGCCAATTCCACGCGGTAGTTCGTGTCCAACTCCGCATCCACCTCGTCAAACAGATAAAACGGCGCGGGATCCGCGCGCTGAATCGCAAAAATCAACGACAGCGCGATCACCGCTTTCTGTCCGCCCGACAGCTGCGCCTTCGACGATTCCTCGCCGCCTCCAAAGCGCACGCGAAGCCCAATCCCGGTGAACTCCTCGTTGTAGGGGTTCTCTTTGAGCATCACAAGCTCGGCCTGGCCTTGCGGCACCATTTCGTGGAATGTGTCGGCGAAGTGTTTGGCTACCTGCTTAAACGTTCGCGTGATGGCTTCGTTTTTACGCTCATCCAAGGTCTAGAATCGATTCCAAAGGGAGAATGAAACGCGAATGAGTCCGTGGATGCTCTCCATCCCGTTGACTAATTCTTGATGACGGCGATCGAAGTCGTTTCGTTTGTCATCGAAGAGTTTGTATTGGTCGAGTGCCTTGCGATTCACTTTATCGAATTTCAAGAGTTTCTTGTTCGCTTCGTCTAGTTTGCGTTTCAACAACTCCGGAGAATAGTCGCGATAGCGGTCGGCGCCTTCCGGAATGCTGCTAATCGTGCTGATTTCTCGACGCTTTTCGTCGAGAAGCGCCATCGCGTTGTTTCGCTTCTGCAAAAGCTCTTGCATCGTATTCCGAACGCTGTAAATCTGCTTTTCGAACTGTTCTTCCTGCCGCTTCAGCTCGTTTTCCCGCTCCGTTTGCTGATCGTGCTGCTGCATCAACTGGTGTCGGCGATTCTCCATCGTCTGCAGATCGTTCTGCAGCGCGTCCAGCTCTTCTCGTTTGCGCTGCAGCATCGACTCCTGCTTCGCGATCACCGACTGCTCGTCTCCATTGAGTACCACCGTGTGGTCGTTCAGCATCGATTCGGATTGGCTCTGCTCCTGCTCCAAATCCAACTACGCGTCACTTCGCTCTCTCACACCCACCAATTGCTTCTGCAGCATGCGGCTTCGCGTCTCCAGTCCCACACGCGTCACACGGAGCTGATCCACTTCCTGCAACGCCTCGCTTCGCTGGCTCGACAGCGCCTTGACTTCCTCCTCCAATCGATTCAGTTCGTCTTCGCTCAGCACTGCAGAAGGCGAGCGAATGTCGCTTTCCAGCTGCTGCAGACGCGTCTGCGCGACTTGCAGCGCGGATTCGGCGGAAGGAAGCGACGCTTCGAGCTGCTCGCGACGCTCTGCGAGATGCTGCAAGCGATCGAGAGCTTCCTGCTCGTCCGTGATCAGCGCCGCGAGCTTCGAACTGAGCAGCCGCGAGGTGGAGGTGATCTGCGTTTCCTGCGTCAGCAACTGCAGCTCTTGCTGATGGATCGCTTCCAATTTCTGCTTGTTGTTCTCTTTATCGTCCTGCTTCGCTTTCAGCTCCTGCTCTTTCGATTCCACCGAGCGCCACAGACGCAGCCGACTCACGCGATTATCGAAATACCCGCCTCGAATCGCGCCGCGCTTCCCCACTTTCTCTCCAGACAGCGTCACACAGTTCACGTGATACAGCTCCGCGATTTCGGTCGCCGTCTCGAGATCATTGCAGAGCATCGTGCTTCCAAACACGCTCAGCATCACCGGTCGCAGCGATTCATCGAATTCGATGCATCGCAGCAGCGGAAAGCACCGATTGTCCTTCGGAAATTCCGGCTCGCGAATCGTCTCCCGCATTTGCTCCACCGGCAAAACCGTGATTCGCCCCAGCCGCTGCTCCTTGCAGTACTCCACGATCTGCGCTCCCACGGCGTCGTTCCGCACGGCAATGTGGAAGAGACGCATCCCCGCGGTATTCTCGAGCGCCGTGACGAACTTCTCTTGCAGAGGCCGGAACAACGCGGCGACGGGGCCGAAGATCGACGAGAGATCGATGTTCGGAATGGACTGGATCGCGTCCATGCTCGCTCGCGTATCTGCAGGCAGCTGCCATTCACACCCTCCGCCCATTGTGCACCAGACGGTTCAACTCGCGTCGCTCCGCGTCGATCGCCGCGCTCTCCTTCTCGATCTCCCCGTTCAGCGTCTCGTTCGCACGCCACAGCTGCTTCCGATCCGCCAGCACCTGCTCCAGCGACGATCGAACCCCCGCCAGTTCGCTCCGCAGCTCGCTCTGCCGCGTTGACAGCTCCTCCTTCTGCTGATGTTTCTGCTGCACCGACCGCTCCAGCGCCTCCGAGTCCGCGCGCGCCGCCTGCAATTGCTCCTGAATGCCCTGCAGAATGCTCCGCTTCGCCTCCACGTCCCTCTGCATCGGCTCCAGCTCGCGCTTCATCGCCTCCTCGCGCTCCTCCGACGACTCGTGCTGCTGCCAGCGCCTCCGGCTTCGCTCGACTTCCAGCGCCGCCTGCTTCGCAGAGAACGCCGATTCCAGCTCGGCCGCGCGCTTCTCCGCCTTCTCCAGCTGCGGAACCACTTCCTCCTGCAGTCGCTGCCCGCTCTGCATCAAATCCGCACGGTAGCGCTCGGCGGTCTGGGCGTCGCGCTGCTGCCGCTCGCGCTGATCTTGAAACCGCGTTTTGAGCTCGGCGAGGTCGAGCTCCATGGACGTGACTTCCTGGAGAAGCGATTTGCGATCGGTTTCGAGCTGGGAGGTGGAGGAGGCGATCGAGGATTCTTCGAGGGAGATGGCGGCGAGCGCCTCGCGGAGCTGCTTGAGCTGGTCGAGAACGTCGTCGTACTGCGCGTGGAGCTGCGCAAGCTCGTCTGCGTGGATTTTTCGACGCGCGTTGCAGCGGTTGATCTACGGAGAAGCGAGAACGAACGCCGACTTCTTCCTCCTTTTCGCGGATATCCGCCGAGGACAGGAAGTAAATGCAGATTCGACGCTCACGATCGTACTGCAGATACTCTTCCAGCATGTCCTTCTCTTTCTCCAGCTCCTACACGATGAGTCTTCTGCAATAGAGCAGCCAACGCTCAGACTCGCTTTCATGTCGTTGATTAAATCGTTCACTTGGTCCACTTTCTGCTTTGTGTCTTCCAAAACCGCTTCCGATTCGCGTCGACGATCTTCGTAGACACGCGTTCCCGCCACTTCTTTCAACAGACGGAGACGGCCTGCGTCGGACAGCTCGCAGATCTGCTTCACACTGCCCTGCTCGACCATGTAGTAGGGATTGTCGCGCGAAAAACCGGCGGTTTCTAGAAAGCTCTCCATTTCGCTCTACACATAAAAACAAGGAGGAAACGCATGCTTTTGTGTAGAGCTTGTTGTTCACATAGAAAGAGTCGCTGGAACCACTCACAACACGTCGAATCACGACTTCCTCGGACTCAACCTGGAATAAAAAACGATAGGAAAGCGAGTACGGGAAACCGCTCGTCTGTGTTATCGAATACAATGTCAACGAGACATCTATTTACGGCATCGTGACGCCCTTTCTACAAAAGAGACCAAATCGAGATTTGATACATGAAACAATCCTCGCATTTGCTCTTCGTCGATTTTCATGTACTTAGGACTCAAGACAAATTGAATTGCTAGAGTTTGAGAGAAAGGAGTTCCTTTACCTCGGAAGAAGTTTGATTTCCCTGAGCCATTCACGCCCACTAATTCTGAACCATTGATATCGAGATATACGTATCACATTGATTCCAGGACCAAACAACTCGGGATTTTCTGCTTTTGCATAGCTCCCAAACCCTTCGATAATCACCTTCTTAATATGCATTTTTAAATGTAACTAAGAAAAGCGAATCAATTTTTGGCGCGATTTTCAGGACGAAGAGGCAGTTTCATTCATAGGAATAACAGCATGCAGAGACATTTTTCTCCCAGTAATTTGATCTCTTTAATATCGAATCCGAGTGAGGATGAGCCTGCTCGAGTAAGAAGCGTGTATGTGGAGTTGACTTTTTTAGGTTAGTGAGAGCGCGTTTTCGTTTCTATTTTCCGAGTTTATTAGTTACCAGAAGAAAAGAGTGACGAGTAGTACCGAACTTGAACAAAAGTGACTTTTTGCGATTTTATGGAGTGATTTGTAGGATCGACAACTGTGGGTTCGATATTGGATACAAATTATTGGAATATCTCTACTCCAACTCAAAGCCTGGGAAAAGACCTACAAAAGTACTGGACGCTCTCCAATTTATCAGCACTCCTTGTTGGCAGTTCCTCTTTGGACGAAATGTCGACTCTCTGGAAAAGGGAGCGGATAACGATAATGAATATATGATTACGGATTTGCATCCACTTTGCAGTCGCTATATCTCCGTACCCAAAGAACTGGGCGAGTTCAGCTGTTGCTCTTTTGTTGGCGGCATTATCCGGGGCGTTTTGGTTTCTGCAGGTTTTCCATGCTCTGTGACGGCTTACGATATGAAGGACGAGGACAATGTTCGGTATGCACTCTATCTGATTCGATTCACTTCCAATGTACAGTTTCCTGTTTGTAACAAACACATTACACTATGGTAGTTGCTCTACCAGCTCCAACACTCGATTTCGTAACAGAATAAGTTGTTCCTCGATTTCTATAAGCTGTTGCATGCGATCTGGCGTTTCTTCTATCGGCTTCGGTTCTTTAGGCTTGGGAGAAATCGTGCAAACCACGGGAGATGCTGCAATGATCGCAGTTTCACAGGGACCCAGTTCTTGAACCTCTTGTATTTCAAATGGGCTGGAAAGTTCACGACTGCATGAGATGGTGAGAGTAGCGCGCCGAACTTGATGACCCACACACTGCCCACCCCCAGAAAACTGTAGAATGATCCTTGAATTACTATACGGATCTCCCACAAAACCTGTAAAAGCACTGAGTTTTATATTATTCAAACTCATTACGTACCCTAGACACTTTCCTGTCGAATCGCCGAAATGACTGCTATGAACGATTTTTTCGAGAGGGGCTATGTAGTATGTGTATTTTCCATTGTCAAAAGTGTACAATTCTGAAAGAATGTCTTGAAGTTGAGGGGGAACTACAGATATCGCAGAGAACAATGTTTACAATCAATCGAAACAGGGTTTTGAAAGCATTTTACAGAGCTGACTTCCTCCAGTGTTAGATCCCGTTTCTCCCCAGCGGAACTGACTATCAAAATCAGACAGATGAGGAATCTGACAGAAGGACGAATCATTGACAATTTTTATGCAAACATATTTTTTGCTAATATAGATAATGAAACGAGAGGATGGAGGTGATGAGAACGAAATTGAAAAGAGTCTTATAAGCAAAAAGCCGTACTTTTTCGAATCGTTCGCTAACTCATAGAAAATTGGATCTCTCGACCAATAGCAGGCAGTCTAAATTGATTCACAAAGTAATTCTAAAGTAATCGTTTCATTTCTGGTGTTTAGATTCATTCGAAGTAAAAAACACATCATAGTAATCATAGGAGCTGGAGTTAGCGTGGACGCAGGAATTCCTGACTTTCGTTCTCCAGTACTTGGGGCGTGTCTGTTTTTCTCTTTTGTAGAAGGGATTATTCGCTTCCATGAAATCCAGCCTACCATCCAATTATTCCGTTGAAGACATCTTTGATCTGCAAACGTTTTTGGATAATCCTGCCCTCTTTTATTCAGCAGCACGCAGCTTTGCCTCCATTGAGAAAGCAAAGCCCACAGCCGTTCATCGCTGGCTGCAGTTGATGCAGCCCTCCCTTCAACTTGTCATAACCCAGAATATCGATAGTTTGGAATCTGAATTGTCGTGCCCTCTCATCTATCTGCATGGACTTCTCGCGAGTGGCACTTGCCAGAATTGCTCGCAAAAAGCGTCAAAGCAAACCATGTTTGATCACTACAGGAAAGGAAAAGTCGCGTATTGTCAATGTGGAGTAAGCATTGAACGATGCGAACTAATAAAAAATAGGGAGTTATCAAACCGGATATCGTGTTTTACAACGAGTCAATAAACAGTGATCTCATTCAGTCCATCCAAACAGCAAGCAAAACATGCGATCTGCTCGTTGTGATGGGAACTTCATTCTCCACACAGCCCATGACTGGCTTGCTTCGCTGGTTCGATCATTGCGATGTGGTTGTACTCAACCAGACGAGCGTAAATCTCCCCAGTCGGCCGATCGATCGACTTTCTCTTCAGGTTTTGGGGTCGTTTCGAACGATCTTTGAGGAAGCTGAGGGAGATTCGGAGGAAGGGTTTGAAGGGCTTTGCGGGAAGCGGATGGCGGTTCTTTCTGTAGCTTTTGGGACGGAGTCTAATCGAAATAGGACGGTATTTTGCAAAAACGCAAGTATGTTAAGGAATGGTCAATGCTGGAATGCCCTGTTTGTTGCAATAGAATAATCAGTATGACTGTGAATATTCTTTCATTGTGTTAATGTAATTTAGTGAATTTTTGTTGTGTCTGAAACAGAAAACTCTATCTCTTAACTGTTTTTATGTTTTAATGCCAAGAAAGGCTAAAAAGAGTAATGTGAGAAATGATCGGTAATAACAATATTGCTAAACTGTGACAGTGTAGATTGGTTGGCCGAAGAAGGGCGAATCAGTCACAGCAGACTTATAAAAAGGATGAGTACTATACGCGTATCAACAACAAATTGTTTTAATCATTGTAGAAAGCCTTCCTGCTCCAACAACGGATATTGATGATGTTGATTCGTGGGTTATGAATCTGCCGCTTGCAGTAAGAGTTTTGGTCGTTTAACAAAAAAGCACTTGAATTCGAAGTCTTCGGCGCATAATAGGCGTGCCCGAAATGCTCAAAAGAAATTTGTCCCTCTTAGTGATATGGATTCTAAGAATCGTCTTTCTGTTATTCCTTTTAAAGAAAACCCAAGTGGATTGGTTGGAATCTGTATATTTTATTGTAACGATTAGGATATTACCAGTTTATCTGAAAATATTGTCGACTGGGTGAAGATTATCATTGATTTGATTCAACTTCACATTAACCACAGTCCTGTGGCCAGAGCCAAGGTGTCCGATCAAGTGAATGCCAGCATTTTCCTGCTAAGAGTGATCCACCGATTATCTCTTGACTCGATGGAAACTTGTCGCACGCTGGAGATCGGAAGCGTTTTAGTGGATTTAGTGACCGAGCTGATTTCTCTCTTCGAATACGAGAACAAGGTTTGTACGGATGCCACAAGTCGTCGCACATTGGAATCGTACTTCGAGTTTTGCTTTGCTTTTGCGATTGATCGATAGCACTTGCAGCGTCCAACTCGCAGAATTCCGCGAAGATCTCATGTCGCACTACAACATCACAGTGAACGACGAGCTTTTCCAGAGTTCGCAGCTCCGCAGCTGTGAGTTTTTGTTATAATCTTGTTATGAATAGTGAAAGAACCGTATTGGAACTACCTTCTCCAATGCATTCTGGTTCTGAACGGCTGCATTCTGATGAATCGTTCGCTTCTCTTCAGCGAGAATCGCTACGACTCCGCTCTGCAGCAATGCCGAATCGCCCTTCGCATCCATCCTGATTTGGGTTTGGCTCGTTTTTATTTGGGAGAAATGTACCGAATTCGAAAGAACTTCCTGGACTGCTCGTATTATTACATGAGCAGTCTGGACTCCGAGTTTCCCTTTTCGTCGGAAGAAGAATTGCAGGGCATTTTCACGGAGTGCCGGCGATTTCGGATCGAAATGGAAGCGAAGAAGGGGCTGAACGTGAACGAGAAAATCCGCCTGTTCGTTCTGCAGTTCCTCTGCGTGCTGGGCGATCTCTGGGAGAACGTGGATCTCGATAGTGTGGTCCAATCCACCGAGAAACTCGGCGAGTTTTTGCTGAGTTTGCTGCGAAAGAAGATTGACATTAATTATATCCTTTAGATTCATTGAATGAATGAATTGAATGAATGAATGAATGAATGAATGAATTGAATGAATGAATGAATGAATGAATGAATGAATGAATGAATGAATGAATGAATGAATGAATGAATGAATGAATGAATGAATTGAATGAATTGAATGAATTGAATGAATTGAATGATTCATTTGTTGATTCATTGAATGGTTCATGGATCATTGCGTTTTTGGGTTCTTAACGGCACTATCGAGCGTGTTTCTCCGCGTTACCATCGTGCTAATGATGATGGTGATGCACTGCGAGAACGCCAGCGATCCGCAGCACATCAAGGAAAAATACCAGCAGAAGATCAGTCAGAACATTTGGGAACTCTATGTCATCGGACCGCGCGACACCCGCGCATTGCGAAGCTTCTACGCGTTTTCGATGCTTCTTCGAATCAACCAGACCTTCTGCATCGCCTATTCGCTCTTCCCCGAAATGCGAAGCCAGCTTTTGCCGCCCATTTCGCTCTGCTTCCATTTCTTCATCGTGCGCCCGCAGCTTTTCTATTACACGACCGGCAATGAGTCCTTCTTCGACCCCTCGCTGCTGTCGTACGTCAAGTGCATTGCTCCCTTCCTCCGCTTCTTCTCGCACAGCCAAACCCTCGAGATCTGCAGCGATTTGAACCAGGCCGATCTCCGGATTAAAGTTACGGAGTATCAAGAAATCGAAGGAATCGCGTCGCTTGCGAACATCGTCCAATCGTCCCATCTCTCCGCTGATTTCACTGCCAAAAAGCCGCTGGAGAGCGTGCTGCTAGCGCTGCGATCGTCGTTCGTTCGCTACTTCATTGATTTGCTGCTCTCGCTGCGCCTTGTGGAGTTCAGAGGCGATCAAGTGTATGCGTGCACCGAGCCGGCAGAGATCGGATCCGATTTGGAAGACACAGAAGACGCGAATGGAACTGGCGATTTGTATTATTCTCAACAGCAAGGAGAAGACGAAGAAGTGAAGGAGATTGGGGAGAGGAGAAGATATCGGAGAAACGTGCAGCAGAGAAAGAAGCAGCCGAATTTGGAGAAGCGAGTGATTGTGGAGAATGCGAACGACGCGCAGATTGCGGAGTTGGCTTCGTTGGAAAGCGAATCGACGATGTCGAATCAATCGGAATCAGAATCAGAATCAGATTCAGATTCAGAATCAGAATCAGAAGTGGAAGAGAAATCGATAGAATCAGATTTGGGAGTGTCGGAGATTTCGAATGAATTTGAATTGGAGAGAAGGGTCAGAAGAAGAAAAGGACAATTGAATGCTCCCGATGATTCGGAGTATAGTTATGAATGCGAAGGGAATACAAACGATTCGGATGCGCAATCGTTGGATTCCTATTCTTCATCGAATCATTCATCAATGAATTCATCGAATTCTTCTTCCATCATTCATTCATCCTCGGACTCCGAATCTTCCGATTCGGCTCTGCACCCTGCGATTTTGGCGATGAATCGCAAGCCTCGCGTGGTTCGTGTGATGGAATATGTGTTGGATCCGCACAAGCATTACGAGCACACCGACTTCGCCGTGGTTGTGGATTATCAAAACGTGGCCATGTCCTATGGGAAGAACAAAAGGTTCATCTGCAAGGGAATCGAGCTTTGCATCGATTACTGGGAGACCAAAGGCTTCACTGTCGTGGGCTTTGTGCCTCGCTATATTCTGCAGGATAACGTTTCGAAGAACCCGGATCCAGCCAAGATCCCGGATGACCGAAAATATCTTCAACGATTGTGGGATGATGGGCATATCTTCCAGTGCCCACCGCAGGATTACGATGATTCCTATGCGATCGAGTATTTGAAAAGGAAGCCGTCGGTGATCGTGTCGAACGATCTGTTCCGCGATCACATGCAAAGTTGTTCACAGCAAGAGAAGGAGTTCATCAAAGCCCACCTCATTTCGTATACGTGGGCGGGAGATGATTTCATGCCAAATCCCCAGTTCGATTGGGACAATATGATTCGAGCGAGCTACAGGTAGACCCCCATTGCCAAACGAAGAACACTCCAAACATCAGCAGATCGGGCCGGGAGCCAGAGAAGTCGCCGCTGAATCTGTGAATGTGTTTGAGAAAAAAACAAACAAACAAAACATGTCAATAATATAAATAATAAAGAATTAAAACAACGCACGCTCGGCAATAAAGTGATTATTATACATACATAGACTCGATCTCCTTGGCATAATGCTGCTGCACCACCGCACGACGCAACTTCATTGTCGCGGTCAGCTCGCCCTTGCCGATCGTGAACTCCTCGGGAATGATGCACCACTTCCGGATCTCCTGAGCACGGCTCACCGCCACCTTGTTGTACTGCTGCACCACACCGTCCAGATACTCCTTCACCTTGGGGTCCGCCATCGCGTCCTCGATCGTCTTCGCCTCCGATCCGATCGTCTTCAAGAACGCAACCACATCGTGCGTCAGCTGGTGGTTCGACTCGCCCTCCGCGTTCAGCTGGCAGCGAATGCAGATCAGCAGCGACACGAACTTGCGCTTGTCTCCGATGGCCACGCAGCAGCTGATGATCGGCGTCAGCTCCATGATCTTGTTCTCGATGATCACCGGCGAGATGTTTTCGCCTCCCGCCGTCACGATCAGCTCCTTCAGGCGGCCCGTCACCTTCAGGAACCCGTCGTCGTCCTTCTTTCCCTGGTCCCCGGTGTGCAGCCAGCCGTCCGCGTCCAGCGTGCGCATCGTCTCGTTCGGGTTCTTCAGATAGCCCATCATCACGTTGCGGCCGCGGTACATGATCTCGTTATTCTGCGGATCCACGCGCACCTCCACGCCCGGCAGCGGCAGACCCACCGTGCCGATCTTCCAGCGCTGCTGCACCGGCGAGCACGTGCAGATCGGTGCCGTTCCCTCGCTCTGGCCCAGCAGATCGTAGATGGGCATGTCGAACGCCGCGAAGAACCGGAGCGTTTCCTCGGTGACGGGGGCGGCGGAGACGACCAACGTTCGGCACCTACGCATCATCCTTCCTCCTCTCTGCATCGTACTGGTCGAAGCCGAGCTTCGTGCGCACGGTATTGAACACCAGCGCCTTGGCGAGCGTGTAGCCCCATGGCTTGTACACCGTGCATCCGTATTGACGAGTCATCGCAGTGCGGTAGCCGATATCGCGAGCCCACGCCGAGATCTTCTGCTTGATGAAGCCGCTCTTCGCGCCCACGGCCTTGATTCCCTCGACCATCTTCTCGTACACACGAGGCACGGCCACGAACACGGTGGGCTTGGCCTTCTGAAGAGTCTCCGTGAGCGAGCCGCGCAGAGCGTCCGGCTTCGCCATGTACACGGTCACGGGATGATACATGAAGATCATGGCGTCCACGTACTGAGCAGCGACGTGGTTCAGCGGCAAATAGCCGACCAAGCGTTCATTGCCCTCCAGGCCGATGGTGTCGCCGATCACGTGGCAGTTGTACGTGCAGCTGTCGTGCGAGCACATCACACCCTTCGGGTCTCCGGTGGTTCCGGAGGTGTAGATGAGAGTCGCGCAGCTTCCAGGCTGCGTCATTTCAACTCGTTCTTCGATGGCAGACTCGGGAACGTCATCTCCGAGCTTGACAAAATCCTCCCATTTGTACACGCGAGCATAGGCATCGTCGGGCACAGTGGGGAGCTCCTCTTCCTGCCAGTACACAACAATGGCCTTCAGGAGAGGGAGCTTGTCGCGAATGGAGAGCAGCTTGGTGAGCTGCTTTCCAGACTGACAAACGCAAATCACACTTTCAGAGTGTTCCAAAACGTATTTGGTCGCTTCTTCATTGTTCGTGGTATAGATTCCAGCCGTCACACCTCCAGCAAGCCATGTTCCATGAAGAGCAAAGTGGTACTCCGGGGAGTTGAATCCAATGATGCCCACTCCGTCCTTGTAAGCCAAACCAATTTTATAGGCACTCTTAGCAAAAGCCATAGCGTTCTTGTAGTAATCCGCATACGTATATTCCACGCCATCTTTACTCACAATAGCAAGAGTGGTAGGCCATTCTGTGCAGCAGGCTTTCTTGAACGCCTACGAGTAATTCAAATTTTGTGGACAAACCTTAGGAATTGTAGTCGGTTCTGGGTTAACCTTGCAACTAGTATTACGACGAATCTCAATGATGTCCTTCTTGTTTACAGCTCTATGGCTATCAGGGAGAGTGGTGCTCATTCTAAAAAAATTATGAAATTAAAATCTGCCATTGATTTCGATGACGTAACCCATTACGTTTGCGTTCCATAGATGATAACCGCGGATAATTACCGAAAATGGATGGATTTAACAAATAGTCAGCTGTTCACTAATTAAGAGTATTCCAAGCGAGATTCCCAGGCGATCATTTTTCTATCCCGTGTGACAACTGATCTGCTCACGTTTCGAACCCGTTTTGCGATTCGTTTCAACCGGCTCACAAACAAATTTTTTCCCTGATGAAATAGGCTCTATCGAATTTTCTAGAGGGAGTGGGGGGCATCCAAAAATCGGGACTATTTTTACACATCTATACGTTGGTAAATTGTGATTTTTCGGTTCGAAATTCTCTGTATTTTTCGTCCAGTATTTGACAGAAAGCGACAAAATGCCAAATGACTATGCTTATGTGGGTCCCTATCGCCTGGAGAAAACTTTAGGAACAGGGTCGTTCGGAAAGGTGAAATGTATAGCAGATCCGTTCGTAAATGATTCCTAGTGGCAGTTCACATCCCTACAAACATTGAGGTAGCCATCAAGATTCTGAGCAAAGAGAAAATCAAACAATTGGAGATGTCCGAGAAGGTCAAAAGAGAAATTCAGATTTTACGTTCATTTAAGCACCCGCACATCGTTCGATTGTCGAGTCCCTTTTTGGATTTTATGTTTAGGTATGAGGTCATTGACACGCCCTCGGACCTGTTTTTGGTGACTGAATACGTGCGTGGAGGAGAACTGTTTGACTATATTGTGCGTCATGGTCGTGTAGTTCCTGTGTTGACTCCTCACATCTAGTTACCAGAAAATGAAGCCCGAAGGTTTTTCCAACAGATTATTAGGTATTTGAGTCTCCCCTTCTTCTATGTAGCGGGATTGAGTACTGCCACAACAACGGAGTGGTTCACCGCGACCTCAAGCCCGAGAACATCCTACTCGACGAGTACAACAACATCAAGATTGCGGATTTTGGACTGGCCAACTTTTTAGTGGATGGTTGCTTTCTCGACACATCCTGCGGCTCCCCCAACTACGCTGCACCGGAAGTCATCTCGGGGCGGATGTACGCTGGTCCGGAAGTGGACATCTGGTCCTGCGGCGTGATTTTGTACGCTTTGCTCTGCGGCCGGCTGCCCTTCGACGACGAAAACATCTCCGTTCTGTTCCGGAAGATCAAGAGTAGATAGAGCTGGCTGGGTGGGTCAAACGCAGACGGTCTCTACCGCCTTCCCAGTTTTCTCTCCGAGGGAGGCCGCGATCTGATTCCGGAGATGCTTCTGAACGACCCAGTGAAGCGCATCACCATCCCCGAGATCCGAAAAGATCCCTGGTTTCTTCAGAACTGCCCGCCCTATCTCGCGATTCCGTGGAAAGAATACGACGCGACGTTCAAGTGGGACGCTCCCAGAGGCGCTCAGCGGTAGCACGTCGCACATCAGCACGCCGGAGTTCTTCGAGCTTATCCAGGGCTCGTTCAATGAAGATCGCTCCACGGTTCTCTCTGCGATCACCAGTCCCAAGACCTCGCCGGTCGGCTCGGAGAGCGGAGATGAGGCGTAGATCAAGGTGGCGTTCGAGCTGAAGATGGACCAGGCGCTGAAAGTGGAGCGGCAGAACCAGATTCGGAGCATGGAGGTGGAGAGTTCGCAGGAGCCCATGCCGCGAAGACCGCGTGTTCGCGTCCAGGAGATTCAGGATACGAGTAGAAGCGGGAACGCGGGTTGTTGGTGTAGGCCCCAAGTCGAAGCGGTGGTTTCTGGGCGTGCAGTCGCGCAAAGACGCCGCGGTGATCATGATCGAGGTGTGTAAAACGATCGCGATGCTGGGCTATCAGTGGTATATCGAGAGTGAATATCGAGTCCGATGCCGACAAACCACGAACGTGGATCAGAAGGAGCTGGTGACGGAGATGCGGCTGCAGCTGTACAAAGTGCAGGAGCACACGTACTTGCTGGACTTTCAAAAGATGGAGGGGAATGTCTGTTCTTTTATGCATATGTGCGGAACGGTGATCGATCAGCTGCAGAAGGGGCTGTCGAGGAGTACTCATACTATGGGTAGGAGAGAGGCGCGGGGATGAGGTGTAGCACACGTTTCTATGCGTGGATGATCTTGTAACTTATGGTTTTCAACGTGTTTGTTTGAAAGGTGTTTGATAAATTGATGGATGGATTGATTGATTGATTGATTGACTGACTCACATCTGCTTCGAGGACTTGCGGGTGGTTTCGAGAAACGAAAGTCACTTCGCTTCGCCTTGTGGAACTCATTATTCCGATGGTTGTTCTCTCTCTGCTCGTTCTTATCCTGGCTATTGCAAACTCGCTTCTCATTGATGGGGTGTCAATCCATCCTCCTCAAGATAAAAGCAAGGCGATCCTGCTCTCTGCAGTTGAATTGAAAACGTATACAATGAGCTCTCAGCAAGAAAAGGTTGTTTTTACTGCACGATTCTGTCCTCCCGTCGCTTATACCTCGTAATTGCTTCTCTCTTGCATAATCTATTTAGATATTCTATCCAGTTTCTTATCGAGAGCGATTATAAGGAAGCTCAGACATATACTCGCACATTCACTCCCGTCTCAACGGATTGCATAGATGTTACGAGTGCGCTTCATCAAGATATTCACAACTACTGGACCCTTTCTCCAGGAGTCTATTTATTGTATGTGTCTGTGAGTGATGCATACAAAAAACTGCTCTATTCCACCGCACTACCCTTGAAGATCGAGCCAAAGTCGATTCAGCTCTCCTCACAGACTACAGATACCCCTCCTCGTGTGGCTCCTATTATGAAACCCGATAGTTCCATTGACAAGAATTACTGTGGAGATGGAACTTGCAATTCTGGAGAGGACTGCCAGTCTTGCCCTCTCGACTGTGGTTTGTGTCGTCCATACTCCTGCTCTCCTTCTTGCAAACTGCCGGACTGCCAGTGTGCTCAAACTCGACATCCTACCATCCAGGACACCTCCAAGATCCCTCAGTTTGTGGCAATCACTTGGGATGATGCGCAAACGCCCACAACCTTCAGTCATATGATGGAGGTGGCTCGCTCTACTGCCGTATTTCTTGGTGCGTTGAATGTCAACTAGGCTCGGGACCATTTCAACTGCCGACCGAAAATGACCTTTTTCACACAAACGAACGATAATCAATATCAATACACCAAGCAACTCTATCTTGAAGGGCATGAAGTGGCTCTTCATTCGATCTCGCACAGAACGGATACGAGTACGCAAAAAAAGACGTGGGAAAAGGAGATCGTCAAGGCTCGCAGCTACATTTCCAAATATTGTTATTATCACTATTCGCATTGTCTAATCTTTAGCGGGTATTCCTGAAGAGAAGATCGTTGGCTTCCGAGCTCCTGACCTGAAGTACAACAATGACATGGCTGAAGTTTTGAAAGAGCGAGGATTCCTCTACGATAGTAGTATTCCTGTCGATACGACTTCGAAAGCATTTTACCACCCCTACACGCTGGATTACGGAGCGATTGAGCAATCGTGGAAAGCTCCATCCATTACCACTCCCCACTCTGGTTTGTGGGAATTCCCATTGCCCACATTGGTCAATGATGATTTCACGACGATCACGATTCAAGACCCTGAAGGATCTCCTGAGGAAATCATTGATTTGCTCCAAAAGAACTTTGGTAGGAAGTCATTTAGTCCGAGTTGAAACGCAGATTTGCACTATGAAAGTGATCGAGCACCGTACCTTATCGGACTTACAGCTTCATGGCTCTTGCAGAGCGTGGAGGATCGAATGAGGGCACTAGAAACGGTGCTGCAGTATATGGCATCCAAGTCCAACGTCATTTTCGCCTCTGTGTCGGAAATTGTGCGCTACTATCAGAATCCAGTCGATATCAATAGCATGAAAGCATCGGACTATCCATGTGTCACAGCGACAGAAACGTATATCATTCAAGAATCGATTAAACGTAGACCTGAGGATGACCTTTGCTCTGGAAAGCAGATCAATCAATGCTATTACTCCACTGTAGATTCAATCACTTCTACCACTCATCACTCTAGAGAAACTTTAAAACCTGTGAACAGTGTCCTGATTACTATCCTGGAGAGGAACCGGACTCATCCACCATCGGAACTGTATCTCCTGGCAATCAATGGGAAGGACGGTATGCGGTAAGTGACGATTGGTCCTGGGATGGAGGCTTCTGTAAAACGTTGAGTATAACAAATGGTAGCAACAAAGCCACGGAAGAGTTTGAGGTTATTCTTGTTAAATGACTCTCTGAGAAATAGTTAACGCTCTATACCAAAAACTGCCAGATTACAACACTTTGGGGGTTAAAGATTGAGTCATCCTCGCAAGGTCGATATGTCCTTCGTTCCGACAGAGAGATATTGATAAAGCCTGGAGCTGTCAGAGTCGGGGAATTGAGTGAGTCATAGAAATACGAATCGATCGGGATTTGCGCCAAGACGAGTCAAAACTACTCTGTGTCGGGGAAGGTGATAATGTATGCCATCAATTAGATGAATGTTTGTTCAAAAGCTTTTCATTTTTAAAACACCCTCTTTTTTCTATTGGGTGTGTATTCTATATAGGGTTTTGTACAGAATATGGGTATGAATCGAGTGTAATTTCTCACATTCTAGAGGATTCTACAAAACGAGACTATCCTATCGATTCTGGTGAGCTCTTGTTTTTATATATTTGATACTGTAGAAACACTTCCAAAAACCGGCGAGACTATTGAAAGTGGTTCTGACTCTGTATTTTTCGCTAATTCTATAGAATCCAAGAAGACACATATAGAAAACCGGTGTTCCATTGATAATGACGACGAAACATCACACAACATAAATAGCCTACTAAAAGCTGAAGGAATTTCGATTTGCGAAGACGAAGATCTCGGAGGGAAGACGGTTCCCATTGGAGCACTCGATGTAGACATGTCGTTTGTTTCCAACAAATAGCAAATCATAGCAGATGGAAGCAGCGGTTCATCAATGGATTTGGAGTCAGAATCGGAGGTTCAGCCACCATCTCCGATGAAAACTCCTCAGAAAGCTCGTCCCTTGTCTCCCTGTCTCCAAGAGCACCAAAACACATCTGAAAAGCGTATTCGCTTTGGAAGTCGAGCTACGATCGACTTTGCTTCCTCCGACCCCGCCAACTCCATATCTCCCTTGAAGCAACATGCACTCGTTCTTTCCTCTCTTCACCCACCAGATCGACGCCAATCTCTCCACCAAACACTCCGCCTTCACCGAGCACGACTATCCGGACAGCCCCGAAGGCCCCGAAACCTCCCGCAACACGAGCTATTTGGCCCAGTTCGATTCGGAGCCGTCGCCTCCGCGCGTGCGCCGCTCGTCGCGAATGTCGTCGGTCGCGTCGACGGGCTCTCTCTCCGACAGCTCGCTGCTGCTGCTGTCTCCGGTGAGCGGGCCGCATCGAAAGACCGCCGACATGAACGAGCTCAAAGCCATGCTCGGAATGTCCCCCGCAGCCCGGGAATCCATTCGAGAAACCATTTCCCCGATGAAGGAGTCGGTTTCTCCGATGAAAGAGTCGGTTTCTCCGATGAAAGAGTCGGTTTCTCCGATAAAGGAGTCGGTTTCTCCGATGAAAGAGTCGGTTTCTCCTTTTACTACTACCGTTTCTACGGTTTCTCCAATCAGAGAATCGGTTTCTCCTTCCACTGCTACGATTTCTCCATTAACTACAAGAGTTTCCACTATTTCCACCATTTCCACCGTTTCCACGGTATCTCCCTCAACAGCCACAATTCCCCCTCAAACCACCCCAGTTTCTCCAATTTCCCCAGTTTCCCCAGTTTCCCCAATACAACCAAACACGACTCGAGCCCCTGTAGGTTCCCCGGTTTCCCCGGTTTCCCCGGTTTCCCCGGTTTCCCCGGTTTCCCCGGTTTCGACGAGCGCGGTGGATTTGTCGACGAGCCACATGGACGCGGAGGAAACCGCGGTTCTGCAGGGGCTTCTGCAGTCGTCGCAGTCGTCGCGCTCGGCGCTGGAGACCTCGAATATGGACATTTCGGGATCGGATTCGGAAGGGTCGGCGGTGGATTCGCGCCGCGCCACGCTGGGCTTGGGCGAGATGAAAGCGATGCTGATCCACGAGCTGGACCGGTACGACCGTCGATCCAGCGTGTCGCAGCGCGTGTCGCAGCGCGCTTCGCTCACGGAGACGGACGTCCTCTCGTCTCAACCTCTGCTCGATTTGCTCAAGCAAAACCCGATCCCTGCCGCCGATTCGACCGCTCCAATGCCTTCTATTGAGCCCATGAACGAGTCCGAGTCCACCATCGATCTCCAGCAGTACGCCGCGCAGCTCCGCGAGGAGGTTTCTCGGCCCTCCACGGCGTCCCTCCCGTCCGCACGCGAGTCGATAACCGCGGATCTGCAGTCAGTGGCGCGGGAAGTGCTGAGTATGGCCGCGCTCGACCAGAACGCCGTCGCGCAGCACACCGACGCGCTGTTAGAGCGAATGAGCGGCCAGCCCTCCACGGCGGCGGTCGCGGCGATGGACGACACCATCACCGAGGATTTGAGGCGGCTGTCGCAGCTGCTCGTGGCGCAGCCGGAGGAGAAACCGCGGTTCTCGCCGCTGGTGGCGAGGTCGGGAACGAAGCAGGTGATTCACAGCGTGAAAAGCTCGCAGAAGTATGGGCAGAGCGCGGTGGAGGAGGTGCGCGTGATAAACTCGATGCCTGCTCGACCTTTATTTCAAGACAAAGAAGAGCCAGAAGAAGAAGAAGAAGAAGAAGAGAAAGAAGAAGAGAAGAAAGAAGAGGAGGAAAAGGAGAATCCGAGTCCATTGGAGAACTCGCTTAATTTAGACGCTTATTTTTTGCCCAAGTCGTTTCGGTCGATTTTGGACGATTCCACGCCGCAGGCAGAGTCCATCGATTACGACACGCCCGACAATTCCGGAAAAACCGCGGTGAACCGACTGCCGTCGGTCGATTCGCTGCCCTCCGACATCCAGGAGAACTCCATTCAGATGGAGGAATCGTCGCTGGGCGATTGGAACGAAAATGGCCAAGAGTCGGTAGAGAAAGTGGAGGACTCGCTAGAAGGCATCATCGACAAAAAACAAACCGAAAACACCGAAAACAAACCAGAAAAACAACCCATGAATGAAACCCCCATGAATGAAACCCCCATGAATGAAACTCCTATCCATGATACCCCCTCTATAGACGAGGAGCGGAGGCTCAACATTCGATCGCGCCTTGCGTCGATCGATTTCTTTCGGGAGAAAGCTTCGCTGCAGTTTGTGCGGCGCTGCCAGCAGATTCTCGATACGAAGAGCGAAGTGCAGCAGCTCTGCGCGCTGTTCAAGCAGATTCGAGAGGTGAAACGGCAGCAAAACGAACTGGGATCGGCGTGGAAAGAAGCGGAGCAAGGCTGGAAAGAAGCGGAGCAGAGCTTTGCGAGAGAATTGCAAAAGGAGAAGCCGGTAGCTGAAGAACGGTCAACGTTGAAAGAGAAGGAAAAGGAGGAAGAAGAAGAAGAAGAAGAAGCGACGCTAAAGAAGGAAATGAGACTGCTCGAAGAGGACATGGGACTGGTTTTCACGCTGCAGTCCAACCAGAGCTACTCGATTCTCCTTCGAAGAAATCGCTTACTCGTGGCAGCGATCACAGTGCGATTTGTAGGCGGAGGAAAAGTGGCGTTGAAGGTGATTTTAAAGACGAGCTGCTCGAAACTGGCTCGAAAACGGATCGAGGCACGATTGCCAGTGAAACAAGAGAAGGAAGTGAACTGCAACGACATGCGCGAATCGATCTGCCGATGCATTTGGATTGTCTACCATAGTTTTTAGCTTGCATGTTTTCAACAAACACAACTTATCTTGATCAATATCCAATGACCTCAAATTACACACGGCTAGGATAGAGCATAACATGGACGCTCTTTCCAATGGCAGTGGGAGGAAGATTGTGGTTGAAGATGCAGCGGACCACTCCGTTCGTTCCGTGGCAGGTCGCGACCTTTCCCCAGATCGTTCTCATGTGTTTGCCATTGGCAGAGTTCGCCGAGTAGACGTAAGCAACACGCTTTCCAAAGTAGAACTTAGAGTCCGCAGTGGTGTTCACTCCATTGATCTTAACCAGAGCCTGGTGAGTGTTCTGGAGCACCTTAGATCTAAACTAAACCAAATGAAAGAATCACTCACCTTCTGTATCCCAAGAAAACTCCCTTAACGTACAGCTTATTGGAATGCTTAGGCATCGTGATCTAAAGTGCCGTTAGCACGCACATTCAAAAAGAATCGAAAACAAACATGCAAATGACTCCAGCACCACCCCATTTGCTCCAAACACATTCTAAAATCAATACGTACACTTATTCTATGCGATGATCAAGAATCTGATGTTCACCAAATATGATAAGACCCAGGGGGTGCACAATTTGTACCAGTGTTTTTAGGTTAATTTGTTTATCCCCACATACGAATAAGAAATATCGTTTTCACGCAAATATGTATATATATGCTCCAATAGCACTTCACTGACAACAGACACACCCCATGTGAACGAGAAAAACCGATTGAGGAAAAAGATTGTCTAACAAACAAACAGGGCACTCGATTGTATTTCAAAGTAATGCAGTCTTCCTTTAGTTATCAATGTTGATAACAGTGATACCTATGTCATGAAGGGTCTCACAAACAACCTACCAGGAGGAAGGGTCTTACGCAGCTTATCAGCCTTAGCCTGCTCCTTCACAATCAAGGTGTAAAGGTACTACAACATCATAACGCAAAACAAATCATACCTTGCTGCATCGCACCTTGAACTTGGTTTCTCCAGCGGTTCCCTTCTTAATCTTGATCTCTACACGATTAGCAAACAAATCACGAGCAAAATACGTCTCGCGTCCTTTCTTCTAGCAACGGCGATGAAGTCACGAACATCCTTAATTTGCTTGGGCTACAAGGTGTCAGCAACTCCCATTTCTCTTTTATTCAATTTCATAACGCACAAAACGTAATATCACTATTCCTCAACTTACCATTTCAATAGTCTAGTTTGAAATAACAATCTTTAAGCTCTAGGCAAAATTACGATCAGAATAGCCAACCCCTGGGTACTCAATAATAGTCCCTAATTATACTTGCTTATTTGTTACCCCCACAAATATCGTACATTTTACTATTTGAATACTCAGATTGTGTGAAACTTGAAATTTAAAGCAAGTCAGACCCCATTTATCGAAAAGCGAAAATGATCGGGTTTTTATCTGAGTTTCGATTGAGTTGATATTGATCCTTATTACGTAATAAGCTAAATTATCTTATTTTTCTCTCCTACACTGCTAGTTTAGATGGTGTTTAGTGTATTTTTTTTATTCTGCTCTGAATGTAGATTGAACTGTTTCTAATATTACTATTTTTGCTTTTTGCTATCGGTCTAGCTGCATTTTGCATCGTGTGGTTCTTTATCCTGGGCGCAATGCGTCCGATTTTCGGCTCCAACAAAATCCGTGCATGGAAGACTTACCTGGTTGTAGGTGAGTGTGTATACGATTTAATTACAGGGTTTGTTTTTGAGAATGCTGCGCTTCTTGTGTTGTGACTTTGAACTCAGATTGAGTGGAGATATGGATAAGATAAGAGCAACAAAGAACAGGTATTCCCTTTGGATTTGATTCTGAGACATAGGAAATCCATTTACTTACAAAATCATCAAACCGAAATGGACTGGCTGTATGCCCAGTATATCTACCAAGCCTTTGGCAAAGAGGGATGCTTTTCCGCCATCATGAAGGGTTCTTTGAGGTATTCAAGCGAATGAAGTGCCATCCTAGCTCCATTCCCGTGATCGGCTACGCGATCCGCGATGTCAACATGTGCTTCCTGGACCGGAACTGGGAAAAGGACCGCCACAACCTGGACGTGTTCATCGAGAACTTCATCTCCGCTGCCAGCCCCATTTCCGTTCTGCTCTGCCCGGAAGGGACCACTCTGACCCAGGAAACCTACGAGCGCTCGCAGCGGTACGCGAAGAAGGTGGATCGTCCTTGCCTGGAGGTACCTCCGTTTCCCCTTCGTTCATTCAAAGCATTTGCTGCTGCCTCGCTCGACCGGGCTCGCTTATCTCGTCAAGAACCTCGCCGATGAGACCAAGCGGAGCGGCGAGGAGTTCTACATCTACGATACGATGATGCAGTTCGACGGCTACCGCGGCGAAATCTGCGATAACCACTATCACCGCTCGCGCGACCTCGATTTCCCGACGATGCTGAGCACGCTCTACGGCGCGCTGCTGCGTAAGCGCATCGTGTGCCACCTTCACGTCCGTGTGGTGCCTGTCTCCGAGCTGGCGGAGCCGGATACGCCGCTGGAGGAGGTGGTGAAACGCGTGGAGAAGTGGCTGGATGCGAGCTGGGTGGAGAAGGAAGCGCAGATGGACTACTTCATCGAGCATCAGACCTTCACGGAGGACTGGAATAACAACCTGGTGGGCGGAGGAAGGAGCGAGTGAGGTGTAGGAAGTGGAGGTGTGGGACTGGAAGAGAAAGCTGGCGGATTCGATAGGATGGGCGCCGCTTGTGATCGGGGCAGGGATGATTCATTATGGAACGTTCTCGCTGGCGAAGAAGCTGCTGATTTCGAGGTTGATTGCTTCTGTTGTTTAGTTTGGGGTGTTTGTTGGAAAAGCAAGTTGGACATTTTTGAATTGAGTGGGAGTATTCTGGGTTCTGAATTCAAGCCGCGGAATGAGTGATTCGTTTACGAATTCCGAAAAGGAAAAGGTGTTGGAATCACTTGTTTCACCAATCAAGAAGCAGGAGAGGCGATACAGTGATTTCGATGCGAAGAATAACGAGGAGAACTCTGTCGTTTCACTAAATTCCGATAATTCACTGTACTGTTGGTATCGTTGTTTTTTAGATAGATGGGACTCGAAATATTCGGATTCTACAGATGAAGAGAGTGATATTACTATTGGAAGGAAAGGAGAGTTGGTTCTTGATGACTCGATGGACGAAGATTCGATGCAGAAGGTCGTCATTCCGTTAACTCAAGACGTAAAACCTCCTTTCTGTTACTTTTGTCATGGAACTGAGGATCTAATCAAATGTACCGGTGGTTGTGGTCGCTCGTATCATCTTCGTTGTATTGGGATGAAGATGGGTAAAATAGAAACGTGGAAATGTCGTCAGTGCCGAGGACAAGCTCTCAAGTCCTCTAATTTTCACAAAAAGCATTGTCTCCGTGAATGGTACATTCGAAATGCTGGAGTGAATGTTACTGGGGGTGTGAGTTTAATCATCGAGGGCTCAAACACGCTAGACAATACAGTATGGCGCTGTTCGACAGTAGACCATTTGCTGGATGCAACACACTTCGTAACGGCTTCAGGTTCGATTTATTGCCTGATAGTAGGTATTGACTGTAAATCAAAACGAGTAGGGAGCGATGAGTGAAGTAAAAACCCGTGAAAATGGATTCAATGAAGAAGTGATCAATTCGTTTCGAAATGGAATTCCAGAAAACTGGAGAGATGTGATTCTGAAGCATCATGTCGCTCTTTCCTCAATCCCAGTAGAGTCTTCGATGAAGTTTCAAGACCCTCCGAAAGAGACTGAAAGCAAGGTGGAAGAAAAGGAACCATTGGATCGAGATGTATCAAAGCCAAAACGACAGACAAAAAAGAGAAAAGGGACGGAGTTTCGCCCTCCTCGAATGGTGGTTTTGGATAAACCTGTTGAGAAAGTGTGTATTGATGAGGAATTGAATGTGCCTGTACGGCGATCTTCTCGCCATCATCAACCTCCCCTTCCCTTTTGGGAGAATTCGTATATGATTTATAATGAAAGGCTAGGACGATCGGAAGTTGTAATTGGACCCAATAGTCATGTGGAAATGGTGGATGGGTACTCTGCAAAGCGAGAGCAGCAAGTAAAGATTGAAGTGGAGGATGAAGAAGAGGATGAAGAAGAGGAAATTGATGATGATAATGAAATTGATGAGAGTGAAGATGAAGATGAAGATGTAGATGATTCAATGATAGAATTAAAACCAAAGTCAAAGTCAAAGTCAAAGTCAAAGTCAACAAATCAATCATTGAAACCTAAACCTAAATCAAAATCAAAATCGAAACTTCAAACAAATATACTCAATATCCAAATTGATAAAAATAATAATAATACTATTATAAAACCCACAACCAAAACAAAATCGAAAACTGTATCAAAACCCAAGTCACAAAACTCTCGAAAAAGCACTTCCACGGTTCCTAAAGTCCCACCCAAGGAATTACACGTTTCAGTTTCTTTTTCTCTATCAAATATAGTGGACTCAGGAAGAGATTGATCTTCTCAGAAAAGCAATTTCTTTGGTTACTATTTCTCCTAGAAGTTCTACCTTTTGGAAAAGAGTTAGTGAGTATCTTCCTTCCCACGATGCAGCAGAGTGCAAATTGGCGCGTAGGCAATACAAAATCCCTCTTCCAAGTATTATTTATTTGAATTCTTGAAACGTAGAGCCTATTTCTTCTTCTGCTTCGTATTCTATGAGTGATTTGATATCCACAGTAGCGTCAGAATGGATTGTGAACGGTAGAAGCTGGCAAAGAAGGGATCGTTGAAACGACGGCAGCAGGTGAGAGACCTGTACAAAACCATCGACGAAAAGGACTCGGAACAGAAAGAAAGTGCGGAGTTTGAAGGAAAGAGAATCAATGACGATTGGTCAGCAGCGTTCAATATCAAAACTCCTTCGATTTCGCGAACACAACCAAAAAGTCCAAACACTTCAATTTTGGTACGAGTGCTGTGCCGATTTCATCTAGGAGCAAAGTTTTGTATTTGAAGCAGTGGACGATGAAGATAAAGATCGAGTAATCGTTGCTGCTGAAAAGAGACGTGGTCTTCCGAAAACCATCGCATATAAAGGAATGCCACAAGCCCGAAAAACGATTAGTAGTGTCGAGGAATCGTCTAAAGGCTTTGTTTATGGATACATTTCCAATGGTAGGTTTTAATAGAATCATCCTAACTCATATCAGATGGAAAACCGGTGTTGGAAGTCAGAGAGAAAGAACATGACCTAATAGATGATGCAGAGGAAGCTCTCTCATCGGATAGCTTGCTAGATTTCTAATTTTGCGTTTTTGAAGATTGTTTGTTTTGGAGGGAAATGTGTAACACGTTTTGGATATATTAAATATGCAAGTGCGATTCCGCTGTATTGATTATTTTGAAATTGCCTGTAACAAGGAGAGGGAAGAGGATTTGAAAATATGTAAGCTATATCTCCCTATTTCGGATGTTTCTCGTCTGTTTACAAAATATAGTGGAGGAACAGAAAGAATCCACAAACAGCTATTGATTTCTGGAGGAATGCCCAAACCACTGCCTATTCAGGAAAACAGTAGCTATCATTTTGCTTCTTACTGCTAGAGAACACACGACACTACAGCATTCATTTTGAATTATCCTGCAAACAAAAAGTGCATGAAGGATCAAACAACGCAATTTTCGTTCCAATTCAAGTTCCCAAAATTATCTCAGTGGACCTGTCCTACCGAACCAAGAGAGAAGAGAAGCCTCTCCTTCCTTACCCTCAATCTGTTTCACTCCCTCCTCTCCCTCCATTTTCTTTATTACCTCAATATGCAGACCCTTCTCTTATCTGTTACAACATCATTCAGTCCAGCAACACTCCTGAATATGGACCGCTTGCCTTTCTATTCTCTCCCGAGTCCATTCCTCCGATCTCTCTCTCCAATCTGCTTCTCTTCCGCCCGTTCTCTCTTCCTCCCTCCTCTCCTTCTCCTCTTCCTCTTCCTTCTCCCCTCCCTCTCCCCTCTCTTCCCTCCCTCGCAATCCAAACCTCTCTTTCCTACTCCATTTCCCCTCTTTCTCCACTTCCAACCCCTCCTCCACCCCCCTCCTCCCCTTCTCCCTTCCAACAAATCCTCCTCTTTCACTCCCCATCCCACTCCATTCCCTTCCATCCTCTCGCGGCCTCCGCGCTGCCTCTCTCCGCCGCCCTCCCATCGATTTCATCGCCTGAACTCGAGCGAGCCAGGCAGGAATTGTCTCACTACACCGCCCAGCTGAACACACACACGCTCATTCCTCTTCCTATCGTAGCACCCAGCCCTTCGCATCATCCACAGAGACCGCAGCGAGGCTTCGAGGCGCGCTGCGCTTCGCAATCAGCTCACGTTCTCTTCGATCTCTGCGCAGAGAATCTCGCCAATCTCCCTCTGCTGGCGATGGTTGTAGGCGTGACGAAGCGATTCGACGTAGGTTCGCTTGCCGATTTTGTTCGGAGGCAGCGCGATGGAGCAGATCAAGAGAGACAACGCAGAGATCACACACTACCAGGTTTCTGAGGACGTTTCGTTCAGTCCTGCGCTTCTTTTCGATCCGATCGATGTGGCGAGACGAGAAATCCCGGATCTGCCGATCGAAATCGAAGAGAATTCTGTGGAGACGATCGACTTCGACGTTGAAACAAGCGGCCAACCGACCCATTCAATCGAAAGCCAAGTCGAGCCAAGCGAACCTTCGATGACGGAGAGCAAGGCAATGACGGAAGCAACCGAAACAAAACGCAGTCCAAGCGAGGATTTAATGGCGACGGACCAATTTTCTTCTCTCTTGCAAGAAATCCACGCTCAATTAATCGAGTTGGCGAGTCCGATTCTGTCGCAGCTTCAAAGCGATTCGCTTCTTCCCTCTTCCCTCACGCTTTCCTCGCTCTCTCCAGAACGCATCGCGTATTTTTCTCTCCATCTCGCCATTGAATCCTAGCGAGTTGGTCGATTTCCTCCAAGAACAAATCAACGTCGCGGCCTCGTCGATCTCCATCACCCAGACGTCCTCCGTTCTGTCGCCTCTCCAGAGCTCTCTCCAATCCGCGGTGTCTCTACACGCTCTCTGCACGCTTCATCACGGGATCGAATCGGATCGCGACTCCATCCAATGCATGCTTTCCTATCTCCACGAAATGACACAAAACGAATCCTATCTCCAAATCCTCCCCGAATTCATTCTCTCTTTCTTCAATTCCCTCGAGTCCGCCCTCCAATCCATCCTCCAATCCTCTTTTCATCCTCCTCCACCATCTTCTTCCCCACACACTCATCCTTCTTCTTCTTCTTTTTTCTCTTCTCATCCTTCTCAACCCACACAATCCACTTCTCCTCCACCAGACCCTTCTCTCCCTACAGCGACTCGGATTCTCGTCGACGATCGCCTCGTGCAGCAGCATTCTCTCTTGCAGTACCTTCATCTCTCTCCTTCGCTTCCTCGCAGAGCTCTCCACTCGCAAAACCTTTCCTTTATTTTCCGCGATCTGCAAGGCGTTTCGATGGTCACCGACATCACATCCGCCATTCTCTTGCTGGAAGAATCGGAGATCGACGCCGCCTCCCTCAAACACACCATCGACACGCTCGCCATCGCCATCCAGCGCTACACGCGCATTCTTCTTCTCATCCACGTGGAGCACACACAGATCGATTCCCTCACCGATTCCTTTCAATATCTCCGCGCTGCCATTCTCTTCTTTCCAGCACACATCACTCTTTCCTTCTAGTACTCTCCCTTCTCTCTCTCTCATCCCTCCCAGCCACCACGCTGCGCGTCTTCCGCTCACTATTCGCCGCTTTCTCGACCGCTCGCCGCTCCTCCAAACCGACTGGAAGGTTCTCGGCCTTCTCTCTCTCCTTTCATAGCCCCTTTTCTACAGCAGAGACTTCCTCACCGAGGAGGAGACGCCGCGCCAAGCGTGGTACGCAGCCTTTCCGTTCATCAATCCGTTCGCTGCGTGTTTCTTAGACTCCATGGTACACATCGGATGGACATGCTCAGCAGATCAACCCCTGCGAGCTCTGTGACTTGCAGCTGCCGAATCCGTGGCTGCCCGATTCGGTAGTGCGGAATATTCAGCGGTACGCACAGAGAGGAGATGGGATGTAGATTGCTGGAAGTGAGCAACTCGACGTTGCTGAAGGAAGTCGAAGCTGAGGCCGAGAAAAGGGAGCCGGAAGTGCAGATCAATCGAAAGCCGAAGCGAGTGCGATTAGGGATTGATCGAGAGAACGTTGTGAATGGACAGACGAAGCGTAGACGCGATTGCTGTGTGAAATGTAGTGTGCTGGAGTGAGATGAACGAGTCTGTCTCGAAGAGGCAGTCACCTTATTTTCGAACGCCTTCGGCGATCGACGCCATCGAAGAATATGACAATACCACTTATTGATTATGTTCATTACGTGCTTGTTTGTTTCCACAAACCCTCGAATGTTCTGAGCAGAGAGGAAATGCAGTGTAGATGTGCGAATGCTGCGTAAATGCCGTTTTCTAGAAATTGGCGTTTCATCCCCGTTTGCCATTATTGTTTTGAAATGATGAAAAATTGCCTAGTACTCATTTCGATTGTTCTTTTAAGTGTCTGCTATGCAGGCAGGGATTTTTACAAAATATTGGGCGTTGATAGGTAACTTTGTGATTGTTGCTTGAATGGTGTAGAAAGGCCTCTAGTTCCGAAATTAAAAAAGCATATAGAAAGTTGAGTCTGAAGAATCATCCTGATAAGTGCAAAACCGAGGAGTGCAAAGTCGCTTATGCAGATATTCAGGCCGCTTACGATGCTCTTTCTGACGAGAATAAGCGACGTACATACGATAGCAAAGGAGAAGAGGGTCTTCAGGAGAGAGAACAGCAAGGCAACCAGCATGGCTTTAATCCCTTTGATATCTTCGGTTTTGGTAATGCTGGTGGTAAAAAGCGAAACCAGGACATGCAGGCCACAGTTCCCGTAACCCTGGAAGAGCTTTACAACGGAGCTGAAAAGCTGTTCAATATCAACCGTGAAGAGCTCTGCGAACACTGCCATGGAACCGGAGCGGATGATCCTGATCATGTCCACACCTGTCCCGCTTGCAAGGGTTCGGGTGTCGTTCTGCAGCGAATCCAGCTGGCTCCCGGCTTTGTGCAGCAAGTTCAGCAGCCCTGCTCGAAATGTGGCGGCAAGGGTAAGATCTTCGATAAAATGTGCCACGTTTGCCACGGGCGGAAGCTCATGACGAAGCCGCATCAAATCAGCGTGGATATCGAGCGTGGTATGAAGGATGGCGAACAGATCGTGTTTGAGTACGAGGGCAACCAGCACCCGGATTTGGATCCTGGACACATCATCGTGGTGTTGCAGCAACGCAAACACCGCTTGTTCACCCGCGATGGGAACGATCTGAAGATGAACTTCAAGATCTCGCTGAAAGACGCGCTGCTGGGCTGGACGAACAGCGTCACGCATTTGGACGGACACACGGTGAAGTTCGGCAAGGAGCGCGTGACGAAGCCTGGGGAGGTGCTGAAGATCGAGGGAGAGGGAATGCCGGTGCACAATTTCCCCTCGCAGAAGGGAGATTTGTACATTACGATCACGGTGGAGATGCCGAAGACGATCACGAAGGAGCAGCGCGATGCGATTTCCACGCTTTTCTAAGGGTTTTGAGTGTTTGTTTGAGTAATAATGGAAGGAAGGAAGGAGAGAGGAGTTGTAAACGGGATGGTGATAAGAAGAAAAAGACAGAGAGAAGGAAGATTCATTTTTGAATGGATAACGGAGTGTAGTAAGACGATCTATTAGATATGGAGAATTGATTTTACCTGTTTTGTATCTATTCAAAGCCCTTCAAACAATCTGTCTGTCTTTCCACTACATTATCGATCCCTTTATGTATTTTTATCGATCTTCATTCATGTGAGAAACAATCAGAGTAAAAGAATGATTCATATCCGCATTTTCTTTCATCCTCCACGCCTCCACCCATCTCTTCACCCATTCATTCATCTCTTCATTCATTCATTCATTCATTCATTCATTCAAACAAACAAAAAACAACACATACACCAAAAAGCCAATCTACAAATCGAATTCAAAGTCGTCCATCGAATCGGACCACGACGAAATCGAAATCTCGTCCATCATATCGCACAGCACTACCCTTCACCGTCCTTCCCTTCCCTACGATGATTATTCGACGTGAACTTTCTCGATCGCGAGTCCGAGTCATAACTGCTGCACGTGACCGTAAAATCCTCCGTATCGCTATCCTTCGCCTCCACGATGTCATAAAACTCTTCAGCTCAACCCGACCCTTAATGCACACCCTTCAGCTCCAAGCGCGTCGCGAACGTCGTCACGTTGTCCATGCTTCCTTTCCCGCTCAACGCGCACCGAATCCGCTCCCCCAGCTCCTTCGCGCGGAAGAAATCCGCGGGAATCGGGAGGTCGATAACATAAAATAAACTGAATGTTAGATGAAACGCCCGGTTCCACGATTCCTCTTCGTAGACTTCGCGGCTGTGGCACTGCGTCATCCAGTTCAGAACGGCGGTGTTGTCCGGGTTGATCACGGCTTTGAGGTGTTGGATGCCGTTGATTTCGGCGAGCTGGGCATCAATGATGATGATTACATGGCTTACCATGCAGATTGCATAGAAGAGCGTTACGCCGATCCCTTGGCTCTGGAATTGGTCGATTACCGTCACTGCCCACTCCGCAGTCGTGGGATCATCATCATCAACAAAGTAGCGCGCCGTGCCAACGCCCTGGAAACCAGGCTTGTCTAGGATTACACCCAGGCCGTTGTGGCTCGTGTAGTTAAGACGCGTAAAGTAATCTAGCTCTTTCTCTGTAAATGTCTTTTTAGCTGTCGTAAAGCGCATGAAAAGCGATCCTGATGATATTTCTCCCTTATCCAAAACTAGATAAGATCATCTTGACAAGAACTTACTTGAATGCATTTTGGACCGGTCGGAAGGAATAATCGGCCTCATAATAAACGAATCGCTTTGATTTTTTGGCACGGTAAAGCTAGATTCAAAAAAACGAAATTGTTTCGTACGTAAGCGTATGAGAGCTGACAAAATCCATTAGTTCATCTATATCTGGAAGATCTGGAATCGTAATGCGATGCTTTACGGGTAGAGCTTCCTTTACTGTTTCTGCCGCAGGCTCCGAGGTCTGAACGTTCCCTTCAGAAGCGTTTTCTGCATATCAATCGTTTGCAAACAAATCCACTTGAACCTTCCGTAGAACCCTGCGAGCTCGACTGCTCGTGGGAGGAGTGTCCAACCATCCTCCCAAAAAACGATGCGATTCCTCGAAACATCAACAAATTGAAAATGTACAACGGGAATCGCGGTTTTGCTTCCAAACAAACAATCCAATCCAGCCAATCCAAGTTTTACTCCTTCGTGTTTTCGCCCTTCTTCGCGTCTTTGCTGCTCTGCATCGCTCCGGACCCACTGGAGTTGAGGTAGGCCGGGGAGGTGGGTGAGTACGCCGGCGATGTGGGTGAGTAGGCCGGAGACGCCGGCGAGTAAGCAGGGGATGCAGGCGAGTAGGCCGGCGACGCTGGCGAGTAGGCGGGCGATGCCGGTGAGTAGGCCGGTGAGGTAGGAGAGTAGGCAGGGGAGGTAGGAGAATACGCCGGTGAGGTCGGCGAGTAGGCCGGCGATGTGGGAGAATAGGCAGGAGACATGGGCGAGTAGGCGGGCGAGGTGGGGCTGTACGCCGGGGAGGTGGGGCTGTAGGCAGGGGAGGTGGGCGAATAGGCAGGGGAGGTCGGAGAATACGCCGGCGATGTGGGCGAATAGGCGGGCGAAGTCGGTGAATAGGCCGGCGACGTCGGTGAGTAGGCCGGTGAGGTAGGCGAATAAGCGGGCGAGGTAGGGCTGTACGCCGGCGAGGTAGGCGAATAGGCCGGTGAAGTCGGCGAATAAGCCGGAGATGTCGGTGAGTACGCCGGCGATGTGGGCGAATAGGCCGGCGACGTGGGACTGTAGGCCGGCGAATTGGGCGAGTAGCTGGGACTGGTGATGTAGGAGGGCGACATGGGGCTGTAGCCCATCCCGTCCGAGGGCGCCACGCCCGCGGCCCCGATGGAGTGCTGCGGCGACGCGGAGAGCGCGGTGTAGTCCGTGCCCGGCGAGGCGAAGCCGGAACTGGGCGAGAAGAACGGGGAGTCGGTGGTGGTGTCGAAGAGGTTCGGGAACACGGGCGAGCTGTAGTCGCTCACCGTGTTGTCCTCGTCGTCCGGCTATCCCTCAGCCTCGCCCCGCTCGCCTACCACAAAGCGGCGCGAGAGCCCGTCGCCCTCCACCGCGACGTCCACCGCCTCGTTGAGCTTCTTGGTGTCGAGGTACACGTCGAACACGCCGGTGCCGGTCGGCAGCAGCTGCCCCGTCATCACGTTCTCCGACACGCCGAGCAGCTTGTCCTTCTCGCCGAACACCGCGGCCTCCATGAAGATCTCCTGGGTCTCCTCGTAGGACGCCTTCTGCAGCGGCGAGGTGTCGATGCGGTTGATTCCGTTGCGCGTGATGGGCATCAAGAACCCCTTGTACGTCATCACGTCGCACAGCATGGAGAGGTGGCGATGGTTCACGTAGGACCCATCGAAGCTGATCACCATGCGGATCTCCTTCATCAGCGCGCGCCGCGCCGCTTCGATTCCCAGCACCTCGAAGATCTCGTTGATGTCGTTCGTGTAGATCTTCGTGAAGTCCAGCGACTCCTCCGCCATCGCGCCGCGCAGGTTCGACCCGTCCGTCTGCAGCACGTACTCCCTACGCTCAAGCCCCGCCCGCTCGCCCACTTGCGCGGCGCGCTGCTGCTGGCCGCGTCCTCGTCGTCGAACTCGTTGATCGTCTCCTCGCTGATGTACACGGTGTCGATGCCCGGCGTGCCGAAGAGCACCAGCTGCGACTGCAGCACGTCCAGCGTGTACTTGAGCAGCACGTCGCCGGAGACCTTCTCCACGCTGGTGTTCTCCTCCTCCAGGAAGTAGCGGATCTGGATCACCGGGTTGGAGTCGTTGTCGTTCGACGCGATCGTCGAGATCTTCAGCCCCGTGAGCTCCTTGATCTGCTCGGCGATCACCTGCGGCGAGATCTTCTTCGCCACGATCATCTGCTGGTTCAGCACCAGGCGCAGCATCCAGGACGACAGCATCGCGGGGTTCAGATCTTCGGTATCGAAGAAGTTCTTCACCAGCACGGCGTCCTGCTTCACCACCGTGTTCACCGGGTCCGGATCGTAATAAATCTCCGCCGACGAGATCACCTTGTCCAGCGTCGCCAGGCCCAGCGTGTTCTGGATGCGCTGCGCGTCCTCGCGGCTTCCGCGCAGGTCCTTCCGCAGCTTCAGCGTCATCGTCGGCGTCGAGATCTCCTTCACGCAGTTGATGATCTCCTCCAGACGCGGCACGCCCAGCGTCACGTTCTTCGCGGACACACCGGCGAAGTGGAACGTGTTCAGCGTCATCTGCGTCGCGGGCTCGCCGATCGACTGCGCGGCGACGATTCCGCAGACCTCGCCCGCTGCCACCTGCGCCTTCATGAAGCGGTTCTCGATCTCCGCGATGAGCCAGTCGAACGCTTTGATCGTGAGCCGGTGCTCCTTCATCAGCGGCTTGCTCGCCAGCATGCTGCGCGCGAAGATCGAGAAGAGCAGCTTGGCGTTGTCCTGCGACTCGGGCATGCCCACGCGGTTGCTGATCACGCAGATGCGCTTCAGCATGTCGCGGACCTGCACGATCACGTAGGACGGCGACAGGTCGGAGACGCCGTTCGGGTCCACGCGGAAACGCGTCTTCGCGGTCCAGATCAGCCGGCTGATGTTCACGGGGAGATGGAACACGCGGACGTCCTGCACCTTCTGGTCGGTGACCGTGATGATGCTGCGGAGGTGCGTGCGGTCCTCGAGCAGCTGGTTGAACTCGGAGTCCAGCTCGTGCTGGCTGTCCAGGTCCTTCCGGATCGTCTCCACCGCCTCTACGCGTCATTCGATTCGACCTCGCCCACCGTGACTCATCCAGATCCGATCGGACACCGCGTCGCAGTACTCCAGTCGGTTGTACGCCAGGTCCCAGCGATACACGCGCGTCATGTCGCGCAGCTTCATGTGCAACGTCGGGATGCTCTGGTCCTCGATCCAGCGCGAGTCCATTCCGTCCTCGCCGTACAGGAACTGCACGATCTGACCTCGGCTGTTGCGCACCGTGCCGTCGTAGTACACCATCAAGTCCTCCATCGACTTGATCAAGCGGCGCTGAATGTATCCCGTCTTCGACGTCTTCACCGCCGTATCGATGATTCCTTCGCGGCCTCCCATCGCGTGGAAATAGAACTCTTGTGGCGTCAGTCCCTTCAGGTAGGAGTTCACGACGAAGCCGTGCGCGTCCGCTCCCAAATCGTCCTTGCAGAAATGCGGCAGCGTTCGATACATGAATCCGTACGCGATTCGCTTGCCATCCACGTTCTGCTGCCCCACGCAGCCGCTGATCTGCTGCAGATTCAGCGGCGCGCCCTTCGAGCCGGCCACGGCCATCGCCTGCAGCGAGTTGTCGCTCTTGAGATGCTTCATGATGGTCTTCTGCGTCTGGTTCGCCATCGTGTTCAGCTCGCTGTTCACCGACCACTCGAAGTACTGCTCGATCGTCTTGCCCGGCTGCTTCTCCAGCTGCTTGTGCTGCCCCTGCTGGATCAGACTCGTCACCTTCCGCTTCGCCTTCGCGATCAGGTCCATCACCTCGTTCATGGTCTCGGGAGTCGGCACCATGTCGCCCAGCCCCACGGAGAACCCGCGGTTCATCAGCCAGTAGTTCACCATGCGCTGGTTCAGCCCCAGGAACGCCTTGGCCGCGTCGGGGCCGCGGTCATTCATCAGCACGTGCGTGATTCCCCCGCTCTTGGTGTTTCCGATGGAGTTCTTATCGATGATGCCCATGAGCAGCTCGCCCTCCTCGATGAGCACCTCGCAGTCCATCATGTTCAGCGGAACCTTCTTGTTCTTGTCGTACGGCGTCGAGAAGCGCTGGATGTTCAGATCTTTCTACGCATCAGCCCTCCACGCCGCGCGCACCGGCAGGATCAGCGAGTACATCTGCTTCCCCGTCCACAGAGGGACCAGTTTCCCGTCCTTGTGCGCGGTGACCGCGGGGATGGGGATGTTTCCGTCGAAGTCGTCGACCCACATGACCATGTTCATCATCATGTCCTTCGCGACGAACGTGTCTCGCTGCGTCAACTTCTGCGAGCCCAGCAGCGTGTCCTGCACGATGCCCATCACCGGCCCGTTACTCTTCGGCGAAATAATATTCTTATGCACCATCATCAGCTCGGTGACTTCGGCGCGCGCCTGCACCGTCTACTCCTCACTTCCTCTCTTCGCTGCGCACCTGCGGCACGTGGATGTTCATCTCATCGCCATCGAAATCGGCGTTGTACGGCGTGGTGCACGACAGATTCAACCGGAACGTCGAGTAGTTCAGCACGCGCACGCGGTGGCCCATGATCGACATCTTGTGCAGCGACGGCTGCCGATTGAACAGCACGATATCGCCATTGTTGATGTGCCGCTCCACGATCATCCCCTCCTTCAGCTGCGGGATCTACTTCGCACTCCTCCCGCGAGCTTCTACTCCGTTCGTGTACCGCAAATCATACCGCCGGCCGTCCAGATCGATGATGTACTTCGCGCCCGGCCACTTGTCGCGCTGGTTCACCAGTTTCTCCAATTCCTTGATGTTGTACCGCGTCACGCGCTCGGGGAACGTCAGGATCGCCGCCAGCGACTTCGGCACGCCCACCTCGTCGATGTCGATCGTCGGGTCCGCGGTGATCACCGACCGCCCGCTGAAATTCACTCGCTTGCCCATCAGGTTCCCGCGCACGCGGCCCGTCTTGCCCTTGATGCGCTGGCGGAACGTCTTCAGCGGACGCTTGTTCTTCTGGATCGCCTGCGGCACGTTCTTGCGCTCGTTGTCGCAGTAGTTGCTGTAGTACGTCTGCAGCATCTCCAGGTCGTCGTCCATCCCGTTCCGGCCTTTCCCGCGGAAGCGCTACATCGAAAAGAGGAGGCGGAACGCACGTCGCCGCTGATGGCCTTGTTGGCCTTGAGGATGTTCGACAGCGCGTAGGTGATGTCGTCTTCGCTCGGCGTCGTGCTGCCCGGCAGCATCACAGGCGGACGCACCGCCAGAGGAGGCACCTGGGTAGAGAGGAGGCGCCAGAACCTACCGGGATTTCGCTGAGAATCATGTACTCCGGCTTGATTTCGGGGTAGTTGAACCCCATGAAGCGGCAGTCCTCCGGACTGATCTTGCGGAACAGGTCCTTCACCGAGGAGGGGGAGATGTAGTCGGAGACTTCCTGGTTGTCGTCGTTTTTGTATGTGATGAGGATTTTGAGACTGCGGGAGAGCAGATGCGGCCAGGCCTACCTTTCCTTTTTATATTTGGCTTTGACGTGGCCGCAGCCTCCGTGCTCACGGCTGCAGTCCTTGATCGTCTTCACGCGGTTGAAGACGCGCGATAACTTCCTGCAATTATCCGTGTCGGTTTCGTTCTCCGGAATGTCGCCCCGAGGAACCAGACACTTGCCACAGTTGAAGCAGATGCAGGTAAGCACACGGTAGCTAGACATCACGGTTCTCGAAGAAGGGTACATGATATCGAGAAAACCGGTGTGGAATATTTCCGCGTTCAGGTGGATATGACCAAAATGGCCAGGACAATCCTCGTAAGAGCGATTACAGGTTTCACACTTCCCCGACGAACTAATCGTTCCCATTCGTGGATCATTCAGTCCTCCCTTGACCGGCTTTCCATTTGCAGATATTTCCACACGAGTAATTCCATTGTCTTCTCCACCAATACCAGTGGTCACAGAATTCTTCACAACCTCATCCGGAGACAGAATTCCAAAGTCAATGCTTCGAATACGTCGTAAAGGCGCTACTGTTCCACACAGCGGAGGCATTTAAAATAGAAAAATCTATTCACAACGATTAGCATTCAATAGCGTCATAGAAACAAACGAGCATACTCTATGTCGAAACAGTAAAATTTAGTGAGAGAAAAAAAGCTTCCAACTGGAATTTGCTCATGCGTAATTTGTGGAAAAAAACAAGCATTCGCAAGAATGTTCAAAACACGCAGTTCCTTTTTAGTAATTACAACACTTTGATTATCCACTTGTATATTTATGCAATCTTTCTTTTTGCTGACTTTCATATTCAAGCAACCTTTTCAATCAATCCATTAGTTAATTACGACTCGCTCCCATACGCTTCCTTCGCTCGCTCTCACTCAACTTGAATGCGGCTACACTCTCCTCAACTCGCTTCTTATGCGCCTCTCTCATATCATCCGAAATATGCTGAATGGCAAACCCTTGATAGCTCTTCTTATAGACGACCTTCGAACACTCCGAAACAATATGAACAATGTTCACCTTGTCGATCCAACACTTAAACACGATTTGTATAGCGTCCACCACAATAAACGACTCATTGATAATATACGCGTCATTCTTCCTATGTGGATGGTCATAGAAGCACTGAACGCGCACTCGACTCGGACCATTCGGTCGGATATCCAAACAAAACTGACACACCTCGCTCGTTTCGTTCGCGTCGGTGCGTCTGAGCAGCTTTTCATTCCCCCCAATGGTCACTACAATATTGTATGGCAGCGGATCTTGCGGAGGAGAGCACTTCTCCATATCGAACTTGATGTCATGTGAATTGATGATCGACTCGCCTAACAGAAAGGCGCCTTGCGAAACATCATATAAAAACGTGTTCTGCTCGGTGATCTGGAGATTGGGATAGTGCTCGCGGATTTCGTTGCGAACAATGGGACAGGTGCACATGCCTCCAACAAAGAACAGAACGGTCTTCAATTTTCGATCCAACTGGTTCAGCAACGCATCGATTAACACTTCCGTCTTTTTCACGTATTTTAAAATATGCTTTTTGCTGATTTCGGTTGATATGGTCACTCCATTTAGGTAAATCATATTTTTCGTGTTGTTGATCATCTTCATGCATTCGCGCGTTTGTTCCAGTAATTCTTTCCCTGACAACTTCGGATTTGCCTCTTGCACGATTTCCTGACTCAAATAATAACAACCCGTGTATGCCTCGCAGTAGTGGTCGATCAAATCAAACTGCTTATCATGCATATGGATCGCCGAGCAATCGAACGTGTAGCCTCCGAAGTCGTACACGATGATGTTGAACTCACTGCCGAATTCTTGCATGGTTTTAAAGGGATTCTGCATCAAACCGTGGATGATCGAGTAGGCAGCGGCGATTGGTTCGGGATAGACCGAAATCACCTCAAATCCTCCCAGTTCGATCGAATTGATGAGCTGTTGAACACTATAACGACTGAATGTCGTAGGGTATGTAATCGATGCCTTCATATCCTTTACGCCCGTTATAGTAGATGCGCTGTCATACACGTATTTCACGATTTCAGCGATGATATCCATGGTGTAAAGAGAAGACGTCGTATACCCAAAATTAATAACCATCTTATAGTCGTCCTTTCCTAAATGTTATAAAGGTGTAATATACAAACCATTCGAATCGACTTTTGCAAGTTCTTCCTTAATATTGGAAATAAAATAGCCGTTCTGATGCATCCCTGGAATCATCCTATTTTTGCATATCGAGATTTCCGAAAACAAAATATCAGCTCCATTCGGTCGAACAAGGGTTAATCCGTTTTGGGTGCGGACACACGCCTTCACCGACGTAGCTCCGAAGTCAATGCCCGTTACACCATTGCATTTAATCCCAGAGTTATTCATTTTTTGTTTTTTCGTCAGTTAACTTGAATGTCTAGTATTGAGGAGGTGGCCTCCGTACTAGCAGGCCGTAGGAATGACTGCAAGCGTTGTGAGAGGGTCTTGGAGAACTATACTTTTTTACAGACAAAGAATGAGGGAGCCTCTGGGAAGAAGAGTGAATCTGTGCTTTCCTACTTCTTGCATACGGCGTCCAATATGCAGTTCCGAAAGTTATTCCATGTATCCAAAGATACATTGTCCCTTTTGATAAACGAGATTCAGAGTATTACAAAGTGTAGTCTCTTCTCTCAGAAAGATAATGGTGGGGATAATGGAGTGACCTATACGGCGCTTACGGTGTTGTTCCTGACTTCTTGTTTTTCCATAAAGTTTTTGTCTCTATTCAGCGGGTTGCATAGAACTGTCGTCAAATCCGTGATTACGCAGTACATCCGTGTGCTCAACGATATCAAGGATTATGTCATCTATTTCCCGGCACTGCAAAGCCAGCGTCCTCTAAAGGCCGACAGAAGGCGCAATTTTCCAGGGTCTGTCGGCGTGATTGGTAGCCGCGTGTTTTTCGCTTCTGACACGTAGACACCGTGCTCATTCCAGAGTTTTCCGTTCCTAACAACATTTTGAATACTCCACAAGGAAAAAAGATTCTGCTTGTTGTAGACAGTGCTGGCTGCTTCCTTCATTTGTACTGTAACAATGATTGCCATCAGAGCAACTGTTCTCTCTTCAACAAGTCCGCCTTGGGGTATACGCTTCGCTTCCACAAACGGTCCATTCTGAATCGTAGGCCTTGCCTTGTCCCTGTCACATCCAGGAGGGTCGTTTCTCATCGCAGACCGGTCGTTTCCCGAGCTCCCCTACATCCAAGTCCCTTTTTCCGAGCGGGAGATCCAAGAGTCCGAGTACCCCGACCTGCTTTCCAGCTACAACTACTGGCATCATCGTTCCCGATTCATCGCTCACCAGAGCATTCAGCGCTGGCTTTTCCGCTGTCCGCGCTGCCGTCGCGGCCTCTCCTTCTCCTCCGAGAAAAACCTCAGCTACGCCGTGGCGTCGCTCGTGCTCTGCCAGCTCTGCCAGCGCTTCCAGGACGTCTGGAAGGACGACGACGCGCAGATCCGCCCGCTGGTGCTCGCCGGGAAGGACGCGGAGCGCGAGGAGAGCGTGGACGCGGAGTGCTACGCCCTGTACGACGCGCTCTCCAGCGAGCCCACCTACGAGACGCGCTATTACAACCTGGAGAACACGGTGGTGCCGCGGCCGGGCGCGCGTGGCGGCGAGGAAGCGGACGAGCCGCTGCGCAGCAGCATTTACGAGAAGCTGAAGGTGGTGGCGAGGAGGCGTCGCGAGTTTCTGCTGAACCTGATCCAAAGCTATCCGCTGCGATCCGCGATCGAGTCCTGCTCTGTTTGTTGAACAAACACGCCACTACAACGAAAAGCGAGCAACGGAGCGGTTCCCACAGCCCGCCAGCAAGTACTTGGCCTTGTCTCCGAACGCCAGGCAGTGATACCCGTCCGCGTCCTCCGCGCATTCCCAGACCTTCGTCCACGCCTTGCTCTCCCACACGCTCACCGCGTCGCTTCCCACGCCCAGATAGCACCCCGCGAAATCGAACTGCAGCGCCCTCACCGCGGACCCGACCTCCCACTCCTTCACGCACTCTCCGTTCCGCAGATCCCACACGCGCACCTTGCCGTCCTCGCCTCCGCTCGCCATCGTGTATCCGTTCTCGCTGAACGCCACCGCCTGCACCGCCCTCGCCGGCTCTCCCGCCTCGCCGAAGCTCGCCACGCAGCTCTGCGTCTTCATGTCCCAGACCTGCACCACGCCCTCGCGCGTCCCGGTCGCCAGGATCAGCCCATCGGGGTGGAACTCCGCGGTCTCCAGCGCGCTCTTCTCTACGCCTCGCTCGCCGCTCGCTCTCCTACCGCTCCGCACCGTCTGCACCAGCCGCGCCGCCGCCAGATCGTAGAACGCCCACAGCCCGTCGCGCCCGCAGGACACGAAGAACTCCCCGGTGGGCTGCAGCGCGAGCCCGGTCACCTCCTCCGAGTGCGCGCGCAGGATCGTCGGCCGCTCCTCTACCCTCAAACCCCGATCACGCGCCCACCTCCGCTCCACACGCGCACCGTGCGGTCCAGCGACCCCGACACCACGACGCGGGCACTGCCCGACTCCACCAGCAAGGCCGAGCTCACCGGCTTCGCGTGGCCTTCGAAGCGACGCTCCACGCGCTGCGCTGAGGCGTCGTACAGAAGCACCTGACCGTCGTCGCCGCCGCTCAGAACAAGGTCCGGGCTCACCGCGGAGATCCGCAGCGCGTTCACGCGGGGATGCGCCGTTTTGTGCGCGGAGTAGGTCGATTGCAGAGACCACTTGCTGATGTCCTCCGAGGTCGCCAGGTCGGAGGGGATCACGCGCTTGGGACGCGTTTTGAAGCTCTCCTTGGCACGACGCGTCATTTTGGAGAGCATTTCGTCGCTGATCTTCGATTCCTGCGCGTGATCAAAACCCGATCGCTGCCTACTTCCACTTCCATTTTGGGGCCTTCGGGCACCGACACGGCCGCCGATTCCACGCTGAAAAGTCATTAGGGAGGCTGCGAGTGTACCTGGCCAGAGCGGCGCGCGCTTCGTCGCGCTCCTTGATCAGACGGGCGATCACGCGGCACGCGGCTTCGTGCTGGTACAAAGCCTGGCTAAGCTCCTGACGAACCGCTTGGAGGTGCTTTTTGAGCGTGAACGACTCGAGCATCATGCTGTCCCACTCGTTCTGCAGAGAGACGAGCAGACCAGGAATGCTGGTCGCCGGCGTGGGTTTGGGCTTTACTAAGGGCTGAGCTAATGAGGAAGACAAGGTCTCCAAAAACTCACTCTTTACATCGATCAGATCGCTGAGGTCGAGCTCCTCTCCAGTAATCGGGCACTTCCCCTCGGCTTCAATATACCTAGCACATGAACACTCTTTGCGCAAAATCCTACTTTGTAATGAGGCTTTTCTCATAAATATATCCCGTCTTTTTCGAAACGACAGGCTCGTGAGGCACTTCTCCGGAAACTAGGCAAAATGAGAACAAAGGTCCCCCTTCACGCAAAGCAAGCCCACAGCGAACAAGCCCTACTTGCACAAAACATTGTGTCGAATGGAAGCACAACAGTAACGAATTTCTGGTTTGAAAGTTTGATCCCCTCCGAAAACCGATTTTCCAACAAACAGCACAGCATCAAAGCAATTCAGAACCGTTCCCAACTACATCGCCCACTCCGGGAAGACTCTCCAATCATATCCGATGACCGCAGGGAAGATCGTGAAATTATTAATCTCAAACGCGATGATGCACACCACCGACAGACACAATCCGCTGAGAAGCAGATCCAGAGTGGTGAACGTGTTACTGGTATAGGCGATCAAGTTGGGCGGCGTCGACGAGGGCAGCAAAAACGCACAGGAGCAGCAGCACACGACCGGGAACAGCAGCACGAGCGGGTTGATCTGGCTCGACGTCGCCACGCCGATCACGACGGGGATCATAATGCTGGCGCAGGCGGTATTGGAGGTGAAAATGCCGACGATCACCATGATCACTTCGATCAGGAACGTCGTGAGGAACTACCCAACACGCCGTCTCGACGCCCTTACCACGTTCAGACCGCCCAGCCGGCTCATCTTCGACCCGATCCACGTCGCCAGCCCGCTCTGCTCCGCCCCCGCGGCCAGCGCGAAGCCGCCGCCGAACAGAAGCACCAGATCCCAGGGGAGTTTCTTCGCGGTGCCCCACGTCATGATGAATTCTACGTGGAAACAGGGAAACGGAGGTACCCTCGTCCTTGGATTCCACCTTCTCCCCGCGGAGCGTCTTGCGCGAGGGGATGAAGAAGAGGAGCAGAGCGACGGTCATGCCCACGGTGCCGTCGGAAATGCCGGCCGTCGAGGGGAACAGATTGCTCCAGCCTAGGGAGGAAACGGAGAAACGGGGAACCTGGGATGGAGAAGCTGTCTCCGAAGTTGAGGTCGACGCGGAAGAGCCAGAGGAGGGAGAGAAGGACGAATCCGAAGGCGACGACGTACTCTTCGTATTTCATTTTGCCGAGTTTTTTGTATCTACGAGAGAGATAATTTAAAAAAACAAGTGAAAAACTCTTCGACGCAGAAGGATTTATCGATGCTGAACTGCGAGGGCGCGGGGCAGAAATAGAAGAGCATCACCCACGCGCAGAGCAGCAGCACGATGCTCACTACGGCTCACACCTCGCGCGAACGGGCACTGGGCAGCGTGGAGATGAGCCAGTTGGAGAAGGAGATCACCGGGACGCCGGGCTTGTCTCCGAAGCGGTCGTTGAACATCTGCGCGAAGATCATGTTCGGCGGGGAGGAGATGAGCGTGGGGATTCCGCCGATGGAGGTGGAGAACGCGATGCCCAGGAAAATGGACTTCGCGAAGCCCTTCACTTTCTTCTCGCCGAAGCGCTTGTTCAGCGACTCCACCAGCGCGTTGCAGTTCGCCACCATCATCAGCGCCGCCGCCGTGTTGCTCACGAAAATGGAGAGCACCGCGCCGGTGCACATGATGCCCAGCAGCATGGAGCGGGGACGCGTGAAGAGGCGCATGATGCAGAGTGCGATGCGCATGTGCAGGTTCCATTTCTCCATCGCCAGGGACATCAAAAAGCCCGCGAAGAACAAAAAGATCACTGCAAATCACGCTCAGCGCGGAGAACTACCGTCGTTGAAGTACTGCGTGGAGACCGTCGAGGCGGGGAGGATGTTGAGGAACGGGAAGAGAATCACCGGGAGCAACGCCGTCACCGACAGCGGGATGATCTCGCTGATCCACAACGTCGCTGCATGTTAGGCGGGATCGAGAGAGGAGGGACCCATGATCAGGAGAACGCCGGCACAACGCTGAACGGAGACGTTCGTTGGGTCTAAAGGACAGCACATGACGATGATGGAGATCAGCAGCCCGATGAAGGCGCCGATCGACGACCGGGACGTCAAGCGCTTCACAAAGGGGATTCCAGGAATCTCCGCAGCTGGATGTGAGCCAAGCGGCAGGATCTACGAATCGAGGCAGTCGTCAGGGATTTCTGCAAATGGTAGGAAGACTTTGTGTGGCCTTGCGTGTTCATGCGAGAAGCACTGATAATCGCCACGGGATCGTGATCATTAAACAAAGGATCTTCTCCAAGAATGGTAGACTGGCGGCCTGCCGCTCCGTAAAAACTGCTATCCATCACTCATCACACTTTCGAAAACCTTGTTGCCTTGCTAGAGGCTCTAGAGTAAATGTGAATTGTCTAACGTTTAGACGGAGGGGGGACACATACATCGACATCCTTTTTGGGGATGGTGGTCACTTGAATTACAGGAATGTCGCTACGCATATCAGAGCTTGTACTTTCCTCTGGGATGGTTGGTAGAACCTCGCTAAGCATCATATCTGGCCAATTAGACATACTCGTCTTCCCGTAAGGTTGGCAGCTCAATAGCCTTCTAAACAAAATTCAATCACCACAAGGGCTACCTTCTCCGAATCGTTGATCGGATCGCTCATCGTTCTTCACAATACCTTGAAGTTGTGAATAAATCAATCCGGAAAAAACGCCAAAAATTCCTCCTTCTTTTCAACTTTTGGGTGATCGATTTTTCCTCATCCAATTTATCACCAATGACTTAGATTCTTCCGTAATGGTGTGTTTTACCTTTTGTACGTGCATAAATATTTCGTCAGAACGATCAAACATATTTTCTTCATGAAAAAGGCACATTGTTTTCTTTTAACTATGTTGGAGGATGGAATGGAGAGTAGAAGTAAATCGATTCCTCACACTCTTCACTTTCGTATTCTCCATTCCTTCCTTCCTTCCTTCCTTCCTCTTATTCACACCCTGAAGTGTTCACTGCAAGGAGTGTATCCTTCCGATTTCAGTGGACACACTGGATGGTATCTCCTTGTGTTCTTTTCCTGAGCTCCTTGGCAATCTTCCCTAATCAAAGTTGGGTCAATATGATTTATCCCCACTCCAATTCATTCACTTCATTTCATATTCCGCAGGATCGTTCAGCCACAGAACTGTAACTATCTATCTCTGAGATGGACAGAAGCAGAGGTAGCGTGTTTCCATAACTGGGAAGCGGAATATTAAATCGAATCATTATCTCGTATTTAACGAGACATAGAAGCCATAGTCAAGAATTAGAGAAACAGATATTGAACATACTCAACAGATGGGAATGAAGTACTATTTTAAAACTGTATTTGCATAACCGAATGTAATACAAACAGTTCGTAGCATCCAATTTTTAAATGCATAGTCTATTTCATTGAAGATTTAAGCCATTAACTTCTTGAACACCAGAAACTCGGATTACTATACTTATTTTGTTTTATACAGGATATCAAATCATTATTTTATCTACTAGAAAACCAAAAGAAGCAATGGATCCTGATGTCCATTATAGCCTGGTATTCCGTAATTTTAAAAGACCGAAGGAAAGTACTTTCTGAATTCATTCATCTGATTCTAAGTACCTATCGAAATATTGCTCGCATACTCCAAAAATCAAAATGGTTTGCAAACAAACAGTCAAAATAGTACACAGGGAATCAATGAGAATGTTCCGTAAACAACAGATACGGAATCAATACACCAATCAGGATAAAACCGACCTGAACAAACCCAACATGCGATCCTATCGATGGAAGAATGTGCATCAGCGACACATGAAGGAACGTGCCAGCGCTAAATGCGAACGCATAGCCCAGTAGAGACGAGGGAATGTAAGAGGATGAGAACAGAACGAGAATAGACGAGAAAATGGTGGAAAGAGGCGTTGCCGCAGAGAACCAGCAAATATACCGTAGCGCTACAATCACAACAAGCAAGCAAGAAAACCCTGTTTGTAGGAGATATGGAGTTGGCGGATGAAAATGCCCACACCCAGAGCTGCAGAGATCTTGTGAAGCAGAATCGCCCAGAAAATGGTTTGGATCACATCCACGTTCGCTGAGATCACACTTGAGCCCACGACGAGACCGTCGAAGAGGGAGTGCAGACACAGGCCATACACAGAGGATCGCAGCTTCTTGATACTCATTTCAGTAATGTTGACCACAACCTCTTCTTTCACTCCATCGAGATGTTCTTCGTTGCTCTCCTCGTTACAACCATGGTCATGATCCTTGTGAGAGAACGAATCAGCTAACATCATAACAACAAAACCTAATACAATTGCCAAACCTATATTCTTCGACTCTAAATGCTCAGAATTCCCGCTTGCTCCTCCTTCCGCTGCTAGACACTCACATCCACGTAAAATGGCTTCTGGAACAACAACAATGAAACTAGTCCCCAGCATCAGTCCAACTCCGATCAAGGAAATTATTTTGGAAGTATTCTTCGACATGTGAACAAGCAGCGGTAGAGATGTCGCCAATAGTGTTGCACCAAATAATAGAGAAGAATAGAAGACTACAAAAAGAAAAGATGAGCCCATTGAAAAAAGGAATGCATAATCCTTAACAGTACATAAAAACAAGAAATGGAGGCGTACGCAGAGTTTTCAAAGTTTTCCCTCCATCAACACCTTTTAACATAAGTGCTCATTTTGTGTAAATGGTATTGTAATTCGGTGAGGTATTCAATTCTAGGATTCTATCAACTCGCTACTAAATGAGATTTTTGGGTCGGTGGCAATTCAACCGCAAAAGGTGACCGAAATGTTTGATATGTTTGTTCGCTGAACGTGTAGTCAGATTCCAACGATTCCAGACAAGAGTCGACCTCTTCGACCCGTGATCGCAACCAACCGACAGACGCAAATTCCCTCTCAACCATATTCCACGAACACGAAGGATGGTCCCTCTATTGAAGAGGAAGTCGAAAGTCTCTTTCGCCCATCGCAGGAATCAGGAGATTATCAAGCAACTCAAACAAATGAAGGCGTATATCAGGATTATGATGTGTATCATGATCGTAATAATAGTACTAATCATGTTAGAAGAGAAAACAATGCATATCATACAAACAACACATACAACACGAATCGAACTCAACCAATGAAACCAATCAACCAAAATGCTTATCCTCCTTTCCACACTCAATACACCGATTTGGTGCGTGTTCACGACGTTCTCGACTCCATGTACTGGAAGATCATTCCATACGACTATTTCAACCGCATCCAGTCCGCTGTTTGCGACGCCATTCTCCACTCCTCCGAAAACATCGTCGTCTCTGCCCCCACCGTACTCTTCTCCCCTTCTCTCCTTTTCTCTCCAGGGTTGCGGTAAAACAGTTCTGTTGGAACTCGCCGTGCTAAAACTGCACCACGAATGGATTACTGACCCCTCGACCTCCCCTTCGGCTAGCTTTCCTTATAGTATTGTCTATGTCTGCCCCACGAAAGCACTCTGCAATGAGATCTTCACGAAATGGAGCAGCACGTTCGCTTCGCTCGGCCTCAAATGCGTGGTAAGACACGATCGATCGCTGTGATGTAGGAAGTCACAGGAGACACAGACACTGTCGTCACGCGTTTGCGTTTCCTCGAAACGATTCACTGTAGAGCTGCACAAACAACTCGCTTCCTTTCACATTATTTTCACGACTCCCGAAAAGCTAGAGATTCTTTCTCGACGGTGGAGTGCTCCGTTCGGCGATGACTCCTTCGTGGAGCGACTGCGACTCCTCATGATCGATGAAATCCATCTCCTCAATGAACCTCGAGGAGCCAATATCGAAACGATCATCTCGAGACTTCGAAGTAATCCTAGACTTGAGAAATCATGTAGTGAGGAGTGTGCTGCGAGGCGTTCCTTCCCCGATCCGACTCGTCACGCTCTCTGCGACGTTTCCGAACAGCGAGGATGTGGCGCAGTGGCTCCACGCCAAGCATTTCTCGTTCGATTCGAGCTATCGTCCCGTTCCCATCGAGCGCATCGTGATCGGGTATGAGAATCACAACCAGCGCAATCCGTTCCTCTTCGAGGTTCGATCGGTTCGTGGGCTCAAATGTAGAAATATCTCAATTACAAGTACAACTCCCATCGCGTGCGTTCTTCGTAGAGTCTTCAACGTTATTCAGCAATACTCGCACAACAAACCCGTGATGGTATTCTCTTCCACACGCAAAGGCTGCATGTATGCTTTGCCTTGGTTTTTATAATTCATTCCAGCTCGCTCGCCAATCAGCTCGTCGCTGACTACACGCAGCACAAAATCTTCCTGCCCATCGAAATGCAGCAAGAGTGAACCGATCGTTCCCCTTCTTCCTTCCAGAATCCTCCAATACACGCATCGAATCCAAGACACCTCGCTCCGCGAATGGCTCAAATACGGCATCGCCATCCACACAGCAGGACTTTGTTCCTCTCGTTCTCTCCAATCCATCACCCATAGCCCCGCAAGATCGAAATCTCGTCGAGACGCTCTTCGAGAATGGCCTCATTCAGGTGGTTTGCACGACCTCCACGCTCGCTTTGGGCGTGAATCTCCCCGTGTATCTCGTGATTATCAAGGGGACCGTGCAGTGGAAAGGCGGAGGTCGCGGGTACGAAGAGATCGACAATGCGATGCTTCAGCAAATGGTAATGGAGACGGAAGGAGGGTCGAGGCTAGATTGGAAGAGCCGGAAGACCGCAGTTTAACGAGAAGGGAGTGGCTGTGATTCTCACGAGTACCGATCGAGTGAGCAAGTGAGAGAGAAAGAAGTGGATCGATGAATAGATACCAGAACGAATCGGAGATTCTGGGCTGCATCGAGTCTAATCTGACCGAGAATATCATCGAGTGTATCAACAACGAGATCGTGCTCCGCTCCATCACCAACCAGAAAACTCTCTTTCAATGGCTGGCTGGCACTTTCTATTATGTCCGAGTGCACAAGAACCCACGACACTACCACATCGTTCCTAGCCCCATGCCCCAATCCATCCAGCAAACACACGAATACATCGACAAGCAGCTCCAAGAGCTTCTGGTCCACTACATCACGCTTCTCTCCGAGAACGGTTTGCCTCCACGCTGCCTCTCCATTAGATCTGCTTCTCATCGATTCCCATCAGACGTATTGCTCCAAAATCGGAGGACTGCTCATGCAGAAGTACTACTTAAAGTTCCACACGGCCCTCGTCATTCTCAACATCGCCTCTGTGACCTCCGAAGAGGAGCTTCTCCCACACATCGCCAAGAGCGCGGTGCGCTTTCTTCTCACGCTATCAGGCCTAGGAATTCGAAGAATACCCCATCAAACAAGGCCAGAAAACCTTTCTCAACTCCGTCTGGTCCAAACTGGGCAAATACCACTACAAAGGCAAGGTCAAGGAGACGTACCAGAAAGTCGTGTCTCTCCTCATGGTTCCTTCCATTCCTTTTCTCTCTCACTCTTCAGAGCGTTCTCGGCGGAATTCGAATCGAAGACATGTCCATGATGTTTGAATCCGACTCCGTACCCTTCTCTCCACCCTCCTTTCTCCCAGATCATCCAGACTTCCACTCGCATCTGCCGCGCCATCGTCTTCTACTTCTCCCAGCGCCCTTCCTTCCCCCCCGACGTCCGCGAAGGCGACCTTCTCGTCTGGGTCCTCTCTCTCCTCCGCGCGCTCCAGCAGCGCACCTGGGGCGACGGCAGCCGCGCGCTCCTCCAGCTCGTACGCTTCTGCTATCTCTCTCCAGCAGGATGGCGTGGGTCCCACGGCGCTGCACAACCTCAGCCAGCGCGGCATCCACGATCTACCCAGCGTGGCCGCCACGCCCACCGCGCTGGTAGGCACAGCGGAGCGCTGCGATGTAGCTCGACTCCATAATCGGCCGTCGCATCGGCGCGCAGATCAAGCGGCAGATCGAGGGGCTGCGCCGCATGGAGCTGCGCGTGGCGGTGGTAGGGAGCGAGGCCGGGTGGAGAATAGACGTCGCCGTGCAGCGTGGAAGTGGTGGTGGAGGCCGCGAGCCCCGCAGCCGTCGCGGCCGTCGCGGCGACGCCTGCCCACGCGTTCGGACTGGGCGTGTATTCGCTGCTTCTGCTCTCCGAGGAGGGGCACGTGCTGCTCTATCGGCAGATCAGTCAGCCCGAGACGGTGTCCTTCGCGGGACGCGCCGCGCTGCGGAGGCTGCGCGCGATTCTGCTGCACAACCAGTGGATCGGAGTGGACTCCACCGTGGAAGTGACCGTGGAGCAGCCGGCCGCGCAGCTGCCAGCAGCGCAGCAGGGACGGTCGGAGGGGTCGACCGCGCAGCGAGCGAGCCAGCACGCGCAGAAAACCAGCCAGCCGGGAGAGAACGCGAGCACAGCGCACTGCCAATCCAGCCAAGCAACGCAGACATCGAACCCTTCGCTCCCAAAGTCCGCTTCCCTTTCACAGAAAACGAGTCCCTATTTCACCCACACCTTTCAAAGCCCTTCCAATGCGCCCAAACTCCCCTCCAACGATGAATCGCAGGACCTGCTCGCCTTCATCTCCTGGGAAGACGCCACACCCAGCGCTCCTCCACCGCCCAAAGCGAAAGCGGACGATCGCAAGCGCCCTCCTTCCCTCGCCCAGCCCTCCGCCAAGCGAGCCGAAACCGTCCAGATGGAGTCGTTCCTCAACAGCCTCTTTTCCTAGCCCAGCTGCGTGTTTGTTACAAACAGAGCAAAAGAGCGTGCGATTAAAAACTACCAGGGGAGGGGGATTGCGGATCGGATCGTTCCGAGTAATCAGAATCGTCCGTCCCACGCTCATCCGCCCCGCCGCCATCTTCCCAAAACTGCTCCACCCGGTCGTGAGCAACACGTCGGACCGGGAGAGCAAGTAGTTGTCCAGAATCGCGCGCTGGGTCGCAGGATCGTCGTTGCGATAGGACGACGCCATGGTGTGCTTCATGGGCAGATCCTTCACACTGAACGAAACGTCGGGAAACCGTTGAGAAAACATCTGCTTCACATTCACAGAATCCGTGCTGATAAACCAAATCGGCTTTAAATTGGTCCGATTGGAGAAATACTTTGCGTAGTACACGAAGGTCTCAACGTCCTTTTCAAACAGAAACTTGCAGTTGTCCAGAAAAACTCCATTTCCCATACCAATACGAATCTGAAGACCGATCACCCACCGATTCTCCCAGCTGCTCGAAATGGAGTCTAGCTTCGCTTGCAATGGCTTTGTCAACGTAAAGAAGTTCAAAAGACGGTAGTACACCTCGTCGCCGATTGCGGCGAAGTCTCCCCGAGCGGCAGTACGAACCAAACCAGAAGACACGAAGGTGTTGTAATAGAAGTCGTTCTTTACAACAGAAAGGTAGATCGGACAGTTCGTTATCACGTTGATGTTTCCCCCGCCGTACACGGAATCGATATCTCCATTGATCAGAGAAGGAACATCCACGCAGCGGTGCCATACCCTGAGTTTCGAACCACTAACAGGACCATCTGGCTGTCAGAAAGCCGATATCACCTACCCGTTAGATGATGATTTACCAGAGGCAAATCAAAATAGGAATCAAAGCTTCTCCAGTCGGTAACTACAAATAAGGCGCTTTTAATCCCCTACGCTTAAAGCCTCGGTTGGTGAGCATTGCTATAAGAAGGCTGGATACAAGACCGTCGATTTTGTTTGCAAGCCCAGAATACGTCGTAGAGTAGAGAACATAATGGTTTTCCTTGGTTGCTGTCAGATTAGCTTGGTACAGACTGTATTGCTTCTTGAAATTTTCCCACCTCAGATCTTGAAGCTGTGGGGACAGCTTCGTTTGTTGAAAATAGGAAAAATGGTCAACCAAAGGAGTAAACTTACTAGAATTAATGAAGGACATGTACACATTGAGCAACGCACACAGGAAAACAAATGTGGCAAGAGTACAACTCAATTGGTTACCACGAAACCATCTGTAGAGAAACGCATCGCTCTTCAAATTCATATCATCTGACTCATTAGAAGAGCATAACGGTATAGACAATCTCATGAATTGGAGATTATGCACTATTTCCCATGTACGTAAATGATTGGTTCGTGAATCATGACTATTCAGTTTCTTAAAGATATATTCTTTGGTATATAGCTTGGATATATATTACTCAAAATGAGGAATGTACCGTGCTTCTACATATATATCGCGCTGAGACCCAGCTGGTCCATTTCCTCAAACAGCGCGTATAACGTGGCGATAGGAGATTATTATTATTATTATTATTATTATTATCCAACGCGCACGTCCTCCAATTTAGAAAACGTTACGCCTTATTTAAAGGATTTCTTTGGCATGCAATAGATGAACGACAAAACGGTTCGATTGTACTCTTTTGATCGTTTTGATAAATCTACCGGTATTTATTACCTAAAATGCATTTGCGGAGCCATCACACCTCTACGGCCAGGAGATATGAACGCTCTCACCGTTACGCTCAAGTGTAGTGGGTGCTATCTAACATATTACGTGAAAATGTCATGTGAGCCGTGATCTTCTCTCTCACACCAAGATATGGACATTGGAATTGCAAAGTTCTATCTGAAACAATACGATGATGCCGTCTCGTTCGAAATTGAGAGCTGCTTTACACCTAGTTACTATCTCTTGGAGTTAGAATCCCAAGAAAATGATTCTTCGGTTCGTAGAGACGTTGAATATAACGTGTATGAAGCACTACATCAGAAATATCGCTCTCTCACAACTGAAGAGCAAAAGGCAGCTTGCATCAAGAAGTTTCATGCTCTATTTCCGACAACGCGCTATTGCATAAATGATGACGCAAAGCAACATCCTGACTTGGACAGTTTTGAAGAGTATCTAAACCAGCGATTATCGACCCTCCAAACTCTCTGTCGAAACATAGAAAGTGAGAAATGTTAGTATCCACCTTGTTTCAGCAACTCACACCATACATCGAACAAACAACCATCATTATAGCAAATGAAGACGATATGGTACACTCCATTTAATTTGATGATCCTTTTTCTTCTGTCGAATCGCCTGCTGCAGATTCCTCCTTAAGTCTTCTTTGAACCTCAGCCTCGATGTATTCCTGGTGTCTCTTCTACAGAATAAAAGCGAATTCCGGCAACTACTCTAGCATTCTCGATATACCTTTCCTGGTACCGATATCCTAAATACGCGAACACCAGACCGCCTGTAGCCATGAAAAGAGCCTTTTTCCCATTCATCGCCAATCCGTCGTAATTCCAACAAACAAAAAAATCTGATCTCATATCCAAGCTTGTAGGCAGCACCATCGGCGCATCATAAATGGCTCTACACATCAAGCTCCATCCCTTCCCCCACGATCGCAGATAATAGAACACATAGCTCGCCATGAGCGCGAGCTGCGATATCTGCGACAGAATGATCGCCAGTCCCGCGAAATGGCTGCTGATGAATCCGTACGACCCGTTCAGCTCCTTCCAGCTGCTCATCCAGAAGAAGAACACGAGCAGCTTGGACACGAACAGACTGAACACGAAGTGTGAAGTGAACGACTCGATTTCACCCGTCTAGTTCGCACCTTTTCTCTGTCTCTACTCGGTTCTTTTGGAACATGTGCAGCTGCGGGAGGATCGCCACGCCCTCCAGGTACATCGACGCTGCCCAACAGAAGTCGAAGAAACCGCGGCCACTGCGCTGGGGACGCACGATCTACGGTGGAAAAGGGGAAACGGGGAAACCAGAGCGAGAATGAGGGAGGGAACGATGAGGAGAAGAGCGGTGTAGCGTTTGTCGACGTATTGCTGACCCCAGGTGTCCTGCGAGTGAGAGAGAAGAGAAGGGAGAGGAAACGTGGTGCATATTGTGAGTGTACTTGAAGGGACCCATGATTAAGTAGATGTTGGCCATGATCACCAAGAGACTGAATCCCTCTACCAGCTGGTAGAACCAATCTCCCGATCTAGAATAGAAGGAAATAGAGCAGCGAGTACTTATCGTAAGGGAGATAGGCTTGCGTAAAGCAAATGGCAATGAGACGGAGAACGTAGACCACAAGGAAGCACTGCAAAGACTTCAGAGAGACGCCTGCCACAGATTTAGAATAGAAAGATTTCACCAGAACAAGGGTAAAGCCGAAGCAGCTAACAATGCTGCCAAGAGTCTGGGCGTTATTGCAAATGCTGAGTGCATACAAGGAGGAATGAAAAATCACCATCAGAGAAGAAATGGTAGATAAACATAACGAACACAGCAAAGGAACACCAGAGAATCACATTGGAACGATTCGCCTTGAGGTATTTCTTGTAATCGCTAAACGTCACCTGCTCAACCAATCACCCACAACTTACGCAGCTTTCGAGATAATTTTTGCATCATTGGGCTGGTACCTACGAGTGACAAAGTGTCCAAACGCCTACACCAATAATTCACAACGACAAGAAAAGGAATAATTGGCAAAAGTTGAGCCTATTTCAGCAAATGTAGTTTGAATTTGGAAACGAAATTATAGGATGGATGAGCTATTCTCTAGAAGGCTATGAAGCAATCCTGTTTACAAACAAACAAGCATGTAAGGCACAAACTAAAACAATGAGAACCACTAGCGGGTAGTGTTACATACTATACTCCTCTACCTACAGTTAAAAACTCGGAATATAGCTACTTTCTTCTTATAGGCATCAACCTTTGGATCTTTCTTCTCGGTTTTTGATTTCGCCTTTTTGATCGCTTCCAACTGCTTCTCTCTCTCCTTCCTGGCCGCTTCCAGAGCTACTTGCTCAAGTGAATCGGCAAGTTGGTTTCCTTGAATCTACGAATCACCAAATAAGCAAAGACTGCACATTTTGATTGTTAATTACGTCGCTCATCTACGAGTCATCACTTCACACTGCCCAAACCGTTTTCGTAGCCTTCGACTCCACATTCAGAGGCTGCAAGCTATCGACTGAAAACTCAGATTCCCATCGACTCTCGTTTCTCTTCATGTTGAAGTAGAACGTCTTTCCATCGTCCGTTTGGTGTTTTGTCCAGATGCCCATTCCCGGCTCCGCATCCAAGAACATAGGAGAGCTCATTCCAAACTCTTAGTGAAACAAACACCGAACGCTCATTTCTTTCCCTTCTTCGTCTTAATCGCACTATCCAGCGTGGGGAACTTATCAAAATTCAGCACGCTCGCCTCCTTTATCACCGGCTTTCTCACTTCATTCAATGTGGATCCGGCCTGTTGCAGCAGCAATTCGATTTCTTGGCTGCGATCTACGTCTGACGTTCTCCACCCTCCCTCACTCTCCAGTGTCTGGGACGCGCCTGCTTTACCAGGCTGGTTTTTGGCGGGCTTTTGATTTTTGGCGGGCTGCGCGGGATGTGGCGGCTGGGCAGGTTTGGGCTCCGGTCTGGAGAGGACGATGGGCTGCACGTTCTTGACGGGGACGGGGTTCCATGTGCGCTTGGGGGGCGTGACATCGAGAGGGAGAAGAGTGGACGGGTTTAGAACCACCTTTTTGCCGGTGGGCTTCGCGACGGGGAGCTTCACCTTCGCGTTCTCCTTCTGTCCCTTCTGCTCCTTCTGCTCGTTCTGGATCTCCTTCAGGGAGATCGCCTGCACGGGCTTCGTGCTCCAACCCGTGAATTTCCTCACCGGCTTGGCGGGCTCCGAGGGTTCAACGGGCTCGGCGGGTTTGGAGGGTTCCGAGGGCTCAATGGGCTTGGGGGGAGCGGAGGGTTCTGCGGGTTTAGCAGGCTCAATGGGCTTGGGGGGAGCGGAGGGCTCAATGGGCTTGGAGGGAGCGGAGGGCTCAATGGGCTTGGCTTTGGGCTTGAGCTCTGGTTTGGGCTGTGGCTTGATTTCTGGTTTGGGCTGTGGCTTGAGCTCTGGTTTGGGTTCTGGCTTGAGCTCTGGTTTGGGCTGTGGCTTGATTTCTGGTTTGGGTTCTGGCTTGGGTTCTGGTTTGTTTTCTGCCTTATGTTCTGTCTTGATTTCTGGTTTGGGTTCTGGTTTAGGTTCTGGTTTAGGTCCTGTCTTGGGCTCCGGCTTAGGCTCCGGCTTAGGCTCCGGCTTAGGCTCCGGCTTGGACTCCGGCTTGGACTCTGTCTTAGGCTCCGGCTTAGGCTCCCCAGTGCCACTCTGCAGCCCCGCGGCGTTCTCCATGTCCGGGACAGGATATCGCCACTTCATGGGCGGCCAGACGATATCCGGCTACGCTCACACGCTCCCTCCTACCCTACCATCACCTGGAACGCCAGCTCGGTCTGCGGGAACCACGCGCTGAGCGTCCGCCACTCGTTCGACCAGTTGGTTCGCAGCTGGAGATGGTTGAAGAAGCAGCCGTTCTGGAACCAAATGCACATCCGGTAGTTGGGGAAGGGACCCTGCACCTTGTTGTACATGTCCACGTAGTACCACTGCAGCTGGTTCAGCTAGAATCGAAGCCGCTTGCCTGGCCTACCTTGTTATACAGCATCTCGCGGGAAGAAAAGGGAAGGCCTGGAGCGGACGTCTGGAGCGAGAGCGGCACGTTCTGCATGGGCTGCATAGGTTGCATGGATTGCATGGATTGCATGGATTGCATGGATTGCATTTGTTGCATGGGCTGCATTTGTTGCATTTGTTGCATTTGTTGCATTTGTTGCATGGATTGCATGGGCTGGGAGGAATACATTGGTTGCATGGGCTGCATAGGCTGCATTCCTGGAAGCGTCGGCGTCGGCGTCGGCTGTGGGGGCTTGCGTTGAGGTTGCTGCGACGGCATTCGCTTCATCGGCTGGGCCATTTGGGGGATCTGAGGGATCTGAGGGATCTGAGGGATCTGGGACATTTGGGACATTTGGGACATTTGGGACATAGGCGGCTGCTGTGTGGGCTCTGCAGACGGTACAGACTGGGCTGCTGGGGAAGAAGGGGTCTTGTCCCCAGGCTTGTCCCCAGGCTTGTCCTTGGTCAAAGGCTCCGCAGGCTCCGCAGGCTCTGCAGGCTCCGCAAGCTCTGCAGGTTTCACAGGCTCTGCAGGCTCTGCAGACTCGGTAGACTGGACGGGGGCTTCGTCCGAGTCTGGACGCGGCGTTGGAGGATGCGACGCGTATCGGATCTTCTGCTTCATCAACAAGTCCTTCTGCCGGTTCTTCAGCTCTTCGTGGTTCTCTTGCACCGAATCCAAAGCCTAAGATCACCAACCAAGTCAGTGCTTCCTACCAAATCTGATACAGGCTGCTTGGTCTGGGTAGAACTCATGCTAGTGTAGGCGTTGGCCACCAAAGATTGTTCGATTTCTTCCTAGAAATGAAATAGCGTGAGTAAAACAACGTTGTTAACGGGGGATTTGTGAGAGTTCGAATAGTAGGGACCTTTCTTATTTTCAGTTGCTATTTTTTGTTGCCACATCGCTTTTACCTTTCATCACAGGCTCAACAAATAACATACCTCATCCAATTGGTCAAAAGATAAAGAGATCGGCTCAAACGGCTCTTCCAATATCTACAATTTACAGAGTAAACGTTCTCATACATCCCTCTTTCCACTTAAGCACGGAGCAATGGATGTTGGCTGATACCAGCTCAACAAGTCATTGAGTGAATATCGAATATCTAAAAAATTATATTCTTCAAAGACTAAACACCTCGCTTCACATAGCGTTTGTTACCTGAGTTCGAAAATGTAGAATGTCCATAATAATTCTTTTTTCGATCTCCGACGGTACTCCATGCATTTGACTGCTCCTACCATTCTAAGAACTACAGTAAAACGTACACTGTTGCTCTCACTTCTTTGTAACTCAGTATTCATTGCTTAGAAGTCGTTCTATAGCTAAGTGAAACTCCTAGAAACCGAATACATTAACTTGCTCCTTATAAGAAACAATCTTGAAACAAGTGAAATAGGGTACAACAGAATAGAGCCTAGTCCCGCGGAACTTCATTCCTATTCCTTATTGTCATATTAGCTGTGTATTCCACTCGCCTGATGTATTCCCGAAAGATACCTAAAACGGAAAAGACAATTGAAACATTCCTAAAGAAGATACGATTGGCTGTTGGTATTGATTAACTGAAAGAAAAGATAGTGAATAGTACTCATTCTGAAGATAGAGTTGTATCTATTATAGAAGGAAAACAGCTATAACAAGCTTTTGTAGGACAGATTATCGAAATATTCACTTTGTACCCAAAATGCTTGAACTAGCAAGGGTTAATTGAAATAAATAGGGTGCATTTCTCAATAACTGTCCTGATTATAATTATTTCTCTGCTTTCTCTCCTATATTAGTTTTCTCCTTTCTTTGTGTCGTTTGGCGTAATGCTTTCCAGAACTCTGTATTCTGTGTCTAAGGGAGCCATGCGTGTAGCTCCTCTGGTTTCCCAAATCCCTGCCATGAACTATACAGTTGATATGAGAGTGCGAGAAGAGATGAAGATGGTATTTAATGGTTATTTCAGGCTCTTATTGCATAGCCTTGCTACAAGCTTTTTAGAATCTATCGTTATAACCCTGCCAAGGATTTAAAGCCCCATTATGAGAGCTATGTAATTGATCTCATGGAGTAAAAATGTAACTTTTTCTTTATTCGCAGTTGTGGAACCATGGTGTTGGATGCTCTGTTCAAGATCAAGAACGAGCAAGATCCTACTTTTGCATTTAGAAGGTGAGCGATTTGTATTCTTTTTTAGGGTAGATCGTGCCGTGAGGGTATTTGCGGTTCGTGTGCCATGAACATCAACGGAGAGAACGGCCTCGCGTGTCTTACAAAGATCCCTAAGAATACCGACGCCTGCACGGTGCGTCCTCTCCCCCACATGTTCGTCATCAAGGATCTCATCCCCGGTACGCCCTCCCTCTCCCTCCTAACGCTCAGATATGACGAACTTCTACGAGCAGTACGCTTCGATCAAGCCGTGGCTGCAGAAGAAGTCGGCTGTGAGCACGGACTACAAGGTGGAGAACCTGCAGTCGCACGAGGATCGTCTGCTTCTGGACGGTCTGTACGAGTGCATTCTCTGCGCCTGCTGCTCGACGTCGTGCCCGTCGTACTGGTGGCACGGCGATAAGTATCTGGGCCCGTCGATTCTGCAGCAAGCGTACCGATGGATCGCCGATTCGCGTGATGAGATGACGGAGGAGAGACTGAAGAGTCTGGACGATACGTACAAGCTGTATCGATGCCATGCGATTATGAACTGCACGCATGCTTGCCCCAAGAATCTCAATCCGGGAAGATCGATCCACAAGCTGAAGCATGCAATCCACCATATGCACTAAGTGTTTGACTTTCGTAATAATGATTCATTCCTTTTGGATTGTTTGTTGTATGGAGATTGTGGGAGAATTGCAGATAGCGATTTTTTGTGATAGTATAGATGTGAACCAACCTGATTGTGTGGGGATATCGATGCCATAGCGTGCCAGGCTCAAGAATCATGGTAATTCTTACGAAGATCATCCATGATACTGGATCCCCGCGATTATCGTAAGAACTGCAAAACATCATTGAATTCCCATTCAATGTTTGTACTCCGCTCCCTTTCACAGAAGACAGCCCCGTTTGCAGTCAATGGGCTGAAAACGATGTTGAGAAGAACCACTCCCGGTTCGTTACCTTTTGTGTATTTTGATGTCTAGCGATGCAGCAGATTGCTCCCGTTGTGTACACCAAGGAGCAGCGTCCCGTGCCCGAGGATTACCGTGTCCCCGATTACATGGAGAAAATCTACACTTGGTGCTATGTGAAGCCCAAGAACGTGAAGATGCTGGACCGCCAGTTGGTCGTCCAAGCCATTCTGTTTGGTTACTTCCAACCTCTGGCCAACATGGTTTGCGAGGAGCTGAAGCCCGGCCAGAAGCTTTTGCAATGCGGTAGCACCTACGGCAAGCTCGTTGCCACGGTGTCGAAGAAACTCGGTCCCACGGGTACCTACAACTGCTGCGATATCATGCCGATCCAGGTGGCGTCGTGCAACCGCAAAATGTCGCAGTATCCTTGCAACGGAGGTTGCATCTTGGAAGATGCCGCCACGCACCACCCTGAGGAAGACAAGGCCTACGACGCTGCGTACAGACATCCACACTCACGATCTAACGCGTAGACTGTCGTTCCTTCTGCTGCACGAAGTCCCTGATGACACGAAGTACAAGGTGATCAATCGAATCATGATGTCCGTGCCCGTGGGCGGAAAGGCCATCTTCATTGAGTACCACAAGCCTGCTTGGTACAGGTAGAAGCGATATGGCGTGTTTATGGATAGTCCGTGGAGATACATGATGCCCATCGTGTATTGGCTGCTGGAGCCGCTGGCGTTCCCCGTGTGGCATCACCAGATTACCGAGCTGGGAGATCCGGAGCTGGTGAAGAAGTTCAAGTGGCGAAAGGAATTGCGATTTATGGGTCTGTACCAGAAACTGGTGGGAGTGCGTGTTGAGGACTAAGCGTGCCTTTAGTGTGTTGTTTGTTTGATAAAGAAGGAGAAGGGAGATAGCTACTTCCTAATAAATACTATTTGTGATGAGTCTGTCATCTTTTGTTAGTGCAATAAACGAAGCTGGAAAGCACAAAGATAGGGATGCGATAAAGCAGGTGTTGAATGAAGTGAAAGCAAGGATTGTTTTGTCGGTCTAATATTGTAGATAAAACTCATCACAGAGTCTATTGATCTGAGTGAAATGTGTAGACTTTCCATAGTTGTCAAACTTATGGCGTAGGTCAGTTTTTCGAAAGTTATATATGCGTCGCCGTCTCTACGGTTCCCGAAGAGATTCCAAATGCCATTCAACTATATAGATCGTTCTGTAAGGAAGATCCGAATCAAGAGCGCACACTACTTGTAAAATCGCTGAACCTTCTCTACCTCCTGTGTTCAAATGATCTCCCTGCGTTCCACGCTGAAGTAATAGTGGTTGACAAATTGAACCTAGCTTGAGCTGCTTTCTAATATTGAAATGCTCAGCCCGCTTATTCAGTTCTCTATCGACGTGGAGGGCTATCTCACAACGGGTCGTTACAGCAAGCTTCAAGAATGTATGCAGCACCTCCCTGACGAGATGTTTTCGCATCTAATGCGATATCTGCTCGAGTCGATCCAAGAAGACATCGAAAGCTGTATCGAAGTGTCATTCCGAGAGATGTCTATCGATCAGTTCTCTACGATGATAAACTGGAAGGGTTCTGCAGACGAGCTGATTGAGCACGTGCAGAAGACGCACGGAGACCGCTGGGAAGTGCGCGACGGGATGATTTTCTTCCCAGTGAAGAAGGTAGAAGACGCGATGGAAGCGAAGAAAACGCTGGGAGATTTGATTGTGCAGTTGAATGATTTTGAAAAGATTTGACGTGTTTGTTAGAGACAGTGAAGGGACGGAGTGGGAGTGGAAAAGGGAAGTGCGTCATTCGCTCAGTAATCCGATGTGAAAGTCTTTTAGCAATAGAAACTAAGAGAATAGAATAAGTAAAGTGGTAATACAATAAGAGCAGTTCATTGTTTATTGTCATATATTTATCAATGCATTATTTTGTTGATTGTATCAGTTCCGTTTTTCATTTTAATGATGTTGATGGTTCTATTTGTTTAAGATGTGCAGGGATATATGAATAAATAGATGAAAGTGGATGGCTGGATTTCACTCATATTGAATAATAAGGAATGCATAGTATTAAAATTCAATAATGGAGTATTCATGAATCAAGGATTTGTCCTCAATGAGCAGAAAGTGTTGAAAGTGTTTGGAAATCATCAAATTGGTGCTATTTCATATAATGAAGAACAAGCCATTATAGTAGTAGAAGAAGGAATCGTGGATTTGGATCATGGAAGTCGATTTGAAGGATTGATATTGACAGAAAACAAGTTTGGAATTCCATTTGGATATGGTGAAATGTATGATGATAATGGATTCTTGGTGTACAAGGGCATAATGATCAATTGGAAACGATTTGGATATGGAACGAGTTATCATAATAATGTTTTGATTATATCTACATAAAAGCAACACAAACAATCATAAGAAAGAGGCATTAGAATTGTTTTCCTATCATTGTATGTAATCACTCGAGGATAATAAAAGGAATGAATTTATATGCACTAAACAAAAGAATACAATCACTTTCAAATTAGAATAAATATCTGCTATGGAGAAAAAGAAGGCAAGGTATAAGTAATGTGTCAAATAAGAATTAAACTGAGATAGAAGTAAATGTCATTTTTCTTTTATTATGGTCAACCATTTTTACAGTATTTTTATAGAAATAGTATAACATATTAGACATACCAAAAGAAAACAAAGATTCGAAGTATTTACTCAATGATTACGTTACAGGTAAAAAGAAGAAGATTTCGATTAACAAAGTTGAATATGAAGTGACTCTTTATCAAGGAGATCATTCTAGCGAATATTTGATTTGTGAAATGAAGAATAATAAAGTTGAAGGCCGTTGCCAATTATTTAATCGTGGAATTTTGAGTCTTGCTTGGGTAATTCAAAACGGTAAACGAGTTGGTGGAATAACAGAATATGAGAATGGCAAGGCATTACAAAAGGAAAGCTGGGATTCATTACTAAAAAAAGGAGATCGAAGACTGATCGAAAATACAAAAGGAAAATTAAAGATGAAAATACGGTATCGAATGGAAAAGGAGAAGAGGAAAGAAGAGAATAAGGAAAAGGAAAAGGAAAAGGAAAAGGAAAAGGAAAAGGAAAAGGAAAAGGAAAAGGAAAAGGAAAAGGAAAAGGAAAAGGAAAAGGAAAAGGAAAAGGAAAAGGAAACGCAAATAATGGGTAAAGAGGATGAAGCTGGAGAGAATAAGGAGATAAAGGAGGAGACAATAATATATCAAGGAGAATTTGACGAAGAAATGAATCGAGATGGTTATGGAATGGAATATGATATTGAAAATGGTAAAGAGAAAATTGAAGGATATTGGTCAAAAGACATATTGGTTCGCGTTATTCGTGAATTTGATGCTGATAATAACATAATGATCGAATACGACCAGAGTGATTATAATGATAATAGGGACGATAATAGTGATAAAGATACTGTGGAGTTATTGAACCGAGTTCCCATTTATATCGGGGGATACTGTATAAGCAATGGCATGATTATGCGACATGGAGTAGGATATTTGATTGATGAAGACAGTGGAACAGCAATTCGTGAAAGTGAATGGGATCATGGAAAAGAGAAGAAAGGCGGAGTAGATTTGTATGAAGGTTGGTATGTTGTTGGAATAAAAGAAAGTATTCGAAGTATATTGAAGAATGAAGAACCAGGAAAAATGACGATTAAGCCAACTGTTGATGTGCCTGCCAAACGAGTCGTGATAAACAATAGTACAGAGCTGATTGATATGGATTTGAAAGTAACAGATTTAGTGATCACATCAAATGCTTGTAATGACTTGAATGTATTGGATCTGAGCAAATACAAATGGTTACAATCAATAGATATCAGTAGTGACTGTTGTGGAACAGTGGAAACATTCAAGATCAGTAAATTACACCGATTGAAAACAATAAAAATCGGAAACAATTCATTTACCCAAGCAAAAAATAGTACTAGAGAAGATAAGTCGAAGTCATTCCACATATTGAATTGTGAATCATTGGAATCCATTCAAATTGGTCAATTCAGTTTCAGTGATTATGCTGGCGAATTTGAATTGAAGAATCTACCAAAATTACAATCCATTCAGATTGGTTCAATTGGAAGTGATTCACGCAATTTCTGGTATAGCTCGTTTGTGGTTCGAGGTATTGATATGATATTGAATATTTGAATGATGCATAGATCTTCCAAATCTACAATCTATTACATTAGGTTATTATGCATTCTATAATTCCTTATCAACTATAATTGAAAGTATTGAATGAATATAAAGGCATTATATATATAGATCTTCCATTGTTGCAATCCATTCAACTCGGTCAATATGCTCTTTGTGATAAAAATGATGAATCGAGTTCATTGACATTGCGAAGTTTGAATATAATAGTTTGATATTATGGAAAATAGATCTTCCGAATCTAACATCTATTACCAATTCTTATGGAGGATACAGTTTCTGTTATCCTCGTTCAGTGACATTGCAAAGTAATTTGGAGTGTCAAGTACTAATAGTATTTAGATATTCCAAATCTTCGAAATGTCAACCTCTCTAGTGGGTTCCAGTATGTTCGATCTATTTCCATTTCGAGTATTGTTTGATTATTATCATATCATTCGTATATGTTCCTTCTGTTCTTGCTAGTCTTGTTAAAATCAAGCAGTAATTATTATCAGGGATCGACTCGATTCGCACAGCAATCCATTAAAGTTCTGGAGTATTTCTATTGTTTGTTGGTAATACGATTATAAGTACTTTTGGTTTTCTTTCCTTATCTTATTTATTGCTCAATCCAGTTTTCACAATTAACTGATATTGTTTTTTGAATCGCTTTTTATACGTTGATCAAGTACGATTATCACTTATCATTATTATCACAGTAGTTAAATGATGATTTCTCATATACATATTTAACTTGTTACATTATTGATTGTGCTATTATAACCATTATGTATTATGGTGTTGTTAGTCCTTAAAAATAATTATGATATTATGTGCTTGTAAGAAATTAGTATACTAAGAAGTAGGGTCAAAATGAAACCAATAATATTAATAACTGATTGATATTCCAATCACACCTGTTATTATAGGATTGAGAATCATACAAGTCACAGCCAATCTATTTTATACTTTATTAAGCAGTTACTATCAATACTACTCATTAAAAAATACTGTAAAACCAATACAGACACACAGTGATGAATCATGAGAGTCAGTAATATAATCAGTTATCATCACGGTATTTGGGTTATTATGAAGTCGATCAATAGTCATTGATTTCCTTAAAAAAGCATTCTATATTCCACATCTCCAATAATAAGTTAAAAACAACGATGTATATGAGTGTGTTTAATATTCATAATTCGATAATACACTGCTAAATTACTTTGATATAACAGTGTAAACTTATAAATATTGAATCTCAGCCTTCTCCTGTAACGACATCTACTACCACATTAACCATTTATGCCTTTCATGACGATTATCAATTATCATTCACCTAGAATTGTTTATCTTTTCTATAACCCTTACTAATGATTGATTTTAACTTCATTAAACCATCTCTTTCTCATTCGTTATCACGAATCATTACGCTTACAAATAGCTACTCGTTTTCACCCATTCCAGTCTCCAATGAATCACATCATATCATCTAATCCGACCTCCCCTTTCTATCATTCTTTCGCGAACAAACATAGCAAAAGAACTATATTATCGACTAAACTGCCTGTCGTCCATCTTCTGTCTCTTCGGCTGCGCTCCCTTTCCCTTCATCTGCTTCTCCCGCGTGTTCTTCCCGCTGTTCTTCACAAACGACAGATTAATCTTCGGCGGCACTTCAAACCCGAAGCCCATCGCCACCTCCTTCAAATCCAGCTGATTCACATTAAAGATATTCTTCAACGAATGGCTCGCATACGCCATGATGTACGATCGGAACGCCTCTCTCCCCGCCTTATGCAAATAGAAATTCCGCGACATCAGCTTCAGCAGTTGGCTCTGGATATTCGCCACTTTATTCTTCGGAAACACGTACTCGTTCATCATCACTTTCGCTGCACGCAGATACGCCAAGAACATCGTTTCCTATCGCCTCACACTCCCTTTTCAGCCCTACCGACGGCAGCAAAAACAGCAAGGCGCGGCCCACGCCTTCCTTGCCTCGCGCCGTTCGTCCCACACGGTGAATGTACTCCTTGGGATCGTCTGGCGGGTCGTACTGGATGATCCAGTCCACTGCGGGGATGTCCAGGCCGCGCGCCGCGACGTCCGTGCAGAGCAGCACGCCGGTCTTGGCGTTGACGAACTCGAAGAAGACCGCGGAGCGGCGCTGCTGCTTCTGCTTTCCGTGGATGCACATGACCGGGATGTCGATGTAGTTCAGCAGCTCCGCGTGGAACTGCACCGAATTGCAGCTCGAGAAGAAGACCCTGCGATTCAACGCTCCGCCCCACAGCCCACATGATCTTCTTCTTCTGGATGTTCTTCTTGAGGAAGGTATAGAGCAGCAGGAAGCGCTGGTCGGACCCGCACACCACGTAGCCCTGCTCCAACCGACTCACCGTCGCTTCTTCGCAGGCGTCGTGCACGCCGATATACACGGGATTGTCCTGCGATCGAGCGCTCCATCAACGCCTACCGACAGCGAGAGCTTCGCCAAGCCCTGCACGTTCTTGTCCTGCGTGGCGGAGAACAGCATGGTCTGGCGCTTCTTGGGGAGGAGACGCATGATGGCCTTCATGTCCTCCTCGAATCCGATCTGCAGAATGCGGTCCGCTTCGTCGATCACCAAACACTGCAGGTTTTCGAAGTTGAAGCCCTTCGTGTTCTGCAGATGGTCCAGCAAACGGCCCGGCGTGGCGATCAGAATCGAAATGCCCTTCACCAGCTTCGAGGCCTCGCTCTTCCGATTCGCGCCGCCCATCACGATGCCGTGCGTCAATCCGTGCGCAGACGCCAGGTCCGTCACGACGCCGAAGATCTGCATCGCCAATTCGCGCGTCGGCGTGATGATAATCGCGCCCGTGCCTTGTCGCTGCTTCCATTTCAGACGCGACAGCAGCTCGATCACCGGGATCACGAACGCCAGCGTCTTGCCGGAACCTGTTCTATGCGTGAAGGAGAGAGAGCAATGCAACTTGGCCGCTCCGAGAACGTCCTTGCCGGCGAGAAGCACGGGAATCGCTTTGGATTGGATCGTGGTCATCGTCTTGAAGTCCTTCTTGGCGAGCACTTCCTTCGTTTTTTCTATCTATGGAAAGAGAAAAGAATATGTACTGCTCAGATTGAGAGACTCAAAGGTGAGGTCGGAGAAGAAATCGGCATCTTCACTTTGGGTTACAGCTAGCCATTAATTTGGAATCCATCGGATACGCTCCGCCTTGGCAGATTCGGGATTCGTCTCTTCCTCAGCATCTTCTTTCTCCTCTTCTGGTTCCTCCTCGGCGTTTTCTTTTTCTTCTCCACTCTGTGATTCTTCTTCATTCTGTGACTCCTCTTCAGCGTTCTCCTCCTCTTGCGACTCTTCCTCTTGTGACTCAATTTCTTGTCCCTCTTCTTCATCCTATTTGATGAAACATGCTCCTAGAACGCACATTCAATAATTCCTCTCCAGAAGAAACGCTCATTTCCTCATTCTCCACCTCGGGCTCACTATTTTCCTGTTTATTATTGCCAAAATTATAAGCTCTACAGACTCGACTTCCTCAATGGTTCGTTTCAACGACTTCTTGTCTAGAGCAACATTCTCCTCCTTCTGGGATTTCTTCGACTCTATACATTACGCAAAAAACCGCTGCTGTTTTACTTTTGGAAGGAACCATTCTTGAGTATTTTATGGCTTACAGAAGGAAGTTGCTAAAATCGACCAAAAACCGCGGTCACAAAACAAATCTTTCCCCAAGTTTGCCAAGAGCGTATCGGATACAGCGGCAAGCTATTTTAACGATTCAAGTTGGTATTTTGTTGAGATGTGCTCAATGCTATTTCTTTCTCTTCTCTATCCATTGACTACACGAATGGCAATCAATTTATGTGCATTCGCCTATCTGTTTTGCAGTTTTTTCACTATTATCTCTAATCTATATTACCTCCCAGTGGCCCATATTCTCTGTATTTCAACTCTATATAAAATTGAAACTAGGACATTCTCTATTATTACTCACTTTTTCATATTTCCTGGTTATTGTGAATATGCATCTTTATTACTATATCGGTGAAGACGGAAAGAGAGTGTACACACTAAAGGTTTGCTGATTAGTGGCGAGTTGTGATTGTTTAGAAAGAAACCCCGGAAGGAGGTCCGACCTTCTCTGCACATCCAGGTAGATGGCAAATCATGCTTTTTGATTCGTAGCTCGCTTTTCTCCTGATGACAAGTATTCGAAGGAAAGAGTGATTTGCAAAGAGCGCTACGGATGCCTCTTAACTCAGAAACCAGATATGAAGTTATAATTTGCACATAGTTTTGTTTGTCTTGTTTGTTTGAATCTCGTTTGGTGCGATGATGTCCGGAGGGACTGAAAAAAAGAAATGTTACTTTCATTATAAAATTGTTTTTCTTTTGTCATGTCGGACTTCCATTTTAATTTCGAGGAGACCGTTGATATCCTAAACTCCCAGACACCTACCGTGGTACGAAATAAGCGACTCTTATCCACATGTAGTCTCCCAAGGAAAAGAAGGACATTGTTTGTCGCCATTGGTTAAAACATGAATGCCAACGAGGTGACGCCTGCGCGTATCTCCACGAGTTCATTCCCGACAAAGTGCCGGAGTGCGAACTGGGAGCGAGATGTACCCGTGTTGGTTGTAGGTTTAAGCACCCCCCGCGTGACGGAAAAGTGCATTTTAACGAAGTTGCTGATTTTGTAGCGAGAGTGTTTATTCTATAAGCAAGGGTTTTGCCCCTTCGGCAAGCATTGCCGTAACTTGTACTGTTTTAGGAATGAGTTCACTCTGAAGACATATTCCCTATGAAGCAGGCGCGCTTCCCTTAATCATTGATATCTCAAACCGAAACATGGAGCTGAATATTTCTACACATGTAGCAGTTCCAAAGGAGCTTGATTCTAGGAAAAGATGGTATTAAAGTCTGGAATTCGAAAGAACAAGTGCAATTCGTACGAATCCAAAGGCGAATGCCAATACGGAGAGAACTGCAACTACTCCCACGAAACGCTAGATGTTCGTCGTACGCATCGGCTTGTTTGGCTTGATAACTCAAAGTGGCTTCGATCTATTCTCTCAACGAGCTGAACATTCCCAATCCCTCCAATCCAGAGTACTCTCTCCCTATTCTCTCTCTCTCTTTCTCTAGATACTCCTTTTTCTATTTCACTTTCCCCGACATCACGCGTCTCGGCGAATGCATCAAAAGCGGCACGTTTCAGATCTCTTCCCAGCACATCGAGGCGCTCAACAACGCCTACGATCGCTGTAATGGCTGTGTGTATCTCTTCGTGAGCGTACAAGGCAGCAAACTGATCCACGTAGGCGAGTAGGATGGAATGAACGGAAGGGACTGTGCGTAATGAAAGACCGTGTCCAAGACGACGGCGATTTTTCGAAGCCGTTCAGTGTGGAGTGGTTGAAAGTGGTGCACATGCCGTTCCGAGTGTTCGATAATGATGGTTTGCTGTGGAATGGGGATGAATTCATCGCGTAGAGCGGGCAATCAAGCTGGATGATCTGGACGACGGCTTCGAGATCGATCGAGACACGGGCGATGAGTTGTTTTCGTGGGTGTGGCGCCATCCCAACGTAGAGCCGAAGTGTGCAGTGAATCGTAGACTCTGCTCATGGCGCGACAGAGCATGATTCGCAAGCAGAGTTCGCGCTCTTGCGTGGATTCATTGCATAGAGAAGTTCGTGTGGGAGGAACCGAAGGACGCAGACGACGTGGCGCAATTCAAAGTGGACGAGAGTGTAGTCAATATCCAATTCCTTCCTTCTATTTGTTTCTTAACCTCCACAATCGTGCTCCTTCCTCCATCGCAGCGCCGTGCTTCTCATTCTCGACCAACGCGAGTTCGACCTTCTCTGTAAGAAGAACACTCTCACGCTCTGCCAGGGCGATGCCGATCTGTCCCACTCTTTGTCTCCGCTCACTCGTAGAGCCTCGCATATGCACATCGGCACGATCGTCATGGTCTACGTCTCCGGATCGGGGCGTCTGCATGGCCTTTTCCAAGTCATCACGCCGTCTGTCACCTTCGTGGGCAAGGAAGTCTCCAGCTCCACGCCCTGCATCTACATGTACGTCCGCTGGTGGTATCATTTCCACTCGCTCTCGCTCGACAACTTGCCGTTCAAGATCCCGAAGGACCAAAATCGCTTCCTGAGCCGACATATGACGTTAGCGATTATGCAGTGCTTCTTCAAGGACAATGGATCCGTTCCTTACCCCGTTTCCACTTTTCTGCAGTGTAATGGATAGTCGCAGATCGAATTGAAGCCGTTTGTGTTGCCTCCGTGCTCGTATACGGTGAAATTCGACGTAAAAGCGCCTGGATTCGATTTCGGAGAGCGCATTCGAAAGCATCCGATTTATCGACGCTTTGTGGAGTCTGATGGATGGTGCTATATCGAGTTGCTGGGGGAGGGAAGCTTGGAGGAAGGCGCAAAGTGGGTAATTCCGAGCGAGAAAGACCTTTCGCTTGTCTTTTATACATGTGATGGACTTCGTGGGTTTGTGTCGAGGGAATAATGGATAGACTACAAACTTGTGAAGAACGAGATTCTTAGAATGTCCAAGGAAATCAAGGATGAATATATTCAGTGGTACGCAGCTCATAAATCCAATTCTTAGTTATTCCGTGTTTGTTTAAAAAGGAACTTTAGTCTCCTTGCTACGAGCACTCCTCTAAAGTAGATGAAGAAGGGACAAATAGAAGAACAATCCAATTTGGTTACTATACCGTCTCACTCTACGAGTCCTGAAGAAATTACCGTTTCTGTACATTTTCTTTGTATATATCATATAGGATTTTGAATATTCGGTTATTAGTGCGCTTTCGAGCAGTGTGTAATGATTTTGGCTATTTCTTGATTCAGAGGTGTTTCAAAGGTGGATCATGGTAAACCCTCCGTTCTCCAAGCGAAAGAAACTACTCCATGCATCCCTTCTGTGATTTCTCAAGTAACAGAGCCTTATATTCAAAATCCGTAATTTTCTTGCGCTCGATCGAAAGTATAGAATAAGTGCCTCCACCCTGCCTTTCTATTCTCCACTTCCTGGTTGTTGCCTATATGCCTCTGTTTTCCAGACTCCTTTTTTTTGGCGTATCTCTCTTTTTGCTTCTTGTTACCTAGCTCTCCCTCACAATCCTGTAGTTACAACCAGCCCTTACCAACCTGTATATAATATACCTACCACCCATGTTGCCTTGCCGCCTAGCATACAAACAATTTCTGATCCTATTCCAGTCATTCGGTGTACTTGTCGCAAAACACATTGTTTGAAATTGTCTCTCTGGTCGTCTTGCCTCAAGTTTAGATACTGTGAGTGTCTGAAGGCTGGAAAGGTTTGTTCAAGTAGTTGCTCCTGTGTGGGTTGTTTGAACCAAGAAGGGAATGAGGCAAGAAAGAAGGCTATCAATTTCTTAAAGCTTCGCAACGTCAAGGCGTATAAACGACTTGTTTCAAAGGAAGTTGGTTATTTCAGAGGGGAGAATTATGTTCAGAACAGTACCAGTGAAGTAATTTGTTGCTCTTGTAAACGGAGTAACTGCAAAAAGAAGTACTGTTCCTGTTTTTTAAATGGAAGGAAGTGTTCTAGTCAATGCAGTTGTTTTGATTGTCAGAATAAGTGATTTGTTTTTTATAGCAAACTGTCCCAAATATAAAATAGGGTCTTCTGGTCATTTACGCTACACCCCAAATATTCACCCCTAAACCAAACTCTCGTGATGTAAGTGGTGGCTTAGTGTTGAAATGAGAGAAAAAAAAGCTAGTTCCAGACGAACAATTGCTTACCTTGTTTTTAGACCATGGAGATGATTGTGAAGCCCGAAGGAACCAAGGCCGACGATTTCGAGATCGCCGTTGCCAACGAGATTGCTGAGATTGCCAAGAAGACCAAGGATCTTGCCCAGCCCCTGAAGTCCTTCAAGATGGCTGCTGCGAAGGAGGTGTCCGTCGCTGGAGACAAGAAGGCCATCGTGGTGTTCGTGCCCTACAAGCTGTTCAAGAACTTCCGTCTGATTCAGTCTCGCCTGACCGCTGAGCTGGAGAAGAAGTTCGAGGGACGCCCTGTGGTGTTCGTGGCTCAGAGAACCGTTCTGACCAAGGACTACAAGCGCTCTCACAAGTTCGGAGGTGTCCGCCCTCACAACCACACCGTGTCGGCTGTGCAGGACGCCATCATCGATGATCTGGTGTATCCTTGCGAATGCGTCGGAAAGCACACCAGCATCAACGGACGCTCTGGAAAGGTGATCAGAGTGTTCTTGGGACCCCAGGGACAGCAGGAGGTGGAGAACAAGCTCGACGCTCTGTCCACCATCTACAAGAAGCTGACCAACAAGAACATTACCTTTGAGTTCAAGAACTAAGAAAGCTAATTGGAGAGGGTGATCTATCCTATGTTTGTTTTACACACTATGGAAAATAGTCCCTATTTTTAGGTCCACAGTTTTTTTTGGTTAGAATGCCTAAGCGATCTACTACGAGTGACGGAGTGTCCTCTTCTGACCTGAAGGATTTGCCATCCACCAGCCTACCCATAAACCATAATGAAGGGGAAACTAAGGCACACACAGGTAAAAGGTTATTTGGAAAGATCCGACGTCCAGAAAGTGGTAATAAATATATGGATATTCTGACAACTTTTAGGAGTCACGCCGATCAATTCTGGAAACGTTGGAAAGTTTAGTGAGGATCTTGAAGCGGCAAGAAAGAACGAAGAAGCTACTAAAAAGCCTGTAATGCGTTATAAGTATGAGCTCCCGTTTTTTGTTAGTTTAGTTTTCTCACTTTGAACAAACAGTTTGCAAACTGGGTAAACTATCATTTAACTCACCATCCTAATGGAAATTGGTCGTTGTTCTTGAGAGTGTGTTGCTTATGGGTTCAATCATATTTTAGGAGTATATCGAATACGCAGACAAAATTGAGGAGGCGAATGGTAAGAAGGTGGTCTCTAAGAATGAAAAGCAAATGGAAATGGAGCTGAAGAACAGCGATGAGAAGCCTTCTGCTGCTCCAGCGTTCTCATTTGGAGTAAAGAAGGACGATGAAAAGCCTTCTACAACTCCTTCATTCTCATTTGGAGTAAAGAAGGACGACGAAAAGCCTTCTACAACCCCAGCGTTCTCATTTGGAGTAAAGAAGGACGATGAGAAGCCTTCTACAACCCCAGCGTTCTCATTTGGAGTAAAGAAGGACGACGAAAAGCCTTCTACAACCCCAGCGTTCTCATTTGGAGTAAAGAAGGACGATGAGAAGCCTTCTACAACTCCTTCATTCTCATTTGGAGTAAAGAAGGACGATGAAAAGCCTTCTACAACCCCAGCGTTCTCATTTGGAGTAAAGAAGGACGATGAGAAGCCTTCTGCTGCTCCAACATTCTCATTTGGAGTAAAGAAGGACGATGAAAAGCCTTCTACAACCCCAGCGTTCTCATTTGGAGTAAAGAAGGACGATGAGAAGCCTTCTGCTGCTCCAACATTCTCATTTGGAGTAAAGAAGGACGATGAGAAGCCTTCTACAACTCCTTCATTCTCATTCGGAGTAAAGAAGGACGATGAAAAGCCTTCTGCTGCTCCAGCGTTCTCATTCGGAGTAAAGAAGGACGATGAGAAGCCTTCTGCTGCTCCAGCGTTCTCATTTGGAGTAAAGAAGGACGATGAGAAGCCTTCTACAACCCCAGCGTTCTCATTCGGAGCGAAGAAGGACGATGAAAAGCCTTCAACCACTCCTTCATTCTCATTTGGAGTAAAGAAGGACGATGAGAAGCCTTCTACAACCCCAGCGTTCTCATTTGGAGTAAAGAAGGACGATGAAAAGCCTTCTACAACCCCAGCGTTCTCATTCGGAGCGAAGAAGGACGATGAAAAGCCTTCAACCACTCCTTCATTCTCATTTGGAGTAAAGAAGGATGATGAGAAGCCTTCTACAACCCCAGCGTTCTCATTCGGAGTAAAGAAGGATGACGAGAAGCCTTCTACAACCCCAGCGTTCTCATTTGGAGTAAAGAAGGACGACGAGAAGCCTTCTACAACCCCAGCGTTCTCATTTGGGGTGAAAAAGGATGACGAGAAGCCTTCTACAACTCCTTCATTCTCATTTGGAGTAAAGAAGGACGACGAAAAGCCTTCTGCTGCTCCAACATTCTCATTTGGAGTAAAGAAGGACGATGAGAAGCCTTCTACAACCCCAGCGTTCTCATTTGGAGTAAAGAAGGACGATGAAAAGCCTTCTACAACTCCTTCATTCTCATTTGGAGTAAAGAAGGACGATGAGAAGCCTTCTACAACCCCAGCGTTCTCATTTGGAGTAAAGAAGGACGACGAGAAGCCTTCTACAACCCCAGCGTTCTCATTTGGGGTGAAAAAGGATGACGAGAAGCCTTCTACAACTCCTTCGTTCTCATTCGGAGCGAAGAAGGATGATGAAAAGCCTTCTGCTGCTCCAGCGTTCTCATTTGGAGTAAAGAAGGATGACGAAAAGCCTTCTGCTGCTCCAACATTCTCATTTGGAGTAAAGAAGGACGATGAAAAGCCTTCTGCTGCTCCAGCATTTACGTTTACCTTTGGAGCGAAGAAGGACGACGAAAGCTCTGCCTCCTCGGCTCCCAAATTCACGTTCCCTTCCATCCCGATTCAAATCCCAACGGTGAACTCCACTCCTGCTCAAGAGTCCTCCACCGCTCCCTCCAATCAAGACGACGACGAGACCCTCGGCCAAGAAGGCGTCAACGTGCTGTTCAAAGTGCGAGCGAAGCTGCTGAAGCTGGACAACGAATCCAAGAAGTGGAACAACGAAGGCGTTGGATTCTTCCGCATTGAGGAGTTCCAGTGAGAGAGTGCTTGCGGATTCACGTGTAGGGACGATCACACACGACGATTGATCTTTGCTCTCGAGAATGGAATGATCAAAGTAAATTGTGGATGGGATGCGAAGTGTGGATGTACCGTCAGCAAAACGCGAGTTGTCCTGCCTCTCTTTTTCGATGGAGAACCCATTACATGCGCATTGTACGTGAAAACGGAGGCAAGTGCTGCGTCGTTGAAGAGTGAATTGGAGAAGTATTTCTTTTTTGTTTGTTGGATTCCCGCGATTGCATTTTTCTTATAGCATTTTTTATTGATATGGCGTGTACAAAAAAAGGAATCGCTCTTACCGTTATCTTGGTGTTGTTCATCATCATACCTACGGCGCTGTTTCTTATAGCTCGCTTACTTCCATCTTTATACTCGACGCGAGTAAAGAAGATAAAGGAGTAGGTTTGATAATTACTAGTTATTATTTTTCAGATACAACCGCTATGTAGAGAACTGGGAGGAATGGGGTATCGAACAATACAAGAATGCCAAGTTTACTGTGAAAGTCGGAATCAGTACTTACGAGTTCAATGAATGCACGGAGACATTTGGAGAAAACTATCCTATTCGAGAAGTTTGCAACAAAGAGGGAGATCCATCCAATGGATGCTTGACAGCGGATGCTTTCCACTATCGTGCCAACATTCCATATCCCCAATCCGATGAGGTGACCATTCAAGTGATGAATAGTCAAAGTGGTACCCTTATTTTCAATTCAACGTATACACTAAGAACTGAAAGATCAGAAGAGTGGGATACGATGGATTGTGACACCCCCGAGTCCTGTATGGCTCTTTGTAATTCATGGGGAGGCTTTGGTTCAGAAAATTTGAGAATCTGCATGTACGAAGGTTATTTAGGAAATCTGTGCTACCGCGTCCGTTCGTCCGATGGATCCAACTACCAAATCGACGATCCTCCAGGTTATGACCTCTTTTACTACTTCGGCGGTGCAGGGTGCAAGTGAGATCACTTTCCATTGTCTATTATAGCTACGAGACCATTTGGGATGAGAAAAACTACGTGGGCGGCAAGCAAGAATTCCTCGTCGTGGATCTTCGCAATTTCCGCGATCCGTATATCCGCGCTTCTACCCTTACGCTGGGCTGCTCCACGAAGTATAAGAAAGAGCGAACTTGCTTCCCGACCGATCCGGAGACGGACATGACCGTGGTAATGATGCATACGAGAATTTTGATCGCTGCGTATCTGGTCACCATCCTCGAAGTGCTGGTACTTGTCTGTTCTTGGCTCTCTCACTCTCCAGGTGGTTCTGATCTTCTTCATCTACATGCTGATTCATCGCCTCATGCAGAAGAAGCCCAACACGACCCGCCTAGTTTCGATTGTTTGTCACAAACACCACCAATCAACAACACATCACGCCTTAGGAAAAAAGAAAGAAAGAAACGCGGCGTTCTCACAGATCGTAGGACGCCCAATCGCTCGAGTCGCACATCTCCTCGCCCCCCGCAGCGTTCGCTGCGCCTTCCGAGAAAGAAGACTGCGCCGAGTCCATCAGCGCCGTGGAAAACGTGGAAACCGTGGAAACGGACTCGGCTCCCCGCGGGGAATCGATGGTGGCGGGGAGGTCGGTTTCGCTGGTCTCGGGGGCCTCGGGGGAGGGGGGCGTGAGGGGGAGCGGGAGCTCTGCAAGGTCATCGAGGTCGGGGAGGGGAAGGTCGTGCTGAAACAGGGGGTAAAAGACGGGTCCAGCAGAGGGAAAAAGGTCGGTGGAGGGGAGAGAAGGGAAAATGGATGAAGCAGAAGCAGAAGCAGAAGAAGGAGAAGGGAAAGAAGAAGGAGAAGGGAAAGAAGGAGAAGAAGGAGAAGGGAAAATAGAAGAAGATGAAGCAGAAGTTGAAAAAGAAGGAGAAGAAGGGAAAATAGAAGAAGAAGAAGAGGCAGAAGGAGTAGTAGCTGAAGAAGGGAGCGAAGGGAAAACAGCCGTAGAAGCAGAAGAGGGAGAAGAAGAAGAAGAAGGCGAGGCGGCTTGTTTGCGGAGCCGGTTGGAAAGGCAGTGGAAGTGGTTCTTCACGTCGTTCTCCGATCGCCCGGGGAGATAGCGGCGGATCTGCGCCCAGCGGTTGCCGAGAAGGTCGTGCAGAGAGCGGAGGAGAAGGTCCTCCGCTTCCGTCCAGCGGGCTTTGGAAAGACCGGGAATGAGATTGTAGAACCATCGCTGACGGCACTACGGGAGAGAGGAGGGGAGAGGGAGTACCTGTTTACCAGTGCGACCAGGAATGTGTTCAGCAATCATTTTCCACTTCTTTTCTCCATACTTGGCAACTAGCTCGCAAAGAAGTCTATCTTCGTATTCAGACCATGGAACCTAGAATTCGATAGAAAATAGTAAACAGATACGCGTTTGTTTTTCTTGTTTTTACAAGCTACACCGTTAGAGGGGTCTTCTGTGGTATTTTTTTCGTCAGGACTTTTATACCAACTATCAGTCTCATGAATAAAGGGTAAATTCGGATAAAAAAAAGACATCTACAAGTGACAAAAGCATCAGCGCATTCAACCATTTCCTGGTTTTCCATTGTTATTTATAGCAAAATAATCACGAATACAAGGGGAAAAATGCTCACTCACGAAGATTAGACACAAACAGAAACTACTAAGAAAGAGGACAACAGGTATGGGTATGAAGAGAACCACTAGGGAGAAGATCAAATAAAAGAAAATCGATCTCCACAATGGAATATTTTGAACAAACACAACACCACAACTCTAACCCCTAATAACCGGGATTTCCTCCCGCCAGTAGTTGCACGTACTCCGAATAGCTGTAATTCGCTCCCTGGAACACATCCCGGTCCTCCACCATTCTCCACTTCAATTTCGCAAAGTCCACATCGCTGGATCGGACCACCTCCAACGGGCAGAAATACAGCCGGTCCGCGCGCAGCTCCGAAACGATGTTCCACAGTCGCTTCGACAGGCTGGTTTCCAGACGAGGCAGGTCCATCAGCGCGACATCATATCCCTGCAGCGAGTCGACCCCAAAAACGTCCCGCATCACCTGCACCGGCACCTGGTCGCCCACCAGCAGCCACAGCGCCACTCCCTCGTCCAGCAGATAGATCCCCGTCGCGGAAAGCGTCGACAGCGTGAGTCGCAAAATGCGCGGCAAAACCAAATTGCGCGGGCCAAATAACTGGCTCTCCGCCGCCTCCGCCGCCTCTGCGTCCTCGAGGAAGGTCCCCGCCTAGACTCGGAAACAACAGAGAGAGAAACCTGCGGATCCATGTCGGCGATGTCGAGTAAAAGCGGGTAGAGGAAGCGGACCACGACGTCCAGACTGCTCTGCCGCAGCTGATGCATCAAGTACGCGCGCGCGTCGCTGCGCTGGTCGCTGCCTCCGCGCAGCACGCCGCTCTTCTGCAACGCCATCTACGCTTCACGTCGTTTTCGCGCAGAATACAAGGAAGAGCGGGAGCTGCGCGATCTGCGCGGGGATGGACTCGCTCGGCGACGCGAGGCCCTGCGCCTTCGTCCGCTTCAGCAGCGCCAGGCACAGCTGGTGCACCTTCTGCCGAGCGATCGCCAGACCCACCTCCGGGATCGCCTCGATCGCTACGCGTCAGAGAGACAGAGAAAAGGGACAGCGCTGCAGCACGAGGTCCGCGATGACGTCCTGGCGCAGTCGCTCGAACATGTGGTTCAGCACGTTGCTGACGGGCAGCACGGCCGTGTGCACGCGGATCCGGCGCTCGCCGCGCGCGTTGGTGTAGAGCAGCGCGCCCTGGATCGGGAAGGACGGCGCCTGGAGCACGTTGTCGAGCTCGAACTCCACGCTGACCGTGAGGTCGCTGTGGCACACCGGAGACACCATCAGGTCGGTGTTGGAGAGGCAGAACGCGCCGGCGAAGCCGCGCACGTGCACGCCGGAGGGCACACGCACGCGGTACATCGACTCGAAGCCGGTCTCGCGCGCGAGCACGCGGTGGACGTCGCTGGCGAGGACGGCGGCCCAGCGCGATTGCTGGTGGAAGGAGGGGTAGTAGAAGAGCTGTCCGCCGCTCTGCGTGCAGAGCGGGGCGAGGGAGGCGACGTCGGCGGAGGCGGCGCCGAGGAAGCAGTGGACGGAGATCTGCTGCGCGACGAGCTGGTGCGCCAGCTCGGTGTAGAAGGGAGAGGCGGGCTTGAGAAGGTCTTTCTCGGAGTCGGTGCCGAGCATGGCCGGAACTTCGCGCTGTTTGAGCTTGGCGGCGCCGAGCGAAGGCATGGAGGCTTGGAAGAGCGAGAGGAGGCCGCCGGTGTCTTGGAGGAGCTTGGCGGCGAAGTGGAGGGCGGAGCCGGTGCAGGTGTCGACGTCGCGCGTGGAGGCGAAGGAGGCGGGGAGCGCGCGGAGGAAGGAGTCGACGGCCTGGCGGTTGTCGACGAGGTTGAGGAGGAGAGAGGAAGGGACGGGGATGAGAAGGTCCTCGATGTCCGAGCAGACCAACTGCCGAACCGTTTTGCCCTCCTAGAAGTGAGCCAGCGAAGAGAGAGAGGGATACAGCGATTTGGTAGAAGTGCACGGCGCTGTCGAAGGTCATGAAGCCCACCGTGATGATCGAGTTGTCGCACATCGCGATCAGATCGTCCAGACTCGCTCGGATCGCTTCGCACGCGGTCTCCAGCATGCCCGACGCCACCGCCTGGTACGACACGTCTACCTCGCCATCTCCTCCCGGCCCCTACCCAGCAGGAACAAATACGTCGGGAACATCGGCGGACGCACGCAGTACTCGCGGCCCGCCTCGAACTCCACCTGGCCCTTGCAGAGCTCCGGGCGCTCGTAGAGATCCACGCGCTTTCCGCTCATGTCCAGATGGCTGTAGTACTCATCGGGGACTAGACCTCGCCGCCCTCCATCACGCCTACCATCGTTCAAATGACCGCAGAAGTTGCACCGCCAGCGACGGCCGCCGTCCGTGAAGGACACGAACGGGTTGATGTACGCGCGGCAGCGGAAGCAGCGCTGCACGCCCACGCGACCGAACGACACCACCGGGATTTTGCCCTAGATCGGAGACAGGGAGCGAGCGTACGCCGTCGGGAGCCATGGGACGGAATACACCGCCGAACGGGATGCCGGCGAGGCCCTGCAGAGAGGAACTGTTCGGCGCGATGTCATACGACAGCTTGACATACTCTTCGTCGGGCTGCATCTCCGGGGAGATCGGGGACGGGGCGGGAGCGGATAGGTCGTAGTTTGTCTGCGGACCCATGTACGCAGGTGACATGCCAGAACCCATGGCTGCCGTGTTGCCGCCATACATCGGCTGGTTTTGCGTCTGGCTCGGATCCACAGACGTCAGATTATATGCAGTCGTTGGAATTTGATAACGTCCATTCATCGGTCGATAGGCTCCAGCAGATACACTTCCTGAGGGCGGAGCAGAGATAGAAGACTGTGGAGGCTCGGAATTTAGACTCATATTTGACATATGCTGGGCGACTGTATCCATGGAGGGAGGAGGCGGCACAACGCGGCCCCCGGCACTTCCCGGGTAGAATGCACGCTGTTGCGGATTAAATACATTCGTAGGAGCCGAGTAACCGCTGGGAGGCAGAGTCCTTGCCCCTACTATGTTGGGTACAGCCGAGGGTTGTTGTTGGGCTGTATTTTGATTGTTATTCTTAAGAAAAGGGTTGCTCATCACAAGAACTTTCATATTTCATGTCCGATACAATGAAACTCCCGACGTACAGTGATCGACTTCTTGATTATCAAGCGGTGTTAGATGAAACAAAGAGAAAAAAAGCACAAATGATCACAGAAAAACAGAAACAATCGAACCTGAACGACGAAATAACAAAACGACGATTGATACAATTCCCAATACCAGCACGCCATACACAAACGCCACATTAACCCCACAGATAGGAAATCAATCCTCCACTCTGACTCTGCTCCGCTTCTTCTTCCCGAAGTTCCTGCATCAATTCCCACTTTTTCTCCAGCTCCAAATCCAGCTTCAGCTTCAGCGCCTCGATGGCAGCGAGCAGCGAGTTTTCTCGCTCCTACGAGTGAAAGAAAAGAAGGAACGCTACCTGGTGATCTCGCTCCAACTCGTCGACCTTCCGGATAAACTGGTCGGTGAGTTGTCTACCATGGAAATGCATCTCGGTTCCTACGAGTTCACTCGCTTCGATTCCTCGATCGCCTTCTGCGAGGCCATGCACTCCGCGCGCAGGCGGTACAGCTCCTGTTCGAGCAGAGGCATTTCGCTCGGTTCGTCCGCATCGAGCGGCTGCGAGGGTTGAGGAGGTCCCAGCTCGACAGGAGTCGATGTCGATGCGGGCTCTGCTTGGTGGGAGTCCGTGGAGTCCATGGAATCCATGGAGACCGTGTTGTCCCCTTCCATGTTGGCTTCCGTATCAGCTTCGGGAATAAGAGAAATGACTTCCTCCGGAGATTCTTGCACTTTCGACGGATTCTGAGTTCCGTTACTCTCCGAGTAGTCTTCATCTAAGTGGGACTGAAGAGAACGGGTGCGTTCCTGAGCAATTGCAAGATCTACAGGTTTGGACGAACAGCACAGTGCTACCCTTCTTCAGCTTTTCAATTTCCTGCTTTTGCTGAGTAACCATGGCTCGCCAGTTCTCCCTTTCCTCCATCACGTACTGAGCGTTGTTTGCTCGTTTTAACTGGAAAATCTCGTTTCTTCGCTGCTCCAACTCGTCTTCCAGAAGCTTGTACTGTCTCTTCATCTCGTCCTTCTCCTTTTCCATACCACGCATCTTTACGAGCATATCGTTGATCTGTTCTATGCAAATGACCGTGAATGGCAAAATCAAACCTTCATACTGCATTTTCACCTTCACCAAGTGGTCAGCTAGCATCTTCACTCCTAGTGGTGTATCGGGGTCTTCGCTCATTGCACAAGGAGTATTCGCGAAAGAACTGATCAATAAGATGGTTAATATGAGTGTGAAACGCCAAACGTTCCTTAAAATCTCGTATTTAACAAACTTTCGACAAAAGTCATTTCAATAGATTCCATAGAAATCCTAGGTTACAAAAGTATACACTGCGGAAGTGCTCGCGAGGCACGTAGCTTGCATTCTAGCTTGATGTTGTCTGGGACATTAATACTGTCCAGGATCTTGGCAACATATTCTGTATCGTAAAATCCAGAAAGACAAGCGTTGAGTCTGCATGTGAGAGAAAAGGTCATGTATCGACTTTGTAACAAAAGGAAGGACGTTAAACTCTGAGAACCACGTTCGAATATCCCAATTATACTCGTGCAACAGCTGCAACATCATTGTTGGAGTATTCTGTAGGTAATATTTGTGGTACATGTGTTCAGCATCAATATAGTTCGTGAGAGGTTTCAATTCTGTTGCAACATCTCCACTCTAACAAGCTCATGCCTGGCATATGACACTACAAGATATTGTTTCATATAGTATTCAGATTCTTCGCGTTGCTCTTCCTCCGTGTAGTAGATCACTGAGGCGTAACGCTTTGGATACACAACAGAGTAGTCATGGTTCTCGAAGAACAGCTGTAATATCTCGGATAGAGAAATAATTGACTTATTGTAATTGGCTTCAACTACTTCTGTGTAATCTAAGGTTGAAAGACCAGTCATTACCCACTGCCAACGTGTTGATAGGTTGGGTTCGTTCTCGTACCTCCCGCATATCCAATTCGTGTAAACTGCACGCCGAAAAGGCCTCCGATAAGAGCCTAAAACAAAGCTTTGTGTTGAAACTACTTCAGAACAGCGGAAGCTGTTCATTCCAATCACGATTCTAGATAAACTCATGAAGAATATGTGAATTCGAGATGGCGAAGTATTTTGACAAGATGTCATTGAAATCTTTACTTCTACATTATCGTTTATTCGTTACATAGTTTGTTGTGTATATCCGCTTCCATATTCTGGAAATCCATGTTTCGGCATTTTAGTAAACTAGCATGATACAGCTCTCCGGTTCTGATGGAACTGGTTTACAGTGCGAGCACGGCAGAAAGCAGAAGAATCGTGTTTGTTTGTGTTTTCTATCAACATTCCGGAGACCCACACGGTGCTTCTATAGATTTGCCTATTTTGGCAAAGATCCATGTTCCAAAACACATTTCCGCTACTTAAAAGAATACAAGAATGCCTGCCGAATTGGGTCGAGAACCGCGGTACTCGACTGTTTGTATAGAACCCTCGTTCTCATAAATATTCGGATTCTATTCGTAAAACTAAGCTCATGTGGAGAAGAAAGAATAAGAAACAGGCTGCCGCTGCCGCTGCTGCTGCTCCCGCTGCTGCTCCCGCTCCCGCCCCTGCCGCTGCCGCTCCCGCCCCTGCTGCTAAGGATGCAGGTGATATGTTCTCGTAAGTGCATTGATATGATTAGATAATCGCTAGAGGTATGAGTAGCGCTCCTGCCCAGGGAGGAGATATGTTTGGGTACGAATTGCGGAATTGTATTTATCTTGCAGAGGAATGGAGAGTGCCCCTAGCCAGGGAGGAGATATGTTCTCGTAAGGGATGTTTGGTTTGTATAACTTCTAGTGGAATGAGCAACCCGCAGCGTACTTCGCAGGTCCCCGCTGTAACCCGTAGAACCGTCTGCTCCTGCTGCCGCCGCGCCTGTCCCTGCTGAGCCTCCTGTAGCTCAGGATCCTTTGATGGGCTCTCGCCAGAAGCTGATGCAGATCTCGAACCAGCTGCGAAGCGAAGTGGTGCGTTTGAACGAGGGCGAGCGCAAGATGCGCGAGTACATCACGTCCGTGGAGAACGTGATTTCAGGTCTGAACGACCAGCTTGTGGAGGCGGAGGCGGCCGAGTCGACGGCCCTCGCGGAGGAGGACTACGCGAAGGCGGAGGAGATCTCGACGCGCAGCGCTGCTCTGAAGAAGGAGCTGGAGGCGAAGCACGCGGAGATCCAGACGTGCCTGCAGCGCAACGGGCAGGCGACGCAGATGCGCGTGACCAAGATCCAGAACGAGCTGGTGACGATCGATGCGATGATCAAGGGCTTCGACGCGGCGTACACGAGCGTGAACGGCATGTTTGAGGAGATGGTGAAGAAGCTGGACGAGCAGAGCGCCGCACACGACGCGCGCCTCGCGCAGATGATGAATGTGATCAACGAGAAGGAAGAGGCGCTGGCGAAGAGCCGTGAGGCGATCGCTGCGGAGAAGGAAGTGATCGAGGAGAAGATCCGCGAGGACTGCGTGGATCTGTACAAGGAGAAGGAGGAGGCGGGCATGCTGAAGCTGACGCTGGACGAGGAGATCGCGTCGCTGAAGCAGCAGCTGCACCAGAAGAACCAGGAGCTGCTGGCGTGCACGAAGCACATCGCGGAGACAGACCAGAAGATCCAACAGGTGCGCGTGAAGTACCTGCCGCAGTTCCAGCCGATCGAGGAGAAGAACAAGGCGCTGAGCGGCGATGTGAAGGCGATCGAGACGCTGAAGACGCAGTACAACACCGCTGCTGGCCGCGTGGAGATGGTGAAGAAGTCGTTCGACGAGGACAAGAAGGCGAAGAAGGAGATCGTGGACACGCGCAAGGACGAGCTGGACGTGATCACCTGCCTCGCGGACGCGCTGAAGAGCTACGATCGTCTCATCGTGGAGACCTTCCAGCCCCTCACCGCCAAGCAGAACGCGGTAGCACGCAGAGAGCGAGGTTGACCGTAGATGTACGCCATGCGAAAGGCGCTGGAGGAGAACAGCATCCACTCGAAGGGCATTACGAACCGCATGCAGGTGCTGGAGAGCACCATCAGCACCAACGAGGCCATCATCAACGAGACCTCCACCAAGCTGCCCGAGCTGGAGCAGCAGAAGACCGAGGCCGTCGCTGCCAAGAACTACAAGATGGCCGGACAGGTGACCTCCCAGATCAAGCAGCTGCAGACCAAGAAGGAGTCGGCCAGCATGGCGTTGGCGTCCGCGCAGGAAGAGCTCAGCGGCATCAAGTCGGGCAGTGCCGAGGAGCTGGCGGCGCTGGAAGCGAAGAAGGCGGAGTACGAAGAGTCGCGTCGCGCCTACCTGCAGTCCTACTACGACTTGCTGCGCAGCAACGCGATCACGCTGCGTCGCGCTTCGCGCACGATCGAAAGCGTCACGCGCGGCGACGACACGTTCCGCTTCGCCTGCCAGGCGCTGGCTGGATCGCTCTTCGACATCACCAACAACGACCTCACCGCCGTCGCCGACCAGCTCGGCCTTCCTCACCTCGGCGACCAGGACGACGAGCCCGTCTCGTCCCCCGTGGCTGCCCAGGCCGCGCCGGACACTCCGGCCGCTCCAGCCGCGCCGGCCGCGTCGCCTGCAGCCAGTGCGAGCAGTGCGGCGGAAGGGAAGGAGGGCGAGCTGACCGCGGAGCGCGCGCAGGAGCTGGCGGCGCTGGCGGAGGCGCAGATGGAGAGCAAGAACAACGAGTTGGACGTGGCGATGGGAGAGGAGAAGTACGAGCTGTGCGACACGCTGAGCGCGGAGAGCGAGGCGTTGGAGACGTACGCGGCGGAGCTGAAGAAGTTCGCGTCGGGCGCAGTGACGGAGGTGCCCGTGGCGCCGCCGTGCTTTGATCCCAACTTCGCGTCGAAGTCGGCTGGAGAAGATATGTTCGCTGGAATGTAAGCCTGTTTTTGCTTTGTGGCGTGTTTGAGAACAAACAAGCGAGCTGCGCCTGCCCAGGCTGGCGAGAATGCTGCCCATCGGCCCCTCGCTGCCCTCCTGGAGGTCCAGCGAGGCCAGGAGGTTGGAGAGAATGGCTTCCTCCTCGTTGAACTCGTTCGACGCGCTGGATCCAGCGGGCTCAAGAGGCTCAAGAGGCTCGCTTGGTTCTTCTCCTTGCAACACTTTGCAGATCTTCTCAAAATCAAACGAAATATCTTCATCTTCATCTTCCTCTTCCTCCTCTGCACCTTCCGTCCCCATGCAATCCACGCCCTCCACGTTCGAAATCGCGCTCAAAAACGCCTTGAACGAGTCCAGCATTTCCTCCCCGTCCGTTCGCTTCGCCTCCGCTTCGATAATCCCGTCGATGTCCTTCTCGCGCAGATTCCCTTCCTCTGCCTCCAATCGCTCGCTGAGCTCCTTCTCGTCCACTTCCACCCACTCCAGCTCTTCTTTCATCCCTCCTCCGCTCGGCCATTCCACCTCGCTTGCCCGTCCCAACAGCCCGGGAATCGCGAATTCCCGCGCTCTCTGAAACTCTCGCAGCGTTCGATTGCGTCGCAGCGCGATCTCCAGCTCTTCTTCTTCTTCTTCTTCTTCATTGTTATCGTTGTCGTTGTTATTCTCCTCTGCATTGTCTCCTCGATCCGGCCGCTTCCACAAATACGCTCCGATCCGCAATCGGCGGCCCACTTCGAACGCTCTGCTCCTCGCAATCCGCCCGCAACCCTACCGAACCTCCGTCGAATCCTTCAGATACCGCGCTACCGCGCTCGTTTTCCGCGATTCCTCCGCCTCGTCCGCCGCGATGAGTTCCAAAAAGAGGAGTTGAGGCAGCTGGATGGGCGCGACGGCGACCGGCGTGGTGGGCGCGACGCGGTCCAGCGCTAGAGAGGCTTGCTGGCGCTCGAGCGGCGTGGAGTCGAGGAAGATGCGAGCGAAGAGAGAGAGAATGGAAGGCTTGGAGAGAAGAGCGGCCCAGGAAGTGGGGAGAAGAGCGAAGGTGGTGTGGGTGTGGGTGTGGGAGCGAAGAGAGGAGAGGACGCGGTCGAAGCGGTGGCGGAGAAGGAGCTGGAGGGAAGGAGTGGATTGGGAAGGGAGAGAAAAGAGAGCGGAGAGACTCTAGAGAGAAGAGGGGGAGGAGAACGACTTGTTCGATTGTGGGGTGGAGAGGAAAGGAGGAATAGGAAGAATAGTGGGGGTGGGGAAGAATTTTAAACTCGCCGTCGTGAAGGAAAAAGCGATTGTCCATGGTTGTCGGATCGACCCAATCGGGAAGCGTCTGCGCTCCCTCGATCAAAAGATAATCACCATCGTCATCGAAGAGCTGAATCTAGGGGAACAACAAAAGAGAATAAAAAACAATCAAATTCGAGTGCTTTTTAGAGAGATCGTATGCAATGTACGCGATCACCCACTCATCTTCGATGGAATCTCCCACATCCATGTCTCCTCGCAAATAGTACATTCGTTTTCCTTCTGTGAGAGGGGATGTAGATAAAAATGAATCGGTCACAAGATAAAACGCATCTTGATACCAGAGATAGTCTTTTGCGATTTGAATTGCTTCATGCATGAGTTCAACCTTCAAGTCAACCAGAGAATCAGCAGTCGTGGGCAACTACAAATCACACAAAGATAAAACCCAAAACACGATGATTTTCGTCCACAACATACAGATTGATCTGTACACGCGACTGAGACCCATCTGGAGGAATGAAAAGAGTTGACATAATTTGCTTTGACACGAACCCATGAGCGATTATCGCCGCAGCTTTGTATGTCTGAAGCGTGAAAGGGGTGCAGAACCTCGAGAAGAGATCGAAATCGCGGTTCCTGAGAAAAGAACAAGGACAATGAATAACCTTTACAATGCGATGCAGAATATGACTTTAGATGGAGGGAGTATGAATCCCGGTAAACTGTGGGTTGTTTTCCATTTCTAATCACAGGTAGATGTACGTATAGAAGAATCGACACTACAAACGAGCATTCCTTACAGAACTATTTGTCTTCCAAACAAGAACCGAAGGTGCAGTCGTCTCACCCAGTTCCAAACAACTTTTCTCGAATGGAGAGTATTGAAACAGTATGTAGATATGTGTAATATTTAAAATAGAGTCGTTTTAGTCAAGCAGCAGGAGAATACCTTACAAGTGGAGACTCTGTCTGTTTTGATCGCTGTCTCGCCATGATTTCTTCCAACAGAGTCGATATCAACCAGCAATTCACTCTTCCCACGGGCGACATTTGCACGCTTCTCTATCTCGCCGTCAGCCGGAAAAACTACGCAGGAGCATTAGAACTCATGAAGCTCGGAGCGGATAGCTGCGTTCTCACCGAGAGTGTTGATGATGTGTAGATGGTAACGAACGAGGGCGATTCTGCGTTCGCTTTGCTGTGGCGAAAGCTCACAGAAAGCGCCGAGAACCTTCCCGAAGCGGCCATCGAGGCGTTCTTGCTGATGAAGAAGCAGAGCGAGAGCGAATCGCTGCGAGAGAAGGAAGAAATGGAAGGCGATTGGAGCGGACAAAACGGAGCGGAAGGAGCGAATCAAGCGGAGAAGGCGGTGTACGACGTGTACATGATGACGGATTCGGTGCCGGTGAGGAACGTGTACGACGGGGAGAAGCAATACTTGACGATCGATGACTTGCTTCTGCACAGCGGGAACGATATCTTCGGAGAGGAGTTTATTTATGAAGGCGAGTAGAGGTGGGAGGAGAAGGTGATGCAGAGGTGAAAATAGCGAGGAGGAGGAGGAAGAGGAGAGCGATTCGAATAAGGAGTGGGACTATGGAGACGATGAATCGTCGATTGAAGAGCGAGAATGGAGGTGAGGAAGGGAGGGAGGAGTGAGAGATAGGCAGCAAGAGAGAGAAGATGGGATGGGGGAGAGAAGGAGTCGGATACAAAGAGATCAGTATCGAATGCAGACGTATATGGATGACGACTACTATGAAGATGAAGATGAAGATGAAGATGAGTATTTTGCGGAGAGTCAAGCAAAGTATTATGGGTATGAAGATGACTATTATTATGATCCTGACTATTTTGAGGAGGATGACGACAACGACAATGATGATTATTATTATAATGATTATTTCATGGAAGATGATATGGATTCCGATTCTTCTCTTTGTAACAAACACGATCTTTCGAAACCGATTTCTCCCTGCTGGCCAGGCAGGCTTCGCTGCTTATTTTCAGCGCTGGACCACACAATGTGTTTTGGAGCAGCGCATCATGGGCAAGCGGCGAAACGAGAATCCGTTTAGTCGTTCTTCTTCTCTTCTTCCGTCTTTGCACATCCCAAAAGACTCAAGATCTCCTATGCATCACTTCACTAAAGAAGAAGAAGATGTACCGATTCAGAAGGATATCTTCCCTCTACGTGCTTCGAAAATACAAGCTTTTCATTCACATAGATATCGAAGGCTGCATTTGTGGAAATAAACTGATTTACCAATATAGTAAGTAACGATATCACCATTAAAACGGGCCTCCATCTCTTTATGAAGAGTAATAGAAAGGCATAGGAAGAAGTGGTGTCAATCTTCATATTCTCAACAACCCCTGAAACAATCATGATGAAAAACATGAGCAGCTGAGCATAGGAGAAGAGTCTCTACATTTCACCAACTAAAAGAAGAATAGACGACGGACAGACGATTATCGACATACCCTTCAAACGACAGGCGACTAGCAAGTGAGGGACAATATTGGCCAATTAGTTCCCTCAAATAGCGCACCTGGTTCTCCATCTGTCATCCCTGGCAAAGAACAAACCGAACAGATTTAATTTCTTCTGTTGTACTCGATTCCTTCAAATCCATGATAAAAGCGGATCGATCTACCGAAATATGGAATGCTTTTCATTTCATTTTTTACCCAAACAAAGGAACATGGAAGACAAGACAGTCGAGTATGCTGCTAGAACGATGAAGTTCATCTGTTAGACTAGTGGATATGAGCCCCAAACCCGTAGAGGGAGAGATGACCGTGGCCAAGTTTTTGAGCGAAACCAAGTCGATTGAGAATGGAATCCAAAGACTGATGTCCGAATCTTGATTTGGGACATAAGATGTAGTGATATTGAAGCCAAGCTGAGAGGATATGCGAATCAAGCACAATATTCACTAGACAATGTTCCAAGTATGTGTTCCGAATGCGCTTTCCTCCATAGCTGCGGATGTGGAGCAAATCACTTCTAAAATGTCGGATCTGATTCAATCTTTGAAGGTATGCCTTACAATCCACTGTCTATTCGATAGAAACGAATTGATGATTTAAAGAATCACATTTCCTCGCATAAGGACACTTTGAACCAAAGTGATTTGAAGTGTGTCTATCCGGGATGCTTAATCAATTAGAATGGAGCAGAACGCTCTGGATACAACTGTGCGCAAGTTGGCAAATGCGGTTCAGAAATACAACGAAACACAGGTGGAATACGATAAAAACGTCAAGTCCCACGTGAAACAAGTATTGAAGGCCGTCGTGAACAAAACCGATCAAGAGGTCGATGAATTAGTCGAGTCTGGAAACGGTATCGAGGCCATCCGCAGTGTACGGAGTTCATTGGAAGCTCAACCAATAGGCGATGATGGGTAACGTGAACGCAACGATTAAGACGAACGTTCGTCAGGTGGAGGAGACATACATGTCGGTGCTGAACATCCAGCGATCCATGGTGCAGCTGAATCAGATGTTTATGGATTTGGCGTTCCTTGTGAACGAGCAGGGGGAGAGCATCGATAAGATTGAGATGAATGTGCGGTCTGGGTCAGAAGGTGATCTCTAGATTTCGAAAGCTGCGTCTCGAGTGAACGATGCGAATAAAGCGCTGGAGGAGTCGATTAAAGAGGCGAAGAAGAATCGAAAACGAAAGTGCTGTGTTCTGATTATCGTTATCGTTTTGGCGATTGTTGTGGTAACTGTTTTAGTACCGTTCCTGTTTTGTGTTTGTTGAAAACAGAGAAAGAGTACATGTGAACAAGATCGAGACAACACGGAGCTAATTCTTCTTCTCTATTGATTAGCAGTCAAGAAGAAACCAGAACTCTATTTCAAAGCATCTCCACCATTCCTTTCTAGGTTGAGGAGCATTGAGAAGTTGAATGGATAGATAGAGGGACGCTACGGCAAGCAGATAGGGTGAGTAATCCTTTCGTTTGTTGCAAATGTAAGAATCCACGATAATGGACCAACCACATTGTACAACTTCCGGAGACACTTCCATCGATTTGCAACAGTTCAAAAAGTAGACATACCTAGCAATCACCAAAGAAGAGCAAGAAAACGGGTGAACAGTCTCCACATCGAATACAAATGTTCGTAAAATCACCTGCTCGCATTCTACAATGCGTTCCTTTGTCTTATAATACCTTACATATGACAAATCACATTAGCAATAACTCTTTTGTCAGTTCCGTGTCAAACGATTTCCCCATTGCTTCATTCCAACAATTTAATATATCACGGATCTTTCGAGTCTCGTCAGCTACTTTAGACGCTAAAAATATACAGGCGGAAGAATATTCCAAAGGAGAAAAGCTAGAGTAAGGGCCGAATGCCTTGAACTTGTTACAGTAGGCAATGGCGGCTGCGATGGTTTCTTGTGACAGCAACAGCCTTACTCCAGTTTTCTGGATTTGAAGCGCCTGCTCATCCATAAAAGCTCCCTTCTCACCAAGAAATAATGGAAAAAAAGAGATGTGTGTGAATCAGAATGAAAGCGTCAGAGAAGTTAATGGATGTGACCACATTGTTTTCCTTTGAAATGACGAAATTGATGAGAAAATAGTAATTAATACTTGAGTCCCGATTATGAAATTTACACTGCAAAAAACAGAGAGTTTAGGGTCATTCGATCACTGAATACCCGATTCTGATCGACCCTTAGAATTCACAATACTTTGGCTACAATGTCTTTCGTTTCTGCTGCTGAACGTGACGAGGTCGCTTGCACCCTTGCTACCCTGATTCTTGGCGATTCTGGCGTGAAGGTCGATGCTGCCGGAATTGAGAAGGTAGGAGCGTTTTGGAGCGGAAATTATATCACAGCTCTTGAAGGCTACCAACATCACTGTTGAGCCTTACTGGCCCATGCTTTTCGCCAAGTTCCTTGGTGAAAAGGACATTACTGAACTTCTGATGAAGCCCAGTTGCGGAGCTGCTCCTGCTGCTGGTAGGGAGTGTGGTAGGACATTGAGCTTGTAGCTGCCGGAGCTGCTGCTGCCACTGAAGCCGCTGAGGAGAAGGAGGAGGAGAAGAAGGAGGAAGAGGAAGAGGAGGAAGAGGATATTGATATGAGCGGTGGTGGTCTCTTCGGAGATGATGATGACGACTGGTAAACAAGTACGTGAGTCATTGGAGCCTTTACCCGTTGTTTGTTGAACAAACAGCCCAAAGCAAACTACTCCCACTCGATCGTGGCTGGGGGCTTGGACGACACGTCGTACACCACGCGGTTGATTCCCTTCACCTCGTTAATAATCCGGTTCGAGATTCTCGCCAGCAGGTCATACGGGAATCGGTACCAATCCGCCGTCATGTAATCCGTGGTCTGCACACAGCGAATCGCCGCGGTCTGCTCATAGGTGCGTCCGTCGCCCATCACTCCGACCGACCGCACGGGCAGCAGCACCACGAGCGCCTGTCCGATCTTCTCGTACTCGCCGGCTGCGCGGATTTCGTCGATCAGAATCTTGTCCGCCTGGCGCAGAATGTCCAGCTGCTGCTTGTCCACCGCGCCGATCACGCGGATCGCGAGGCCGGGGCCGGGGAAGGGGTGTCTCCAGATGCAGTCATGCGGGAGCCCGAGCTCGGCGCCCAGCGCGCGGACCTCGTCCTTGAAGAGCTCGCGAAGCGGCTCGATGAGCTTCAGCTTCATGTTCTCCTTGAGCCCGCCCACGTTGTGGTGCGATTTGATGGTCGCGGAGGGACCGCGGAAGGAGGTGGACTCGATCACGTCGGGGTAGAGCGTGCCCTGCAGCAGGAAATCCACATGGCCCACTTCCTGCTCGATCTTCTTGGCCTCCTCTTCGAACACGTCGATGAACGTCGTCCCGATGATCTTGCGCTTCTTCTCCGGGTCGCTCACGCCCGCCAGCTTCGCCAGGAACAGCTCCGACGCGTCCGCCAGGTGCAGGTCGATGCCCGCAGCGCCCAGACGCTCCATCACCTCCTTCGCCTCGTTCAGACGCAGCACGCCGTTGTCCACCAGCACCGCGTGGAACCGCTTCCCGATCGCGCGGTTCAGCAGCACCGCCGCCACGCTGCTGTCCACGCCGCCGCTCACGGCACCGATCACGTGGCCCTCCTCGCCCACCTCGCTTCGAATGCGCGCAATCGCCTCGTTCACGAAGGAGCCCATCTCCCAGTCCGCCTTCGCCTCGCAGATGTTCAGAACGAAGTTCTTCAGCAGGATTCGGCCCTGCGGAGTGTGCGTCACTTCCGGGTGGAACTGGATGCCGTACATCACCTTGTCGTGGCTCGCGATGGCTGCGTGCTCGGCGTTGGAGGTCGCGCCGATGTCGAAAAAGCCGGTAGGAAGAGCGGAGAGTTTGTCGCCGTGGCTCATCCAGACTTGGAAGGGGTCGTCCAGACCCTCCAGCAGACGCATTGCCTTTTGAGAGTCCTTTTCTAGGTGGTGAGAAGCAGAGGAAGAGATGGAGTACCTTCCAGGCCCTTGACAATACCAACCATGGCATGTCCATATTCACGGTGGTCACACGGAGCCACTACTCCTCCGTAGTGATGGGCAATCTCTTGGAGACCGTAGCAGATACCGAGAAGAGGCACTTGCTTCTCTTCGATGAACTTCCACAATTCTTCAGAAACGTGGGGAGCATCCTTCTCATAAACGCTCGAAGGACCGCCTGAAAATATGATTCCCTAGCTCGCAGGTAAAACACGATCGTACCTTCAGATTCTTTTTCTCCATTACGGTCTTTGCATCCACCAGGCAGGAGAACAGTTCGCAGTAGACGTTAAATTCTAAAACGTCAGAGAACGCGAACACCACTCACCTCGCACGCGACGAGCAATCAAGTGGCTGTACTGTGAACCGAAGTCAAGAATAACAATTTCGTCGTGATTCATCACTCTGGGAAAAGGAATTGTGGTACTTTGGAATGGCAACAACAGATTTGTGTAGAGTTGGATGGGAAAAGGAATGATGGTAATTGGTGTGGAGTTGAAATTGAAGAAGAGGGACTTGTGTGTGGTAATTACGAACATTTGTGTAATTATAATAATGCATGTGGATAGAGAGCAATGATGAAGGGTAAGGAAGTAGATGAGACAAATCGATGTATTATGTGTACAGTGATAAATAGAGGAAAAACCGAAAAGTATAGTGTTATTGAGATGATGTCAATTAGTACACATCCAAATGAGAGACTAATGAATACGATTTAATGTGAGTGATAGATTGGTAGTTAGAGGGTGTTGTGTAATATTGATTTTTCGAATATAGGAAATATGGTAAATCGAAAAATGTCATGACAGATTCAATCTAAACTATAGAATATAGTTAGGTGACATACACTAAATAGTATCAGTTATCTTGTAGTTATGCAATATTCTTGATCATCAATGTTTCCTGTCTAGATAGTACCTGCCTTGATATCTTTTTAACGATAAATTGATATTTTCCTTCGTTCAACAACAATTATCGTTCTCTCAGTGTCTTTTCACAATCCAGTACTGAAGAATCATTTGATTCATGATTAAGATTGTTAATTCTACAGTCTTTCTTTCGATTCAGATACTTGTTCCCTTATGAACGACTCTCTCTATAACACAATAGTACCTTCTTTTTCGAAACCATAAAATTCACTATTTTAAACCACATTATTTGCTTACAGCAAACCATAACCATTCTTTCCACGAATGTTTACAGAAAACAATTCACATGAAAACACAATGCCCCTTACCCCGCTGACTCGCTGCACTAATCCGAACTCTTTTAGCTTCCTGATAGCAAGAATCGTCATCCCGAATACCCTTCGAGCCATTAACCCGAGTCACTTTTCCACCCGTACATTTACACACTTCTTCGTACATCTCATACGGCAGTACTGTTATACTCATCAATAGCTTCTTCCGCTCCTCTTCACGCACTCGGCTCCGTCCTTCCCACGCCTCTCTGAATCGCTTGCACGAGTTTGCAGAGTGGAAATGAAGGAGCACGAATTCATTATCCAGCCAAATCACTTGCACCGTTTCCTCACTCTCCAAATAAGGACGACTCAACTCGAGCAGATCGTGCGTCTTCAGACTCTGCATTCCATTATTCCAGACAAAACCACCCATACCTGCTCGAAATCCGTTATCAGAACCACCGTGTCCTTTGCATCCCCCGACAGCTTCGCGTTTCGCTCTTCGAATCGCTGGTCGTCCAGCGGAAGTCCCATCGAAAGGTTGTACATATTGATCACGTTCACTTCGCTCTGGAACTGTGCGGGGCTTCGCTTGAACGAACTGTCTTCAGGCAGCGGCTCGCTCATGAACGAGTCGAAATTGAGCAGCTCTACGCTCATTAATCGCAGAAAGAAAAAAGAAAGAACTTTCCGAATCAACGCTCAGTTGGTTCGCCACCTTCACAAACAACGATCCGGTCATATAGGCATCAAACCCAGCGTCATGCGCCTGCTGCTCCTCTTCGCTGCAAGCCTGAACCGAAGGCTCGAAGCGTTCGAACTGCATCTCACATAACCACTCCAAGACAAACCGCTTTATAGACGTTAACGAGAGAGAGCGACTCTGGAAGCATGTTGGATAAACTTGGAGTGTGGAGAAGCGACTACGCGTGAATTCCATTGACAGCGATAACATGAATGTCGATGACTGAGGAGAAGGCGCTGCGGACTTGAGAAATGAATTCGTGGCAAGTCGGAGGAAGGCGATCGACGCACCAGTGGAACAAAAACATCAAATCTTGGAACATTTCGAATCCGACCAATGGGATTTTTCGCTCTGTAATCGCGTCGACAATCCGACGAATGCCGATCCGACTCTGAATCTCGCTGATTCGGAGAGATTTGATGTCGGTGATCTTGCCGTTCTTCTCGAAATCCTTGTTGAAAATCACGCGCAGGCGTCGGAGATTTCTCTTCGGATCCTACATGACATCTCCCGACCACATCGACCATGTTGTCCATGTCCAGCTTCACGACGGAGAGAAGATTGCCGTAGCCAGACTCCACTTCTTGATAGATCATTCGCCGATAATAAGCATTCAGCGGGTCCAGAACGAGATAATAGTTGCCGTCCATCGTGTTTAGGGCTTTGCGCGCTTCGTCCGTTCCATTCTGAATCGTGTTGAGCCATGCGTGGATCTTGGGAGTATTCATCATGAAAACCGTATTCTACTTTATCGAATTGGTTGGTGATGAGCTTCATGTTTCCTTTGAATTCCATTTTTTCCTGGCTGCTGGATTTGGAGAAGGCACTCTCAACCTGCTCCAGCAAGGCTTTCTCATCGGCACGACGCAGACTGTGGACTCCATGCAGGAACGCCTTGTTAAAATCAAATTTGTTGGTTTTCAAAAACTCAACAGTGCTTGGCTAGAGTCAAAGCTATTCTGTCTGCATATATACATTTAATAACACAGGCTCGTCGATGTTTGGATGGGAGCAGGGACTCATGTAAATCGAGAATACTGTAGGAACATATCTAAACAATCAATCACGTCCATCCCACAAGCCACTTCTTTTCTGTCCCATTATACTTAAAGCAAGCAAGACCAAACTAATTGCTATTCTTTTTCAAAACATACTTGAAGGGGGAAAAAGCTCTCAACTCTAAATGTGAAAACAGTGCATTTTCTCCCTACGATACTTTTGCTTTGCTGTAACGAGTTTCAAACTATCATTCATTCAAAAATGGCAACTCCTACAGTATCGACTTGAATTGCCTTCGAAATGCCACTTCTATCGAGTCCAGAAAACTCCATATCGAAAGCAACAAAAACACTCTCCTCGATGGATTGCTTAATCAACGCAAATTGGGACTCGAAATTATCCTGCGTGATTTCGACCACTTTCACTACACTGCTCTGGGTTTCTTCCGTCATTTCCAATAAAAATGTATTTTGATTCCAAAAACGGGAATTTGCGATTTTTACCAGGGTTCTCCTATATCCTTCCAACCCCGATTTTTCTACAGAATCGATTTGTAAGCCTTTGATTCTTTTCATTTGTAATCGCCTAGGTCATAGTAGTATATCGGTTGACATGGAGGCTATTATCAAGTCTTTTGGAAAAATGTGCCAAGGCATGGGCAAGACCATTGATCGATGGGGAGTTTCCATGCAGGGAAAGCTTGCGGTAACGGAAGAGCGTATCATTTGCCTTGTTGGTTTGCTCATCAGCTAGTTCTTCCCTCTTGTCGTGTCCTCAAGTACGGAAGTGCCACTCCTTGCGTTAATCGCGCTGCATACATTGCCACAAGTGCCACCGTCTCTGGAGACGTTTCCTTGGGATGTTGTTCTTCTGTTGGTTATGGATCGACTCTGCGAGGTACTACGTTGTATCTCGTGTCTAATAGCTAGCTGATCTTGCTGGAATTAAGGTTGGAAACAATACGCATATTAAGGACAATGTTGCCATCCACATCGATTCCACGATTCCTACCGTGATTGGAGATAGTGTTGTGATCGGTACTCCCTTCTTCCGCGCTTCACCCTAGGTAACGGCGCCATCATCCACGCCTGCACGATCGACAACAATTGTTTGATTGGCGAAGGCGTCACCGTTCTCGACGGAGCTCACATCTGCGAGGGTGCAGCGATCGCCCCCGGCTCCGTGGTCACGCCTCGCAAGACGGTGGGCAGCGGGGAAGTCTGGGCTGGAATTCCGGCTCGGAAGGTGCGCACGCTGTCGGCCGCCGAGAAGGAGGAGATCCGCAAGATGTGCGACGATCTGACGGAGGTAGGGAGAAGAGAAAAGAGGAGGGAGTGACGCGTAGGTTGCGAACCTGCACGCGGAGGAGACGGCGAAGGACTACAAGCAGGTGATCGTGGACGCGGCGGATGCGGAGGACCGCGCGACTCGCGACATTCACTACGCGTACAACCCGAACCCGAACGGAGTGAATCCTCATCGCCGAGGCCTGATTTACGACCGCCTGCCGCCCGAATTCGACGACCCCGAGGAGGTTCCGGCGGTGGTGCATCGTCCGGACGCGAACGAGCTGAGAGATCTGAAGTATGATGTGGTGCAGACGGACGAGGAGGAGTACGCGAAGCTGGCGCACCTTCCGGACTTCGAGGTGGACCCGAAGAGTAAAGTTTAATGCAATATTCTGTTGATTGTTGTTGTGTTTGTGAACAAACAAAGGAGGAGGAAGAGGAGGAAGAGGAATGGAAATGAGAATGGGGGTCGGAGAGAGTGACGTCCACGATGGCCGATTGCATGTGATGCATCTCACCGACGTGATGCTCGATTTCGTGCTTGGTAGCGAATAACTGGTCGAGAGAGAGGCTGGGATCGACTTCAACCCGCACGACCGAATGGCTGCGAATGAGTACAGGAAGGAGAAGACATTACTAGTGAGGACCTGCTTTTCGTGCGATCACATCCACCACCTTCACATTCGATTTGAACGACGCAGGAATCGCCTCCGTAGCTTCATTGCGGATCGATTCGATCATGTTTGGCTCCACGGATAGCTACACTTCACGCAGCATGCTCAGCACCACATCCACCAATTCTTTCAGCGACTTCCATCCCACTTCACAGCCCGTCTTCAACACCACGGCGCCCACCGCCGCTCCGGCCACAGGATCGAGCCAAGGAACACCGATGAACTACACTCCCAATCGCCAGGAGAAGACCTACACGGCCAGACACACCGACTAAAGCCACAATGGCAGAGAGAGCATCGACTCGGTGATGCCAAGCGTTCGCCTTGAGCACACTGCTGTCAGTTTTGCGAGAAATCTTCATCGTTTCTTGGTAGAGCCACTCCTTCATACCCACCGAGGCAAGCAAAATCCCCAGACCGATTCCATCGAGGATTTTGGAGCCGGGAGACAAAGAAATCAGCTCGTGGGAGTGACTTATCACTTGATTGGCCTCTGCCCCTGCACCAAACAGGGATATAAACAGTTCATAGGCGTGTGGTGAAGGAGACAGAGCGATTGGCAATTGGATATATGCACAAATACAGCCCCTGAAGTACCAAGCAAGATGCCGGCGACAAACAAACTGGATACGGTTTCCAACTTTCCGTATCCATAAATCCATTTCTTGTTCGGAGGACGGCGACTGTAATTGACGGTACCTAAAGTGACACAGTCAGAAATCATATCCGATAGTGAGTGTAAAGCCTAAGAAATCAAGAAAAATAAAAACCGGCACATCTGCCAGAAGGGAAGAGGAATTCATCAAAAAACCAACAAATGCCTTTGTTCCAGTAAGGACAACATTCATTCCAAGGCCCACATACGTAATATGTTTCATTTCCTTGGTTTGGAGAATAGGATCATCACAATGTTCGCCATGGTCTCCATGGTTTCGCTTAAATATCTGTGCATGACTTGCAAGTAATAGAATCTACCGATTGAGACGAACCAATTCGACTGCTTTGAAGAAGTCCAGGCAGCTGGGTTCGAGTTGATAGACCACGAAGGAGCACCCCATTCCTCCTGGACACAACCTGCGTCGATAGACGAGCAAATCGCAACATTTTAGAAAAACTTTAAAAATGAGTGTTCATGATCATTTTCCACCATTTCTGTTCTTCCTATTTTTTGTGTCGGTTTCTGTCTAAATCTTTTCTTTTGAATCATTTCAATTCGGAATCGTTTATCTGCACTATTTTCTATGCGCTAAGTGAACAATGACGCTCATTTTCAGAGCTGTATTCCTATGCCAATACTATTGCTACTACTTTGTACGGGCACCATTTTGGTAGGTGCGCCAAAGCTACCTTGCACCAATGGTATTGGAAGTGCAAAGAACAATGGTTTTACCTATCAGTTCATACGACTATTGTGATAGCCTATCCATACCATATGCTCGTTTACCATTTACGTAATGATTCTGTTCTAAATCATCGTGAAATGGATAACAATCTTGTAATCACATTTACCTCGTGATTTTCAAATTATACTCCGAGTATCAAAGCCAGACAAAGTTTGATATTCATATTGTTCTATATCTTATGTTATGAATCATTCGATTCTTGTCCTTGAGGATGACCAATGGAATGTTCGCATGAAGTTTATCTATTAGTGTTAGTTTCAAGATCGGACGTTCACCAGCTTTTACAAGTCCTCATCAAAGACATCAAAATTAATATCTATTTCGATTCTCGGGGTTCCAAATATTGCAAAACTGTTTCTCGATAGTTTGACAACAAAGAACTCAAAGTAGGGATCTGTAGGATATCCAATCTCTAGCCATGTGTATCAAACAAAAGAAAATAATGTTTACCTTTATCTCTTTCCAAATTTCCTTCCTTCTACAGATTTGGCTATTTTTGACTTTTCGTCGATTCCTATCAGCAAAATAAGCAGTAATGTGCCCTTTTTCTGTTTTATCTTTGCTTACTCATAGTCTCTATTAACCCGGTCTTGGATTGGGTTTTCTTCGGTTCTTGTTCTTTGTATCCCCTACTCCAATACACTTGCGGACTATTCGAAGTATCTCTCCCAGATCCACTCCTTTCCAACTCTTATTCTGCACTATGATGTCCCCATTGCAGAATGTTCTTGGTCCTTCGAGAAGAGTACAGCCCAATTCACGAGTCGCATCCCCAATACTCCCCAAACGCACTTTTTCGTAGCTGATCTCCCTTCTTCAAGGCTGCAACGACCGATTGGCTTCAATTTGCCACCCGAGTTTTATTCGCCATCTCCCATCGTCACTTCCGATCTTTACTCATCGGTTGTTACTCTATCGTCCGACCTATTCAGCTCGTTTTCCAGGAGCCGATCGAGCCCAACCGACAGCTTCGAACGTCTGGATGACTCGATTCCTTTTGATTCTGTCTATATGGAGCAAGCCTATCTCGCCTTTTCCTCTCTTTTACAGTCGCTTTCGCTGTCTCTCCCCACTTCCAGGCGTTTCGCCGCGGAGCTGTTCTTTCGAATTCAGCTTCTGAACGAGGGGGAGGAAATCTCGCCCCAAGCCATTCAATCGGCTTGCTATCGTTCTTGCTTCATGCCGTCTGCTCGGATTCGGTCCGTGTTCCACACGCTCTGGACGAATTTATTCCCTTCTCCTACGATTTCGCTGCTGCATCCGACGTTCGGAGATGACTTTTATATTCGGTTCCAAGAACGATTGACGCTGACCGAGTCGATTTTGATGGTTCTGCTCGCGATGCAGTTCAGTCTTCACTACTTCGAGGCGTTGGAGGATTCCAAACTGCAGCAGATGCTGAGGGACATTTATAAAGTGCTGCATACGGAGGTTCTGAAGATTCTTCCGTGTACCGAAAAGCTCCGAATTGACAGTTCATTAAAGACTTTGCAGGTCGTTCATTCATTAGAAAGTTATGGAGATGTGTAGTGAATCGGAGTGTTCGTGAGAGTTAGGAATTATCTGCCGTGCATTGTAGCATCCGAGCGTCACGACCAGCATCACAGCGTGGTTCCGATCCTCTCTCGAAACTGGAAGGGTGTTTTGACCGAGGAGATTTATAGCTGGAAAGGTCCGTTCGTGCGAAGTGCGATCCATGGACTCGACAAAGACGATTTTCTAGAGCAGATGAACGGAATGCTGGCCGCTTCCAGTTCCAATCAGACCGGCGATTTGCTGTATCGCTTGTGGTTGCTTCCCTTGGGATCCTCGCGGCAGCAGCTCGTGCTGGGGGAGAACGCTGCGAGCTCGCTGCTGTGCCGCGTGGTTCCGGTCTGTTTAAAGTGCGGGACGCTGCTTCCCCGATTGATTTCGAGCGAGCGAGCCGCGGAGAAGCATCGATTCCAAGCCAGCGTGGAGGAGTTCAAGACGATGCTCGCGGAGAATTCGCTGGAAGAGAGCGAGCCGGGGAGATGGGTGCCCGAGAGGATCGTTTTTCCGTTGTGTCAGAGCTGTGAACGGCAGCAGCAGAAGAACAACACGATTTTTAACAAGGTTTCTCGTTCTGACGGGGCGGATCAAAGTGTCTCGGAGGATGTTTCGGAAGCGATGCAGACGAATTGGTGTCCGTGCTGCTTTCGATTTCTGCTGTATCCGCATCAGAAGCAGTTGTGGCTTGCGTCGCCATCGCCGCGTTCGCCTGTGGCGAGCGAATCGACGCGGAAAGTGACGCAGCTTCGGAATTATTTCACGCAGAAGGTGCGTTGGGTGACTGGCGTTGGTTTGATTGGTAGTTGAGCGAAGTGCAGCAGCAGCGCGAAGCGAAGAACGAGACTAGTTGATGTTCCTTTGTAGTTTTTTTTTATAAAGCAATGTTTCAATGAATCAAACAAGGGAGTGGAATCGAAAGGATGAAGTGGAGTGATGTGGAATTTATAGAATTCATAGAATCGAGGAGAACGGTCATTGAACAAACAGAGGAAAAGTAGCAATCCAATGGAATGAATCGTAAGAAAGAATGAAATGGTTCGCGTTTGCTCCGTAAAAGCACAGCAAACCAATGCAAGCCAGCAAGCCAGCAAGCAAAACAAACACAATCACCCCAAAAAACGCAACAACAAACCCCCAGCAAATCCTCCCCTTCCTTCCTTCGTTCCTCGCCTCAAATCAACGCATTGAACGACTCCAACACGCTGCTCGCCACTTCCATTCTCGACTGAATCGTCAAATCTACGCGTCTCCCTCTCCCTCATTCCCCACCCTTCGAGTACAACAATCGCAGCTGCGTGGCAATCACCGGCTTCAGCATCCTACCCATCACCCTCTCTCCGCTCTTCTACTCAATGTGATGCGGCAGAACGAACGTCTTCCCGTCCAGCAACGCCGACAAACAAACCACCGAAAAATGCGCCAGCAGCGAGTTCGCAGGGCTGTAACTCGCCGTCTGCGGGTGCTGACGCGCCGCCACGATGATCTCGCCCACGCGCTGCTTACACTCCAAACTCATGTAAATCTGAGGGAGCTTCATTTTCATTTCGCGCAGTTCGTCGACGGTGAGGCGGTAGTACAGGTTCCGCTTCAGTTCCTCCTCGGTTTTCTCGCAGGACAGCCCGTTGGAGAGGTCTTCGGTGAGCTTGGCTTGGTTCTCGACCAGGCCTAGAAGCCGCCATAAGGTTAATTGCTTGGTGTCGGGGATGTGCAGGGGGATGGTCAGATGGAAGAGATTCTGGTAGGTGGTGTCGAGGATTGCGGGGAAGGTCAGAACCATCAGTCCAGAGGAACAACTACGATCAAATGGAAAGAGAAAACGAACGGAAAGGGATTCATTTGGTAACGAACAGCTACGATACAGCAGAATAAACGATCTTGTGGAACCATGAGGATGTTCTACACATAAAATGCACACCAAAAAGAGATACGTGAAACACGTACGAAAGCATCGGGCTAGAAGCCATATCCAAATTGTAGAGAATAAGGATAGAACACTTTCCGTGAGCGATTTGCCTAGAGATCATGAAGAAGCAGCAACTCAACTCGTAGACTGTTTGAACCTCTTTAATTGTCGTGTGCGCTGTAATATTGACAGACTTGATGAGTGCACCCTTGATCACAGCGTTAACGGCACGTTCTAAGAGCTTGGTTGTTTGCTTGGCATAATCAAGCGTGGTCGCATTCTTCGCTGCTTCATCAGCCGAAAACTCCATTTCCAGCAACAGATGCTTCTCTTGGAACAGACATTGAATCAAGCTCCATTGAAAGTAGCAGCGATCGTACAAGTTCCCGTTCTCTAGATACTCTTGCAGATCGCCTTGAAAAAGATCTTCCTCCATTTTTATGGCGATCGTATCTTTCCTGTTTTGAGGATCTTGTTAATTTTGTCATGTTGCGATCTTTTTCGAGTTTCCTACGCAGAGGAGGGAGTCTAGCTCGCTTTTCCTCAACAAAGGTTGTTTTCTCGGAATTTTTGTTATTTTTAGATAAACGAACACTTTGGTGTCAAAGTATCAACTCCAATCTACTATGTGAACGGCGAACCTCATCTTGGACATATGTAGCATCCTATCGTTCTGCCCCCTCACTACTAGATATAGTACGGCTCTTGCCGATGCTATTTGTCGCTGGGAGCAAATGAAGGGGAAGAGCACCTTTTTAACAACGGGAACGGACGAACATGGCCAGAAGGTGCAGAAAGAGGCGGAAAAGAAACATATGGAAGTGAAAAACTATTGCGACTCGATCGCCTCAGTTTTCCAATCCGAACTATCGCACTATGACTTGCAATTAGGCCGTTTTATTCGCACGACCGATCCGGACCACGTAGACGTACCCTTTTTATTTCCCTCCCTTGACCCAAGTTGGTGCACCAAGTCTGGAACGAACTGCAGCGCAACGGAGATCTCTACGAAGCCAGCTACCGCGGCTACTACTGCCGCTCGGACGAGGCGTTCCTGACGGAGTCGCAGATCTACGAAGAAAACGGCCAGAAATTCAGCAAGGAAAGCCGCAACCCGGTGGAGCTCGTGGAAGAACGCAACTGGATGTTTCGGTAGGCGCCCTCGCTGCCTCACACGCAGTCTCCAGAAATACAAGCCGGCTCTACTGGCGTTTCTGCGCTCCCATCGCGACTGGGTGGTCGTCTGCTCGCTCGTCTCACGCGCAGATCGTTCCGTCGAGCTGCTTCAACTCCATGATTCGCACGATCGAAGAAAGCGCGCAGGATCTCAGCGTGAGCCGGCCGCTCAGCCGCGTGCCGTGGGCGATCGACGTGGACGGCAGGGACGGCGTGTATGTGTGGATCGACGCGCTGACGAACTACCTCACCACCAGCGAGACCCGCTCGTTTGACTCGGTTTTGCACGTGTTCGGGAAGGATATCGCCAAGTTCCACTGCTATTTCTATCCGTGCTTGCTCCTCGCGCTGCGTATTCGATCGAATTCGGTGGCATTGTAGACAGAAAGCTCCCCGATCGCATGATCTGCCATAGTCACTGGACGGTGAACGGAACGAAGATGAGCAAAAGCAAGGGGAACTACGTGCCGCTGCAGGCGCTTCGCCGATTTGTTCGGGTTTTTATCGGAATGGGACCTAGATCAATGGAGAGCTGCTTCGCGGGTATTTGCTGACGCAGGACGCGCTGGATCACGATGTGGACTTCTCGGTGAAGCAGTTGCTGCTGACAACGAACGACATGGCCGATGTGTATGGAAATCTGTTATCGAGGTCGCTAGGAGCGAGCATTGCGAAGTCCGTGGTGGAGTCGAATCAAAAGTTTGACGTGTCGAGCGAAACGAAGAGTCGGATGAGTGATTTGGCGGAGAATGTGAGGAAGGAGTTTGATTCGTTTTTGTTTGGTTCTGGATTTCGGCTGATTTTGAATGAGCTGCACCGAGTAGGGGAGTGGAATGACGTGATTGGTAGGCTAATGCGTTCTTCAATGAAAAGCATCCGTGGACGATGAAGAACGATGTAGACGCACTGGGGCCCATTTTGTGAGCATTATGCAAGGCAATGAGGGATAGGACGGATGTGTGGGAGACGTTACGTGTATGCTCAATTTTGCTTCAGCCAATCATTCCCTCGTGTATGGCAGTTTCGGAAGCATTGATCTGTGTAGATGCCGCCAAAGCATTGAAGATGTTGCATAAAGAAGCTTCTTCCTTTTCTGCCATCGAGGAGGACAGGATCGACGTTCCCTCTCTGACTTGCTGTTCGGATCGTCTCTTTCAGAAACTAACGAAGCAGCAGGAGAAGCAGTTGTTGTCATTGTAAAGTGGATTCAAGCTGTTTGTTTTTCGGAAATTATAAAAATAATAAACGCTGATCGAAATACACGTTTTTCCCCGATATGGACATTCGATCTATGAATAGATCATGTTTTCCAACGGATTCCGAGACAGTGATTCCCAGAGTAAATACTGTAACATTCCGAAGTGGATCGAAAAAGGGAAATTACCCAATAAACTCCATTTGCGGGAATCTGCGCATTATGGCGGCAAATCACTGAATGAATGTAGAATCATTATCTAACCATAGAGAGAAATGGATCGTTTTCTAATTGCTTTCTCTTTTCTATCGGTAATCAGTAATATTGTTATGCACAAAGATAATCGCTAGGTTTTGCAATTACGTGCTCACCCGGTCAGTACACGGTGAAGCTAATTCGTACATATGGCGCAAATGCAGAGAGAGAGACAATGGAGATTTGGGCAGGTAACTCGATTAATGGACAAAAACTCCACACTGCCCAAGGAACTGGCTTGTCCAACCAGGAAATTACGACTACTTTCTGTTGGGCAGCCAACGACTACGCTTTCACCCTTAGTTCTACGTATGGATGTTTGATGTTTTTCACAGATAGGGACAGCAAGGGGTGGGATGAAGCTTCTTGGTTTTACCTTTACGTGAATGGAATTGATTATTTGCGTGGCGATCTGTATGGTACTCCCTACAGAGAAATGAAGCTTTCGCGTTCTTTTTCTTTCTCTCTCTTTAACATCTAGTCCGTTTCCTCGTGAGCGAGACATCGTCTTGGAGATATTCGGCGAGCGATCCTGGCAATCCGGGTTGGATCACCTCGATCCCCTCCTCCTGGGGCCAGTACTCTCCCGGCAGCTTCCCTCCCTCCACCGGAACCCGCTACTACGCCCTCCAGACCACGATCACTTCGGTGTACATGTCGCAGCCGGTTCTGGAGGTGGACATTTACACGCGCGAAGGCTTCATTCTGTACCTCAACGGTGCGGAGTACAACCGTTTCAATCTCCCCACGGTGGGCGTGAGCCACAACACGCCCTGCACGAAGGTGCTGGAAGTGGGCGTCTGGAAGCGCATCCGCCTCCCTGGCTCGCAGTTCCTCTCGAGCTCCTCGCTATACGTGGCGATCGAAGTGCACGGCGCCAACTCGGGCTCGGGAGAGGACGACTTCAAGGCGTTGGTGGTGCCGATCGCGGAGGGCGAGATGGATCGAACGGTGGATCTGACGGTGACGAGCTCGATCGCGCCGGGGAGCGAGGACGACCTGGACAAGATCGTGGATGGCTACGCGCGGACGTATCTGTCGCTGACGATGACGAACGAGACGGAGCTCTCGCTGACGTTCACGTTCAACAATGACCGTCGCGAGTGGTTCAATCGGTACATGATCCAATCCTCGCCGTCGCGCGCTTCGGCGGACCCGCGCGAATGGCGGCTGAGCGCTTCGAACGACGGCGCGACGTGGACATTGCTGGACTATCGAGACAACGAGGTGTTCTCTGCGCGCATGCAGCGACGCACGTTCGAGCTGACGGGGCAGATGAAGGCGTGGAACCGCGTGCGCCTGGATATCTTGGCGCGTCTGGACGACAGCGACGATCGCTTGCAGATGGGCGATCTGTTCTTGCTGACCGTGGGGTCGCTGCAGAGCCAGCAAGTCTCGCTCACCTACGAGAACGTGGAGGACAAGTATTACGTGGGCGTGGACAGCAGCATCGATCTGTCGCCCAAGTTTGCCGGATACACGGAATTCCGAGTCAACCCGGCCTTGCCGACGGGACTGACGATGAACGCGAACAATGGACACATCACGGGCGCCGTGCTGGAGACCATGGTCAACCGCACGGTGCACACGATCACGGCGAAGCGCGCGGCGACGGGTCTGGACGAGACCTACACGCTGACGTTGGACATCGCTTCCTGCAGTCTGGATACCATGTCTCTGGTGGAGCTGCGCAAGTACAACGTGGAGGGCAGCCATCTGGACACGTTCAGCGTGACGTCCAGCGCGGGCGACAGCACGATCGAGTCGTTCACGGGCAGCAACGCTGTCAGCATGGACGTGTACCGCCTGTGTCTGGCGCAGGGCACGTACAATCTCGTTCTGGGCAGCAACATGAACTTCGCGTGGAAGACCGGCTCGTACGTGGAGCTGTACGTCCACACGACGCTCTCCGACTCGATCCGCGTTGGCTCGGCGACGCTCAAGAACGCTCCCTCGCAGACGTTCCCCTTCCACAGCGCCGTGGAGCTGTACAACGCGCAGACGCTCTTCTTCCTCTACAACTCCACGGAGCCTCTCAGCGCCGACTGGACCACCACTGCGCCGTCGAGCACGACCTGGGCGTCGTTCGACCCGCACGGCTCCTCCGCGATCACGCTGAACGAGACGGTGTGGTTCTTCCGCGGGCAGGTGTACATCGACAACTCCCACTTCTCTTCGTCGCTCCAGTCCTTCTTCCTGGACGTCTACTGCCGTGCTGGAATGGTGGTGTATGTGAACGGGCAGGAGATCTACCGTGTGAACGTGGCGGAGGGCGACATCACCAAGGACTCCACCATTCTGGGCGGTTCTCCCAACCCGTCCTGGCGTCGCGTGGTCGGTCTGCACACCGCCTGGCAGGCCGGCAACAACAACCTCGCGGTGATCCTGGTGAACGCGCCGTCGGTCCGCTCGCAGCCCGTGGACGCGAAGTTCCGCCTGTACTTCAGCCAGTCGTCCGGCAACATGCCGCACTCGTTCGGAATGGAGCTGATGTACTCGCACCAGCGTGCGGGCTACCCCGTGACGAACCTGGGCGACAGCAACTACAACACGTATGCGATGATGGAGCGCGCGGCGTCGAACGCCACGACGCAGTACTGGGGCGTTCAGTTCACGGATGGCTCGGCGGCTCTGGTGAACAAGTACTGCTTTGTGAACAATGCGGAGGCGGAGCGATGGGATCCCACGGAATGGGAGGTGATCATGAGCAACGACAACACGTTCAGCTCGCCGAGAACGGAAACGACGACAGTGTTCTCGTGGAGCGTGCGCAACCAGCGCGCCTGCTTCTATCTGAAGGACGTATCGAAGCCGTACCGTTTCTACCACTTCGTGCTGAAGGCCAACAGCAATCAGTTCCCCGACAACTACTTCGCCTTGTCGGAGATCGAGCTCTACACGGTGAGCACGAGCTCCATTCAGGACGTCTCGCTGGTCTACGACCCCTCGGTCATTACTGGCTATTTCGGTTTCCCCATTACCACCATTCAGCCCACCACGGAAGGCTTCATGGACTGCTCGTCGAACCCTGCTCTGCCGAACGGCCTTTCGGTCGAGAAGAGCTCGGGTATCATCTCGGGAGTGCCGGTGAGCCAGCAGGCCTCTTCTAGCTACCAGATCACGTGCAAGAGCATTCTGGGCACGCAGGTGTCGACCTCTGTGACGATCACGATCGAAGCGTGCACGGCTCCGAACCGCTACTTCAGCGTGCAGGTGCCGGATGTGGGGGAGATGGGCTCGAACATCAACTTCGAACTGAAGGAAGGAACCGCGTCGAAGATCACGCGCTCCGGACTGATGAACTACCACTCGCATACCTTCACGACCTGCGGAAGCTCGGCGAATCTCTACCAAGTGAAGCTCTCGTCGAAGGACACGCACGGCATCAACGACCGCTACGCGTCGGTGCAGTTGGCGGACGGTAGCGAGCTGTTCCGCCTCTCTGCGTCGGACAACACGGGCACCGAGTCGATCCAGTTCAACCCGTTCTTCCTTGTGGACGGCGCGACCTCGTGGCGGTACATGTACGGCCAGGAGCCCAACCTGAACTGGCAAAAGAACAACGGCACGGACAGCTGGACGAGCGAGGAGCCTGGGCAGTTCCCTGCGACGGACTCCATCGCGCAGTACTACGTCACTTCCTTCACGGTGGCCAACCCGAGCAGCTACGCGGGCGTGCAGCTGCATATCCGTCTGCAGGCCGGAGCGATCGTGTATCTGAACGGCGAGACGATCTTCTCTGCGAACCTGCCGGTGAGCGGCGTGACGAGCCAGACGCTCGCGGAGTCGCAGTACGCGGTGACGCAGACGCGAATCAACTCGGTGGCGAACTCGAAGCTTCTGCAGGAGAGCAACACGCTGGCTGTGGAGATCCACCGCGGCTCTACGATTCCCACGACGAACTCGTTCAACGTGAAGCTGGCTCTGCTGTCGAACAACCAGGCCCGTTTGGGAGACGGTGAGGCCTCTTCGAATCGCGTCGGCACTGAAGGCCATGAGATCAGCGCGGCGTTCGACCAAAACCCGAACACGTTCTTCAACTACGAGGGCGTGTGCGTGGGCACGACGCTGCAGTGGACGTTCTCGGGAGCCAGCCAGCACTTCATCAACAGCTACACGGTCACGAGCTACGACTGTCTGCACATGATGCCTTCGGCGTGGAGTATCGAGGGATCGCGCGAGGGCGAGGCCTGGATTCTGCTGGATGTGCGCACGAACCAGGCGTGGAGCAGCAGCGAGAAGTCGAAGACGTTCTCCTTCTACAACGAGAACACCTACTCGATGTTCCGCATGGTGATCATGCAGTGCCAGACCGCGACCGTGATCGATGCCACCTGCCCCACTCTGGGCGTGCGCATCGCCGACGTCACCTTCCAAGTGGCTTCGGTCAACTACGACACGGTCTGCCCGTCCAACGGCGGCTTCCCTCCCTCGATCGACCAGCAATACTCCTACCTGGCGTGCGACTCCAACTACAGCGGCTATCGTCGCCGCTACTGCTCGAACCGCGTGCTGGGCTCGATCGAGAGCTTCTGCTCGGTGTCGGCTCCCGCCTCGTTCTCCTACCCACAGGAAAGCTACGAGCTGGTGGTGGACCAGGAGATCTCTCCTGCGATCACGCCCTCGATCGTGTGCGCGGACTGCTCGTTCACGATCACTCCGGACTTGCCGAGCGGCATGACCCTGGACGCGAGCACCGGCGTGCTGTCGGGAACCCCGCACAACATCACGGAGTTCGTGCTGTACACGATCACGGCGAGCAACGTGGCGGGCATGCAGTCCATCACGCTGAACATCCTGAGCACCAACGAGACGGTGCACTGCTACATGGACCTGCTGAACGGCTGGGAGAGCACGCTGGTGAACAGCACCGCGGTGAAGGCGTGTCCCAGCAGCTCCGGCTACAGCGGCAACATGACGCGTCTGTGTCTGCCGGGAAGTCCTGCGCGCTGGGACGTGGTGGTGGACAACTGCGAGGTGATCGTGCCGAACATCACGCTGGCCAACACGACGTACTCCTTCGTCAAGAACGAGCAGATCAGCCCGATCGTCCCCGTCGTCACTGGCTACGGCATCTACGAGCGGAAGATCGAGCCCACGCTCCCCGCGGGTCTCTACTTCGACCCCTCGTCGGCGGCGATTAGCGGAAAGCCCACGCAGAAGATCCAGGCGACGGAGTTCACGATCACGGTGCGCAACGCGAACGGCGAGGCGCACGTCACGCTGACCATCACGGTCACCTCGCTGGTGTGCAGCGCGCAGGACGGCTGGGGCGAGACGGACTCGGGCGACACGGCGTACAAGCTCTGTCCCGAGAACAAGGAGGGCGACTGGTACCGCGTGTGCCAGGCGGGCGATCCTCCGACCTGGCAGAGCCCCGTCGATAACTGCCAGTACATCAAGCCCGTGGTGTCGTACCCCAACTCGTTCTACGCGTTGCAGCGCAACCAGGCGACCACGATCACGCCCATCACGCAGTTCTACATCAGCTCGTGGTCCTACCAGGGCCAGCTCCCTACGGGTCTGAGCTTCAGCACGTCCAACGGCCAGATCACCGGCACGCCCACGCAGGAAACGGAAGTGACCTCGCTGACGATCACCGCGGCCAATCCGGACAAGCAGACCCAGGTGACGCTCTCGATCTCGGTGAGCATCTTCAAGTGCGCGGCGGAAGGCGTGTGGCCGGAGACCGAGGCGGGACAGACCGTGACGCGCGACTGCGACGACATGACCCTGAAGGAGGGCTCGATCTCGCGTGCCTGCGTGACGAGCGGCTACAACGTCGCTTGGGCCGATCCGGTGGACAGCTGCAAGTACAAGGCGCCCATCCTGACCTACTCCGTCTCGACGATCCTGGCTCATCGCGGCGAGCCCATCCAGGCCGTTTCGCCCACGATCGGCAATCAGATCGACTCCATGACCATCGAGCCGGCCTTGCCGGAGGGCCTGTCCTTCCACAGCCTGACCGGAACCATCAGCGGAACGCCCACCGGCGAGGCGTCGAGCCGCGCGTACGTGGTGACGGCGATCAACGCGGACGCCCAGACCACGGCGACGCTGCAGATCACCGTGACGGTGGTGGCCTGTCCGGCGGACGGTCGCTGGCCGATCACGGAGCGCGGCTCGGTGGCGTACATGTGGTGCTCGGACGGCATGGCGGGCATTCTGGTGCGTCAGTGCGGCGAGGAGAGCGACGAGACGCCCAGCTGGAAGCCGGTGGACTCGTCGAACTGCGTGGCCAACCCGGGCAGCGAGAAGCCCTCGCAGGGCCAGGCGTTCCTTCGATTCAAGCTGAAGCTGGAGGGCGTGACGAGCTTCGACCCCGCGGCCTACGCGGCGATCCGGCGCGTGCTGGCCGCGGGCCTGACGTCGCTGGGCGTGGTGGAGTCGGGCATCGTGCTGGAGACGCACAGCTCGGAGACGTTCTCCGTGATGGCGGCAGGCACGGCGGTGACGACGCGCATCCGCGTGAGCGAAGAGAACGTGGACAGTCTGCAGGCAGCGGTGAAGAACCTCGCGAAGACGACGCTGACGATGCAGCTGCGGCAGAGCAACGTGGCGTCGCTGGCGACGGTGACGGCGTCGGTGGACGAGAACTCGTTCGAAGTGGTGAACTACACGCTGCTGAATAGTCTGGTGGGCACGCTGCTGACGATCGTGATCATCATGGCGGTGGTGCTGATTCTGATCGCCGTGCTGTTCTACATGCGGAGAATGAGCGCGAGCAAGAAGAACGGACACGACCGATTTACGAGCAGTCACTCCGCTGGAAGACACGGAAAGTCGCAGCATGAAGAGCGCTCGAAGAAGAGTCGACACTATGAGGATGACGATTATGAGGAAGAGAGACAGAGGAAGAAGTCGAGCAAGAAGAGCAAGCGTTATGAGGAGGAGGAAGAGGAGGAAGAGCGCCCGAAGAAGAAGTCGAGCAAGAAGAGCCGAAAGACGGACTATGAAGAGGAGGAAGAGGAGCGCCCGAAGAAGAAGAAGAAGTCGAGCAAGAAGAGCAAGCATTATGAGGATAGCGACTAATTTGCATTCGTTTTGTGAAGGGTTTGTTAGAAAAAAGGTTACGCCATGTCCGGAACCACTGATATCTATGGGTTCAATATCTCGGACGATGACGAAGAGGAATTTCACCCAGGAACGGATGATAATGACACTGACAAAGAAAATGACAAATATGTATCCATTTAAATACTTCTATTGAGAGTAGATATTAGACCTTGATCCAGAAATCATTCCACTTCCGGAGAATATCCATGCGCTAACAAACATGGACACGAGTGGGAAATGACATCGTTAATTCATTGTAGGTCCCATTGCAGATCGAACCCGAGCAAAAGCAAATCCAAATGACGAGCAAGGTACAGAGATCCGCTTTGACATGCTGCAAGACGAGTATATGGCTGGAGACAAAACGTTGGAAGAGAAGGAAGAGTTGTTTTACGAATTCCTATCAAACGGTAGGTATCGCAAGTTTATCCAGGGAGTAATCCACAACGACGGTTTGCTAGACGCGGAAGACAACGACGACGAAGACTACATTCCCGATCCGATCGACGATATTCAAGAAAGAGTACATCGCCCGTGTTTCATTGAAATCTCTAGTCCTACAAGGCGCGTATTTCACAAACAGAAATCAATTCGATCTGCCACGTACCCATTCTCCCCTTCTCTGACCCAGGACCGCGCACTCTCCCCCATCCAAAAACCGATCAAACCCCGTCCAGGCGCAATGATCATCGTTCCCTCGCCCACGCCTCGCCACGTCAAACTGAACTCCGTACGCTCCACGAAGCGTGCTGATCGCTAGATGCAGTCGCTGATCCTGCAAAAGCAATTGATGCGGTTTTGCCAGCTTTGCATTCAGTTATATCTCCTCTGCTCCCGCGAATCGTACAATCACCGCGGGAATCCCAGCTAGACACTCCAAAGCGCAGCTCCCGCGGATTCGCCGCATCGTCCAATCGATGGCTGCGCCACACGCGTCGAATTCGAAAGAACAGTCGCCTCTGAAGTCCTTTCTGGACATCAAACTGTTCAACACGCCGCAGACGTCGCGCAGCCTCTCCGTGCTCAACTACGACGCCATTCTCCGCACCTTCGATCTCATCGACGCGTTCTACGCCGAAACGCCGATCCCGGACCTCGTGTTTCCTTCCGGACGCTATCGAAAAGGCGTTTCCATGTACGGATGGATTCGGTCTGGGACGCAGAACCCTCGATTCGGACCCGACGTACAGCAACGTCATGAACGCGTTCGCGAGTTCGTTCGAGGCGCCGCTGAAGCCGACGCTGCATCCCGCGGCGATGCAGGGCGGGTACGGACAGACGGGCCGGCTGCAGTTCACGCCGAGCGAAGACTTGCTTCTGGCGCTGGGATTGTAGAGAAAAGGGGCGCGTGAGCGAGTAGAACGCTGCTGGGAGACGACTACGAGACGATTTCGAAGGAGCTGCTGGTGACGAAGCTGCCGCAGAAGCTGCGGAATCGCGCGAAGAACAACCGAAACGCGAAGAGCAAGTTGAACAGCATTAAGAAGTATCATTTGCTGTACCAGCAGTTCTCGAAGTGGGATCCCACGATTTACCATCAGATCTGCTCGACCATCACGACGCATCGTAGGAGAACCGCGGGGATTCGAGGTAGTGACGAGCTGGCAGGTGCTGCAGCACCTCTATTTCTACTTTTACAACGAGGTGGCGTTGAAATACTTCTGGCTGCATCATTATTTCAAGCGGGTCAAGCAGATGCGCAAAGAAAAGGGGATCGAGGACAGCGAGGTGCCGTTTTTCCTGACGATTCCACAAACCCAAGTGATTCAAGTGGGTTTCTGTGGCGGATTTGATGCATAGAAGCCCGTTTTGCCGAAACAGATCCCTGCGAAGCAGAATAGTGGGGAGGAGGGACGAGGAGGTGATACGTAGGTTTGTTGCATCCTCTGCGAGCTGCGCCCGATCCGTCGATTCAAATATACGAAAAGGATGTGATTCTAGAGGATACAAGTGATGTGAGGAATCCGGGTAGAGGCGAGGCGTACTTAGCGTCAGGAAAGCGGCTGCACACGAATGAGACGATCGAGAGGGAGGAGTTGTCAGAGGAGGAGTTGTAATCTTCACTGTTTGTTCAAATTAAGTGTATTGTTGCTCGGACGGAATGTTACGCTATTTTCAGAGGCCATTTGCAACAATCTCTAAATGTTATGCTGATGCTGTGGCGAAACAAGCAATCAAGGAGGATGCCTGCCAGCTGAATGTCGTTCGTTACCTAGATCGCTTCCAGCATATCATGCAGAGTTATCATCGCGGTCCTATCCCGAACGTACAATTTGCGGAGTGCAGTGAAAGTGTAGTTTGAAATCGTGAAAGCAGTTGGTGGAAAGCAGATTCCTTGCGGAATTTACGATACTGAGCAAGAGGCAAAGATCGACCTTCTCTACTTTGGAGCCAACGATCCCGACAAAAACGATTTCTACATAAAGCCGTACCTCGAGCCGTCTACTCTCTCAAACTCTGTTCAAAAGCGTAAAGTGGTAACCACCTCCATAAACCAATTTCCTCGCTTGCCAACCGAAGTAAGTCGCTATCGAACCTTCAGCCAGTTCAACCACACTTGGAAGCAGCCGGAGGCTTCGAAGGCGTCATCGGAGCGTCCATGTGCTCCTGATGATGAGCTGACCATCAACAACCACATTTCCTTCAAGCGATTTTCGCAGACGCAGGAAGCGCTTGCCCTGCCTCACAGACGGGGCAAGCAGAGCGAGATCCCTAGAATTCCACGCGGCATTTATCTGCATGGCGATGTGGGGACGGGAAAAAGCTTTTTGATGGATTTGTTTTACGCGAATTGCGAAGTGAACGGAGGGAAGTGCCGCGTTCATTTCCACGAATTCATGCAGGAATTCCATCGAAAACTGCACCACTACAAAGAATCGCAGATCGAACAGAACGGCAGAGAAAGCCACTTAGCATTAACGAGCGAAAAGGACGCGATTGTGCAGGTTTCGAAGCAGATCGCGATGTCGAACATTTTGATTTGTTTTGATGAGTTCCATGTAACGGACATCGCCGATGCTCTCATTCTTTCTCACATCTTTGAAACGTTTTATAAGACTGGGAGCGTCGTCTTTGCGACGAGCAATCATTCGCCGGAGATGCTTTACATGAACGGGTTGAATCGGATGTTTTTCCTTCCGTTTATTTCCCTCATTTCGACGCATTCGCGCGTTATCGACATTTCCTCTTCCATCGATTATCGAAAGTCGCTCGCGCATCCTGTGGACGATGTCGTGCTCACGCCAAACGGTCCTGCGGCGGACGCCGTGCTTTGTTTGACTCGAGTGTTTGTTTGAGAAATAGACGGAATGTTCCCGCAGCTGAGTCCTGCGAGAGCGAAGCCGTTCGATTTGGCGTTGTCGCCAACGCGGGCGATTCATCTTCCCGCAGCGCAGGACGGCGTTTGTTGTGTGGATTACGAGCAGATCTGCGAGAAAGTGGAAGTGGATGATGCGTGTGAGGAATAGGATCGCGGAGCGGATGACTATGAATCGATTGCGACCGCGTTCCACACGGTGATTATTCGAAATATTCCTCAGTTCGATGTGGCGAAGCAGAACGAGTTGTCGCGCTTTGTGAAGATGATTGACCAGTTCTATGACCATCGCGTTCGAATCATTGTCACTGCGGAAACAGACGTGAATCACCTCTTCGATAAAGTGTTTGCGAAGGAGAAAGAGATCCAGCAAACGCTTACAGGGGGAAAAGAGATGGATTTGATGCAGAAAGGACGGCTGTCGGCGATCTCGTCGGTCGTTTTCTCGTGCAAACGAACGCAATCTCGACTGATCGAAATGACGAGCCAGTCGTATCTTCAAGCCCACGCCAAAGCCAACGAAGGTTCGGAGTAAGCGGAGGGGAAATCGTTCTTTTACTTGGAGTGTTTGTTTGGAACTGCGAGTTGTTTTTTTGTTTTACTTTTTTTGTTTGTTCTATTTTGTTATTATCTTGTTTCTATTTCATTTCATTTGCTGCTTGTTCAACAAACAAAGGAACAAAGGAACAAAGGAACGAACAAATCTACATCGTCTGTACAAGAACCACGATCACAGATTCAAAAGGAATGTTGTTCTACATCTCACTCCCTTCCATGCAGCCAAACTCGAATAAACGGAACGTCTCGATTCAGTTCTCTTCCTAAATACAACATTCGAACATGCGAAATCGTCACTTTGCCTTTGACTTCTGGGAACTACACGCGTCACACCGCATCCTCCTCAAGACTCTACATTCTGAATCGTGTCTACGAGTTTTTGGTGCACTTGCGCCTCGGTGATTGTCGTTAAATCGTCCGTGAAGTGGTAGGTGTTGTAGTAACAGTGGTTCTCGGGACTGTGCTCCTTTGGCGTTATATCGGCTTCATGCTGGCCTTTCTTCTCGAACACGAAGACGATTTCTCGTTCTTCGTCTAAAAATGGCTAGACATGGGATCAGCACAAAACGAGTACAGCGCCGATTCGGAAGCGGAATCGATGGTTTTGCGTTTCCGACGCTAGAGATTAGAAAATAGACTTTGGATTACTCGGAAGAGTTAACTTCAGCTCCACATTGCGTGGAGTGGAAAAGCAATATCTTTCGATATTGTAGACAAAACCATCTTTATCTTTCACTACACACAAATCACCAGAAATAACAGTTAAGCCATGAAGGCGTAAACTGTCGTTTGCAGCATCTATATCACCTAAACGATAGCACCAAATAGAGGAACGCACTATTTAGCACAAGATCGCAGCACTCGTGCAACACATTCCAAATCTCTGCTTTTCCTCCCGTGCGACTTTCCCAAAACTTCTATACCATAAAGATAAACAGATGCAGCAAACTTTACGAAGCGTTTGCAACTCTTCTTCCGAAACACTTTTTGCCTTCCCATCTACCTTGTAATCCCATGCTTTGATAGATCCAAGTTGAATATCACTTTTGCTAGTTGTACATCCCATGACCAAAAAATGTATGCCATCTCGAATGCATCCAACAAACACTCTAATAATCGTTTAGAGGAGAAGTTGAAAAGCGAAATTCAAGAGAGTTATCCGATTCATCAAAAATGAGTCGGATGGGTGGGATTACGGCTACAACTAATGGAGTCTGTCCTGCAACGGTCCGAAACCCCGCAAATGTGCGTCGAAGAGACATTGGACCTAAAAATGCTTCGAACGAGTCTAGATCCGTCACCGTTCTTTCCTCATACAGAGGAAGCGTCTAAAAGTGAAAAAACAAAAAGAAAATAAACTCCCGCCTTTTTTTGTGTTTCCTCTTCGTTAAATCGAATATTATATTCTTTTTTAATGCTATTTAGTTTGGATTCATAATTCTAGTTTCAAAATGGCTTTGCTATTTCCTACATTCTTCTGGGATTCAGATAGCTGAGCCCAGAGCAATTGAAGACTATCTCTACTAATGGTGTGATTTTTTCCGTCTTGGTGTCGTATGCATTGGCAGTAATAATCAAAAACATCGTCAGGAGGCGTAGCAAGCTTTGATAGATCGGTGGCTCTCCCAAACCGACGGAAGAGCGTGAGATACATTTCTTTATTGATATTTATGGTGAATGCGCACTGTTTGCGCAATTTTTTCGAAGATCGTATTTGAGTGATAGAAAAACTAGGAATCATGATGGAAGCCAGCACCCACTTCGGAATTGTATCAAAAAAGAGAGAGGCGATACGAAGCCGAAGGATTTTAGTATCATGACTCTCGGGCGCTTTCGTTATTTCTTCTTCGATTTCCTCAGCACCGGATATTCTCCTTCTACACGTTAGAGAATTCAAAAAACGAAAACTTGGATGGAGAGAGTTGTTCATCTAAATCATTCTGGTCCCTATCATGGCTTGATTTTCTTTTTCTTTGATGTAAAAAATAAGCGAATCCATACACAAACAACACTCTTCGAGCATCCCCTACGATAATGCTTGACATATCAGTATGGATGCGCTTCTTGATCGGAGCCCGCATGATATCCCTAGCGAGAATCCAACATAGCGAATCCTACGATGAACCAGAGTAACTACGCGAAACGGGCGTTTCCTCGCTCATCTTTACTGGAACTAGACAATGGAAGTTCAGTCCAAACCCAACAAAGAAAAACTGCCGATTTGATGAAACAAACAATATCCTTATTCCGAATCATCTGTGTACAAGCCAAGATCCTTTTCAGAAAGCTGGATAAAATCGAGAAGAGGCGGAGTGATGACGATCTCCTTATACGTTCCCTTTCTCATCTCATCCTTCATATATTCCTTTATCATTTGCTGATAAAAATGAATTGGGTTAAATCGCAGCAGTTCCAACTCCGACTGTCTCTGCTCCATGCATTTCTCTTCTGCATGCAGCTCGTTCGTCAGCTCTTGAATTCGATTCTATCGCTTAGTTCCACCCTCAAACCGCACTTCATGCAGCGCAATTTCCTCGCGCTTCTCCTCACTCGCCGCAGCATCATCTCCCTGCAGCTCTCCCAGAATGTGTCGTTCCGCTTCGATTTCCTTCGTGTATTGGACTTTCAGGCTCTCATGCACGATTAAAACGGCCACAGAGTTGGTGTTGGGGTCATCACTACATCGCATCCATGCGGTTCCTCTACCTCACGATCTCCTGAATCCGCGTCTGCAACGCATCGCAGAGCACTTCTCGGAACTGCTGCTCGGTGTCAAATCCGTCTAAAAATGAGAACGGAGTCGGAATCGAACCCATGACGACGGGACCGGAAAGCAATCCGTCCATTTGATAGAGAACCTTCGAGAAGGGGATGAATGCGCAGTAGTGATTGTTCTACGATGGAAGAAGGGAGCAGGAAACACTTCTTTGGACTCTTTCTGGTCGGCGATGGTAATCGGATGATGCATCTCGTAGTTGTTGTTGATCTCGATGAGGTCCATTTGCTGAGCGATGATCGTACCGCGCATTTCGCTGGGGATCGTCTCGAATAGATCCTTGTAGGAGGCAATCCGAGAGCCTACGACCGTGCTGTCGTTAATGTTGAGGAGTACGTGCAGAATCGCCATCATTCCGCAAGAATTGTCTTGCATCTAGGAGTCCAATCGAAATACAACCGTTACTTGAGGAACAAATGTTAGGTCGTGAATGGCGGAAGGATCAAGTTGACACAACTCGGCAGTCCTTTCTTTATGTTTTTGGTTGTACGGAAAGAGGAGAATCGCCCCATAGATTTTGTTATACCGACTTAAGAGTTCAGGCTGCACAATTTCGAGAGCTGATACCTAAAATTGTACTTTCCTCAGATGTTCTACTTGAACATTGTGAGCTCCGAGCTTTTCAATAATGTCAGTGAAGATATCTACAATATTGATTTAGATAATAGAATTGTACTTTCATCGGATTCTAGTTGAATATATTTATCCATTTTCAATAAATATGGTATGAGAGAATCGTTTTCTTTGAGAGTGACAGAAACTCTGACTATTTTCTCATTATTTCCTGTGTAAATCGAATGGATACTGATATCGACCTGCTAAGTATACGCTGCTATTTTCTATTGAATGAACAGTTAATTCCCTCTCTGGAATCGGAGTGGAGCGAAATGCGGCACGGACCTTTGCCTCATTTCAACGGGTGGGGTCCCAATAGTATTTTTTTAATTGAGTAGACAGCCGAGCAGCAAACTTCATCGGCCAATTTTGCAGATCAGATTGATATGGCCAATATAGATGATTCATCGTTTGACATGAGTGCGCTTATGGACGCATGCAAAGAAATATCAAAGAATCACGAAGTGGAGGAAAAGCTTAAGAAAACGAATCTGTTCCTAAGGCACGTTATGGACGCCTATGACGAAGTGATTGAAGAAGGCGAAAATGGGAAGGAGCAGATTTCGGAACGATTTTTGAAGAAGCTGAAGAAGACAAAGAAACGAGAGCCGTCAAGCAAACAAAACAGAAGACGTAATTTAGAAAAAGGAAAGGGAGAGAGCTATGCAGAAAAGATGAACCAGAAATTGCTGAAAAAGAAACGAAACCTTAAAACGAAAAGCCGGATGAGTGTTTATTAGATGATTACAGGAAATTGTTATTTTGTTTGTTTGATGAGCGTAATGAATTGTGAAATGAGAATGATATCTTTGTTGAATTTCGCTAGTTGGTCCTACAGTAGGTCTATGAGAATGATAGTGTACGAGGGATTATGAACGGAATGAAAATAATAGAGTATTGACACCTATTTAGTTTTTCTTTCATATCATCAACTGAAATGCTGTAGAACTGAAAGAATCCTCTGTTTGTAATGATGTATATCCTATTTTCAGGTAATAGTCAATGATCCAAGATAATACTAGATGGCCATAACATGATCATAAGAACTGTGAGGAAGTAAAATATAGAATCAAAACATCTGACAATTTCTAAAGATAGATGGAACAAAATGCAAGTGCGTGTTATTGAATTGTGTGTTATAATAACAGGAATGACTCTATGACTGTTAACAAATGTTATGACAAGAAACATTGCTTATAGTGTCAATTCTACTCATTATAACTATTCAATTCGTAATGTCATCATCCTAAATTGCACGTGTACTAAAATGAAATAAAAGAAGATAATAGTTGGATTACACTTATGTTGAGTACTATCAAGGATTTGTGTTGAGTGAGCAGAAAGTGTTGAAAGTGTTTGGAAATCTTCAAATTGGTGCTATTTCATATAATGAAGAACAATCCATAGAAGTAGTGGAAGAAGGAATAGTGGATATGGAGCATGGAAGTCGATTTGAAGGATTGATATTGATAGAAAAAGAAAAAGAAAACGAAGGTAAAATTGGAATTCCATTTGAATATGGTGAAATGTATGATGATGATGGATTCTTGGTGTACAATGGCATAATGATCAATTGGAAACGATTTGGATATGGAACGAGCTATCATAATAATGGAGCGATTGAATATGAAGGATACTGGTGTGATGATAATCGATTTGGAATTGGAAAAGTGTATGATCGATATGGTAAATTAGTGAATGAATGTGAATGGTATAATGGAATTGAAAGTGATACTGAGTATGAGGGAAATGGAAGCAAACCAATGAATATCGGAATGAAACATCTGAAACTGAGTGACAATTGTATATTGGTTGATTGGGATGTTTCATTGTTGTACAATTTGGAATCAATCGAAATCGGCAATGAATATTTTGGCTCAGTGCAAACACTCAAAATCGATGGATGGAATCGATTGAAAACTAACAAAATCGGATACAATTCATATTATTCAACATAATTCGCATTCAATACAATTATTTTCACTACTATGAATTATCGTTATTGTCTCAAATCAATACAAAGAATAAAAAGAATAGTATTGAAACCAAAAGGAACCAAAATCACGCGAAAACTCTTTCACATTACTTTCACTTAGCAATATTCTTTTCAATTCTTTACATAACAAATAAGAATAATGTTGGGCCATGAACAAACAATTATATATTGTTTTTCATACTGAAACTATTTTGTGACATTTCTTGTCACTAATTGTGATATAAAGAAACTGATAATCGAAACAAGATGTTTAAAAGAACAAGTTTGATACTCTTGTTCTATTTTGTTTCGATCGTGTCTATTGTGAGATATTTGATAATTGAAATCGATTCTAAACAAATTGATCGATACACTCGCATTTTGTTCAACACAGTTCCTTTATTTGTATATAACACCAAAAATCAAACTGGTATTGACTCCCTATTTATAATAATATCTAGATGTTTTCAAGTATTGTATTGAGTTTAAACTGATGTATTAGAGAACTATTATCAATAGAAAACAATTATTCTATTCGTATTGAAGGTTCTGATAATACCAAAGTTCGATTTTTGGAGCAGAAAGGTCTTCCATACAATTATGCGAAATCTGAATTGTATTCATATCCAACAATTCCTTATGGTAATGGATATTCGATTATTGAAGCTCCTGAGTTGCGAAATCTTCCAAATTTGCGATTTCTAACTATAATGTTAAGTGATTCGTGTGAACTTTCATTTCGCACGATATTAGGTAAAAAGGTTTGAGATTTTAAACGATATTATATAAAATGTATTGCATTATAATTATTATGATTTATTTTGTTTGATATGCAAAGAATAACGCGAAATGAGAACATCTGAACATTTAGACGATTTCTTTTAATAAATTCAATAGCTCTCTATAAGAACAACTACGTCGAATTACAGATATCTAAAATAGAAAAATGGCAAATGCCGAAATAGAATCCGTAGATTTTTGGGGGAATTTCGGCAGTTTAAAATCTTTTATGCTAATGTCTCCCACCTTTGATTTTTTGAATTCAGCCACTATTAACAAGAGTATTGATAATTCTATCTTCCAAAATGTGCAAGCTTGCCTGAACAAAGAAATGAAAGTGGATGGCTGGATTTCATTCATAATAGACAAAAAAACGTGTATTATCATGAAGTTTAATAATGGAATATTCGTGAATCAAGGATATGTGCTAAGTCGTGACAAAATATTAGTGGTGTTTGAAAATAGTGAAACTTGTAATATATCAAATAAGGTGGATTCCATAGAGAGCGGGATAGTGGATTTGGATCATGGAAGTCGATTTGTAGGATTGATATTGATAGAAAAAGAAAAAGAAAACGAAGGTAAAATTGGAATTCCATTTGGATATGGTGAAATGTATGATGATGATGGATTCTTGGTGTACAATGGCATAATGATCAATTGGAAACGATTTGGATATGGAACGAGCTATCATAATAATGGAGCGATTGAATATGAAGGATACTGGTGTGATGATAATCGATTTGGAATTGGAAAAGTCTATGATCGCAAAGAAAGAATTATGGAAGAATGTAACTGGTATTATGGAATTGAATGTGTATTCTATGAAGGCAATGGAAGCAAATCGCTCAATGTGGGAATGAAACATTTGAAACTGAGTGACAATTGTGTATTGACTGATTGGAATGTTTCGTGGTTTTTGGATTTGGAATCAATCGAAATCGGTAACAATAATTTTGGCTCAGTGCAAACATTCAAAATCGATGGATTGAGTAAACTAAAAACTTTGAAAATCGGCAGGAATTCATTTACTCAAGTTGTCGAACCAATATGGAACAATAACTGGGACGAAGCTTATGATAAAGCCTACAATTTATCCAAGTCATTCCATATAGTGAATTGCTTGTCACTGGAATCCATTCAGATCGGTGACTATAGTTTCAGTGATTTTGCTGGAGAATTTGAATTGAAGAATCTACCGCAATTACAATCCATTCAAATAGGGACAATTGGAAGTAAGTCACGAAACTTTTATGATGGTACGCTGGTGCTTCGAGGTATTGATATGGTCTTAAGCATATAATGATTAGATCTTCCAAATCTACAATCCGTTACACTAGGTTGGTCTGCATTTTGTTATTCGTTGAATACAGTTTTTGAAAGTACTCCATGAGTATGATGAGAAGATTGTATTTGTAGATCTTCCATCTCTACAGTCGATTCAGATGTGTTGGTGTGTTCTTGAAGGAATCAATTATGAAGAATCCTGTTCATTAACTATGCGAAGTACGAATGATATAAATGGGAATGGCTTATGTGTAGATCTTCCAAAGCTAACATCTATTATCAATCCGAATGGATTGAGTTTCTTTTGTCCTCGTTTAGTAACACTAGAGAGTAGTTTGAAATTGGCAATAATGAGTGGAAATAGACATTCCTAATCTTATACATGTCAATCTACCTTTCTCGTTTCAGAAAGTTCAAATGAAATCTATTAAGAGTATTATCAAATGGCTTCTCATTAAGTTTAGATGTTTCTCCCCTTCTCGCTGATCTTGTTCAAATCAAAAAAAGGTAATTTTGTGGAATTGATTGGAATAATGCAATTAGAATCAGTCATTATTAGCAACAATTGCGCTGCTTGTTTGCTTGCTCTTTTGTTTGTTTTATTCCTATTTCTTAGACAACTCCATTCATCATTCAATAGTGATACTGATACCTTGAAACTACAAGTCAAGAAGACAAATATAGGACTCAGTATCCTCTATCTACTCATTATTCCTATTACCATCATCAAACAATTAGTGTACAACAAACACTCAAATCATTATGAATCCATCCCTTCTGATGTCCATCCTCCATAAATGGCTCCACAAATCCACGAAAAAAGTGCTCCGTCAAATCCCATCTCGCTCCAAATCCTTTTTCTTCTCTCACCTCCAAACATTTAACATCATGTGGTAAAATGTGAATATTAATCCAAATACAGTGTTCAAGAAGACGAAGAATGGTTCCAGTCGCATAGTCATTCTGAACCACCTCAGGTCCCCTCATACTGAGTGTAAGTCTGGATAAATAGCCTACTTGACCCAATTCTGTTTGCAACGAATGCAATGCTTGCTAAGAGCTCGCGCTCCAACGGTTAGTTTTGATTTTGGATTGTTTGGAATTTGAAATTGAGCGAGAAGCAGATGTTTTGGAGGATATAGCATCAGTATACTTCCGATTGTGTGACGAAGACCGAGTAAATGATAAATTCCATGTTCCCCAAGAACGGATAAGACTTCTCTCAATTTATCTTCACGCAGAAGTGTTAAAACATGCTCTGAACAAGCATCAAGAATAGAACATTCCAATAGGGAATTATTATATCCTTCAACTGAAGAAACACATTGTGGATAATGACCAGATTCTTTCCAGACATAGAATCGGACTGCTAGTTCAATGTGAGGAGGATGTTCAAAATAGTGCGAAGAAATAGTTCCATTTTCTAGATAATCACGCTCCTTGGCACTCTACTGTTAAAATCAATACTTAGACAGAACCAAACTGTTCATATACTCATCATAATTATCTTCACTACTATGAATTATCGTTATTGTCTCAAATCAATACAAAGAATAAAAGGAATAGTATTGAAACCAAAAGGAACCAAAATCACGCGAAAACTCTTTCACATTACTTTCACTTAGCAATATTCTTTTCAATTCTTTACATAACAAATAAGAATAATGTTGGGCCATGAACAAACAATTATATATTGTTTTTCATACTGAAACTATTTTGTGACATTTCTTGTCACTAATTGTGATATAAAGAAACTGATAATCGAAACAAGATGTTTAAAAGAACAAGTTTGATACTCTTGTTCTATTTTGTTTCGATCGTGTCTATTGTGAGATATTTGATAATTGAAATCGATTCTAAACAAATTGATCGATACACTCGCATTTTGTTCAACACAGTTCCTTTATTTGTATATAACACCAAAAATCAAACTGGTATTGACTCCCTATTTATAATAATATCTAGATGTTTTCAAGTATTGTATTGAGTTTAAACTGATGTATTAGAGAACTATTATCAATAGAAAACAATTATTCTATTCGTATTGAAGGTTCTGATAATACCAAAGTTCGATTTTTGGAGCAGAAAGGTCTTCCATACAATTATGCGAAATCTGAATTGTATTCATATCCAACAATTCCTTATGGTAATGGATATTCGATTATTGAAGCTCCTGAGTTGCGAAATCTTCCAAATTTGCGATTTCTAACTATAATGTTAAGTGATTCGTGTGAACTTTCAATTCGCATGAAAGTTCGAAACAAAACGAGATGGGTCCAACACAAGCAAGGATATCACATTGTATTCGTAACAGGAAAATCGGATTCTCGGTGCAATCAGCAGATTCATCAAGAAAACATGCAATTCCACGATGTTTTGCAGTTCGACCATATCGATTCTTACCACAACCTCACTCTTTCTGTACTTTATTCCCTTCATTTCCTTCATAATCTAAGTCTCCCCGTCCAGTATATACTCAAAACAGACTCGGATTGTGTGGTGAATTATCCACTCCTTCATAAGCTTCTGGATCAGATTCCTCCTTCCTCTGCGTCGAGAGACAGGGTTTACATGGGAGCTTGCAGGCGAAACACCAAATATAATGTGTACGACGCATCGAAGAAGAATTTTATCCCCATCTCACTCACTCAAAATGAATTGTGGTACTCCTATTATGTCACAGGCGGAGGCTACGTGCTTTCCTACTCTCTTCTACCAGAGCTCTTGGTCGGAGCAAGTCATCTGAAGTTCATTGGGCACTTTGAAGATGTGAATGTGGGGCGAGCACTGGAGCTGGTGGGAGTGAAGTGTATCGATCGCTCGAGTGTTTGGATTCATAGGCATGGGTGCCCAGATAAGCAGTCCTGTCTGAAGGCTGTGGTGATGCACCCGAAGCATGATAAGGACGAAATTGACAGGTTTTACTCATATTTAGCGTCGGTTGTTTGTTACCAACACAATAGCAATCGATTTTCATGCATTTCAACACGGTGGCCTTTTCGACTTCGTTACCCCTTTTTTTAAGTCCCTTCTTTACAGTGTGCTTTTAAAACCCTAAAGCTACAATTCCTGTTATTTTTAACTATTTTTCCACTCCTTTTTTATTCCTTCATATTTGTTCACCAAGTCAATAGTGCCATGTTTGCTAATGCTATTCGCACTTCTATCAAAGCGCTAAGAGTGCCCGCGGTGGTTCCCCTGCGTTCTATGATGACTTGCACAAATTACCGCCCGAATACGAATCTTCATCGCTCTCACCCAGGGCAGTTGTATGTACAAAGAAGAACGTTTTGGGGTCCGGTGGTGAGACTTTTTACTCAGCTTGCTGCCTCTCTCACTTCGACTACAATCCGAGCGTTCTTCCAAGCCTTCCAAGAGGCTTCAGGTTTGTTTTCGCTTTGCTTTCTGAGAGTTAGCAAATGCCTCGTCTCAAGGTGACACTACAGCAGCCAACGTGGTGAAGAACATGTCTCTGCGACATGGCATTTCTATTAACGAGTCCCTCGAGATCTTAAACATGAAGCGAGAAGATGTGAACCCCACATCTCTTTCGGAGGTAGTCATTCCTAGTTTGATGAATTTTAGCGGTTCCAACAATATTTTGAGGCAAATGATCCCAAGACGGGCGGCTCATTTTATCTTCAGTCAAAGGTCTACCGTGCTCACGAGGCGCTTTTGGATGAATTGGAGCAATATGGGTATATTCGCGATGAGAATGCAGTAGCACAGGCAACTGCGAGTGCTTCTACGTCTGAAAAGACGGAGGACGCGAAGAAATCTGCCTAATCGGAAGATCTTGCTGGTTTGGGAAACAAAGTGGTCATTAGTCTATATCTTTCTTAACATGTTTTGCTGGAATCATTCTTTTCTTGTATTCTCTTCTTCTTGTAGATGGCATACGCAAGTTCTAACTCCTTATCGAGTGAGCGATTAAGGCGTTGCAGAGTTTGTCTGCAATTAATAGAGATGGATGCTTTTACAAGATTGTAGTGAGCTGCCGCTGCTGTAATGAAGCAGAAGCAGAAGCAGAAGCAGAGTACGCACCGCTCTTTGAAGACACTTGCTGCTCGAGTTCAAGCAGAAACGCTTCGTCTTCCAAATCAGAATCGTCTAGAAATTCACTTTGCTGCGACATTATTTGGATTTGCTCGATTGGAGGATTGGCGGGAGAAAAAAAACAAGGGATACTGAACTTGCCGCACCCCCTATCCGTGTTCGAAATGTGTATGTAATATAGTCAACAGAGGCTTTTGTAAAACAGAATTGATACCTTTTTGTAAAGAGAAACGGAGAAACGGGGTACCCCATTGTGCGGTAGAAGTGGTTCATCTCCGCGGTTTTCCCGTACCTTCTCCATTTCACAATAAATCGTGTAGAGCCGATAACTCATCAAGGAATATTAATTCGTGAGAACAATGGCTACTGAAGCTGAGAATAAAAGTGTTGTATATCAAATTTCCCTAAGAACGCCGAATGGAGAGGAGGAGAAGTTCCACATCTCCTCGAATGATTCCGCTGCGATCCTTCGGAATCGTATTCTCATGTTGCCAAAGCTGGCTGTGTATACTGCTTACCACTTTGAAGTGGAGAATACACAGGGTGGTCAGGACTTATATCTTGATAATTATACTCCATTTAGTGAGGTTCCTGTGATTGGTGAGGGCACAACGATTCTGCTCGTACCGGATCTGTATGATGCCAATTCTATTCGTTACCAGATCAAGAGATCGGTCGCCCTGCTTACAAACAAGGTCCCACAGATCAGCCAACTCGTAAAGCTGAACAACGAAGAGCTTCCTGAGTCCCTGAAGGACTATGTGACTCAGATGGAGCTGCGTGCGAAGCAAATCGAGGAGAAGAAGGATCCTCAGCCTTTAGATTTAAAAGTCCGTGTGGATGAGAGTATTGCGGAGCAAGATGCGGCCTTTAAGGAGATGTCGATGAAGAACTGGGAGGCGGAAAAGAGAACCGATTTGGAGAATTTCATAACGTTGTTCAAGTCGCTCAACGAGGAGAAGCCTGTGCCCGTGAAGAGTCTGTCTCTTTCTTCGTACAACCCGCCTTCTTCTTCTCGCCGCGCCCTGGGCGATCTGATTTACCTGCGTGTAGGTCTCGTCTCCCTTCTCGAGTCTAGATGCAAACCGCGGAGAACAACGTGTTCCACATCACTGGTAACGTGGCTGGTTTCTACGCCAACGCCTCCACCGATTCGGTCTTCAGCCCTGCCAACAACAGCAGCTATCCGGTCGTGTACCCCACTCTTCCTTCCATTATGTGCGCTCTCTCGTCGGGTTTCAAGCAGTGGTACACTCGCTCCTTCCTGAACGTCCGCAGCAGCAACATCTCGACCATCATCCGCTCGCTCCCGCTGCTTCCTTCGCTGGAGAACAGCAGCAAGGGCTGGTTCGCCTCGGAGGAGAAGGACTCGACCAATCTGTTCGATTATGCGGATCAGATGATGAGCGACTCGCTCCCGCTCCCCTTGCTGAAGACGAAGCAGGACGAGCACTGGATGGCGGAGTACAACTCCGTGAAGTAGGGGCTGTGGCACGCGATCGAGTGTAGATCGGCGGCGCTCTCGGCGGAGATGAAGACCTCGCTGGTGCTGACGAAGGAACAGAGCTTCGCCGCGGCCGCGGTGAAGGCGGTGAAGGCGATTGTGGACGGTAGGCCGTGGAGGGGCGAGTGCGATGGCAGAGGGCTTCGTGTCGATTCTGTACAGCGACAAGCAGCTGAACTACGCGGTGGACGACATCTTCATCTCCTACGTGGGGAACAAGGACAGCGTGTTCGCGATCAGCGACTGCAACGAGGAAGTGACCTGCACGCGCGTCATCAACTCGCTGGGAGTGGACGGTCTGCACACCTGCCTCACTGCCTGCGTGGACTACAAGGGCCGTCGCTACCTCGCGCAGTCGTCCATTCCGGGCATCACCAACGTACGATCCGGTTCGCTCTCTCCTCACGCGTGCAGATGGCCCCCACCAGCATGATTCTCTGGGGATCGCTGGACAACGGCTCCACCATCTACGCCGACGCGCGCGTGAAGCCCACCGTGGAGAAGCTGGCGGAGAAGCTGCACTGGGCGCACTCGACGGTGACGCCCACCGCCAAGACGGAGACGATCGAGACTCCCAAGATGGTCATTCCGGAGGCCGACGCCTCGTCGGACGTGCACGACAAGCCGGAGGAGACGCTCGACTTCCTGGGTCCCGTGGAGGGCCGCATCGTGCGTGGCGGCGACAACGTTCTCTACGCGGTGGACTATCTCCACATCGCCCCGGTGGACGCGCACTGGACCGAGGCGCACGCGTCGATGTTCCCCAGCACGAAGAAGGAGGTCTTCCGCCATCGCCAGGCCATCGTGGTGCAGTGGCTGGTCCGCAAGCAGGCGCTGGAGGCCCAGCTGGCCGCGTTGAAGGAGGCGATGGCCAAGGGCGAGACGGTGGAAGGCGTGGAGGCCTCGCGCGTGGAGGAGGTGGAGAAGGAGCGTATTGTTCGAGCAGAGTTGTGAGTGTAGTGTCCCAGACGCCCTCCGCCTTCGATCCCAACGCGTTCACTCCGTTCTGCAAGCCCGGCTGCGCGACCGAGGAGGACGTGCGCTCGCTGTCGGTGCTGCTGACCGAGTCCTTGCTGCCCAAGCTGAAGGCCGCGATGCTGGAGAACGTGCAGAGCTACACGGAGACGTCCAACCTGGTGACCGATCTGCACGGCGCGGCGGTCAATGCTCGCTATCTTGGAGAGCTGGCCGCTAGCTGCGCGAGCAACGAGGCCTCCGAGAAGGAGACGGAGCTGCGCGAGCTGTGCGAGGAGGAAATGGTGGCTCGCTCGGTGAAGCACGTGCTGCGCGATCTGATGAGCAACGAGGTGCTGAGCGGCGCGGCGGCCTTCGTGACGGTGGTGGTGCTGAACAGCCTGCTGAACCAGCAGCGCAAGAAGGAGATCCTGGTCGGCGGAAAGGACAAGAAGAACCGCAAGGTGCCTTCGCTGGTGGCGCAGAATCTGATCCGTCTGGGCCTGACGGTGCGTTTCTGGAGGGCGGGTGAGAGATAGGCGAACGCGGTGTGGCTGCGCATCGAGGAGGACGTGAAGCGCCACTTCCACTACACGCTGGGTCTGTGGGGCAAGCAGACGATGACGGTAGGGAGCCGGGGAGGCTGCTGACGGGCAGGAGACGCAGCGATTCCGCCTGCTGCGCCGCGTGTGCACGGAGAACGGCATCCAGCTGGAGGCCACGCAGTACGACCTGAGCGACGACTACGTGCTGCGCGTGGAGAACATCATGGAGTTCGTGCCGCGCGTGAAGTTCGCGATGACGCCCTCGATCGACGAGACGGTAGGCCCGCTGCCGTCGCCTGAGGGGTGTAGTGCGCGGAGGTGTACCAGACCGCGCTGCTCCAGATCAGCGAGGGCAACTTCGCGGTGGCGTACGAGCTGGCGAAGCAGTGCTTCCTGCAGCTCATCTCGGCGCACTCGCAGCTGCACCCGCAGATGATCGCGCTGCTGGACCTTATGGCCACCGTGCTGACCTCGGTCAACGACCTGCAGAGCGCGCTCCCGATCGCGCGCGCCTCGCTGTACTGCAGCGACGTGATCTACGGCAAGGACTCGATCGAGAGCGCCAAGCGCCACACGCAGCTGGCCTCGCTGCTGTACCGCTGCAACTGCCCGTGCGAAGCCCTGCTGCACAACCAGCTGGCGCTGTGCACCTACCAGTCCCTGTACGGCCCGGACTGCGAGGAGGGCAAGCAGATCCATCTCAACCTGGGCATGTGCTACATGCTGCAGAGACAGCAGGAGAAGGCCGTGGAGGCGATGCGATGCGTGATGACGCTCAAGGACACCACCGGCGACGACTACCTCAATGCTGCGTTCTACGCCACGGTGCTCTATGCGTAGGGGAGAGCGGGGCCGGTTAGCTGTAGGGCGCTGAAGAAGGAGGAGGAGATGAAGGAGAGCAAGCAGTGTCTGGAGAAGGCACTCGAGGGAAAGAGCGAGGACTTCCGAAAGGCGATGATGGAGAATCTGGAGAAGCAGTTGAAGGATTTGCATTAAGGGTTTTATGGTTCTTTTGTTTGTTTTGGGATCCCACGTTTTTGAAGGGCAGAAAGATTTCATGTCCTGATTTGGGGACAGATATTATACGATTTGCAGAAATGTCATCGGATATTGGTATCTACGGGTTGTCGACGCGAGCCATCAATTTGGCATTGAATTTTGCAGCAAAGGGACTGAGTGTGTCGATTGGACACCGCTCCTCGGATTTGGTACGTGGAATACCTTATACATGAATGCTAGATTAAGGAATGCACGCACCAAGCCGAGAAGAAGGATCTTGACGAGAAAATCACAGGAAAGAAAGATGTAGTTGATTGGATAGTAATTTTGAGGTCTAGGTAAATGGCTTTTGCGATTCGCTCAGTTCCCCAAAGAAGGTTATTTTGATGTCCAAACCTGGAACCAGCGCAGAGAAAAATTACTCCAAAATCCTTGCCGCTCTGGAGGTACTTACGGTATTCCCCAAACTGAACTTGTAGGAAGGTGATCTTCTGATCGACGCCACGAGCGAGGGCTACGAAATCAACCTTCGTCGTGAGAAGGAAGCAGCCGAGAAGGGCGTGCGTTTCCTGACCATGGAGATTTTGGGCACGACCAAAGAGCTCCAGAAGGGATGCGGCTTCCTGCTCAGCGGCGAGCGCGAAGCGTACGACCTCGTCGAAGGTCCTCTGAAGAAGGCTGCGACCGAGGTGGAGTACGAGCCGTGCGTGGCGTACATCGGCAACTCTGTGAGCGCTGGATACGCGGGCATGGCGCTGTCGAGTCTGGGTCTGGGAATGGAGCAGCTGGTGGCGGAAGCGTACCATATGCTGCACGAAGCGGGCTTCACCAACGAGGAAGTGAGCAAGAGCATCAACGGGTGGAACAAGGACTCGCTGGCAAGCCCCTTCCTCGAAAACCTGCTGCACATCCTCAAGAAGAAAGACCAGGACGTGGAGGGCTGCGAGAAGGGCGAGGGATCGCTCCTCGACAAGGTTCTGGACTGTCCGCTGCCCCGTCCCGACCACTCCACGCTTCTCCGCGAGGGCTTCGAGCACCACGCGGCGATCGGCGCTCTGACCGCCGCCGTGCAGGAGATCGCGGTGAGCGCAAAGCGCGAGGAGCGAAGCAAAGGTGCGCTTGGATTGGGAGGCTGATCGGTAGCGGCCACGCTGTGGAACGGCCCCGAATTCGACTGGCAGAAGCTGGACCACGTGCAGCTCATCGAGGATCTGCGCAACACGTTCGTGTGCGGGCAGCTGGTGCTCGCGACGCAGACGTTCGCGCTGCTGCGCCGCGCGTCGGAGGACTTCAGCTGGGCGATGAAGCTGGAGGAAGTGGGCCGCGTGGTGGCGGGCGCGGCGTCGTTCCGCTCGGGATTGCTGGTCGTGTAGGAGGAGAAGAAGAAGAGAGAGGTGACGCATAGGCTGAAGGAGAGCGTGGAGAACGGAGATTTGAGTTTGCTGCAGAACGAGGCGGTGAGCGAAATCCTGCAGAAGAAACAGGCGTCGTGGAGACGCGTCGCGGCGCTGGCGGTGATCGGAGGCGTGTCCGCGCCGGTGGCGACGGCGAGCTTGGCGTACTATGATACGATGCGACGCGATAAATTGCCGCAGAACGTGGTGGTGGTAGGAGAGAACGAGGAGGGATGAGGGACAGGCGATGCGGGACTTTTTGGAGGCGAGCAGCTTCGAACGAACCGACTGCGCGCGCGGAATGACGTACCATTGCGAGTGGACCAAGGAGACGAATTGGCTTGTTTGTTGGAACAAACACTCGATTTGCTACGCTTGTACACGACTTCGCCGGAGGCGGTCACGCCGTAATGGGGATCCACAATGATCCCGCGAGCCAGCATAAAAGAACGATAAAAGTTCGAGCACTGATAGCCCACTCGATGCGGCAAATACGTCGCAAATAAGCCCCACTTGTCGCCACACCCGTTCTGCTGCGCTGTGAGGCAGAAAATGCGGATTTCCTCATCTGTCCAATCGCCTCCCCATTGCTCCTCATCTAGGTCGAAAAGAATGAATACAGGATACGCGGAGCAACGTGGCGGTAAAAGTAGCTGTTGGGATTCGTGAAAAAACTATGACGAGCTCGCTCCCTTGCAGATTTCTATGGGGACAAGAGGAGAGGGAAAGAATACGGCTGAGAATTTAGATCGCGATTTGGAAGAGGATGAAGTGGAATGGAGTACGACTGTGTTTGAAGTGGGTGGAATAGTGCTGGTTGAGGAGGAATCGTCTGGATTTGACGATTCTGCTAGTTCTGCAAGGGTTTCAAGTGACTTGGAGGGAGTTGCAGGGTGAGACAGAAATTCCTCCATAGTGCGGGGAAAGCCGAATTTCTCGCACAATGCCGGATTGATCCACCTTCATATTATTTCGAGAAACAACGCAAACCCGTGGTAGGTTCCATCCACGTGAATGGGAAGTTCAATGCCATCAAAAATCTCTTTTTTAAAAAGTTCAGAATCTCTGTTTATCATTCGAATTGGTTTCGTTTCTGGTTCTTGCGAGGCTGGCTCCTTTTCGGGTGTTTCATCCGATAGCACAATTTCTGGTTTTAGTCCTTGTATCCGTCTATTTATTATATAAGAGAAGGCGGAAAATCCCACCTTGACTTCCGTCTGTTGCTTTCGTCAATTTCGATAGGTTTCCGTTTTTTTCTTTGCTTTTTTTCTGGCTGAATAGACGTAACAATGGATTCGATATCTACATTCAAACGAAAGCAGATGGCGCACCGAGCTCCTTTAGCATATCAGATCGCTTCTTTAGCATCTCATTTCTCTTTTGCAAAAGCTTATTTCCATCCATTCTATCCACTCATAAGGTGTTTCAAAAGAACATAAAAGGCTTCTATAAAAATAATATTCTGTTTTCAAACAAAAAACCATTCCCACTCAAGCTCACATGTCTGTTTTCATCAGAAAAAGTGTCTACAACATTCCCCTATAAACTGGCTACATGATTCCACACCGGACGAAGTGCTTCGTTTCATGTCACTGCCATGACGAATCATTTATTGGAAAATGAATTCCACAGTTAAGCTTTTCAATTCGCAAGAACTAAATGTACCGATTCTAGTCTTCGTCAAGGAAATAGGAGCTGATAGGTGAAGATTATGTGCACGATCAAGATACTATCGAAATGCTACGTGTGGTCTTTCACGAAATGGAGGGTAATATCCAGGAATGCGTGCAGAGCTCTTTTCCTGCAGATGTAGTTTCTCTCTTTCTGTTTAGTATGGGAGATAGAGTCTATTCGAAAGGCTGTGCATCAGCTAAAGGGGGTGAGTTTCTTCGATCGACTCCGAGAAACAGCCATCGCAATCTATAATTGTGTGTATCACTACAATGGTAGAAATAGGGAGAATCTAGAGTAAAGAAAAGAGGCTACAGCAGAACAGAAGGAACAACTCACGCAGCAATACCAATATTTGTTGTCCGTTCTACAGACTGTATTCAAGGATACAAAGGATTTGCTTCGAGTGAAATTTGGCACTAAAGTATGTGACATGTCCCCTGTTTTCCCAACACACTCTATGAAATATATCCTGTCTTTTTAAACCTTTTCCAATCTCCATCACAAGTAATACTGCAAAATACCCTCGAATTCTGTCAGTATTATCAGTATTATTTTTACATTTTGTATGAGCAAGCTTATGTCCGAGACCAACGAATTAGTAGATTATAACGAGGAGGAAGATAATCAAGTTCCAGCTGTTCCATTGCAAGAATCACAGGAAGCGGCCAACAAGTGAGGTGTTTTTGGATGAGCTAAGCTGTAGGGGTCACTATGCCGGAGTGGGAGGTTCTGGGTTTCAATCCTTTTTCTTGAAGGAAGAAATCATGAAGGCGATATCTGAGTGTGGATTTGAGCATCCCTCTGAGGGTATTTTTTATTTTTTGCGTGTGATTTCCTAGTTCAGAGCCAATGTATTCCTAAAGCGCTTATGCGAGGAGATATTTTGTGCCAGGCACGGTCTGGCATGGGAAAGACGTGCGTCTTTGTGATTTCCGTATTGCAAAACATCAAGCACTCCGATCATGTGCGTTTTTTCCCATCGGACGCTCACACACAGACCACCTGCGTCGTCTTCAGCCACACCCGCGAGATGGCGATCCAGATAACCCGCGAGTTTATCCGTCTGGGCAAGTATCTCCCAGACATCGTCATCAAAACGGTCTTCGGCGGCGTTCCTCTCCGCAAAAGCATGGCCGACATCAAGTCCGGCTGCGACATTCTCGTCGGCACGGCGGGCCGCATCGCGGACTTGGTGCGTCACAAAGCCTTGGACACGAGCCAATTGAAGTTTTTCGTCGTCGATGAGTGCGATCGGCAGATCGAAACCCTCTGTTTTCCTTTTTTTCCTTTCGCTAATGCGCAGCGACGCGCGCAGATATTCAGGAAGTGTTCAGAAGCGCGCCTCTGGACAAGCAGGTGTTAATGTTCACGGCGACGCTCTCTGAGAACGCGAAGGCGTCGTGTTTGAAATACATGCGTAGCGTAGTCGTTGGTTTCGAGCTTTCAACGCTAGCCGCTCTGCATCGAAATCGACGACAAAAAATTGACGCTGCACGGCTTGACGCAGTTCTTTACACGTGTCACGGAGGTGGGTTTGATGGCTCGATTCGATTGGTAGGGACAGAAGAATCGCCGATTGACGGAGTTCTTGGACAACTCGGATTTCAACCAGGCCGTGATTTATGTGTCCTCCAACGCGCGTGCACGCGCGCTGCAGAAGCTGATGACGGAGTGGTGCTTCCCGTGCATTGCGCTGACGGCGAACATGCCGGTGGAAGAGCGAATGCGCCATTTTATACAGTTTAAGGAGGTCAAGACACGAATCCTCATCACGACACAGGTGATGGGGAGAGGAGTGGATGTGGAGAAGGTGAATATGGTGGTGAACTACGATTTCCCGCCCAGCAGCAATGATTACCTGCATCGAGTGGGAAGAGCGGGACGGTTTGGCACGAACGGAGTGACGATGTCCTTTGTGAGCAGTGAGGAGGACGAGAAGGTGCTGGCAGAGGTCGAGAGCCGATTTGAAACCCACATGCACGAGATCAAGGGAGCAATCACGAAGGAGTCGCTGGTGGTTTAAAGTTGTTGAACGTTGGGTTTGTTGAACAAACAAACGTGATACTCACAACATAGCCAGGTGCTGATGTTTATTCCTTCTTGTTGTGCTTCTTAGAGTAACGCAGATTGCGAAGGAACTTGGGATCAACCTAGAGCTCAAAACGCTGCACTGTGCCTACGCCCTTCATGGAACGAGTACGCTGACGCAGAGGCTTCTTGATACCATTCTTATGGTTCTTGATACTCTGATTGCGGGCGGTATGATGCTTTTGCTTCACCATTCTAGAAAATGGTAAGAACCACTGCACTCAAATGCACATTGCACCTATGTGCTTTCTCACTCTCCAGCTGACGAAAACTTACGTTTTACTACTCTATGTTGTGAAATAGTTGCGTTTATGGATAGAAGAACCGATAATAATATGGCCCCTAATCTGATAGCTCTTCTATAAAATGTGTGAAACAATCGGGTCGTCTTCATTCGAAACTCCTGTCCCCTTTCGATTTCAACAAACAGAGCAAACATCCAGTAAAACTATAGAGCTATCTCTCGTCATCGACGATGGCAGTTGATCCTCGCTAAACACTTCGATGCTGCTTTCATACCCATTAATCACTTTCACCCAATCGTGATCTTCGCTGAACTGTAAAACACAAAGCACTCTCTTCTCATCGCACACCATTCTCCACAGAGAAAACACAACGTCCGGGTAGTCATTGGATACCCTCTTCAAGATGAGCGAGATGAGAGGAAGATTCTCAAAGAACGTGTCTTCTTTCGATCGACTGTACGATACGCACACTTTGCATATATTCTGTGACCGTTCCATTCGTCTCTGCGACTCCTCCGCGAAGTTGATCAGATTCTTCAGTTCCTTTCTACATTCCAAAAATCGGGACTATTTTACGGATCGGTTCCGCCGATGTCCTTATAACTCGTGTTTGGTTCGGTCCACTTCTCGCTGAGCTGCACATCCGCAAATCGTCGAAAAGAGTTGTCCATGAGGGCAATGCATGTGCGCAGTGCGTTCGTGTTTTTAACAGCCCCAGTGTCCATAAAGGTAATCGCTGTGTTAAGAGAAGGTGGAAAAGAGGTACTGATCTTCCCTGTTTTGGAGGATTCCTCGAAATCGGAGTTGTTTTCTAGAGTGAACAGAACGGTCGGGAACTTTTTGATGATGGTGAAAAGGGAAGGGAGGGTGTGGCTTGTGGGTTTGCGTTCTGCGTTGAGAGAGGGAAAGAGAAGAGTACCGAGCATGTTGTCGAGAAGGGTCCAGCGGGTTGTCACCTGGATGGAGTTTTTGTTGAAGCTGTCCAGCATTTTGAAGAGAATATCAGTCTTCGCCGCTTTGAGCTGCAGTTTCGCAGCCTCGGTGAGCAGTTTGGACTCGTGGAATGAAGGAAAACAAACAGGGAGTTGTGAGTAATGCAGATCAAAACAAATCAAGTCGACTTGATTTGATTTGATCTGATTCATTCAATTCATTCAATTCATTCATTTCATTCATTCATTCATTCATTCATTCATTTCAATCATTTCATTCATTCATTCATTTCAATCATTCATTCAATTCATTCAATTTATTCAATTTATTCAATTCATTCATTTCATTCATTTCATTCATTTCAATCATTCATTCAATTCATTCAATTCATTCAATTCATTCAATTTATTCAATTTATTCAATTCATTCAATTCATTCATTCATTCATTTCAATCATTCATTTCAATCATTCATTCAATTCATTCATTCAATTCATTCATTCATTCAATCATTTCATTCATAGGATATGAGAGCGTTTCGATCGTATTCAGACATATCTTCCCAACCATCAAAATACATTTTGAGACTGTCCGAGAACTTCAGAAGTCCTTCGTAGTCTACATAGCACGCTTTGCACCGATCCATACTCGGATTCTGAGAGCCGTGATCTGTTGGATCCCAATTGTCCAGCAGACGAAGACTTAACTGAGTCAGACCATCTCCGTTTTGAACTACACCTCGCCTTCCATTAAACAAAACTACTCCCAGGAAGGTCCAGAGGAGGAATTGACCATAAAGCCTGCGGATCGGACCATGTGTTACTTCCTCCTTCCCAACGCGTCGGACTGACTGCAGGCTCTTGATGGAAGATCCGAGTCTGGAAGCTAGGATCTTCGATGGGAGGGACAGGGATGGGGTCGACAGGAAGAACAGGCTTCGGAGAAACGGATTCCGCGTGCATAGACTGTTCCATCATTGCTTGTTGCCGTAACTTGTTTTGGCGAACTTTATAAACTTTGCAATGTACATGTGGAGGAGGCTTCGTGCAGTTACATACACAGCAGCAGATACCCAAACAGCGCGGACATTTAAAACATGGATCATCTGCTTGCGCTGTGATATGGAACTTGCGGTTGAGCTGCTGAAGACAAAATATCCGGTTGCAAAGCGAACATTTTACTCTTCCAAGCCGTTGGCCGCATTGGACCTTACCGCACAGATGGCAAGTCTGCGAACCTTCTTTTGCTTCATCTTTATCCATCTTTGAACACACTTGGGTTTAAAAAGTACAGAAAAACAAATAGGTCTTTAGATTCTCGGAGGTGAGACTAAATTCAACACGAGAAACAATACTTGATCTGTAATCTACCGGAAAGGGGATTTATGATAAACGTAGAAACAAAGGTGGTATCGTTTAGTGGTTCTTGATTATCATGCCAATCTCATTGTTACAAAACAAACATTTCAAAATACGCAAACAGCAAAACTAAAGCACGCTTTGAATGAACAAATCTTCCTTCGACTCATCGTCAGGATCAATCGGCATGGTCTGGTGGAACTTTTCGAAATCAATCACCGCCTCTCCATTCTCTGCGACCGTCACGCACGAAAACATCCGATTGACCACAATATCTTCCGCAGCATAGCTAAAGCGTGCCTGGAGTGTGGAGCTGGTAACGGACTCGGTTCCCTCGACAAGCACGACGATTTCCAAGTCTCTTCGCCGAATTGTGTCCAGAATGAGCTGGCCCGTGACTACACTTCACTCCTCTGCTCGACCGGTACGCTCGGGTGTGGGCTTGACGGAGATGTGCTGGGACTCGGCAGTCCATTTCTCGGGGCGAAGACTCTTTCGGAACTGCACGATCATGCTGCCTGCGCTGTCGTTCTCCAAGGCATCCGAGCCGTTCGAAGGGTTCGAAGGGTTCGAAGGGTTCGAAGGGTTCGACTCTTTTGACTCGTTGGGTTCATTGGACTCTTTGGACTCTTTGGGTTCGTTGGGCTCTTTGGGTTCGTTGGGTTCGTTGGAGGATTTTGAGGGGCTGGAAGAAGTTTCGTTCGATTCGCTGGATGGGTTCGGCACGTTCGAAGGGATCGAATTCCCCGAGATCCCCGACGCCATCGACGCCATCGACGCCATGGAGGCTCTCGCCCGCTCCTCGTTGCGCCTCGCGATGGCCTCCAGCTCCACATCCGCGCGATGTTCGTGCTGCAGATGCGCGTTCACCCTACCTCGCAGCCCTCCTTCGCCTCTACGTCGACTTCGACGCGAACACCTCGCTGCAGAACGAGCACGGCCACACCTTCTCCAGCTCGCTCAGCGACGGAAGCACCTACGACTCGCCCCCTCTCCGCATCCTCACGGGCGTCTCCTCGATGTGCGACGACGTGAAGCAGCGGGAAATCCGCACGCTCGACGGGTCTTCCGACGACGCGGTCATCTGCCGGCCCGCCGGCTCGAAGTCGGGGAACAGAGGGGACAGCGCGTCGATGGGGTGGCACTAGGTGAGAGATCCCCGCGGGGAATACCACGAGCGCGGGGAGCATGAGAACGAGCGATCCGTTGTTCTGGGAAGAAGGGTGCTGCGAGTCAAGAAGGAAGAGAGAGAGAGAACGGTGAGGTGCATGCGGGTCATTTGGAAGGGAACGCCGCTCGCGTCGTTGACGGTTTTCTGTACGGAGTAGCAGGAAATGCGGCTCTCGACGAGCTGGTGCTTGCGGAGCTCGCAGACCTGGAAGATTAGGCACCATTGGCCGTGGATTCGCTTGATGATGGCTTGGTTGGAGAAGATGAGGGAACGAGAGCGAGTCTGAGAGAGAGAGAAAGAGGGAAAGAGAGGAGTACGATGGCACGGGAGAGACGTGTGTAAACGATGCCGATGCAGAAGGAATTCATCAAAATCGCTTGCATCATTTCTCCATACAGAAGAAAGAAGGCTAAGGTGTGGTCTCCTGGAGGTGAGCTAAGAGAGGAAAACGGACCGAAATTGATATCTGAAACGGAGTAGCCCACGGTGGTGATGGTTTCCAGACTAATGATCATGGCTGCGACAAAGGTCGTGATATCGACGAATCCATGGTCTCGGAAAAGATAAAATAATACTGCCCAAAATAATGTCGATATTAAATACTGAAAGTCACACCGGAGCCAAAAAACACATACAAGAAGTAGAATAAGTAAAATGATCTTGGGTGTGGCTAAAGAAGCGATAGTGTGAAACCAATCCTCGATGTAAATGTACGAACTATTCTCCCCAACACGAACAATGTTAAAACGTCCTAAAAACTGATTCTCTGTATCTCTTACAAACCCGTTGATCTTCCCATCAGGTCATCACGGTCAATAAATCGGAATGGCTTCTCGTCAGCAAATATGATTTTCTCCTCAGTAGAACCAGTTACAATGGCTGACTGACCAATACTCATTCAAAAACTAGCAGTATGCGAATCAAAATACAAAAACCTGATTTCAACAAACAACAACTAACTAAACTACTTCGAAAGTCCCATCTCTTCTTCTAATGATTGTTGGTTAGATACAGGCACCGTTTCCGAATAACGCAACGTTTGATCCAAATAGCTGTTCGAATCAATCATTTCATCTCCGCTCGTCGAGATTTTCTCTTCCTCCTTCGATACAGATGCGCTAATCATGAGAAAAATCCTAAAAATCCACTTGGCGGGAACGGGATAAGGCTCGGTTGTCAAAGAAGATTTTTTGGTTTCTGAAGTTTGGTGAGTCTTTGCGTTATGCGAGCTCTGAATCAAAAGAGTACCGGTTCATTTATCACTTCCTTTGAAGCTCCTGTAGACCGCTCGATCGAATCAACGCTCTGGGAAACACGATCTGCCATGCTATCTTCTATCACTAATCAAATTGTGTCTAATCAAACCATTCATCACATCCTCGAAGAAATCAGCGAGGCTTTCTGTCAAAACGGAAGGATCCAAATTTACCGCCTTTTTTTGCTTCTCGATCCAACCATCGATCGAGGGCGAGACATCCTATATTAACACAAAGAAATTACGCGTTTGTACATCACAGTCGCTTCCGCTCTCGAGTTCTAAGTATTTGGAAGCAAATTGAACTCTGTTCTCTCTAGAGTGGATAATTTTGTGTGGATTGTTTGTGTCGTCGTGATAATAAAAGTAATGTGGAGTTTCAAAGGTGCGTCGCTTGAAAAACCGGACATGATCTGTGAGTTGTTTGGTATCCTTTTTCTTTGCTGCTTTTTCTAAGAAGTCTTCATACGAAGCATTCTAAGCCTAACTTCCGCTATTTTCAACCACCTCCACGAGATGAGCAATGCTGTTCCGTCCGATCTCCATGCTCTCCGCCGTTTCCTACACACTTCACCCCCACTCCCTCGAATACTCGCATCATCTCCTGCAAACAGTGCAATTTAATCTGATAGAAGGGGATGGTGATCACCATCATCAATTCCTTGATGCCGTACTTTTGGTACAAGCAGCTCTCCAAACACCAGAAATCAAACCCTTTCGGCTCACGACTCACGATTTCCTCGCATCGCTGGCGAATCTCGGCGAGGGAATAGAGCCAGCTGGCCTTCTGATCCGCGAAGTTGCACACCACGATGATGGTCGTGTTCAAACCGAGATTGTGGATTTGATCCTCGAAATCGGTAAATAAGTCCTCCTATACGTGAATACACAATAAGTTAAAATTACAGAGCGCGGATTCGCTACAAAGATGAAACAGGTACATTGCTTGAGCAGCTTCTCAACTTCCTCCTTTTCTGTCACTGAGGCGTTCTTTACTCGAGTTTCCTTATCATCACCATAGGTTTCTACATCGAACACGGTTTTACCAAAGATACCTTCCAAATTTTCAGAATCTTTTTGTAGTTTGCAATGCAGCAAATCGAAATCCAGTTTCGTTAGATCGACCTAGAATCGTACAGAACGCTTATCTATACTAGAGATCTCTCACCCGTGAATGGATTTGTCCACATAACACGCGTAGAGACAATAACATCCGGTCTCTTCGGGGGAATTTCATTTCCTTCTGCTTGGATATAGCGGAATAGTGAACTTTTTCCAGCGTTCTTTGAACCGCCAATAATCAAACCAACTATCCATAATTCACGTTTACTACCAGTACTGTGGTATGTACTGCTAATTGTATACTTGGGGCCATCTTTTGCGTTTCCGTCGCTAAAGGTAGATAGAGATCGGTTTAATGTACTAAAGTCAATTCCCATTACAAACAAAATATGGTAAGTAATGCCCAACTTTATTTTGTTATCTTTGGTAAATCCTGAGATAATTGAAGAATTAGATAGGATCGAACACGAAGTGGTACGTTGAACTTTTTCAAGGAAAACACGTAAATGCTTTTTTGACGGATCGATCATTGTACAACATGCATTCTAGAATCTAAATATGTTTATGTAATAGAACAAAGAGAGGATAGAAGAACCAATTGCGGTATTCTGTATGTTTGGAATATAAATATGATATTCATTCATCACAGAAAAGGGTTTACTATCATATAGAATAGATATGAAGAAACGAGTCCCACAACTGCAATTAGGAAGAACACAGAAACATTAACAGCAACACTTTTGACACACCCTTCGAAGAGTAGCATTCTGCACACTGGCATACTTGTATTCATTCATTTTCCTATTTATGAGCCTGTCACTTCTTGCTAAAAGACTCCTTGTGAGCACTCCGAAAAGATTGTCGCCTTTGTTTTTCTCTCGTTCCTTCGCTCGTTTAGAATGTGCTGGCGCTGCCATGGAACGCAAGGAAATGGGTATTATCTACGTTATTTTCTAACGTTTAGAAGTGGGAACTAGTGAAAAGAACTGAGTTGTAGGAACAAGGAGTGGAAAAGGAAAAGTTCAATGTAGATAATATCCTCCATGTGTTCTTGGTGCCAAACGGAGATAAGAAAGAGAACGCCTACATTCTCTGTGATAGAGAAGAGGTTGATGGTATTCATAACGCAGCCAACTTACCGTCAGGAGCTCTTATCGACCCCGGAACGAACGAGTACAAGCTGATCCGCGCTCTCGAAGACTACCGTGTGAACATCACGAAAGTCTTCATCACGCATGCTCACGAAGGTCATGTGAAATGCATTCAAGAGCTTCTGCACGACATCGGAGATCTCACGATCTACCTCAATGAAGCAGATCGTCCGCTCTTCGATTCCATCGTAGCGAAAGGCCTGACCGCAGAAGACGAAGTACTTGTTTTGCTCGTTTTTGAACTCTTCCAGATGCAAATCAAATACTTGAAGCACATGGATGAAGTGGCCGTGGGAAGCCATAAGGGAAAAGTGTACCATACGCCGGGACACACGCCAGGCTCGCTGTGCTATCACTTCGGGAACTTTTTGTTCACTGGAGACACGCTGATGTGCAACAAAGTGGGCGAGACGACTGCTGAGGGATCGGAGTAGGCAGTGCAAAGGTGAATGAATTGGTGTAGCTTGGAATTGATGAAGAAGTCGATTAAGGAGCTGATTCTGCCGCTGCGGAAGGAAACGATGATTCTGCCTGGACATGGACCGTTCAGCAGTGTGGGAACCGAGGCTCTGTTCAATCCTGTGGTGGGAAAGAAGGGAAATCAGTGAATTGTTTGTTCGGATAAGCAACAATGGGGTGAATGGAATGGATGATCGTTAAGCGATAAAATAGAATAGGGTGGGATAAAATTGGATTGGATAAGAAACATTTCATACAGTGACATATGCAACACCAAAATCACTGCAATGTCTATACTTTCAATCTCATTTCCATTCATTCGCAATTCCAAAATCCTTTTCCCTCTTATGCAATCCTTCATTTCCCTTCAATTCACCCTCTGATTCATTCACCGCCTTCCTCGCTTCCTCTTTTGTTTCGAACAAACACACCAAAACGACTCCACATCCATCTCCTTCACCTTCTCTCCTCTACAACTCGTGGTAAACAACTCGCGTCGAATCTCCGGCGTGATCTGATGATGGAAATGCTTCTTCAGCACCGGCTTCAGCATCTCCTTCTGCTCGCTCGTCAGCTCCGTCTTGTATCTCTGCACGAACGTCAGCAGCGACTACATCGCCAGTCCCCCCCGCTTTCTACCTGCTGCCACAGCACCGGCAGCTCGCGATCATCCGAATCAAACATGCGGAAATAGTCCACCAACGCGTCGATCACCACGTACGGCAGCGAATACTTCTTATTCAGCAGCACCATCATAAACAGAGACACCGCTCCGGAATACCTTCCATTCAAGCCACTCCAAAAATCGACGGCAACTGAGTCAACTTCAGCAGCGCCGCCGCCGAATGCGCCATCGGAATCGACACCTTCGCCACCACCGAGCTCACGATGATCGCCTCCTTCAGCGTGCACTCTCCCTACAGCCCATCCCTCGCCGCGCGCAGCGCTACCTCGCAGAGCGGGAGCAGAATGCCCTTGAAGAACGCGGCGGGCTTGTACATCGCCTTCTTCAGCGACTGGTAGTAATGGTAGTTCAGCTTCCTGCTGCTCATTCCCTCGCGCTGCGTCTACTTGTACTGCTGGATATTGTCGAGAACCGCGGGGAGGAGCACCGAGGAGTAGAAACGCTGCGCCAGCTTGGCGTTCAGGTTGGAGGCGAAGATGCGCGTGGCGGCAAACATCGCCTGCGGCGACCAGTTCTGCGGCTCTGTGATCCAGAGGATCTAGAGGGTGAGAGGAGAAGGGAGAGGGGACTTCCTCCCAGTTGGAGAGAGAAGGAATGATTTTGAAGGCTTTGGGAAGCTTGCCGGCTCGATAACTAGATGACAACGAGATGATGGGAGTACAAGTGGAGAATCTTCCCAACCGACGTGTAGACTTTGATTACCTTCTCGTCGAGCTGGGAGGTGGGCGTTGGGTTCAGCTGCGCCTCCTTGGCGTAGATCTTTTGCAGGATTAGGTCGGCGAGGTTCTGCTTTTCGCGATTGTCGGGGGCGAAAAACATATTCAGGGCTTTCTAATGCGGAAAATCGGCAGATTATAGAGTACATCATCTTCCTCTTCGATGTGGTAATCCTTGATGAATTCCTCCACCTCTCCCTCATCAGAACTTAAATCGTCCATATCGTCCTCATCTTCGGCAGTAGGAACCTTGAAATGGAAGTCCTGCTCCGTGTTTGCCTCCTGGTCCATATCATCCTCCTTAATTTCCATCTGGTTGTTATTCGATCCATTTCATGCACGTACCTGCTGATCGTGAGCAATGTTCAGAATCTTTCGAGACAGGTCGGAAGGAATATAGCTTTCGTCCTTCGGTTTCTCCTCTTTACGAGTCTTCACTTCTTTGTAGGTCTTGTTGTCTTCATCAATCTATCCGTTAGCAAAATTCAAAACGAGGCACCTCCTTTCCCAGAGGTTGATGATGAGCATGTCTTCTTCGCTTGTGTTCTTTAGGCATTACAAATCAAACAAAGAATGATGGTTGCTTAAAGAGATTATGAAGGTGTTTACCCTGTTATCGCAAAAAATGAGTGGTTGTGGTGCAGAGAAATAGAAGGTCAATAAAAATAAAGGGTACGAGTGCAAAACAGAGAACAACATCGAAAACAACCATTTTTTAACAAATAGTACATAAAACAAATATTACTATGATTGCCTTCAACTACTGAGGGGTATTACTAGGTGGAGTTGGATTCTGCGCCGCGGCGGTCCGCTTCAATGTTTCCTCTATCATATTGTTAATAGAATTATAGACATCAAAGAATTTGATAGAGCAGCGATCAATGCACGAAGCCTCATCAATACTCAGGTCGGGAGTGGAAAAATTCTTTACACATGCATTGAAGCACGTAACAGACATCCTATCCTTGAGATAACCAACTAAGGTATTACCGTGTAGTATAGTCATGAATCACCTGGGATCGAATCAAGGGATCATCTTGATAATGTTTTCCCAAAAAAGTGTATTCGTTCATTTGCAAATCAGATTGTTTAGAACAAACGCAACGTTAACCGCTATTCCACTTCTTTGCATTCTCTATTTGTCGTTCTCTCCTCTGTGACCGCGTTTTCCCATTCTTCCGATTCATCTCGATCGTCTATCACTCACTCCTCCCCAAATTTCCCACCGTTTTCATCAAATCATTGTAGGAAATCCCCTGCTCTATCAGCGACTTTTTCGTTACCTCTCGATACATCTCTCTCTTCTCCATCTCATACTCTGCTATTTTTTCCATCGTTATCAGTCGCCGACTCAGCAGCAGCGTCAATTTATCCTCACTATTCGCTACAACACGCAAGCAAGGATGCAATGGGATCGAATTCACATCCACACTACATCACATGATTCAATGCACCGCTACGAACTCAATGTGGGGAATAGATAAGCTAAACGACCTCCAAGGGTCAACAAGCGCGCTGCAGTGTCTAAAAGATCGATGATGACGTCATCCGGATCATAAACCACGGTGTTTCCACTGTGTGAATCCGCGGGAATTTCCATATCTGTGGCGGAAGAGCGTGTTTTTCGAGCTCCTGCCCGAATTCCATAGGGAGGGTCGCATAGAATTCCATCGAAGAGAGGGATCGAGCGGAGCAGCAGGTTCGAGAGATCCATTCGCACAAGTTCTGGAGGTTTCATTTGATATTGGTCGAAGTTGCCGCGGATCGATCCCACTTGCTTGCCCTTTTTTTCTCCCCTCAAAACGCGCTTATCGATATCGCTTCCTATGCAGAACGCACCGTGAGCCGATGCCGCAACGAGAAGGGATCCGGTGCCAACAAAACAATCCCAAACGAGAGATCCGTTTTGTGTGAGAATTTGATTGGACATGAGAGAAGCGAGTTCGGCACATGTGGAAGTGGGGCCGATGTAGTGCCGTTTTTTGAGGTTGAAACGATCGTTGGTGTTTCGTTGGCCATCGGCGATGAAGGTTCCGAAATAGATGTGTTTGATTGTTTTCTCGGGTTTGTTGTGATGCAAAACACACGAAAAGGTGTTCGAAGGGGCGCGGAGGACCACTGGACCCTCGAAGGGAAGATACGGCTCAAACTGAAGGCGATATTGTTCTTGTTGCTCCGGAGTCAATGTGGCGTTAAAAGAAACAATGTCTAGTTTCCAACTCGCTGAAGGCTATGAGTAAAATGGAATAGAAAAGGAGGAGGAACAGCAAAATATGGATTTGTAAACTCTGTTGGAAGATTTGAAAGAGACGAAAAGAGCTCTTCCCACGAATCACCCTCGCACCACAATTTGTATACTGATTTTATGAGAACTGCTCGAGAACAGATCTATACCTTATTTGTAAAATTGAGAATGTGCTTTTTTTACGCACTCGTCATCAGGGAAGGAAGCAATCAGAAATGGAGATTCCTCCGTTAGTTGAGAACTAGCGATAAGTCGAAAAATAATACAGAATACGGATTATACACTCCTTCCTTCGAATAACCAAATAACGTTAAAAGAGAGTCGAGTTCAGGTAGTCGGAAGTCATGGTAAGTATTTGAGAAATAAATCAAATACGATTGACGGAAAACCATAGAGAAAATGCATGTAAAAAATAATAGAATGATCGGGTTTTCATTTGATTTTTAATTCTTGTTTTTCAACAATGGACAATCCATTTAATTCGAAGGTACCACCCACAGATCAAGTAAATTGAAAATGGACTGTTTACCCCATAGGCTGTGTATTCGGAGGACATGGCTGTAAATCCATCAACGATGGGTATAACTGCAGAAATCATTTGAGTCGTTAGGTAGCAGCAATCCCCAACAAGTCGTTTTAGATTCTAACTCTTCAGTATGTGGTTTTCAGTGTTTGTGAAGGTTAGAATGTAATAAACCCTTCTTCACAACCCGTAATCATTGTACAGCCTGGATCACGCGTTGTATTGCCCTCTCATCTGATTGTATGTGGTGTGTTCTCCGATTTGAATGAAGAATGAAAATATGGATAATGTGATAACTACCGAAATAAATGAATCATACGGAGCGATTCCTTCGGGAACGATTGCCATGCCTTATCAAGGAAGTGATATTCCACTGCGTGACACAAACCGATCGCTTATGGAAACCAAGATATCACACCCTGTGAGTTCAGGTGGCAAAGGCAGTTTCATCAACACCCTGGTCGGCCGAATCGCTCAGTTAATGCGTACTTCTCTATTATCTTTCCTTCCATTAACAATTAGGAGAAGAAAAGCGCCCGCTCTCTCTCGACGAGATCATCAATCACACCGCTCCCGTGTTTTCGGAGCTCCGCAAGGCGGACGGAACGCGGTACAAAGGCAACACGCTGAAAGCGATCAACGGCGCGCTGAGCTCGACGGGGATCTTCATGAAGCTGGAAGTAAGGTTCGAAGAGCGAAGGAATCAATCGCAGAACGGACGATGGATCGTAAACGACTCGCGGTTGGAGATCTACGAGCAGCGAATTCAGAAGAAGATGGACTCCAAGGGGAAGAAAAAGCGGAATTGTATGGGATTTTTTTGGAGGGGAGGGAATGAAACGCAGATCCGCCGCCCATCGAAGAGGAAAAAACCGCGAAGCGGAAGTTTCTGACAAAGAAAAAGGACCGCAGACAGCGGATTATCAACGTTCTCGCGGGATTAAGCGACGTGTACAAGACGCAGCCGATGGAGCGCCGCGCGGCGTACTTCAGCAATCCCTTCGTGGTAAAATAGGGGGTATTTTGGTCAATGGAAGGGCATCACGGGGCTGGAAGACAAGGAAATGCTGAAGCAGAAGATGGGGGAAGAGCGATTTACGCTGTGCATGCAGTTGTATGCGTACTTCGAAGACATGTTCAAGCTGGCGTCCGGGGATTTGAAGTTCGATATGCAGCATGTAATCAACTCGGGGAACGAGTTTGATAATAAACGACTGGTGTATTTGCGGCTGGATATAAACGATCTGCGCCAGCGAATCTCCACGCTGGAGAAAATCATTGGAGAACGAGCCAATTTGCAGTTGTGTGTTGTTTGTTGTTGAAGAATCGAAATGGAAGGGAGAGGCGATAATCGATAGAAAGGAGTCGAGAGAGGGAATAACCAGGAGAACGAGGCATGATAAAAAGCATTATCATCATCAGAGACACTTCCACACTTGCTAATCAACCAACAACTCGCCTCTCATTATTACTATTTTTATTCTCTCTTCCCCTCTCTCGTTTCCAACAAACACACACACGTCAACACACCAATTATTATGATTGTAGTAACAATAATGATAACACCAACAATTATAATAATTATTTCCGATCACTGAGGGGAGGTCGATTCTTCCCTCGACAGAAAGGAATCACTGACAGATCCGAATAGTTGTATCTCAACTCTCGCAGGAAATGTCGATACACGTCTTTCATTGGGAACTTATGCGTTCTCTTCATCTCCACGAAAAAGTCCTTCTTAAACTTCGATCTACGCTCAACCCTCGTTCCAATCCCCACGATGGATGCGGGATATCATACCCAAACGCGTCCGTTATCACCCAAAACATATACCCACGATACCGCAAATGCTCCAGCCACTCCACCTTATTGAACGCATAGTTCGCGAATCGCTCGTCAAACCGCGGCATCCCGGGAACCTTCTTCACCACCACATACCTAGCTCTCACTCCCCTCCTCCACTACTCGCACGGCTCCTGCGTCTCTCCAAAGAAACAAATCAACGGAGTCAGCGGCACCGTGTAGTTCGACTGGTACCACTCCTTGAAGTAATAATCGTGCAGTCGCTGCCCCGGACGGAACGTCTCGCACCTTCCCTGCTGCTTGCACGCCACCAATTCTTCCTTCGTGTCCGGCAGACTCGATTTATAGCTGGATGTGAAGCGGCCTCTGCGCGTACTAGTTGATGCACTCTTGGAACGTTCGACAGCGATGCCGACGCATCTGGAACACGGGGACGATCCCTGCGTTCTTCGGATCCTGAAAGAATTCCAGCGGGAGATGCATGATCGCGTCGTAACTCCCGACTAGAGATAAGGAATCCCCGCAGAACGCACAGGAGGGCCAGACGTCCATGTCAGTCAGCCAAAAGTGGGTGGTCTTGACATTGTCGATGGCGCGGTTGCGGAGCGTGTTGATGGGGAAGTAGAAGGGATCTGTTTGAATCACGTAGTCCACGATAATGTTCGGGCGGAGATTCGATTCGGCCTTCAGCGAGAGGAAGTACGATTCGTTCTCTTTCGGGAAGTAGTACACGATGGACATCGGGCTACAGGTGATTGGGGCGGTAAAAACCGAACCCGCGCCAGCGGCGAGAAACTTCCAGCATGAAGCCCCAGCGAGTAATGCTAGGGAGAAGGAGGGAGCCAATGTGTACGTGCCCTGGGAACAGAAGGTCACGTCGTATTCCACGTCGGGGGCGTCAGTGGAGTGAAAAACAGGATCAAAATCGGTTGGTCGATAGGCTGGGTGTGAGATTGGGGAGAAGAAGAGCAGAGTACGGTTTCGATGTCTAATACGTCGTTCATAACGAGGCATGGGGGGCCGCTTGATGGTTTGGGAGGTTTTGAACAGAGAAGAATAGGCACTCTCTTTCTGAGTATTCTCTGACTTACTTTGGATAGGTGCCCGGTTTCCATTTCGAATTCTCGGCTTATAGTTTACAGTGTCCAGATTCTATAGAAATGTAAGAAAACGAACCAGGCAGTGCACCACGTTTTACGTACAACAGAACCAGAACCAAAGCCGGTCCGAACTATAGATAGTTTCCAGTCGTCGGGTTCGGACAAAGAAGTCTACAAAAAAAAACTCAAGCATTCCAAACAGCTAAGTAAAATGGCTTTCTGCCGTTGAGAGACCCTTCATTGTCTGATTTGAACCACAGCCTAATCATTACGCTCTCCCCCATAAACAACTCAACAACGACAAAACACACAATAAACAGCGTTACGCCCAAAATGTACTGTACAGAGGCCATTTTATGAGCAAAAAACAATTTGAAGGAGGAGTGAGTTTGGTACCCAATCACTCAAAAAACACATTATTAATTAATACACCCTATCGCACACATATATTTGGAATTCATTTATATGAGCCTTTTGCAGGCTGTCAAAAATTGGATGAAGACAAAGTCAACATCACGGGGTCTTGGATTTAGTTTTCAACCAGCAATAACTGCACATCGGCTTAGCCTCATTTGTCACAGTAATGCCCCAAGCGCAAGGACAGCCGAAAAACACATATACCAGGACAAACCCCAAAGTCGAAATATTATGATTATGGGTTTGAGGGTTGTTTGTTTTCTTCTCATTCGTACTGTAAGATAGCATGGAGCATTCACAGATCAACGTTCTCTTGGATGCAATCTTCGCCTTTATTCGTGCGAGTATAGAAAGAATCGTCTTGTACGTCTTTTTCTTTTTCTTCACTTTAGTTCCCTAATCCTGTTCTACGCTGTTTTCAAAACGGCCACCTCGATCGAGGATGATAAAGAAGTAAGAAAGTGGTCAAAGTACTGGATCTTCTACGGGATTGCCTCTTTTTTCTGCAACCTATTGAATGCTGGGGACCTTCCTATGATTATTGTGTGCGGCATTCTCCTGTTTAAGTTCAATGTGCCTCTCTTCCTCGGTAGTTGACTTTTAGGACTATTTGATCCTCCATTTCCTTTACGACAATATTCTATACAAAATTATGTATTATTCGAGGGGATATCTGGAAGCGGTGATCGGTGAGGTTGCCTTCCAGTTGTTCCGCCTTATCGAGCTGGTCCATTGGCCAATCCTCTGCACGTTTAACCTTTCGAATGGTTTCTACAGTTGTATAGTTTCACTTGCAGAGACCATCAAGTCTTGCAACGATTCTCTTGACCGTGTTTCGAAGCTAATCACGATGAACGACAAGGCTCTCTGGAAGAACGATGCGAACGATGTATCGCGATGGTAGCATGTCTCTCACCCCCAGATCAAGAGCAAATTGGTGACGCGACCCTTGAAGGGCGATACTTCCCACTCCACCGAGGTTGCAGATCGCGACGCTTGTTACGAACGACTCTGCCAGACGTATAACCCTCACGTCGATTCTGGTTGGGTTTCCTAATCGTCACACACATTGTACCCTCTTCTTGTCATTCATTCATTCATTCATTCAACTATGTTGTTGTTGTTGTTGTTGTTGTTGTTGGTATGATCGACCAATTATTATTGCTTTATCGTTGCTTGTTTGTTTGATTACTCTCAAACAACCCAATTACGGATACTCAGTGACACTACTTATTGCTTCATGTAGTACTTGGCGAAGAGCTTGTTCAGCTGCTCCAAGAAAAGGAAAGTGAAGATGGTGTGGGGTCCGATACGAAGGAAGTAAGGCGTGAATCCCTTCCACAGAGCAAAAACTCCCTCGTTCTTCATCAGCACCTTCAGACAGTCGAACGCTCCCGCGTATTCACCGGGCTTGGCCATCTGCAGTCGGGTCTTCACAATATCCACGGGCAGAGACACGAAACTGCAGAACAGACCGGAGGTCAGAGACGACGCGACGTACAGACCGAAACCGTCGGTCTTGAACAAGTGCCATTTCTCATAGTACAGCTCCTTGGCCTGCGCGTAGCCTCCCAGCTGCGCAGGGTTCAACACCACGGCACGCACCACGGTGGCCGAAGTACCCTTCCACAAAGTCTTCAAGCCCTCTTCCTTGACGATGCGGTAGATGGCCTGGAAGCAGTTGGTGTAGCCACGGCGCTGCTCGGGGGGCAGACGGTTATCGGCACTGCAACGGATCAGAGAAACCTCTGCGGGATTTCCCACGACAGCACCGCAGGCACCTCCGATCATACCGCAAGCCATCTTCTGGAGGAAGTTGGGGTTTTCTCCATTGTTGCGGGCACGCACCCAGTTCATGCAGTTGGTAAACACTCCAAGACGAGTGGTAGTGTACGTGATCTGACGAAGAACGCCCGAAGTGTAACTTGCACATCAGCGAAACACAAATAGACTTACCCCTTGTACAGCTTAAAGAAACCCTCCTGCTTGGTGATCTTCACGAGAGCATCGAAGCTGCTGCTGTACAGCTTCTCCGACGTACCTTCACCACTACAGGTCACTCGGCATTTCAGCCAAATACCTAAGCTGCATACGGGTCTTCACCAGATCCATAGGCTGCACGCAAGTAGTAGCCAGCACACCGGCAGTACCACCGAGAACATAGTTAGCCTTCAAATTAGGTGTAAAACACAATATCTCACCCACTGCGGGAACGACTTAGTGTCCACCATACCTTTCCAGAGTCAATGAAAAATCAAATGGGGACTGGTCTCTATTATTAATGGAATTCGGGGTGACGACATGCACATTTGCAACGATTTTTAACAAACATACGATGCACGCAGATTATACTTTTGTAAAGAGTGTTGCATGTTTTGGAGAAGCTGGTCTTCGCTGTAGTAATAGTACTTGAAGCGAGACTCGCCCTGGACCGCCGTAACCTTCGTGAGAACTTCGCCACGAGGCGAAACGAAAAAGAGGCGTGGCACATAGGAACCATCTGGACGTCAAGCAAATGAACTACTCTAACCTCCGTTGTACGCTTCATCGTGGAGATTCTCTCCACTGTTGCAGCGAATCATGACAAAAGACTTTGAGAGGTCCTGAATCTTGGTGCTAGTTGCGAAAATGGCGTTCAAATTCCTGCATGCAGGGCATGAGGGGCGCTGGATAAGCACAATTCCGGGCTTTCCGTCCCTCTTTATTTCACTCATTCCTTCGTCAAAGGTTTTCCAATCAATCTTCTCCGAAGCCTCCAGAGCTCCGTCGGTAGAAGCACGAGAGGTGGTGGAGGTAGCTAAGGCAACGGCCAAAATGAGAACACAAACACGAATGAACATTTCTTATGCCATTACACACCTCCATCCCTTTTCTTCGTCTTTCAAAACAAACATCAAGTGGTAGGTAGATCATCCATACACTAGACGACTTAGGCGGAAGCCTCCATAGCGGCTCTCTTCTGGTTGAGAAGGGCAGTCGCCTGCTCAGCAAGCTGCTTCTCCTTCTTATCCTCACCCTTCTTACGGTGGATCTGCTCAATCAGCACACGCTTGGTCTTGTAACGGTTACCCTTGGCCAGAGCGTAGAAGTGAGCGTACATGTGCTTGTCGATCTTGCCGGCATCACGGTACTTGCGCAGCAGTCTGCGGAGCACACGAATACGACGCATCCAGAGCAGCTTCTCGGGAATACGGGCGTTCATGGTTCCGTGACGCTTACCGTAACCAGTGTGGTTGCCGCGAGCCTTCGCCTCGTGACGAATGTTCACACGAGCACGAGAGTGCATCAGGTTGTGCTTCTTCACGATCATTCCGTTCTTGATCATGGAGCGAACGCTCTGGCGAGAGTTGGCAACAGCAATGTTGCTCACCTCGCTGGGATCCATCCACACCTTGCGCTTACCGCACTTCAGCACGGCGGCAGCGAGTCTCTTCTGAAGCTTCAAGCTGACCATTGTTGTTTTGAGGAGTTCTACCAGATAATAGGAAAAGGGTCGCGAGATAGTGGCGAGATTTAGATTTCCCAGAAAATTCTCGGTGAGCAAATATAAACAAACAAAAACATTTCGTTCCCAACAAAAACGGAGATTTCGAATGTAACCATTATTAATAACAATCATAATCTACAATTCGTTCTTCACACTGTGTAGAAAATTCACCTTTCGCGCTACTTCCTGACACTGAACGAACGATTTTTGATCATTCAACTATACATTAGCGACCACTCTCTCATTCCGCACTTCATCCGCCTTCTTCGACCAATATTGAATTTGCATTTCCAGAGCATCTCTGTACGAATTCTAGAAATCATGTCGAACCAAGAAAACCAACATTCACTCCATTTAAAGGATGAAAGAGTTTGGACACAAATCTGTACACAGTGAACAGCAGGATTAGAATGGTCTGCCACCCTGGAGATGAACAGTGCGAACAGCTTTCGACTATCATGTTTTAGAGAGAGAAGCTGGAAGAAAAATGAAATTCCGATAATCAGCACATTTTTATAAATGGTCAATCTTCTGTTTGTTTGAAAGAATGGCATCCTTTCGAAATGACGAGGATTCTATTCTGCAAGAAAACATGGAATATTCCGCTCCTATAGCAAAATCAAGTTCATCCTTTTTTGTAACGGATTGGATCGTCTGTTCATTAGTTCGAACTCTATATACGCCGGGGAAACCACGGTCCGTTAAATCGTACTACTCGTTCCATTTACCAGTTTTCTGTCGAGTATCAAGACCTTTCTCTGGAGTATCTGCGAAGAATCATACGTCTAAAGGTGGATGACGCGATCAATGACGCTGACAAGGCAAATGTTGAATATAAGTATTACGATATCCATCACGTACGAATTCTGTCCAACATGAAAAAGCCAATTAAGGAAAATCCGTTTTTAGATAGTTTTTCTGACACTGCGCTTCGCAGTATTTGCAGTAATTTGCAGTGTGTCTGATTGACCCGTAGCAACCATTCGGCAGAGGAGGAAATCTCAAGCGATTCCGTTGGTCATCTCGACATCCTCTGTTCCGTTGGACAAGCGACCTAGTGGAACCATCGACGAGCCCCATCAGAAGATCGATTCAACTGTCAACGAGTCGTCAATTGTTGGTACGGCTGTGTGGTGTGTTTTGTGAGTGGCAGGTATTCCGTTCGATAATCCTATCCCCGTGAATATCGACTCGACTTCTGCACTCCACTCGATTCCCTATGTTACGCCCTCCAGTTCGGTGCAAGCCCCTCTTCCCCTGTCAGTTTTTCCTGATTCGGAGTACGTTCCCATCCGGGCGAAGATCCAGACCAGCGAGCTCTCCTTCAATGGCACGCTGTTGCTGAACCGGGAAGATCTCTACCGCGCTCTCAACTTTCAACAGTATACGATTCAAGAGCACAACTAGATGATAAGTGGATTCTTTACTATTCTATTCTATTCAATTCTTTCATGCCTATGTTGTTTCTTTCTAACAAACAGACAAAACTCAACTAGTGAAGATTCTTACACTTCTTCTTCTCCTTAAGCAATCACGCCCAGCTCCTTTCCAACCTCAATGAACGCATCCACGCAGCGGTTCACCTGCTCCAGAGTGTGAGCTCCGCTCATCTGAGTTCGAATACGAGCCTTGCCCAGAGGCACCACAGGATAGCTGAATCCAATCACATAGATGCCCTTCTCCAGCATCTTATCGGCGAACTTGCAGGCCAGAGCCGCATCTCCCAGCATCACAGGGCAGATGGGATGGTCGTAAGCACCGGTCAGAGTGAATCCGGCAGCAGTCATGCGGTCACGGAACAGATGGGTGTTGGCCAGCACACGCTCGGGCAGAGTGGCCGACTCCATCAGCATCGAGTAGGTCTTGATGGCAGCTCCCACCAGAGAAGGAGCCAGCGTGTTCGAGAACAGGTAAGGACGAGACTTCTGACGAAGCAGAGTCACCACCTCCTTCGAAGCGCAAGTGTAACCTCCAGAAGCGCCTCCCATGGCCTTGCCCATCGTGGAGTTGATGAAATCAATACGGCCCTGCACGCCGCAGTACTCGGGAGTACCACGACCCGTCTTGCCGAAGAATCCAGCAGAGTGGGACTCATCGATCCAGACCAGAGCGTTGTACTTGTCGGCAAGGTCGCAGATCTCCTTCAGAGGAGCCACATCTCCGTCCATGGAGAACACACCGTCCGTCACAATGCAGCGGTAACGGCAATCCTGAGTCTCCTGCAAAATGCGCTCCAGGTCGACCAGGTCGCAGTGGTTGTAGCGGTAGCGCTTCGCCTTGCACAGACGAATACCGTCGATGATCGAAGCGTGGTTCAGCTGATCGGAAATCACAGCATCCTCAGCATTGAACAGAGCCTCGAAGAAACCGCCGTTGGCATCGAAGCAGCTCGAGTACAGGATGCAGTCCTCCATTCCGTGGAACTTCGCAATCAGGGCCTCCAACTGCTTATGGATATCGGTGGTTCCGCAAATGAAACGCACGGAAGCAAGACCAAATCCATGGGTATCCAGAGCCTCCTTCGCGGCCTCAATCAGCTCCTTGCTGTTAGCCAGACCAAGGTAATTGTTAGCGCAGAAGTTCAACACCTTGTCGTCACGTCCAGCGACGTTGATCTCAGCGGCCTGCTCGCTGGTGATCACACGCTCCTCCTTGAAGGTTCCAGCCTTCTTAATGTCGTCCAGCTGGGCCTGGATAGCCTCGTTGAGCTTAGCTCCGTTCGCAGTAATAGAAAGTCTTTCAGCCATGATCAACCTAGAACAAAAGGAAATAATATATGACAATGTAATCCAGAAAGGAGAAATAGGGAAACGAAATGAAACCCCTTCTTTCGGCAAGTGATTGTTCTAGAATGATTCACCTGATAGTTTGGTGCAAGAATTGGATAGCTCAAAAATAGAGAGGATTTTCTGTAAGGTTCTCGCGTTGAATTACGTGTTTGTGAGATGTTTGAACAGTAATGGGAAATATGGGTGTAACAGGATATTGCTGTTTTATTACGTAATCTTCACTTTTTCTCTTTTCTATACAATTTATGTGATTGTTTCACTACCATTCCTTGACTAATTCAATCAATGTCATATTGGTCTGTATAGAGTATCATACCCACAGTCTGTTTCTGAATTGTTTTTTTTGGTGGTGATGGATTTTAGAGTTGCTTTAGGAGAGGTAAAAATCGATGTATCATAAGATAGAAAAGGTAGCAAACACTATAACATCAAAAGGAGTGAAAACAAAAAAGGGGAAACAAACAAAACTACAAGACCTTTCTAAATCAACCCATATTATTGTTGTCATCATCAATATTATTATTATATTACGACTATTATTATTATTATTATTAATATATTACGACTATTATTATTCTACACATAGTCGGTAATCCCTCCCTTTACGAAGAGTGCTTTTCCTGAAAATGCTTCTCATATTCTTCGACAGAGGCGAACCTTCGAACACACCCGCACACTTGGCAAACCACCTCGTTCTTTTTTCGATTCATCAGACTCTTTACTCTCCGCTGCGTCAGGTGGTAATAGCAGTGCACATACTTTTCCCCATGACCACATCGATAGTGTTTGAATAGCCCAAGATATCGCTCTCTCCACACTCCATTTGTCTTCATCGCGTCTGCTAAAAATCGACTGGCGCACGCCGCTTCGACCAGATCCCTTCCAGACACAAATTCCAGCACTGAACACCATACATCGAATCCCAAAACGGCTCTTCGCTTCCGATTCTCCTCGTTTTCGAGACGGATCCGCTTGATCTCGAACATCAAATCCGCATCATCGTCATCATCCCCTTCTGCCTCCGACGAACTGGAAATCGAGTAATCGAACGAAACGGGGAAGTCTCCATTCTCGCAAAGACAGCTATGTCGCACAAAAGGATGTTGTAAGCCGCATCTGCATCGATGCACTGAATCGGGGGGTTTCCACTCACATCCGCCCTTGATTTCCTTGATTTCCTTCATGTCCCCTGTATCCCCCGTTTCTCCATTTCTCCAATCCACCAACTCCGTTTCACACAGCCAACACGTCGTTTTCCCGCGGGAACAATAGGAACAGAGATGCAATCGCCACTGCCTGCAGCAGAGCGGAAGACTGGGAATTTCCCGGAGGAGCAGCCAGCCCACTGCGTGAAGCAATGCAGGGAAGTGAGTGTGACTGTGAGAATCAAGGCTGTTATTCTGCAAGTGTGTGGAGAGCGTGAGGGCGATGGATTGAAGACGAGCGAGCGTTCGAGGAGAAAGCGGCGTGTGCGGAGCGCTGAGCCGAAGATAGAGTGTATGAAGGAGCAAAGACTGCATGGATTCGGTCCACTCGGAAGTGAGACACATTTCATTTAACACCGTTAAAGCGCTGTTTGTGTCTAGAAGTGTGCTGTGGGACACTAAACAAGTCATCAAGGCACAACAGCGAGGATTCGTCGAATTCCAAAACGATTCTGCATCATCGATAAACGCGTTCACACCCAAAATCTGGTAGAGATCCAGTAGAAGGCGGCAAGCGAACGGAGAAAAGGGTGGAAACGTGGAATCCAGTGCGAGTTGTAAAAGCAAGGATTTGGTTTTCGAGAGAACAGGACTTGCCGTATCCAGAGAAAAATGACGAATCACAGACTTCCAAACTCGATCCAGAGTATTAAAATCAGGGCAATTTCTGGAATCCACAGATAGCTCGCGTTTCTTGTTTATACAATGGGAGCAGGAACAAGGGGAGGACTGCAATTGATGGATCGTCTCACACTGCGTATCCGAAACCACAGATTCAAGCAGACGCAACACATTCTTAGCAAATGAATCGGAAAAGGAGTAGAGCGTGAGAACGACTTGGATACTGAACGCGTTGAATTGCGTGTGAGAAGAAACAATCTTTCGCAGCTTTTTGGCCAATCGATTATCTGAATCAAGGTTGGTTTGAATAAAGCTATGAGTTACCAAACGAGAATGAAAAAACGGATAGAGCAGAGAAGTTATATTACGGGAAAGAGAATGACGTTGGGATAGAAGCACCGAAACCACATCACACACGATAACTCGTTTTTCTTTTGTCGAATAGGTGGAGAGTATGTCCAGTATCTGCTGCAGAATACCCGATTCGAGTCCCTCGCGTGATACCCACTCTATCGTATTTTCACGTACTAACTTATACAATGACCTATTTATTACCGGTACACACGATTCATACTCTCGCTGTCCCTGATTGCTCTGATCTCCCCGGTATTGCAGAATCTGCCTGTGAATACGATTCAGTGAAGGCGAAAGTTGCGTAAACCATGAAGTAGGCATCTTAGAAATCCATCGTGATCCGCAAAACAAAGTATTCTCCAACAAACAAACCACAACGGGTATTCATTATCCTTTTTCCACTGAATAATCTTCTGCTTCAGCTCTTCCACTACCGATCACTCCCACTTCCAATCCCTACTGGGAATCAACTCCTCCTTCGTTAGCGGCGTTCTATCATACGGATCTATCTGTGTTCGCAGCAGCAGCTTCTCAATCGTATCTCGATTCAGGATTTGCTTGGAGTTCGGCAGCATCACCGGATCATCCATCAGCTCTCCGGTCATTTCATCGAAGAATTCATCGGGCGCGTTATCCAGCAGCTGATTCCACCGATCGAACTGCTCCTGCTCGCTTCGGATACTCGCCACGAACTGCGCCAGCTTGGCCTGCTCCTCCTATTCCTCAATCTCTTCGCGATTTCGCACCGAATCGAGCAGGTTTTTGGCTCGGCAAATCCGTTCCGCCTTCTCGAACATCTCCAGGTTCAGCGTTTTCTCTTCGTTCATACACATCACGAACTTCCGTTCCTTCGAAAACACCAGAATCGTCCGCATCAGCAGCTCCAGCAACTGCTTGGGATCGAAATGGTACTGCTCGGGGTTTTCGATCTTCAGCAGCTTGCCCTCCTTTCCCACCAACTGCTGCACCAGCCGCGGGAAGCTGTTCGCCATTCCCTTCATCGTCTGCTCGCTCATCCAGATGTCCTATCGATCACCAGTCTCTCCAAGCCCGACGCCCCACGGCTCTGCCGCGTCGAGGAGAAGCAGCAGCGTGTCGGTGGTCAGATCGAACGAGAAGCGGACGTTTCGCTCGAGCTGCGTGAGGCGAAGCTGCTTCTCGTCGCGTTCTTTGGGGTCCAGCGAAGCGAAGTCGGGCTGCAGCATGAGCGATTGGAGACTTTTGATCTCCGGAATGGCGGCGAAGGCGTCGTCGGTGAGCTTGGAGAAGGAGGAAATGAGCGTCTGGACGAACAGCTGAATGACCTCCGGCTCGTTCTTCATGTCGATGACGGTCTGCGAGCAGCGCGAGTCGTTCCACAGCAGTCGAATGATCTGGATGATGTACTGGCGATACTGTGTCGACTCCATGCCCACGCCCTCCACCTCGCTGAATTGCCGCACGAGGAGATGCAGCAGCTCGGAGACCAGCGCGTTGTTGCTGAGAAGCGACTCGGACGCGTGCATGACTTGCCGCGAGAGAAGGCGGTTGTTCGATTGAACCGGAACGTAGAGCAGCGAAATGGTCTGAAAGGAAGGGGAGAACAGAGAAAAATATACTTTCGTGACGTCAGCTCGCATGTGCACGTTGAGGAAACTTCCGATCTGGGGAGATTGGTAGCTAAGACAGCGGATGAGAAGGCGGAGAATCGAGTCCATGTGGGAGGGAATGAAGATCGTGTCAGGGAAGGAAATGCTTTGAATGAGGCAGAGAAAAGAAGAAAAAACGTCTCGAAGGTTTTCAGAATCGCCAACACATCCTCGATGACAAAAATCGGGACATATTCCACGATATGATTCCCATTTCTATCCCTGATCCCTTCAGTCGCTCCTTTACAGCATTTCCGATTCAATCGAAAGCAAATACTCCGAGACATACGCCGTAAATTTGAGCCAGCGAACCAAGAAATCCTGGTTTTCTAGATAGGCCTGTGTTGCCATTTCGACATACACAAGGAACTCCACTTCGCGCTATTCATCATTTCCCGCCCTCACCACAACGAAATTCGCGGGATTCACATTGGGGATATCGCGATACCCGTGCGGCAGATAGTGCGACAGGTTTCGAAGAATGCCTTCTCGGAAGTTCTGCAGGCCGCAGAAGGCGCGGCGGAAGATTGCGATGTAATACCAGACGCAGAGCGTGTCGAAGCGGAGAGTCTGCGGGTTCTCGGTGCAGACGCTGCAGTCGACGTCGTGATTGATGCGATCGGAATTGACCAAGGGATCGGTGCTGAACAAGTAGCGAGGATCGGGGAACTATGCGTGGCGATTCTGATTCGGGTCTACGCGCTTTTTGTTCATGATCGGCTCGGCGAGATTGTAGAGAACCGCTTGAAGATTCAGCAGAATGTTCAGCCTATCCAACACAATCGGCACGCAACGCTACGAGCCAGACATCTGATAGTTCGGTCGCGACTTCAAGAACTCGTTCCCCGCCAAAATCATCGTGTGAATCCACTCGCGCACTTTCATTTTCGTCGCTGGATTCTTCAGCAATAGTTTCAGCACATCCGTCTGCTGCTGCTACGCCTCAATCTCCCTCCCATCCATCACGTTCAGCATCTTCACTTCCTCCATCAGCGACGTGAACTGCTGGCTCATTCCCTGAATCGACTGCGGCGTCGACAAATCCGGCTGCACCATCCGCACGCCGCCGATGAACTCCGTGGGGTGCAAATCGAAAAACGGCGCCAGATAATCCGCCTGCACCGCCAGCAGTCGCTGTATCGCGTTCTCCTCGGCCTTCATGAACGTCTGCGTCGCTCCGAACACCGCGCAGGCCTCATCGACAGAGAGGAGCTGCTGGAGCATCGAGAGAGCGAGAGAGAGCATTGCGGGGCTTTTGGTTTGGACCGCACTGACCGCATGCCTGCGGATGTGACTGAAAATTAAGTCTAGGTGGTTGTTCAGATTGCCCATTCGGCTGTCGATTTGAATGAATTGGCGGAGAAGGGAAGAAGAAGAAAGAGAAGAAGTGGATGATAGGTCGAGAAGTTCCAGGAAGAGATCCACGTAGACGGAAGAGAGAAGCGGTCTGGGAATAGAGAAGAGAAAGAGGAGGGTACTGGTAGTAGTTGTTGACTTCGGTGACCAGAAGACCTACAATGATCACAGAGTAATTCTGTAGCAGCTCGTGGACTTCGAGATTGCCTAGAGTTGACAGAAAAAAACGAAAGGGGAACTGCCCGACTCACTCTCGTCTCTCTACTCATCAAAATTAGCCAAGCGAACATACCATATGAGACAACAAGCGGTCGTAGCAACCGCATAAATACCGCACTTTACTCGTTCCCTGAGAGAAACTGATTCCTGCCTCTTTGTTGAGGATCTTTACGAAATTCTTAAGGCAGATACTCTCTTCGGAGGGAACCTTCAATGATAAGCGAATAATACAAGTACAAAGGGATAACGAATCCCGTTTCCCAAAATATCGGTACTAATATTGTGAATAAGCTGCTTTTGCTTCATCACATCATCAAAAACGATCCGTGGTGCTTCATTTGTCACTTCTGGTTTCTTTTCTTCTTCTGGTTTAGGAGCAACAACTGTGTGTAATTAGAAAAAGAAACAAGAAAAACTCGGCTTCACTGAATCCTTGAACCGTTTGGCTCGAATTTCACGAATCTATTGTATGAAATGCACTTTCACTGCTATGTACTTCTTCATCACTCTTTTGCATACTCAAAACAGTATGTGTAAGAAAAATGTGACTCTGGATTAAGGTTATACGTTTGTCATTCAATGGCAATAATGCGGCACATATAATTTGGACTACTATCAACCTTCATTCTATAAAAGTGTTTAAGACACACGACTATTTGTGAATCTCGCCAATCCTCAGTTATCTTTTCTATTGTAAAAAAATAATAATTGTGCACTTCAAAACTCGTTAATATTTTCGATAAACAAAAACACCTCAAAATATCTCGGTTTTCTGGAATTCCAATGTTCCTAGGCTTGTATCTCCGGATAAAGTATACACAAACAATTATGAGCACCGAATCGGACAATGTGCAGGCGATGACAGAGACGAGCCAAGTTACTGAAACACTTCTGGAGGCTAACATCGAACAGGAAAGAGCAGCTGATAATGTACCCGAATCTGTGGCCCAGCCTACGGGAGAATCTGCATCTCTTCTCGCAAAAGCGGACGACGATGTGTCAACAGCGACTATCTGGAGTTCTGTTGCTAACATGACTAACAACGTTTTGGGAGCAGGGTTGGTCGCGCTCCCATATTCAATTAGTCAGGTATCTGCTTCTTTTGCTCGTACGATCTAGTGTACGCTGGTCCCTGGAATTCTGCTCCTTATTTTTATGGCCTTTGTAGCTAGCTTTTCGCAGTACGTGATTGTGAGCACTTGCCGCCTCGTCGACAAGTACACTTACAAGGAGGTGGGAATTGTACGTTTTGTATTTTCTGCCATAAGTTCTAGGCGGCTCTGGGCAAAACGGGCGGTATCTTGATTTCTCTCATTATGCTCCTTTACACCACATTGTCCTGTACTTCCTATTTTGTCATCATCGGTGATCTGCTTCTCGGCATCTGCGGGTACTTCTTCCCTAATGTCGAATTCCTTCAGTCTCGATCGATCGTCGTGCCCTGTGTCTGCGTCGCCTTCATCTTCCCTCTCTGCATGATGCGAAGTGCCTCGCTCCCCTCTATTCTCACCGCTAGCCGTTGACTCCCTCCGCTACGTCTCCGTCGTATCGGTGCTCGCAGTGGTCGGAGTCGTGGTCGTGATCGTGCAGCAGTTCATCGAGTACCACCATGTGAACGAGACCGTGGAGATCATGCACTGGAGCTCCGGGTTCATCCGCATGGTGCCGGTCGTCTGCGTGTCCTACAACTGCCACTACAACGCTCCTCGCTATTACAAGGAGTTGAAGAATCGCAGCATGCCGCGTATCAGCGTGGTCGTTGCCTGCTCCACGCTCATCGTTTTCCTTCTCTATCTCGCCGGATCGGTCTGCGGATATCTGCAGTTCGGAAACCAGACGCTCGGAGACATCTTGAAGAACTACCCCTCCGATGCGCTGGCGCCCGCGTTGGGTCGACTTGGTCTGCTGGTGGCACTCGTTTTCACCTTCCCCGTGGCCTATTTCGCCGTGAGGAACAACCTGCACACATTGTTCTGCAGCTCGCTGCATTTCCATGGAATTTGGCTTCGACTTGCGTAGGGGTACGAAGAGGACTCGAGTCTAGGACTGCCGTGGGCGTTCTGCTGGTCACTTGCACGGTGGCTGTGTTTGTGGAGCAAGTGGAATATGTGATTGGATTTAACGGATCGCTGTTTGGATCGTGCATCATGCTTATCATTCCTGGGCTGATTTATCTGCGAGTGGACAAAACTCCATTGTGGAAGAGCGGAATGAAGATTAGTGCCCTGCTGTTACTCTGTTTCGGAGTAGTGATCTGCGTTGGAGGCACGTATCTCACCGCTGTTAAGCTTTTTGCATATCGTGTTTGTATCAAACAGGCATTTCCATTACAATACACATTTTACAACTTTTTCTCTTGCTTCCACCAGGGAGCTTTCACTTACCTCGGGAATCCAATCTAAAAAGGGTGAATATTTGAACAACGATTGAAGAAGCTTTCATGTACTCCAGTTCCCCATCTATTGAACATCTCTTTGCCCAGCTACTGGCACCATACAGCTACTATCAACTGACAGCGTGTAAGCTGGAAATCCTCAGAACCTCAGGATTCCACATAACCACTCAATCCGGAAACCGGAAACCAGAAACCAGAAACCAGAAACCTGAAGCCTGAAAAACAATGGGAACAGGGTAGAAAGACCTTTTGAAACACTCACTTACCTCTCCCAAACGCGCGATCTCAAAAAAATAATGAATTTGGATGGGGAAAAAAGGAACCACAAAACTAATTCCGCGGGGATCGGATGATTTCAACAAACAAGTCAGAGCTTAGAAAGCATCGACTTTGAAGGAACGAAGTAGTATCCTCCAGTCACAGGAGTGATGAAGTTCATCAGATGATCCGATTCCGTTCCACGAAGACCAAAGATAGATTTCTCGATTTCGTCGAGTCCAATCAGGAAATGGCAATAGGCGGTGAACCACAGACCTTTTACTCCATTCGGCATTCCGTAAGGGAGACTATGGCGAACAATCTTAACGTTCTCTCCGTTGTAGTCGATGTCAGAATGGGCAACGTGACTGCCCGGAGGAAGGGGCTCCAACTGAACACTGTCAGGCTTGGTACGGCCAATTACGGCCTCCTGCGAAGTCCTATCCAGTTTTCCCCACTTCTCTAAGTTGTGCTCAAAGCGCTGCACAATGGCGTAGGAGCAGCCATTCGGATCAAGAGCTGCTTCCGCGCGGTCGCTGGGACCTGAAGGGTTTTCGGTTCCATCAATAAATCCGGTGAGATCTCGGCTGTCTCTCCAGACGAAGCCCATCTGGGCGTCCGAAACGGTCAGCATGTTCGGAAGGAAAAGAGAAACGAAGGTGTTTCCACAATCGAAGCTGGCACCGTTGTACTTCGAGTGAATGTGAACGTACAGGTCAGCCTGGGTAGACGGAGCTTGTTCACCATAGCCAGGGAAATCAAATAGTTCGGCGCCAGTACCCTTGAGCTCTTCGTTGCCCTCCGTCAGGAATACCCAGAGCTTCTTTCCGAAAGAGAGAGCTCCGGAAACCGCGACATTGGTAATCGTGGAAGACTCCTCCAGGACCTTCTCGAACTGCTTCACAGCACTAATAAAGTTCGAGCGACCTTCTTCGGTGGACAGAAGCTCATAGTTCACCAAGTATGTAGCAAAGAACGCAGAATTATCTCCTTCTACGAGGATTCCAGATTGTGCATCAGTAGACATGGCCAAAATAAAAAATTGTGAAGATATGCACAAAAATAGGGCAAATTTTTGGAGTTTTGGCATCAATGAAATCATCTTGTTACCAGAAGCACAAATAAGTTAGCTTAGCAAGATGCCTAATAGGAATATGAATATAGGGAGGCAAAGAATTGGAGCCATAAGAGATAGGCACAAAACTTATGATCATCAATAACCACTGTACGTAAGAATCCATGGCTTTTCACATTACTTTTGTTGTTAAAGATGTCTGCGCAGGACAGTTTTGAGCCTCTTGAAGAACCTCAAGCCACTGTTGGTAGTGTCGTACTTTTGTTAGTGTAGGGTCATCGTTGGTTAGTCCCTATGGATTTCTCTGTACAAGCGAATGCCGCGCTTGACTGGGTCTTCGCCGTGATGAAACCGAACGATCACTTGCTGATCTTGAATGTTCTTAATTTGAAAGCTCCCAGTACGATTTTTGGACGACTCGCAATCTGTAGCATATGCTCATGATATGGTAATAAATGAACAGCTGACGAAAGAGTCACAGGAGAAACTGAAGGAAATGAAGCAGAGAGCTCTGGAGAAGGGATTCCAGTTCGTAAATACTATCAGCACGCGCGGTGAGCCCGCTAAGAAGGTGTGCTCCTACGCTGTGGAGGATAAGATCGATACGATTGTGATGGGAAGAAGAGGAATGAGCAATCTGAAGCGTATGCTGAACGGAAGCGTGAGTGAATACGTGATTGCCAACGCTCCCTGTGCGTACGAAGTTTTGTGGGTGAAATGCTGATCTGTAGTGTGTGTGTGATGGGCCGTAGCGTGGAGGAGAAGAAGCGTAAGGAGGACTTGGAGAAGAAGGACCGCGAGATCGCGGAGCTGACGGCGAGTGCGAGTGAGAACGAGGGCGAGGGTGCGAAGGTTCCTTTCTTCCTTCCCCGAAAGCACAGCGTGAAGAACTACTACACCGATTCGGATTCTCGTGTTTGTTCCAGCACACAGGAAATGAATAGGAGGAAGCAAACGGGAAATGCATTTGAGTACACAAACAGAAGGAAAAGAAAAAGCACTTATCCAGTCACACATTTATTCATTTATTCATTCATTCACTCACTCATTCACTCTCTCTCCTTCTCTTTATACATAGGAGAAATTGCTTCCGGGAAGCGTGGTGGGGAAGCTGAAATCCGACGAAAGGATCTGACGACCCGACCGCGACGGCCCCAGCGAGCGGCGTTCCTGCGACTCAGCCCCTCGTCCATCCCTCACCGAAGGCGGGTGTTTGACCCAGTCGAACGCCAGAACCTCCTCCATCGACGGCCGTTGCGCCGGATTCTTCGCGAGCATGTTCTTGACGAGGAGCAGCGCGTCCGCGGAGAGGTCCGCCCAGTCCTCCGCGATGTACTGCACCGGACAATTCACCGTGTGCTCCATCAGCTCGGCCTCCGAAGTGCCCTGAAAGGGCGGGTAGCCCATAAGCAGGAAGAACAGCGTGACACCCAGCGAGAACACATCCGCCTTCGCGGAGTACTCGCAGTTCTACGATCGATCCACGCTCCCAGACCCCACAGTAATGACCTCCGGCGCCATGTACCCCGCCGTGCCCACGATCTCGCTACCCATCAAAACCGGATCCCGCCGCCCACTTGGTGTCCTTGTTGAGAAAGTCCGCGAGAACGCCGCACCCGAAGTCGGTGAGCTTCATTTCCGCGCGTTGGTCGCGACTCTCGAAAATGATATTCTCCGGCTTGACGTCCAGATGATAGATGTGCTGCTGATGGCAGGCCAGCAGTCCCTGGCCGATCTGCCGAACCACACGCGCCGCTTCGTGCTCTGAAAACGAACCGTTGCGATTGATTCGTTCGCGAAGATCGCCGCCGCCCATATACTCCATCACGACATACACCAGATAGGAATCTTCGTAGACGTCCAAGAACCGCACGACGTAGGGCGAGCGAACGCGATCCTGTGGTTTAGAGCGAGAACGAGAGAAAGAAGCAATACGATTAGGCTTCGCAGAACGGTGAGCTCGTGCTGGAGAACCTCTGGATCCACTTTTTTCTTATTGATGAGTTTCACTGCGCACATTTCGCCCGTTTTCTGGAAAGAAATCGTAGCAAAAAAAGCGTGTACGATGATCTGGCCGAGGCGAACCACGCCGTAGCGACCGCGACCCAGTGTGTCTTGCAGCCAGACATCATTGTGGATGGAGGTCATGGTCTTGCTGTGCCGCTTGGTGCAGAGACGCTGCATTAGAAGCTGGACGACGGTGAGGACGCGTACCCACAAATCCTTGGATTGAGAAGAACAAGAGCTGGGGATTACACGCTGCTGTTGGGAAAAGGCTTCGAGAAAATAGGGTAGCTGGCCCCTGCAGGGGATCATGGAAAAGGCAAATGGCCGTCCCGTGATGTTTTCAACCATTACTTTACAATCTAGGGTAATTTCGCAACGACGACGGGGGGTGTTCTTATCATTTTTCTACGAGTCATTCTGCTGCTGCTCGTTGGGTACATTATAGTACACTAACACGTTCCTGTCAAGAACGAAAAAACGGCACTTCCACAGCTTTAATCCACGAAATCCCTTCTTCATTAAATTGCCCTCGAGATGTATTTGTTGCAAGTAGTCGGATGCAGTGTCAAAGTCCATCTTGGATATTGTCTCGGGTGTGAGAGTGGCAATGTTCTTCCCATTAATACACAGGTCATTCTCTTGCTGAACATAATCAGCGATCCGATCTAGCGCATAAACTTCTCCTAAGGAGCCACGGAAAATCGAAAATACGGAAGGTCTTGACGGTCTAGATCCCTTTGGACTGAAAACTTTAGTCGATGGGTTGTACGAAAATGTTTTTCGTTCGCTCATGGAGCTTCCATCATTTCCTAACGGCGATGACGGGTGATATAGTTCATTGTCATTTAGCTCGATATCAAAACTCATTTCCTGACGAACGACTTAGAACTAACACTTCATCAACAAAATTGTAACAAACACAGATAAAAAACAAAAACAGATACAATACACGGGAGCAAAATCCTTTACATATCATGCAGACTATACTCAAGATAACAACAAAATACTACGCATTCTGTAAGTCCTGCAACAGTAGCGCCTCACTACTCTTTCCACTTTTCTAAGAATGAGACTACACCTAAAGCACTACTTCCTTTGCACTCTCTGACAATTGACGCTGTTTTTGATAATCTACTGACTTGCTAATCAGCTCGGTGATGTAACGCTGGGCAGCAATTGAAACCAGACGAATTCTACGAAATGGCACATTTTCATAAAAACGCTACGAAGACTCATCTGTGATATCGCAACCGACCGACTGCAAAAGGTACTTTGTAATTTCATCGGGAATCTACTAGTTTGAGCGACTGCCGGCAACATACAGTAGGAGTGATTTTTTTCAAATTTGAAAGCAACTCTCTCACTTCATCCGGGTTGATACTGCTTTGCATCCTCACTTCGAAGCTAGGTCAAGGAATGTGTAACAAACAGACCAATCCTGAATAATCTTCTTCTCCTTGTCAAACACGTACCGCTTGAAGTTGATCACGAATTCTTCATTCTTTTCCAAATGATGCTCCTCCGAGAACACCACCTTAAACTTCCCAGACTTTCCAAAAGGCGCGTCGATTCTTCCCTTCAATCCGCTCTTCGTCACCACATCCAACCCCACAAACTACATAGTTAATCCTTCCTCCCAAGCCTTACAGCAGCGATAGTGCCTCCTTTCTCTGTCAGATTGGTTCCGATCACTTCTCTCTCATTCACAATCCGATCAACTATCGCGGTTCGCTGCTTGGGTTTGAAAACTCGCAGAACACTGAGGTCTTCTTTCTTGGGGGAGAGAGCCTGGATGACTTTGGCGTAAAACGCGATTCGGCAGGTCCCATCGACCTGAGAATTGAGTTGACTGCCGATGAGCAGCGCTCCCAATGGCGCGTAAATGGTTTGCTCGAGCTGCAGAAGCGCCCAGAGCGTGGCTATGTGTGAGAAAGAGGGGAAAAGAGAGGAACGATGGTGATGTGGAGAATCAGGTTTCTGTGCAGAGTGAAAGAAACAAACAAACAAGAAAAAGGGAAAGAAAAGGCTGGAAACCAGCCACTCACAAAAGAGGAAACAAGGCAATCAATCCAAAACACACAAATGCAAACTCAATTCAAATCAATAGTAGAGATAGAAAGATATTCATCACTTCAGTATACTCATAACTTCGATCAAAATCGAACGAGTTCACTTCTTCGTCGAACAAATTCACTCCGAACGACCCTTCTTTCAGCTTTTCTATCATTCTATTCACAGCACCATTCATCAAACCTTCTTTTTCCATATCGCTAAACAACGTGATTGTCGCAGAAACTGTGTGATGACCAATACTCACAGAAAACGTGGAGCCGCTTTTCACATCGCCCTGAATCACAATTTAACAACAATCCTACTTTGTAAAAGCGAATCTTCTTCAACCGAATCAAAATGTTTTGCATCGCTTTCAGAGATCCAACGGCGCATGCTTCACCTCGCTCTGACTTAAAATCGAACGATCTACTCGTCACTTTGATTATCAAGAATCACTGAACACAAATCCCAGCCCGATCTCCTTTGAGTACTTTGTCAATTCCCTTATGGAACATTTGAATGCTTTTCACTTTCCGAGTTAAGTGCAGCGAGGGGAATTCGATTTCATCATTCACGGACACACTTCCGGACAATACGGTGCCCGTCATGACGCAGCCCTTGCCCGCCAACTGGAAACAATGATCGTAAATGAAATAGAGCGGAGCTACAATTCATGAGACAACCAATTCCTAGGTACAAGGATCGATTTTGTTGGGGATGGAAACCATTCCGCGAATTTGATTCACTAACTCATCCATCTACATTCTCTATTCGATATCATCAACCCACGCCCAGACTTGTCGTATTCGCGTCTTCAATACTGCCTCCACCTACTTGCGCAGATACAGGAATCTATTTTAAAAACATAGCACATCCAAACAATCGAAGCGTTCTTAAAGCGAGTTTTGGAAAGTGTTTTCTGCAGACTTGAAATCACAGTTTTGATCCGATCCGATCGTTCCGCTTCTGGAATTAGATCGATCTTGTTTAAAGCAATGATAGCCTTGTTGGTTGTGATTTCGCCGATAACAATACATTCGGCTGTTTGGGCTTGAATACCTTTCAAACAGTCGATTACGATGATTAACATGTCGATGATCTGGGCTCCTCCAAGAATCGTTCGGATAAGGCTAGCATGACCAGGACAATCGACAAGAGTGTATTGAATGTACTTATATTTGTCACCTATTTTAATAACCCAACTCAAAGCTAACTTGATATATGACTAGGGATATCGGACAGAAATGCACTAAAACCCAGATCCAGAGTAATACCACGCTGACGACTTTGTGGATTCTTGTCTAAAGAAGCAGTTGACAAAATGGCACTCAGAGATTTTACTAGTATTCATATATTTGTGAATTTTTTACCCAAACTCGTTTTACCAGAATCAACGTGTCCCATTACACCTACGTTGATATTGCACACTTCTGAAGGATCAAATTGCAGATTACTCATTCCAAATTAGTGATATGGAAGAAATAGGTTGATATAAGTGAAAAAAGGGTTTCTATCAATATAAAACTTATGAATTTAGTATATAATGACAATTGTAATTTCAAAGAGTGTGTTGGATCGTGTGGTGAGTGAATTGTTAGGGTATGTGACGAAGAGAGAGAGTAAAACGAAGAAATACCAATAGTGTGCTTACTTTTTGTTTTTGAATAGTTGTGATGTGAATAATCGTTTTGTGAAAGGGATCGTTGTTTCAAGGAGTGTATTTGCGAGAAGACAAGTTCCGATCATTCATTTGAAGGAAGATTGAGAGCTTGTAGATGGGGAATACGCTTAGTTTGACAAAAGGAACCTCGTATAGTTGATAGAAGAGAGTTTTCATTCAGAAAGCTAGTTTTGGGCAAGGAATGGTGAATATTCATGACGTGATACATATTGATAAATATAGTTTAAAAAAATAAGTCAGGGTGAAGAGATCAGAGAAAAGAGAATAGGTCAAGAAATAGTACCATATCCATTAACCAGCATAGGACATTGATAAAGGCAATTCCATAAATGCTAATTCTTGTTGAGTTGATACACAACACACAGTTTTACATTAATAACTGTATTGTACAAAGATCCTAGACCACACAGAGTCGAAAAGCTATATAATATGAACGATACTAAAGAACATTAACTCTAAACACCAAATAGTTTATAGAAATGGCATAATTATAATAAGGGAATTCTTTCTTATATGCGCAGACGTCGACGATATGATAACAATGGATTGAAGGTCAGATACGAACTAGCAAAATCAAACCTACAATACTCGTCAAGTATTTGGGTAATTTAATATTTTTGCTAAATCAATAACCCCAAGTGGTTTTGGTTAGGCTTCGAGTAGTTTTACTCAATAAACGTGTTTGCTTCATATTGCTCGTTTTCTTACTTGACATCTATATTTAGTATATATATAAATGATGAACAAGCAACTTTATCCACTAATTCTTCCTTAACTCTTAGCACACCTCACTCAAATGTAATACCGATGTGAAAGTTAGCACTCACAACACAAATCACTATGTACTGATTTATTTACTTGATTTTAGGTCATTCTAGAAATCATATGAATTCACAGAATTCGATGGAATAGAAAGCAATAGTTTCTACACATTAAACTGAGCTATTTAAACAATTGAGAATTACTTGATTTGCCTCACAAAATATAGTAATCTCTAAATAAACACATGGGTGATGTTGAAATAGTTTCTATCGGGGTTGAAAACAATCTTGAAGATAGTCGAGGAAAGTGTTGGCAAGATAGTTTATCAAATCAATTTCCCGTGATCAATTATGAAAATGTTGGTGGCATAAGTGTTTTCCAAGTTGGAGCTCCTCATGAAGGGTACACTATAGAAACGCAACTTGTGAATAATAAAATGAATGGAAAATCGAAAATAATATCTAGCAAGGATGTTGTGATAGCCAAACTAACATTTGTTGATGGAATTGCAAATGGACCTTGTTTGTTATATGACAATTCAGGTTTTAAGTATTTTAAAGGACTATTTGTTAATGGGTATCGTTCGGGTAAAGGAAAAGAATATGACAGTAAAGGCAATGTGATATTTGATGGATATTTCTTGTTAGGCAAACGAGCCAAATTATATCGAGTACCTGAAATGAAAGGATATTGGAAAGAATTGGATGATAAAAGTAACAAAGTAATAAGTGTGAGTAAACGAGACGAATATGGAAGAAAATACGGAATTTGTTATTTTTATAATGAAGAAGGTTTAATCAATCGTGTGAGTGAATGGAATGAAGGCAAAGAATCGATGTATACAGGATATTATACATTCTATGATGTAGTCAGTAATAAATGGATCGAAGGATTATATGAAAATGGAATTTTAAAAGGAACGTATAGAGAAACGGATGTAAATGGTAATGTGATATTTGATGGATTTTATGAAAATGGAACACAAAGAAAACTGTTAAAAATGAACGAAATGGAAGGATATTGGACAGAATTGGATGATAAAAGTAATAAAGTAATAAGTGTGAGTAAACGAGATGAATATGGAAGAAAATACGGAATTTGTTATTTTTATGATGAAGAAGGTTTAATTAGTCGTGTGAGTGAATGGAATGAAGACAAAGAAGAATGTGTGATAAAACAGTTCAACAGAAATCAAATGATTGAATACAAGAATGGAACAAAACGATATGAAGGGGAATTTATCAATAGTTTGAAATATGATTATAGAAGAAATGGTAAAGGAATAGAATATAATAAAAATGGTAAATCAATGATTTATCAAGGAAGTTTCTCGAATGGGAAACGTCATGGTCGAGGTATTTCGTATCATAATCGTGAAGTAAATTATGATGGAGTATGGATAAATGGAAAAACAAAAAGATCCTTTTATATATGTAATGGAATACTGTTTGTAGTTGGACTGATAATCACAGCCTGCCTATTTATGTTCAACATTTATATCGGTATAGCGGCATTTATCATATTGTTGTTGTGTTTTGCTATTTACCACATACATGAGAAGCAAGTAAGTAAAATAACTATTCGATATGAGCCATATTATAAAGCATCGGTAAATTACACTAATGGTACTTTAGCTTTTGGAAATGTGTGTAACAGTATTATCCCCATTGTCTCTCTAAATTCGTTTGTGGAATCAATTGAAATCGGTGATGAACGTTTTGGATTAGTGCAAACATTCAAAATCAATGGATTGAATCGATTGAAAACTATTAAAATCGGAAGCAATTCATTCACTCAAGAGAAAAGCACTGACAAGTGGGATTCGAGTAAGGTCAACAACAAATCGAAATCATTCCACATATTGAATTGTGAATCATTGGAATCCATTGAAATTGGTGAATATAGTTTCAGTGATTTTGCTGGAGACTTTGAATTGAAGAATCTACCACAATTACAATCCATTCAAATTGGCACAATTGGAAGTGAATCATGCAATTTCTGTTATAGTTCATTTGTGATTCGAGGTATTGATATGATATTGAATATTTGAATGATGCATAGATCTTCCAAATCTACAATCCATTACATTAGGTGATGAGGCATTCTGTGAATCCTTATCAACAATAATGGAAAGTATTGAATGAATTCGAATGAAATGATTGATGTAGATCTCCCATCATTACAATCCATTCAACTCGGTGAATGTGCACTTCAAGGAAGAGATGATGATTCAAGTTCATTGACAATGCGAAGTAATAATGAATTGATTGGTTATGATTTGCTTTGTAGATCTTCCAAATCTAACATCAATATCATCTGTAGGATTCAGTTTCTGTGAACCTCGTGTAGTGACATTGGAAAGTATTTCTGAATATTGAATATTGATAGTATTTAGATATTCCAAATCTTCAAAATGTCGATCTACCTGATTCATTCCAGGAAATTCAATCGAAATCAATTTCGAGTATAGTTTGATTGATTTGATTTGATTCATAGATATTCCATCTATTCTTGCTGATCTTGTACAAATCAAGCCGGTACCAGTACCAGAAGAAGTAAATGTACTAGTACCAGTAGCACTAGCACTAGCACCAGCACCAGCACCAGTAGAAGTTGAACTGTAAAAACAAAATCAATCAGTAATTCTAACATTAGATCTACATTCTTCACTTCTCTTTATTGAAGTCAATGACCATCGTACTATCAATGCTTCCTTCGTTTCTTTGTTCCATACTCCTTGCCATCATTCTTTGGTCATTCATTGATATATAGTCCAAACATCGATAGACATATTTCTATCATTACCAACGTAAAGTGGTTTAGCTAGTATGTTCCAGCCCTTTGTGCAACCAATGTTCAGAAAAAAAAATTAAAAAAATAGCTAAACTGACATTCCAGTATAATTCAATGTTCAAAATAGAAATATGTTACACTTGCATTTTTACTATGTTATGAATGATTAGGCACACACGATTCAGCGTATACACTCGATTGTGCTGAGTAGTCTAATAAAATAGTTATAACAACGTAGCTTTGAAGACAAAAAGTACAATAAATGGAAATCGTTTATTTCCTTCGATTAGGAGTATTATTATAATAAACCTGCTTTCTTGAATAAAAATAGTATAATAACAATTTTATTCTTTAGGAGTTATAATACAACCTGAATTGTTCGATAATTTGAGGATTATTGTTTTAATAACGATTGATGAATCATGAAAATAGTCTGAAAACGACTGAATTGAGTGTATGACTGAAATCGTTATCGAACTAAGAATAAAGAGTTTCAATAATTGGCTTCAGATTGTAATTTCGGATGTTCACACTCTTTTTCATAATTATTTTGTTTAAAAATGCAGCGTGTCTACCTAAATACTCTGTCATTTATGTACTTCGAGTGATTGCGTGCGATGTTTGTTGTGTTATCTCGTATAATTCCATGAATATCAGCGTTCTATTTCCAACAACGATTTTAACACACATCCAATCAACTCATTGACTTTTACAAACACTCAAATTTATAAACTACAATTACTCTATTTGTTCAATACGCACTATTTTCATTTATTAAAACAGACACCAAGTTTTGTTTGTCAACATTACACTTTATGTTTTTTCATTTATTCTATTCATTTATTGTGATACAGATCGAACAACGAATAACTATCCTATTCAAACAATCATTCACACTTCTTTGTCCTCACGAAAACCCAGTATTGTTGTCTATACAACAAAATAATCATTGGAATTGTATGTTGAAACTGTGAGTATATCGAATTCTCCACTGTGTCACTATTTCGCAATATCAATATTAAATACGCAGCTATTGCCCAAAATAGCATTTATGCCCTCAAATATAGCTTTCCCTCCACTCAATCACCAAACTCTATTCTCAACCTTCATTTCACATTTCAAACAAACAATCTCATTTCGTTCTTCATTCATATCTCTTTATAAGAAGAATGAACTTTCTGATGTCTCGTCAATTCAAATCGAGAAGCATAGGCGTGGGTACATCCAGGAAAGTTACAAGGAAACGGCTTCGATGTACTGTGATTTCGATTCACATGCAAAGTATAGTCCGATTTCCGTACAAACGCTTTGTTACATCTAGCCTTCACATCTTATCACGACTTCCTACTGATTACAAACGAACGGTTTCTTCCCTTCATGAACCTTTTTGTGGTGTAATTCAAGTCCCTATTCATCAATACTCACCTTCATTCCAACATATTTCGTTTGATAGCGTAATCCACAACCTTCTTCAGGACAGATAAACGTCTCGCCACCGCCCTGATGCTTTTTGCGATGCTTGTAAAGTCCAGAAGACGTTTGGAACTTCAAATCACAGCCAGGCTCGGTACATTCAAACACCTTTTTATCGCCGTTCAGTAATCGTTCTTTGTTCAACTCTTGCTCACATACGTTCTCTTTCCCACAATCCGCATTCCTCACTCCATTCGATCCCTCGCCCTCATTCCCTCCTTCTGAAACCACCGATCGGTCCAATCGGTCCAACCGGTCCAACCGATCCAATCGGTCTGAATGATTGGGATTTGACGAGCGATCCGGCTGTTCAACGCGATCGCCATCATTCACAGACACAAACGAATGAAGTGGGAGCGAGTATTCGGGAGGAGCAAGAGTCGGTTCGAAGGATTTCCCCGAAGAGAAAACAGACATAGAGAATTGTGGAGAATACGTTTCTTTTAGATGGGATTGGAGAGACAGCATCAATTGAAGAGCTGCCTGAACATCATTGTCCTCACTTTATGATATCAAAAGAAAGACATACATTACAAACTAAAAGCGCTGTCGCGAATTTCGATACGGATTGCTGAACGAACGATTTGAATAACAAGGATTGTTTGTCTATCGATCAGTCCTCCAATTCATTCATCGAGATTCAATACCTCGCTTTTTACGGATTTCGGGAATTCCGATTAATCGACGCGATTCCATTCTCTGTTTCTCTTGTTCCAAATAACGTTCGCGATCACGATCGTACCGTTCTTGGAACGGACGACGTTCTTCTTCGGATAATTCTTTCCATTTCGAACCAATCTCAATTTCATTTATCATTCTCTATCCTACTAAGCGCATTTTGTCGTGAGGAGTTTGGAACCCCTCTTGATCTTTGAGTTTCTCAAACATGTGTTGAGTATATTGGTTGTATCCATGACATGGACGTTTCGATTTCACGGTACTCTGAACTCTCATCTGTTTTCCCTATTCGTTGAATTCCGCCATCATTCGTACATCTGTCAAATTGATTTCTTGATTGGATTCGGAAATTGTATATAAGGGGAACGTTTGAGTGCCCATTCCGCCGAACAATTCGTTTCCATTTGCAATCTGTTCGGGGACTTCATGTGAATTATCTTCTATCATCATCATGTCTGTATATTCAACCTTTCCGGAAAACCTACCATATTGTGAATCTGTTTGTTGCTGTGTCTCATTTCCATTTCTTACTCTTTGTTGTTGTTGGAGCTGATGGATTACAGAGTCTTGATTTAAAATATCACCCGTTGTTAAGGGTGGCGCTGACAACAGTGGAATTGTGCTATTGATGGTCGAGTATTGTATTTCCGCTACATATTACATCGATTTTCACACCTACGATTCACAGGTTCGTTCAATGTTAACTGGATAGGATCCATCGCCATCCGCACATCCCTAGATGATGTTTCCATCTGTTTATTCCACCAAAGGGTTGTTGTCCAGAAATACAATACGATCTCTAAATCTTCCCGATTTCTGGAATTCCAGCCTCCATGCGAGCTCCTCGAATTGTGTTTCGATGCCCACTCGTATTTTGCAAATAGTTCCGTGCATTCCAATAACTCAGATATAATAATCTTTAGTTGTTTGATTGCTCTGCTTCATCAATTTCCTTTTCATCACCACACATACTTGTTTCCTTCCCTATTTATTACTTATTGACGGCTTCTAGATTACAGCAAATGTGCTATTTTGGAGAAACAGAGGTTCTCATTCTCCTCTTTGATTATCATAGAGAGACGAATTACTGTACATGGAAACCCTATTGCCTCTACACAATTAGTTTTACGTAAAAAACAGATATGGAGCCTCTTGTTAGTGAACGAAAGAGTTATATGAAGCATATTATTCTTCTGAGTGCATCATTCTTTGGTGTGTTTTTCGCTTTCAATACATCCCAGGTTTTGCCTTCTTTTTATCAATTTATCGTCTAGGCACTTCAGACGTCTTCTCATAGTAACCCAATCCAGGGTTATATCAACCTTGGTTGTTTGTATGGAATGTTCGCTTTCTTTTCCTTCTTTGGACCGAAAGTCGTATCCATGTTGGGACCAAAGTAGGATTCGTGGATATTTATGACCCTAAGAGTTTCCATGATTTTGGGTGCAGTTGCCTATGCCATTGTAGTTGCCTCAAACCTCGTTGATAGCGCGGTTGTGCAGATCCTCGCTAACCTTCTTGTGGGAGTGGGTGCTGCCATTCTCTGGAATGCCCAGGGTGTATATCTTGGTCGTTGCGCTCTGTGGGATTCTCGTACTTCCACGAAGAGTTCTCTTTCTTCATGATTCTAACGCGCAGGCTTCGCCGAGACCACCTCTTCGTTTAACGGTGTGTTCTACTCCATCTTCCAGTTCACTGGCTGCTTCGGCACCGCCATCGGTGGTGTGATCAAGCAGATCACCGACGACAACCGCGTGCTGTTCACGGTGCTGACCGTGGTGGGCGCGTTGGCCGTGGCTTCGATGTTCATTCTTCCCAGCGTGAAGGCGTACACTGCTCCCGGCCACTCCGAGAACGAAGATGTAGCACTTGTTAGAGAGGCAATGAACGGTAGACGGTGTCGATCAACGCCACGCTGCGTCTGCTGTGCAAGTCGATGAAGCTGGTGATGACGCTGCCGATCGTGATCTACAACGGAATGAGTCTCGCGTACATCTTCGGAGATCTGACCAACTCCGTGTACAAGCCCGCCTTCGGAGCCTCCTGGGTGCTCTATCTGACCGCTATTTTCTACGGCTCCAACTCGCTGTGTAGGGGAGGAGGGAAGGAAGGTGATGCGTAGTCTCGTACTTCTTCGGAAAGTGCGTGGAGAAGAAGTGGATGTCCCGCAGCGTGATGTGCTTCATCGCGTTCCTCACCCAGCTGATCGCTTATCTCTTCATCATCTTCTACCATGTGAAGGAGAACGATAAGAGCGTGCTGGACCTCGTCCTCATCATCATCATGGTCGTGATCCTTTCGGCTGGAGATGCCGTCTGGGAGTCGCAGCCTCCCGCCATTCTGCAGTCCTTCTATGGACTCGACAGCGAGCGCAATGCTGCGATGGCCAACTACAAGATGTGGCAGTCGCTGGGATGGTGCGCGCAGTTCGTGATTGGAGCTGTGTGGGCGGCGAACAAATACATCTACATGAAGTCGATCGTGCTGCTGGTTCTGCTGGTGGTGGGATACTTGTTCGTGGTGTATCTGGATAAGAAGGTGGCCAAGCTGGATATGAAGAAGGGAGAGAGCGCCGCTCTTTTGGCTGGAGTGTCGTCTAATTAGAGGATTCAATGATGTGAATGATTGCTTCTTGTGGTTTGTTGAACAAAGAAAACAAATAAAGGACAGCGATTGATTTGTTTTAGCTAAATGTATTTTAGGTGAAGCGGATCGGAGTTGTAACGTACGTGGAAACGACGTATATCCCAATCAAAATGAATAGGTTTTGTTTGGTGATGATGAGAACTGTGTTTGTGTTTTGAGTGATGTGATTTTGACTTTGACTTTGATTTTGACTTTGATTTTGATTTTGATTTTGATTTTGATTTTGATTTTGATTTCGATGTCGATTTGGAGTCTGTAGGTTCGGGAATGTTGGATTGCAGCAGGCTTTTCATCGATTTGCTTTCTTTGCTGTGCGGTGAGGAGAGCGAAGTGGGCGATCCAAGCATTTTATCGCGATTCAGCGGCATCGAATGGCCAGACATCCCCGTGCCCGTTGAGCGAATGGAGCTGGAAGAATGCATCGCCCTCCCCATTTCTCGGGTCAGCAGGGGGATCGGAGCTGGGAATTGCCGAGCTGGCTGGAGCGATTTGGGAGCGGATTGAACGGATCGGGCGTTCGGCGATGTGATCTCCTCGGACGATTCCGAAGTCTCTGAAGCATCCGAAGTGGCGTCTTCCGAATCATCTGCTTGCTCGTTCGAATCCAAATCACTCGAATCATTTGATTCATCATCATTTTTATTATTGTTTTCAGACTCGGATTCCGATTCTTTATCATCTTTGGGTTCCTCTGATTCGTCGTCGTCGTCGTCAGAATCGTCGTCTTCAGAATCGTCGTCATCGTCATCGTCAGAATCGTCATCACCAGAATCTTCATCTTCATCATCGTCGTCGTCATCATCAGAATCAGAATCAGAATCATCCTCCGAGTCATCAGAATCATCAGAATCATCAGAATCATCAGAATCATCAGAATCAGAGGAGGAATCCGATGATTCCGATTCCTCATTCGCTGGTCTCGCAGGCTGAAGCTTTCCATTCTCTTTTTCCTTCTTTTCTTTCGACTTTTCCACTTCCTTCCCCTTTTCCTCCTCTTCTCCTTTTCCATTCTTCTCTTTCTCCTCCTCTTTTCCACCTTTCTCTTCTCCCTTTTCCTTTTCCTTTTCCTTTTCCTTTTCCTTTTCCTTTTCCTTTTCCTTTTCCTTTTCCTTTTCCTTTCCTTTCTCCATTTCCTTTTTCTTCTCTTCCTCCTTTTCCTCTTCCTCTTTCTTTTCGCCCTCCTTCGTCTCATTCTCTTTCATCTCAATCTCTTTCATCTCGCTCTCTCTCTCCGCCTCCCTCTCTTTGATCTGCCTCAGCTTCTTCATTTCCTTCTTCAACTCCTTCCGCATCGCCGCAACGTCTCGACTAATACTCCGCAAACTCTTCGTCATCTTCATCGACTTCGACCCTCTTCCCGTCTTCGCCGTCGCGCCTTCCTTCCCTCCTTCATCCTGCTTCCCCGACAGCGTTCGCTCCATCGTCTCTTCGATCGGCGACGCCGATTTCGCCGACGGCATCGGCTCGGACAGTCGCTGCGAGCCTCGCGAAGGCGCCAATGTCGATGGTGGCGGCTCTGACATGCGCTGCGAGCCTCGCGATTGCAGTGCTGGCGAACTCATATGAATCTCGTTGGCTACCAAATCGCTGCCAGATTGCGGCGTGTGTCGATTCTCATGAGAGAAGCTGCTGCTCATGAACAGCGATCTGAAGAGATTCGTGCTGCCCTCGTGCTGCGACGTCGGACTGCCCAGATTCGAGCGAGGCGGCGGTGTTACGCGGAGCAATCCGATCGGCCGCGCGCTGCTGTTTTCGCGAGGCTTCGCGGGCTGCGGGATCTTGTCGTAGTTGATCGTTCCGCGGAGATTGTCGCCGTCCACGCAGAGATGGAGTCCGAGGTTTTTGTCTTCGTAGCTAGGGAACACAATTCGATAAAATTCTACCCGGAACAATGATCGATCTCCCAGTCCTGCATCCAGAAATCGCGATCCGAAACGAAGCTAGGATTGAGCGAAAGCGGAACGTTCTACGCGGTGTTCAGCCAAACAAAACAAACCGACGAGCTCATCGTTCCCTCTTCTGCGAGCTCCAATCGAACGTCTCCCTACGTCTCACATCGCTGCGGACTCTACATCGAGTTCTACAAACTCGGGCTCCTCGATTCGAGCCACAAGCGAATCGCCGTTCTGGCTCAGTTTCAATGGGATTTTCCGCTGCAAGACCCAGTTTTCGTACATGCAATCATCATGCGTGGTCTGTTCCTCTTCGGCTCGAATCAGCAGATAGGACTGAATGGAGCGCCAGCAGGATCGCTTCTGCCGTTCGTCCAGCTGCGAGCTCTCGGGGAGATTGTGCTCGAAGACGATTTTGTAGATCCGCACGACGAATTGGTGGCTCTTGATGAACCTCCCCACCTCCGTCTAGAGCTTATTTTCCGCCTCTGCACGCACGTGCACGGCGATGGCTTTGAGAGAGAGCGGCCGCGAGGAGGGGATTTCGTTTTCGAGAAGGTGGCGATAGTAAAACACATAGCGAATCTGGGAGGGACTCGACACGCGCTGCTCTTTGATCGAGAACCCCGTCTTTTTGGTGGTTCGTCGCTGTGCGAAATACAGCAGTGCGTCTTGAGCCATCACGCAGACGGACATCTTCAGCAGCAGACAGCTGACGATCATTCCGGTACGGCCTTTCCCGCCCTGCACGTGATTGGATGCTCAAAAGAAACAACCTTGCAGTGAATGGCCACGACGCTGAGGGGATTGCGATTGAACAACTCGCGACACTGCTCGACGATGGTTTTGATTTGGTCTGTGGAATGAAGAGAGGGAGGATTGCTCACTGAGCGAACAAGCGTTGTGGTCGCGAATCGAGTAATGCGTAAAACGATTGCCGAAGGGCGGAATGGTGGACGAGGAGTAGCTGCTTTCAGCGCAGAGATTGATTCTACGTGGAATTGCTCTGCCAAACGGCTACACCCAGTAGTTTCCCTTGTAGTTGCGATTCAAAAAGCCCTCCACATCGTGGATGTTGTTTCGCCACATGGAATCGAAAAAGGACCCGGGCCAGGACATCGCGATGATGTTGTCTAGCGATTGACTGCCACAAAGCGAAGCGTACTGGTGATGAACGTTAGGTCCAACGAGCTGTCGCCCAGCTGGTTTCGATTTCGGTTGAATCGCTTGCGGAAGTGATGAGACAACGTGGTTTTCTGATACTCCACGAGCTAGCCGCGAGAGAAGCCTGAGTGGTCCGACTTTCAACGAGCGAACAAACTTGAGTAGACCGAGAACCGATCCGACGATTTTATCAACGCGCGAACTGGTAAAATTGATGAAATAGAACACGAAGATCGCCGCGAGAATCACGATATCGATGATCGAAAACAGAATTCGCCTCACTCCCGATTTTCGCTTCCAGTTTTCACCGCAAATGTTTAAGAGATCTTCCAAGATGAACGCGCCTCCCACGTACAGAGAAAGCGGCCTACTCATGAGGAATGCGTGCGAAACATTGTACTCCTTGAGGTAGAGGTAGATTTCGCAAAGATACAGAAAGGAGAGAAGGAGATCCACGATGAGAGCGATCCACATAATAAGTACAAAGACTACAATCAAGTTCGCTGGCGATGTGTACTATAGTTATTTACAATCGTTGCGAAAAAACGCCTCACTCGACGGCTTCGTCTGCGGCGCTTTTTCTCTTGCTCCAAGTCCACCGAGGCCGGCTGCTGCTCGTTTTGAGGTTGGAAGGAGGGGGACATTGGGGTTGTAGGAAGACTGGGGTTATTCGAATTGGTCGAACTGTGCAATCCATTGCTCACGCTCATACTGCTGTTGTTATTCACACTCATGCTGCTCGTATTCAATGCATTATTCATACTCATGCTGCTATTCATTCGCTTCACACTCGTATTGCCATTAATTCGATTCGCACTCATACTGCGATTGTTGACACCCATACTGCGATTGTTGACACCCATACTGCGATTACTCATTCCATTATTCACACTCATGCTGCTATTGACTCGATTCAAATTGCTGTTATGATTACCAGAATTGATTTCATTGCCACCACCACCGCCATTGTTGTTGTTGTTGTTGTTGGTGGTGGTGGTGGTATTATTATTGGAATTGCTATTGCTATTGTTACTATTCACGTTAGTAGTACTGCTATTATTATGATTATGATTATTATAATTCGTATTGCTATTACTGCTATTGCTATTGTAATTGCTATTATGGCTCGTATTCATTCCATTCGCTTTCTCTACCGACACACTTCGACTCATCGCTCGATCCATCATCGGTGATTCATCTTCCACAATCGCATCCTTCTCCTTCTCCCTCTTCTCCTTCTCCCTCTTCTCCTCCTCTTCGCTCTCTCTCTCTTCCTCCTCGATATCATCCAGCGCGTTTCGATAGCCTTTCTCTGCGCGGATTTCGCGTTTTCGATCGATGTATCCATCCTCCGCCAAACACTGCAATAAAACCGTGTTTATTTGCTCCAGCGTCACCACGTTCGGGTAATAATCCTGCACCGACCTTGCATACCGCTCGCGTTCCCCGCGGGACCATTTGATTAGCAGACACGTGGTGTGCTATGGAAAAAAACCGCGATCAATCGGTACTTCTCGCTCCATGAGCTGCATAGCTTCGCGGATAGGCAGGCTGCGAGAAATTTCGGGGACTGGGTCTCCGTTGATCTGAGCAACTGTCAGCGTGGCCACTGGATGACTCGCCATAGCATTAATCACGTGTTGCTGTGTAATGAGCTCTACCCGATCCGCTTTGATGGACAGAAAGGAGTTGAAACTAAATCTGAAATACAGCAAAGGTAAAAACGGCTGGTTGTTCAAAGAACGGATGAACTCGCTGATATCACGACCCTGGGGATAAAATGGGATCGAGTTCGAGACCACACGAGAAACGGGAGCATTAAGACTACTTTCAAAAAACCCATTTAAAAAGCTACAATTTTGTAATCCTCCCCTCCATATCCTGCGTATTCTACAACTCAATCCATTGCAAAATTCGAACATTATTCTCTATTTCATTGTTCTTCTCCAGCTCCTTCAAATAGTCCGATGTCATCTTGTTCAATTGGATCAAACCCTCGAGGGATGCACTGTAAACCTCTTGCGGACTGCTTGTCACTACCTATGCATCATTGACACAGTACGTTCACACTTTTTTCGTAACAAGCTTCACAGAACTAGTAGCAGTATCCACTCCATGATAAGCCATTCTGTAAATAGGATTCAATACAAATCAGGGGAAGACATAGGAATTCCAATAGTTCACCATATTATTGCAACTTATATTCTCTTCTATTGTGGAATGAGTTTTTTCAAATCTCAAGCTTGGCACTTGTTGAGAAACATGTGCTTTGTGTCGGGCTCCATGTTCATGGGAGACATCATTTGCCAAAAGATTTTGCATCCTGAGAAATCATGGTAAATTGATCCCAATGGATTTATAGCAAGGAATCGAAGACAGTCGGTCAATCTGGGAATCACCGGCTTTTTCGTCACCGGTCCGATGAACCACGGCGTTTTTATATTACTGGAGAAGTTGTTTGGTGGAATTTCACTCAAGGTAGAGGAAAAGGCGAGTTGCTTTGTAGGCGATCGTCGCCAAGATGCTTGGTAGCTGCGTTCTTGCTGCACCACAGATGAGCATCACGTTTGCATCAGTCGTTGCCTTGAATGGCGGTTCGTTCGAAGATATGAAAAAGAAGATAAAGCAGGATATTCCAGCTACGTGGATCGCAGGAAACGTGTTCTGGGTGCCAATCAACTACATCCAGTATCGTTTTACTCCACTTTATTATCGAGCGACTTTAGGCGGTATATGTGGAGGTAAGCAACCGTTCGGTGACTTACATTTAGCATTCTGGAACATTTATTTAGCAAAGCAATCCGCTAAACCTGTTAACGATAATAAATTACAGTAGTATAGTTTTCTTGGGCATCTGGTGTCTGTTTGTTAACATGCACGATGATTCCGAATGTAATACAGTTCTATCAATTATTGTTTGAAAACCACTTTTCAACTTGAGATATTTGCTCCGATATCTCCGTTCGTTGCTTTTATCTATCAGCAGCAGGTGCATAGCATTTGAAGGGATATATCAAAAATATGTCTTCTATGAAGAAAGAAATCGGTTGTCAGGGATAGACATCACATAGAGCTATCTATCTGTGCTGTGTCATCCGGAATTATTCATATATCTATGCCTATGGACTTAGAAATTTCAAACATCGTGTGGTTGTGCTACTTCATGCAAGTGATATATCTCACAGCATTTCTCGGTAATGTGATTTTGATTCTATTGGTCGGTAGTCACATTGTCTGAGTTATAGCATTAATAATAGTTTTTACGTTAACTGCTACGTTTAATATCTCTCTTGAACAGTAGGGATATGAGCTCGATAGTAACTAGATCGTGTCTACTCGTTGCTTTTGGAACAAACATGCTCTATTTCGAGTATTGGAGAAGTGAAGAGAATCAGAAACATCCAGCATAGAATATAGTCTTATGAGTGCATAGTAGTTTGTATGCCTTTTGTTCTGATCAGTTCTACCCTATTATTGCGAAGACATGGATGGCAGTAATACATTGGAAAGCTGATATATAGTGTTATAGTGAGTGGGTTGCTTGAAACTTGTCATCCGTTTAGAAAACGTGTGGAGAATACCAAACAATCGAAAGAATAAGCTTTCAAAATCTGAATCATCCTAGGTGTGAGGGTTAAAATGGTACTTACCTTAATGTATTGGTACTCAAATACGGAGCAGCAAAGATCGGGATATGTCTGGCTAACAACACCAAGCAGTTCTTTATATACAATACAAATGTCACAATGAATGTTGTCTATGATACATGAAAGATCATCTCGATTGTGCGCTGACAAGCGGCAGAAAATAGAATAATGCGAAAGAGAAAACATTATCCGATCGCAAAGCTCATTGTACTCCTGTGCCAAAGAGGGTACAATTATGATGGCAGCAAACATAGTGTAGGACTGTAGTGATACTCCAAAAGTCTGAGCGTAAGTTGAGGATAAAGTAATAGGATCATTGTTGGGAAGGTTATTATCCTTACGCTCTTGAAGCTGTGACGTCGTGCGTACCTCATCGGAAGTGTCGTCGTATGGTAAATAGACATTAGAATACAGAAAGGAAGACAATCCAGTCACCATTGACAGACGGGAACTGGATACATCAAGCGGGATAGAGAACTCAATACTACTTTCAAGCCAAGCCCACAATCATACTCATTTATTGGTATTATAGAGTCTGACGCTACAGAGCTTTCGTTTCGGCAGGAGAGTTCATACGAAGTGGAATCCATATTATCACTATGATAGACAAGTGAAAAAAAACAAATTAGCTCTGTAAAAGGAAATTTACATTTTTACTTTAATAATTACTGTCACGTGACAAACCTGGAATGGTAAGAAATGTTTATTGCTCGTTTGGGAGTTTGCGAAAGTATATTCAAACCTCAGACACACGTTCTCCTCGCGGTGGTGACCGCAGGTTTGCGCTATGACTTCTCCAATTATTAGTCCTAATCATTACGTGATAGATTTCCAATTCACTGCCGTCACACAATGGAAAAAATAATTGATATCATATTTATATGTTTATTCCATTTTGATATAAAATATGTGTAGACGAATTATTTATTCAAAGATACACTATTAATCGAAATATTCACTATAAATAAGATGAGAATCAAAATCGTTTTTTCTTTTGGTTCACTATCGTTTTTGCGGATGGAGTCTGAAACACAGAGCGACATTGATCGTAGAAAACTGACCATTTGGCGAATTATCTATTAGGTTTCTATGAGATTGCGAGAATAATGGATCTGCACCTGGATAAGAAAACTATTCAGACCCTGTATAATCTCATTGACTGTGGAGTGAATCCAGATGCACTTGCGGCCATGATTAAGGAGATGACGCAGTTGAGTTAATTTGTTGCTCCTATGTCCTGCCACGGTTGTACTATACCTGCTTCTGTATCTTGATGCCACTCTCATATGCGTTTGTTACATCACCACAACGTGACACAATTCCTTTTTTCACGCCCGTATTAGACAATTAGGCACTTTCCAAATCGATCCCCTGAACCCGTGGAAAAAACGCGTCACATACAAAAACTGGACGGACTTGTTGGCTCTACGATTTTGCAATGCAACATCCGTCGCTTACTGGCATATTACAGTCTGCTATGAATATGCAGGATTCGTCTGATGGAGATGACTCTCTTATTGACGATAACAGACTTCAGGATAGTGATATTTCGGACCTTTATTTCGGAGATGACGGTAAAGAAAACAAGTCATCGAGTACTTGTGTTGTTCTTCTAGTTTAGACTAGATACGTTTTCTGAAGATGGGGATCGTTCAAGCTCTATGCAGAGTACAGAAATGTCATCTGCTGTATCGGGTAAACCTCAGGGAGATGCGTTTTCGTCCTCCCAAGTTCAAATTGGAAACTACGAAACAAATTACCGAGAGGAGATTGAGAATCTCCAAAAGAACTATTCGGCACTGTTGGAAGCTAACGAAAAGGTGAAATACGAGCTAGAGGCAGAGAAGAGGAAGTCGGAAGGGCAGATAGCCCAGATTCTTCGTCTGAATGAAGAAATCACCCGTACAGAGGAAGAAAAGCAAGCTCTCGAAAAATCGCTGCATGAACTTCAGTCGGACTCTTCGAACCCTACTGCTGGTTATTACCAGCAAGAGTTGTCTCGGATCATTACAGAGAAGATCACAAACGACGAGGCTCATCAGCAAGAACTGAACCAGCTTCAGCAGCAGCTTTCAGGTATCTCCGTTTCCCCCATTCAAACGCAGATCTGCGATCAAGCGAGGAGTCTCTCCGCTCTACCAGCGCCTCTCTTCAATCCGAGCTAGAATCGCGCGACCAAAGCCTGAGCGATCTGCAGAAGCAGCTGGAAGCGTCGCAATCTGCTCTGACTTCGCTCCAAGCCGCGGTCGCCGAGGCCCAGGCAGCTGCAGCCCAGGCGGAGACGGCTCGAAAGGAGGGAGAGACGGAGCGAGAGCGCTTGGCGAGCGAGTTGGAGGCGGCGAAGCAGACGCTGAAAGAGCGAAACGCGCTGGTGGAAACGCAGAAGAGCCAGTTGGCGGAGCAGGAGCAGCGATTGATGGAGTTGGAGTTGGAGTTGGAGTCAGAGCGGGACGTGGATCCCGAAGAGAACGAATCGTTGAAACGGAGAAACGTGGAACTGGAGAACGAAGTGGCGGAGGCGAAGCGAACGATGGGAGAGCTGCAGAAGCAGAACGGAGTGTTGAAGCAGCTGATGGAGACGCAGCAGACGAACAGCGCGACGCTGTCGACGCTCATCGCGGAGCGGGAAGAAGCGACGTCGAAGATGGCGGCGGAGATCGCGCAGCTGCGAGAGAAACTGTTCGCTGCGGAGAGCGAGGGAGCGAAGGGAGCAGAGATGGAGCGGAGGGTGGCCGAGCTGCAGAACGAGCTGAGGCAGCGCGATGAGGACATCCAGTTCATGAATGGGGAGCTGAACGCGCTGCAGCAGCAAGTGAACGAGGCTAAGAAGAGGGAGAGCGAGCGAGAAAGTGAGGGAGAGGCGAGACAGAGTGATGTGGAAGAGAGAGAGAAGAGTGTGAATGCGAGGGAGAAGAACGTGAATGAGAGAGAGAAGAACGTGGAAGAAAAAGAGAAGAACGTGGAAGGAAGGGAAAAAGCTCTTGGTGAGAAGGAGAAAACCATTGAAGAGAGAGAGAACACGATGAATGAGCGCGAGAAAGCAGTGGAAGACAGAGAGGCCGCAACGAACGAACGCGAGAAGGCGATCGAAGAGAAGGAGCAGGCTGCGGAATCGCGAGAGCAGTCGCTTCGTGACGAGGAAGCCTCGCTCGCCGCGAGAGCGCAGGCCTTCGAGGCTTCGCTGCACGCGAGCGACGTTCCCTCGGATCTCCAAGCGCGCCAATCCGAACTCGCCGAGCAGGCCAGGGCTCTTCAAGAGAAAGAAGCCCTTCTTGATGCACGCGCCAGCCAACTCGATGAACGAGAGAAACGCCTCCAGTCATCACCCGCCACCTCCAATCTGAATCCTCCCCCTTCCTCGTCGTCGCTTCCCTTCTCCTCCTCCGCGTCTACCAACCGTCCCACCCTCGAAGACGCCGCCTCCGAAGCTTTCGAAGCCTCCGAAGTCTCCGAAGCCTCGGAGCTGGCTCGACTTCGCTCCGAGTTCGCGTCGAACCAAGCCACGATCTCCGAGCTTCGCCAGCTCATCGAGAAATACCAAACCACGCCTCTCTCCATCACCGACGCGCGCTCGGAAGCGGAGAGCGGCAGCGTGGACGATCTCTCGTCCATTCTCACCTTCACGACGTTGTCGATGAATCCCTACACGCAGCAAGCGCTACAGAAACAGAAGGAGGAGATCGAGATCCAGCTCCAGCAGACGCGACTGCTCGTCGAGAAGCGTCGCGAAGAAAATGCCGCGCTGCAGCGTCGCTGCGACGGTCTGGTCGTGGAGCTGCACAAGAAACAACTCGCATTGGACGAGCTCCTGGCGTCCAACGACCAGCAGAACAAAGACATCGATGTGCTGCGCCAGACGATCAGCGAAAACAACGCGTGTCTGCAGCAGCAGACCGCGATGAACGAGAACCACAAGCTCATCGTCGATCAGCTCCAATCCTCGCTGCAGACGCTCCGCAGCGATCTCAAACTCGCCACGGCGCAGCTCGCCGCCAAGACGCAGGCCTTCGAGGAGCAGGCGAGGGCGCTGGAGCAGGCGAACGCGGAGACGAGCGAGTTGTCCGCGGCGCTGGAGGTCAAATCGCAAGCCCTCGCGTCTCTCGAGGCGCAGATCGCGCAGTTAACCGCGGAACTGGCCGATCGCGCCAGCGAAGTAGCGACGTACCAAGCGGCGACGGCGCAGATGCAGAGCGAATTGGCGATGTACGCGGAGGCGTCGGCGTCGACCGCAGAGAGAGAAACGTCGCCGCACGATCAGCCGGGCAGCGGCTCGCTGGAGGCGGTGGAGATCGCGGTGCTGACGCAGTCGAACCCGATCGTGCTGCACATCGACCCGGAGCAAGACGAGAGCGAGCTGCAAGTGCTGAAGCAGGTTCTGGAGGAGTACCACTCCTCTCTCTCCACCTATCGCAGCAACGTCACGCTGCAGAACGAGAAGATGGCCTCGCTGCTCAACCAGGCCAATCGCAAGTCCGCCGAGGTCGTCGCGCTGCAGGGCGAGCTGTCCCAGGCGCGCATCGCGCAGCAGCAGGCGCGCAGCGAGGCCGACGAGCTCCGCCAGTCGCTCTCCGCGATCGAGAGCGACCTCTCCGCGGCGCTGGCCTCCGTGCAGGAGAAAGACCGGCAGTTCGCCGACTCGCAGAGCGCCGCGACGTCGCTGCAGGAGCAGCTCGCGTCCCTGCAGGCCGCCGTCGCCGTGCGCGACGCCGCGCAGTCGGAGGCCGCCACGCAGCTCGCGGCGGTGCAGCAGCGACTGCAGGCGAAGGAGCAGGAGACGCAGCAGCTGGCGGTGGAGTCGGAGCGGAAGCGTGTGCTGTACGAGGCGCTGCAGGCGAAGTTCGGACAGCTGCAGATGGTGCACGAGCAGAAGAGCCGCGCGTACGAAGAGCTCAACGCGAAGTATAACAAGCTGGCGCTGCAGGCGAAGCAGCTCATGGCGGAGTCGCGCGAGAAGCAGATGCAGATGCTGCAGAAGCAGCTGGAGGTGGCGAAGAGCGAGATCGCGAAGCGAGAAAGCCAGGTGCAGATGATGGCGAAGAAGTACAAAGAGGCTGTGAGCATTGTGGAGTCGCTGCGGTCCACTGCGGGGCAGCTGCAGGGAGAGGAGAAGAACAAGTTGCTGCTCACGGTGGGGCAGTATGAGAAGGAGATGAGCAAGCTTCGGACGGAGTACGCGCAGCTGGCCGCGGTGGCGGAGAGTGGGAATAGAGGAAGGGAATGAGGCGTAGATCGTTTGAAAGAGATCGACGTGCTGAAGAAGAGGTTGGGCAAGAAGGAAGCGCTGCTCAATGAAATGAACGGGTATTTAAATAAAAAGGAAGCCGAGGTTGCGGCGTTGCTGAAGCATCAGAACTAAGAAGAGGGAAGGATGGTTCGGAGGATTGCACCGAACGTCGAGAACGGAAGTTTAAGTGTGTTTTGTTAGTCTGTGTAGTATTGTGAAATTGTTTTTTTGGAGGAAAGACTGCTATAAGTGTGAATATTGGATGAGAATAACTCGATTGATGATGATCATAGCCCAAACCGTTCAGTAATCGAGATGCCTTTTCGTGGGATTTCTCTGTACAATTTTCTCTTTCAACTAGATTCTATCAAGAAATGTCGTTTGATGCTTCAGATATTTCTGACGGAGAGGAGGATCATGCCATGGATAACATTCGTGCCATGCTCCAAGATTATTACGGCACAGATAATGGCGATGAGGTGAAGGAGGACGACTATTATGATATGGATAGCAAAGTATTCGATAAAGATAAGTATATCCCAGTTTTGTGTTCTACTGCCTATTTGATGCATTAGAAAATCCTAAAGGAACAGTCGCTCCCTGAGCTGATCAAAACGAATGTGCGTGTCATATCCGAAGCAAAGCAACTCGATTCGGATATGCAGAAACTGGTGTATGAAAACTACAGCCGGTTCATGAGTGCATCCAAAACTGTCCGCACCCTTCAAGTTCGTGTTTGCTTGGATGTCTAACGTGTAGGAGAACGTGGGTGACATGGAAACCCGCATGTCCTCCCTTCGGGAACGGATCCAAGTGGTTTCGTCTGTCACGGACACAATCGGCAGTAATCTGGACGGAAATCGCAGCAAAGTGGACAAGCTCGTGAGCGTCCGTCGTCTGTTGAAGAAGCTCCAGTTCCTCTTCGACCTCCCGCTTCGTCTGCAGCGGTAGCTTTCTTATGTGTTGGTAATGCGCAGCTGCGTGGAGCTGGAGGCCTACGACCAAGCAGTGGACTACTACACCTCGTCCACGATGGTTCTGAACGACTATCGCCACCTGCGCAGCTTCAGCACGATCCAGGATTCGGCGGACACGATCATGAACTCGCTCAAAACGAAGATGCTGACGACCATTCAAGAGCCCGACGTGCGCATGACGCAGCTGGAAGACTTCGTGCGGTTGCTGATGAAGCTGGGGCACCCGACGGCGGACCTGTCTACGATCTATCTGAACTACCATCGCGATCGGCTGTCCGCGATCATCGAGAAATACCAGAAGCTGGCGCCTCTGAGCGAAGACGAGAAGGAAATCATCGCGCTGAGCGGATCCGAGCAGGAGGTCGAGGCGCTGCGAAGCAAGCAGAAGGTCACCAGCGAGTATCCGCTGCTCCAGTTCATGGGCATGCTCGAGAAAGTGGGGAAACGGGGAAACGGTGAGGGGTAGGAGTTCGTGGAGCTGCTGATCCACGTGGCCGTGGCGTACAACGATATTTTCCAAGGCGATGAAGTGGGCGTGGAGCGGAAGAATGAGCCATAGAAGCTGCAAGCCTCGCTGCTTGTCTTCACGCAACGGCTCATGGATCGCTATCTCCAAGCCGTCAACGATCGCGTCATGCAGGATCTCTCCTACGAGGTGGAAACGGAGAACCCTTCTGAGTCGTAGCGCGTGCTGGAGCCGGAGAACATCTCTCCGTTCGGGGAGATTCGTTCCGCGTTGGACTTGTTGTCGCAGCACGTGTTCCGCGTGGACAACATCGTCAAGGGCACCGATCTCATCGCCTCCATGCAGGCCACCGTCCGCAGCGTCGTCAAAACACAGGCACGCTTCGCGCTGCGTTCTCTCATAATAGATGGCCGGGTCTTTCGATGCGGTTCGCGCCTCCCTCGTCGCTTTGGTCCAGGAAATCGATCAGAAGGCGCAGGAATTGCCGCTCTACCGGATCGACGAAACGCCCCAGCCCAACGACGAAACGCCCCAGCCCAACACGCAGGGACCCGCTGCAGAATCCAACGGTGGAAACGGTGGAAACGGTGGAAACGGAGGTATGGAGGATCTGTTCTCGACCACGATCGCTCCTGTTCCTGGCGAAGGCCCCGTTTCCCTCCCTGCCGGTGAAACGCCCATTGTGGAAACCGTGGAAACCGTGGAACCCCCGAAGCCCGTCGATCCCTCGATCCCTGCAGAACCGGAGAAACCGGAGAAACCGGAGAAACCGTCGGAGGCAGAGAGTAGAAAGCGGGAAACGGCGAATAACCGCGTAGTCGTGGCGCTGCGCGACCTCTTCGCGTCGGGCGTTTCGTCGCGTCTGCGCGCGGCGGTGGAGCGGCAGCACAGCCTTCTGTCGCTGCTGCAGACGGCGCTGCCGGAGTCTCTGGGCGCGTTCACGGAGTACTTCTACGCGCAGGTGCAGCAGACGCTTCTCTGGGGCGCGTCGCTTCTGCTGGCGTCGCTGTGTGTCCCGCACCCGCTTCTCTGCACGCAGCCGACCGCCTTCCTGGCTTCGCCGCCGCGTCCGTCGCTTTCGCTGCATCTCCACGACGCCCTCCTCGCCCAGATCCCCGGCCTCGCTCTCTCTCCCCGCGGCATCCTCGCCCTCGCCGCGGGCAGCCGCCTCGTGGCCCACAGCGGCGTGCGGGAGATTCTGCAGTCGCTGATGGACTACACGCCGGAATCTGAGCAGCTGGACGTGGAGCGTCTCACCGACTCGCTGCAGGCCGCGCAGCTCGTGCAGGCGTGGACCGAGGCCGCCAACGCCGCGCTGCGAGGCTTCTGCGCGCGCACCGCGGAGAGAGGAGCCGAGACTCTGTGGACTCACGCCGTGGAGAACCCGGGAAACGGGGAAACCGAGGGAGAAACCGAGGGAGAAACCGAGGGAGAAGGCGTAGCGGAAGGAATCGTGCGGATGGTGCGGGAATTCTACACCGAATTCGGCAATACCGGGGCGTTGCTGGCGGAGAAGCCGGTGAAACCGCGGGACCCGTGTCCGGAGACGTTCAGAACCGCGGGGATGACGGAGGAAGAGGAGGAGGGAGAAATGTACGCGTATATCGAGAAAACGATGGCGACCCGCGTGAAGGTGCTGCCGCTGGAGGTGCGAGCGGGGATGCAGGACGTGTGGATGGGAATGCTGCGGACGATGATGAAGAATTTGCAGGAGGAGGTGCGAGCCAGCGTGCTGTATGATTACCAATTCCGATGTCTGGTGGTCAACCTGGCGTTCGTGTTTTCGATGACGAGTTGTCTGCTGGAGGACGCGAAGGAGCTCAGAGAGATCGTACAGGGAGTAATTCGAAGCGCATGGGAACGATGTTATGAGCCCTCGGAAGTGACCGAGGAACAGCAGAAAGGCGCTGTGGAGAACGGAATTGTCGAGTTTATGATGATGGTTTCCGAGTAAAGGTGTGGATGAAGTGTTGTTTGTTCCAATGGGCAAAAGAATAAATAGACGGTTACAGCTCGCTTTTTTCTAACGATTGGTGGCTTGTACTATTACATGCTTGAACAGCGTTTCTTAGCGATAGAGCAAAGCTGAATGGTGTCCTTGAAACTCCCACGAGATAAGGATTATTTGTTTCATTGTATATCTCACTGAAGCTGATTGTTCCTTAAGTGGGATAGAGTTTCAAATGATAAATCGACGACTTTTGAATAAAAGCCGTCCTAGTTTAAACTTCAATGCTATCCGAGTGGGATAATCGTCCCAATATAAAATTTTAGGATGATTCAATTATAAAAGTAATTGATGGAGTGTATATTGGGACTTCTGTGGCAGCAGAAAGTATTTCGTCGCTTCGGAAGCATGGGATTACTCATATCATTAATCTTGGAAGTTCAGATAAAGTATATGAGGATGTAGATGCCTCGATCCCTTCTAATTCCTAGCCCTTTACAATCCTTCGAATATTGATCGAAGATAACAATGAATCTGATATCTTGCCTATCTTACCGCTCACAAATTTGTTTATAGCTTGCGCTCGTCGAGTAGGTAATGTCTATATCCACTGGTAGAAAATGACGGAATGGTCTGACGGCTAGCAGAGAAGGGCGTTCTCGGTCCCCAGCAGTGATTATAGGCTACCTCATTAAAGGAGAAAAGCTTTCGTATGATGAAGCGTATTCTATGGTGCGAGAGCAGCGCAGATGCATCGATTTAAAGTTATGTTGGGTCTAACGATTTGTGTTCATGTGCCAGGTTTTCAAGAGCAGCTGCGCTGTTTTTACGAAGCCGGGGGTGATTTTCTCAAAGCAGAGAATTTATATCGACAGTCACATTTTTCCAATTTCATTTCATGTCTTGATGATGGTAAAAATCGGGCCTATTTTTGTCATATAAAGAAACGTTAATTTCGAGTCATATAAACGAGATCTGCAACCCCCAATTTTCCATTAGGTTTAATCAAGAGAAGGAAATCGATCTCGAATGTATCCGGATTGTCACGCAGCCTCTTTACTGCAAACAGTGCAACCAGATTCTCAGCTCCCGAAATCGGTCCGAATTCTGGAATTCCATAATTCCTAGTCTTTTTTCTCGTGATTGGGATACAAGTCAGGACGTCAACGATTTTTCCTCCATTCTTTCCGTACTATTTTGCAAAGAATTCGACGAATCATCCAATTCTGCTTCGGAAGAATTCGATGCTTCATCCCCTGCCTCTTCCTCTTTTTTCGCCTCCTGGCGTGGCGCAGTCGACGAACTAGTGCTCTGTCTTTGCCGTTTGTGTAGCGAAACCCCGATTTCCCAGGAACGTTCGAATCGAGTTCGCCGCGTTGTTACCGACTTTTTGCAGTGCTTCGATCGCTGGCGCCAAAGCGCTCTGCAGCACGAAGAGCTCGAGTGCGATTGCTGCGGCTGGATCCAGCGGCAGGTGCAAGCGCGAGCGAGCGATTTGAAGTGTCCCAATCCGCAGTGCGGGTGCAAAGTCGGCAAGATCGAAGGTGGAAACAGTGGAAACAGTGGAAACAGTGGAAACAGTGGAAACAATGAAACGTTGCGTGTGGTGCTGTTCCGCAGCTCTCTTTTGTGGGTTTGTTTGTTGCAATAAACAGAAAACGAGGAGTTTTCGCTCTTCTGCTTCTTCTTCTCCTCTTCCTCGATGAACCGCATTAGATTCTTTGCCGTTTCCGGGTCTTTCTCCACGCCTTCGCCCAGTAAATACATCGAAGCGATCTGCTATTGACACGAACTCATGCAATCTACGTTCTTCACAGCGGCTAATGATCCCAGCGAGGCCGCGTTTGTGTACAGCTCGAAGGCTTTTTTGAGGTCCTTCTCCTGTCCCTCGCCATTATACACCATCGCTCCCGCACTACACATGGCATCCGCGTTTCCACGTTTCCCCGATTCTAAGAAAAGCTTCAACGCTTCCTTCTTATCCTGCTTCACGCCTTCGCTACATTTAATTCTCCGCCCTCTTTCGCCCCTACTCTCCCGAATAGAGCTGATTTCCCCGAATGAACAGCGCTTCGGGATCGCCGGTCCGCATGGCCATCATCAGATAGTCATTGCTCTTCTGCGCGTTCTTCTCAACGCCATCGCCATTGTGGTACATCTGGTGCAAATACAGCATGGCCTTCGAGTGTCCTCCCTGCACCGCCTTGCTCAGATACTCCATGCATCGCGCCGCGTCCGCTTCGCACAGCCGCTCTCCGCCTTCGCCCGCCTTCGCCGTCGTCGGCTGCGCCGCGTTCGGATTGTCGTGCTCGAACAGTCCGTGGTGGTGAGCGAAGCCCAGGAAGTAGCACGCCGACACGTCGCCCAGCTCCGCCGCGCGCTCGATGTACCGGAAGCCCTTCACGCGGTCCTTCGGCGTGTTGTACAGGCCCTCGTAGTAGATCTAGGTCGGAGAACCGCGGGGATGGTACGAAGCCGAGGTTGTAGGTCGCGTCGACGTTGTTGGCCTTGTCGGCTTCTTCGTAGATCGCGATCGCCTGCGCCACGTTGTCGTGCGTGGGGTCCTCGAGGAGCATCTTGGCGAGACCCACTTTCGCGGGGATGTACCCCTGTTTGGCGGATAAATCGTACCAAATCTTCGCTTTGTCCATAAGATCGTTCATCTTTTTCATGTCGCTACGATCGATCTCGGTTCGAAAACGTACTAGTCAGGACGCATCTTCTCTTGCCAGTAGCGCTGGAGGTACAGATTGCCCACTGCGAACTGGCTAAGCATATCGCCCGCATCAGCAGCCTGGACGTAGCACAGAATGCCCAGCTCCTTGGTCTCGGGTTTCTCAACCAATCTAGGTCACTCATTCGTCGCTCCAACACGTACACATCACCCACTTCACGCAGCGCAGAAAAATTCTTCTTCTTCACCTCATCGGCGACCACCTTCTCCTTTCCCGCATCGTTGATACCGCATGCATCAATTCTCGCCAAAATCTCTTTGGATGTCAAATTCCCCGTCGCAAATGAACGGAAGAGAGGTGCATTGCTTCGCACCGTTCGCAGCAATTGACTATTGGTCGGAGTAACCAAAGGAGAGAAGCAGCGAACTACAGTAGCTGGCTTTGAAGCCACGCGAGCGACTGCAAATAGGGAACGTACAAGACCTGTTCGGAACATTGCAGAGAAAAATGTGTCAAACAAAGAGCATCAAACAAACAATACAAAAAACGTTAACCTCGAATAAGACTTTCCACAAGTTTTTGAGACTGACTGATCAACTCTACCGACTTCTTGTAGTACTCCGAACTCTCCAACTCGGGATGGTCATTTACCAGTGTCTGCAACTGAGAAAAGCTAGAACTCAGTTGGTTTTTCAGAGAAGGGATCAGAGCTTCGGATTCCCTCTTCATTTGTTCCTACAATCAATGTGAGACCAGATTTTCACCTGGTATTTGATATCATATTCGTCAGCCTTCTGCTCTTTCAACTCTGTGATTCGCTGCTCGATCGTTGCGACTTCATTTTTGTAACTCTCAATATCCTTGATCGTTCTGACAATTGAGTCAACAAAAAAGCGAAGCTTACCTTGAGCACACTCCGTAATTGATTCGTAATTTCTTCTCAAGTGGTGATTCGAGCATAAATAATAATAATAATTATTATTATTATAAGAGGATTGTATTTGTAATATAAATCCATCATAGTGAGTATCTGATATAGGACAAATGAGAGCTTTCCTTCGAGCACGCATAGCCTAATTGGATAAGGCGCTTGCCTACGGAGCAAGAGATTGTGGGTTCAAGTCCCACTGTGTGCTTTCTTTTTTCTATTATTTATTTTTCTTTTTCTTTAATCGTGATTGGATCAAACAGTATACCCTGCTTTTTTATTATGAATCACACGAGTCAATAAGAATGTCTTTGTTCGTCACATACAACGTCATTCTAATACTGTTTTTGGTATTGTTATCATTTGTATTCATAGGTTTCGATAATCAAAGATCATTTACACTCAAAAAGCAAAATTGTTATGTTTCAGTTGTAATAAGTGAGGGATCATTCAGAGCACGCATAGCCTAATTGGATAAGGCGCTTGCCTACGGAGCAAGAGATTGTGGGTTCAAGTCCCACTGTGTGCTTTCCTTTTTATGTTTTCATCCTTTTGTTTGCCTTATCATCCTTTTTTGAACCTGATTGATTCCCCCTTCGCCCTTTTCTCGGCGTAAGCAACGACTCGCGAGAAGTTCTTTTTCTTTTAATTATCCACATCATCAGAATATTCCCAGAACTTTCCTTGTAAGAGACAAAGCCAAAAAAGAGTTATGGATTCATATGCTGCGGCGTTCCAATCTATTGGATTGGAGGAGAAAACAATTGCGAATACGCTAAAATCGAAAAAGAAGGCGGGTAGGCAATCTCTTGTTGCGTGTTTTTAATCGTATAGCTGATGTTATGGAAGCTATTAAGGAGGCGGGAATTACCGACGGATGCGACCGTGTCTTGGGAAACTTGATGTGGACCGTTTTTGTTGAAACTTAGCTTTCTAGTTACAACGTTGCTACGACGGTCCCTGGTTCGGCAGTTGCTTACCGTCCAGCCCTGCTGAAGCTGGTTATGGAGGGTAAAGTCAAAACCAACCTGCAGATTTCGGAGGCAGTTGCTTATTTGAAGAAACTCCCTGCAAATGCCACTGTATCTGCTTGTATTCCTCGTTTACGACTAGCTGGACGTCGCGGCTCTGGAAGCTGCCTGTGGAGCTGGTATTGAAGTGACCGAGGAAGAAATCAAGGCCTGCGTGGACTCTCTGCTCGAGAAGAATAAAGAGGCTCTGCTGGCCCAGCGCTACTGCTTCCCGATCCCCCAGCTGATGTACGCGATGAAGGAAGGCCGGATGAAGTGGGCGGACGGAAAGAAGGCGAAGGAGATTCTGGACGCTGCGATTCTGTCGCTGCTGGGCGAGAAGACAGAGGCGGATCTGGCTGCGATCGCGGAGAGCAAGAAGAAGGGCAAGAAGGAAGCGAAGAAGGAAGTGAAGACGGATCTCCCCGCGGTGGAGAAAGAGAAGGAAGGGTTCGAAGGCCGCGATATGGAGAGCAGCAAGAACAGCGCGGAGCTCATCGCGGAGCACCAGAAGATCACGGGCGGCAAGATTCGGTGTCGCTTCCCTCCGGAGCCGAACGGCTATCTGCACATCGGCCACGCGAAGAGCATGTATCTGAACTTCAAGGGCGCGTTCGAGCGCGTGGGGAAGCCGGGCGAGACGATTCTGCGGTTCGACGACACGAACCCGGAAGCGGAGAAACTGGAGTTCATCGACAACATCATGGAGGACGTGAAGTGGCTGGGATGGAACCCTGTGAAGATCAACTTCGCGTCGGACAACTTCGATAAGCTTTACGAGTACGCCGTGCAGCTGATCAAGATGGGAAAGGCCTACGTCGACCACCAGACCCCCGAGGAGATCAAGCGATCGCGCGAGATCGCGCAGGAGTGCTCGCGCGAAGGCGGACGGAAAGGTAGAAACGGGGAAGCGATGGCATGCAGATCTGAACCCGGAGAGTCCGTGGCGCAACCGATCGGTGGAGGAGAATCTGCGACTCTTCGAGGACATGCGCAAGGGCAAGTTCGCGGAGGGCGAAGCGACGCTGCGAATGAAGATCGACATGCGGAGCCCGAACCCCTGCATGTGGGACCCCGTCGCGTACCGAATCAAATACATCCCGCACCCGCACGTGGGCGATAAGTGGTGCATCTACCCGTCCTACGACTTCCAGCACTGCCTCGTCGACTCGCTGGAGCACATCGACTACTCGCTCTGCACGCTCGAGTTCGAGGTCCGTCGCGAGTCCTACTACTGGCTCGTCGACCAGCTGGACGTCTGGCGCGCCTACGTGTGGGAGTTCGGCCGCTTGAACCTGAACAACACGGTGATGTCCAAGCGGAAGCTGAAGTACATGGTGATGAACCACATCGTGCACGGCTGGGACGATCCGCGCATGCCCACCATCAAGGGGCTGCGTCGCCGCGGCTTCACCGCCAACGCCATCAACAACTTCTGCGCCGACATCTCGGTCACGCGCACCACCGTCACCAACATCGACCCCGCGCGGCTGGAGCACTTCGCCCGCGAGGATCTCGACCCCATCGCGCCGCGCGCCTTCGCGGTGCTGCGCCCTGTGCGTCTCGTTCTCCTCAACAAGGACGCGGATTTCTTCACCACGCTGCAGGCCCCGCTGTTCCCGAAGGACCCCAGCAAGGGCTCGCGCTCGCTGCCCTATCAGTGCGTGCTGTTCGTCGATCGCGACGACGTGAAGACGGCGGACGAGCCCAAGTTCCTGGGCTTCGCCCCCGGGAAAGTGGTGAGTCTGAAGTACGCGGACGTGGTGCGATGCGAGGAGGTGGTGTGCGATGAGGCGACGGGCGAGGTCGTGGAGGTGCGGTGCAGCTGCCTGACGGAGGAGGAGGCGAAGGAGGCGATGGCCAGCAAGAAGAAGAAGCTGGGAAGCATGCACTGGATCGCTGGAAGCAAGCTCGGAGAGGAGCCCAAGCGAGCCGAGGTGCGGCTGTATAATGTGCTGTTCAAGGAGGAGGATCCGTCGGAGCTGGAGGACTGGGTGGCTCATATCAACAAGGAGAGCGAGGTCGTGATTAGCGATGCGATGGTGGAGGAGTCGCTGCTGGATCGGAAGATTGAGGATCATGTGCAGTTCGAGCGGCTGGGATACTTTGTGGTGGATAAGGACGCGAAGCCGGGAAAGATGGTCTACAATCGGACGTGTCCGTTGAAGAGTAATTGGAGTGTTTGTTTGAACAAACGAAGGCGTGAGGGTGTGTTTGTCACGTAGGAAGCAATGGAATGAGTGGGGAATGCTGTACTTTTGAAAAGAGGATTCTATGGTTGTTACGCCTGATTCATATGACTGCAGTACGAGTTACGCAATTCATACAAATAAATGTTGTGCAAAGTATCTCGTAATTATCTCGCAACATTTTGACCTCAAACCCCCAACCCAGAATGACTAAAAAAGTCGCAATTTTAGCACTCCCAAATGAATTTGACTATTATAGTATTACTATTATTATTTTATTGTTTTTATCATGCATACAAAAGCCGTGTTGACGCTAATAGGAGGAGTTCTCATTCACCTCACGCTTGGTACGCTGTATACTTCCTCTAACCTGGCTACTTATGTGATCTCGTACTGCCACGTCGTGAAGGGTCAGAAAGTGGGAATCTTTGTATTTTGCATCATGAATAGAATATTGACTCTACTTTGTCGCCGTGGATTTTTGCTCTACAATCCCTCGGACAAGTCAGGATGCAGCACCTATTTTATCTGTAGGCGATTTGCATGCTTGTGGGTGGTCTCTTGCAACATTTTCTTGGTATAAAGCTAGCCATTTTCGTAGGGAGCGTTTGTGTTTCTCTATCCACTCTATTGGGATATTGGACAATTAGTAATTACTATGTTTTGTGTGCTACGTACGGTTTGGTTTTTGGTATTGGAGTTGGAATTGCCTATTCGTCTCCCATGACTGCGGGTATTTGCACGATTAACTCCACTCTCATCACTAGCAATGAAATGGCTTCCGAATCATCGTGGTCTCGCAAACGGTTTAATTGTTTTTGGCTTCGGCTTTGGTTCTCTCATTTTCAACTTCGTCCAGACCTTCTATATCAACCCTGACAACGTCAACCCCATTCCGGAATCATCCGGTGCTTCCTCTGATTACTACTTCCCCGCGGAAGTCGCAGCCCGCACTCCGAACGTTTTCCTCCTCCTGGGCACGTGCTACTTCGTCATGCAGCTCGTGGGCATGCTCCTCATCACCGAGCCCAACGAGGAAGAGCAGAAGCAGCTCGCCGAAGAAATGCACCAGCCGCTGCTGCCCAGTACCGCCAATAACCGCGGGTAACGCCTAGAGACGGACGTGGACAGCGGTCTGGACGTGCGTACGTCGGTGCAGAAGTTCAAGTTCTGGCAGATTTGGCTGACGATGCTGTGCGTGTCGATGACGAACGTGTTCATTTCGTCCTTCTACAAGGTATAACAAGAAAGCTCGTTAGAGCGTAGTTCTTCGGACAGACGATTATCTCGGACGATACGTTCTTGTCGCTGGTGGGATCGATTTCGTCGGTGTGTAATGGAGTGTGTCGTCCGTTCTGGGGCTGGCTGGTGCGAGGCGAGATGATGATGGGATGCGATGTAGAACGACAAGATCGGATATAAGAAGACCATGTCGATGATGCTGCTTCTGTTTATCGTGTTTATCTCCACTTTCTCGCTGAGCGAATATGGCAAGCAGATCATGTTCATGATCTGGGTCTGTGTTCTCTACTTCTGTATCGGCGGCGCCTTCGCTGTTCTCCCCACATACACTGATTCCTGCTTCGGACACCGCTACTTCGGAACGCTCTACGGCCTCGTCTTCACTTCCGTCAGTAGGGCATCCCCGCGGGAATGAGAGTAGTCATTTCGTCGATGTTATCCGCCTTCTTCGTCACCGCGATGGTCAAGAAGATCGGCGTGTTCGGTATTACCATGTGGGTCAGCGAGGGCGTTGCAATGTAGTGTGCTGGGCGTGTTCATGGTCTTCGCCTTCGTTCTCACGCTCTGCGCCAAGAATTGGAAGTGGGACGACGCGCAGCCCCTCCAGGAGGTCAAGACCGACCAGCCCCCCGCTACCGGGGAAACCGGGGAAACCGGGGAAACCGGGGAAACCGCTGTGAAGCCTGCGGAGCAGGTGGTGGAAAAACCTACCGAGGAGGTAGGAAAGTCTACCGAGGAGGTAGGAAAGTCTACCGAGGAGGCGGAGAAGCCTGCGGAAGGAAAGTAATGGAAAAATGTTTGAGAACAAACACAAAAAGAAGAAGAAGGAGGAGGAGGAGGAAGATCCGTAGGAACAGAAACAGTGACATCAGTACCAGCACCACCAGCAGTACCAGCAGCAGCAGAAGGAGCAGCAGCAGCAGCAGCAGTAGCAGCAGAGGAAGGAAGGGGCGGAGGATTCGGTGCGAGGGACGGGGAAAGGGACGATAAATCCAAGGCGGGAGATTCGCCACGGTTGACACTGTTCAGAAACGAAAACAGGATGTAGTAGGCGTATTTGGAGATTCGGTCTGAGTCCATTTCGACGATTTCTTTGGATATCTGCCAGAGTCAAACGAAAGAAACACATTCAAACGATGATTGCATCAGGACAGATCTCCCACACGATTTGAATCGCAATTGATACATTAACCGATGAGAGCGTGACCAAATCACGTAGAAGCTGCTTTTTGTTCGCTATTGTCACATATCTGCAACATCACCCTCTGCTTTTAATACTGTACGGTAGCTTATCGACGCCTATCGGTAAGAACATACGACTACAACCAACAGCGATTAAGAATACGAGCAAATTTGTCTTCGAATACTTTTGAATATTTCTTTGCAATAGCTACTACGATTGCACCTTCCTGTGTATTACGACAGAAGAACGAGTGCTACATGATTATATGTGAGACAGTTGCGCCAGATCAAACGAACATCATACGCAAATTCAAATACCGTTTTATATTCCCCATTTTCTAGTTTTGTCTAGCAAGTTACAGCTCCCAGCCTTTTCTCACTTTTACAGTCGTTAAATCCATCGGGTTTTTAATAACTTGCAAGTAGTCGATAAGTCCCAGCTCCTTCCACTTCACCGGCTCATAAAAATCAACTGATTGTCAAACTCCTCAAATACTCCCCACTTAGATCCGGATCCTTTAAAAACGATACAATTAAATTCAGACACTCCTTCAAAAGTGGTGCCTGCAACTCCATCTCAATAAATCTGAACGTGTGTGAACAAACAGTTTAGAAAGAAACCATCTGATTTGCAATGCCACAATCCAGCTCCACCCAGCTATTCGAATGCATATTACTCGTGATACAGCTCGATAGGAACAAGATGCTCTCCATGCCTTCCTTTGCTCCCACCGAAGCGAACTTCGCTTTCTTCCCACTCAGCACTGCGCAAATCTCCGCATAGAAGCATCCATACATATTCCGCAACGCCTCACTCTCGCCTTCTCCCTTTCTCCCCGAGTTTCGAAAGAATTCCGAGACCCTCACGCCATGAAACTCCCCTTCCCATGCCGCCGAAACTTCCTCCACCCCGCCGTCCAGCATTCCCACCGTCAGTTTCTACCGCTCACCGCGGAGATTCTGTCCTACCGAAGGCGAAACACTGTTCCAGGCGAGGCTTCCAATGGAACCGTCGATCTCGATGGAGAGTTGGCGGGAGTGAAGGAGCGCCAGTTTGGAGGCTCGGATGGTGGCGATGACGCCGGTTTCTAATTCGAGCGTGATAAACGCGGAATCGTCGAGTAAATGCCCGGGAAACGGGGAAGAAAGGCAGGCCATGAGGCGATAGGCTTCTTTCCCCGTGACAAATCGGAGGAATTCGTAAGCGGGGAGAGCGAGCTGCGCGGTGCAGTCGGAAACGCCGAGACGGGAGGGACTGGGAGGGAAGGAATCGTCGAGAGAGAGAAAGGAGTCATTGCAGAGATGGGTGATGCGGATGGAGAGAAGATCGCCGAGAACGTTTCGATGAAGAAGCTCGCGCATCTGAGGATGTGAAAGGAAAGAGGTGGATTCGCACGATCTGCGCCATGCCGAAGTAGCAGAAGGGATTGGCGATGAAGAAGGCGAGGCGGCGCGAGGTGGCGGTGCGGAAGAGTGTAATGGCTTCGTTTTCTGTGAAACAAATGGGGCTGGGACACACAACGTGAAGTCCACTCGGAATGAAACAAACAGAGACAAGGATACTTCCAGGGCACGCATGGCCGTGGTAAAACGGGTGTTGGTGGGGCTGAGAATGCTCACACATTGCATTTCGGTGTGGTCGCGCTGAAGCGGCTCTTCGCGGAACAGATCACCAATGCGATAGTATAATCTGAATTTTGGGGTGAGTAGAGAAGGACCCAAAAACTCAGAATCCCGCTTCGAGCCGGAGACAAAACCGCAAACCAAATCAAAGTGATTGGTCAGGGTACCTATCCGTAAGCACAACAACAAAAATATGAAAAAAAAATTACAAGAGGATGCGTACATTGCCACAGTATCAGGATCACATCCAAAACCGATAATCCCCATTCGAAAGTGTGAAGTAAAATCTTGTTTTAAAATTCAATAATTTATCGTACCATCAGTGTGACTTTGAATAGGATGCTCACGTTCGTCAAGCGACTTTGAAGGTTCGCTTGGCTGTATTGTGGCATAACCGCAGTTTACTAAAAAGGTCTTGCAATGTTGGAGGTGATAGATCAGCGCGGTTTTCTCCGGCTTTACAGAAATCCCACAATGGAGGCACCAACATTTCGCTTGACCAGGCAGCTGGCTTTTACTACTCGTTCCATAGTGTTTCCATAATTGATCCAGACTGAAATTCATAGTAAATGAGTTGGGACGAAATTTGCACAGGCGTTTTTTTCGGACAGGGAAAAGGTGAAGTGGAATAGATTCATTATATTATGCAGCGTGCCACTGCCATTTTGAAAAGCTGTGGAGCCTTACCGAAATCAGGCAAATTAGTATGAATTGTGTGAAGAGTTGGTGATTTGCAGGTTAGTCGTTCCTTCGCGGAAGTTCCACCCAAAATTCCTCGTGCGGCCAATTCTGCTCCCATTCCCCCACGAGCAAACCAGGCTGCAGTTCCCCGAAAGGGCTCAAATCGTACGCACGTTCGAACGAAGTCTGGTCTCGTAATATCGTACTCACTCTACGGTATTGCTGGAGCTCTTTCAGGGTTGGCTCTGTATGAAGGCTATCGCTGTAAGTGTGTGAGTTTGCTTCGAGAAAAGGCTACGAATCGAAAACCAGCTACGTCGACAAAATCAAAGAGGACATCAATACGATCAAAGAGGACGTTCTCGATTTTTACCATTCCTTAGTGGAACCGCAGCCAATCTTCCTCGGCGTAGCTCCCTATTCGATAATTCTGACCCGCAGGATGCTCCGAAGAACGAATTGGGCCAGACCATCCCCACCCTGCTAATCAATGCGGAGGACCTCCTCGTCCTCTCGGAATGGGATAACCGGTACGGCAGCCGTTACATCCGCCGTCCCGGCCTCGACAAGCTCCTCATGTACCTCTCCCAATTCTTCGAGGTGATCCTCATCTACCCGACCTTCGACGTGATGGACGGCAATTTAACGCAGGCCATCGACCGCCACGGCATTGTCCGCGGGGAACTCAAGCGACCCCACCTCAGCCACGACCGCAAAAGGACCTTCCTCGATCTCGATCGAATCCCGCGGGACCCGAGTCACGTGATCGTCATGGCGAAGGACCCCTCCTTTTGCAAGCAGGTAGAACCGCGGGGATGCGTGCGATGTAGCGGGAGAACGTGCTGGTGGTGAAGGGGTTCGAATCGAAGGAGAATACCCGCGATTCTACGCTGCTCGACGTCATCGCGGTGATGGAGGGTTCCACGTTTCCACGGTTTGTGAGGCGTAGATTTGATTCTGCACCCGGTCGACGACGTTCGCGATTTTGTGAAGCGGTTCCGCGGGGAAGATTGCGTGGTGGGGCACGCGCGGGAGCTGCGGGAGCGCGAGGAGGCGCAGAGAGCGGAGGAACGGCGAGCGTTTTTGAAGCAGATCAACGTGTTTAAGGCGGAGGACGAGGAGGCAGGGACGGGCGGATCATTAGAATTGCTGGATCCGGAAGTGATGGGAGAGCTGCCGATTTTCGCGAAGAACAACATGGAGAAGATGTTTAAAGCGGAGAATGGCCTCCGAGGCCGTGATGCCGATGCCGATGATGATGATGCGGCGGAGGAAGCGGAGCTGCGGTACGTGCCGGTGAAGGTGTACGGCGAGACGCCGAAGGGGTTCACGACGCTGTGGCAGCGCGAGTATCTGCGAAAGAAACGGGCTGCGAAGGAGGAGCGGAAGCGAATGATGGAAATGCAAATGGCGATGATGCAGTCCTCGCAGAACATGCAGATGGAGCAGCAGATGAACGAGGTGGAGCTGGCGAGGGCGGACGGGTCGGTGTTGATGTAGGGAGCACGAAGAGAGAGAGAATGGAATGGGTTGAGTCATTTATGGGATGTTTGTTGGAGAAAGGTGTGTGAAGATTGGGTTTTTTATTGATTATTATTGGCAATATGGATGATGAAAGAATCGAATACAGAAAGAAAGCAGACAGACAGACAGACAAACATTACCAAGAGCTTTCACAAAATAAAGCCAGCAATGTGCTCAGGAGCATGTATCCATCTCTAGGATTGCTCTCTCGAAAGATTTAAAACTCGTGGGCTTTTTCACAAGAGTATAGCTAACACACTATTCTATAGCCGAACAATCTACCGCTCGGTTTGTGATTTAGACTCGTTGGCCAAATCAGGATCTACTCAGAATTATTAATTCGCTTCTGCATTTACATTATCGCCATGATGCCTAAACCTACATCTTCTTTGACGTCTGTAGAGGGGTAGGAACTTTTTTATATTGAAATCTTACCCCTAGTCCAACGATTTCCCCTTCTTCCCAACCGGAGTTCGTTTGCGTTTAAAAACTGAAGATTAGAGTTCACCAAAACAAAGTCTTAACAAAGTGGTATTTAAAGAAAGTCTTTCCTGTAAATCACAGGATTTCTGTTATCATCGAAGGTATCAGACACTCCCAAACCATCTTACCCGCTAGGATTTCTTCAACCAGAAAACATTCTATGGAAATGTTCTCCCATCATCCGCATCATCAACCAGCGAACCATCATAACCTACATGAACACATGCTACTATTTAGACGTTTGATCCAACTCCACTCCTTCCCTTCTAGGGCGAGATGAATCTCGCGGAGTCGCTCAAGAACGGCTTCAGCATTTCCTACGCATCGCGTCTAATGCGCGGATTTCCGTCCAATTGGCAATCGCTCCTCACCGTCCGCATCAAAGTCCTCCTTCCGCTCCCTTTCTGCTGATGATTAGAAGGAGAATTCCGAGGAGTTTCTTCTTTGGCGGCACACGAAGAATGACCTGCTTTCCCGCCAAACCCGAAATCTCCCGCCAAACCCGAAATCTCCCGCCAACCCGAAATCTCCCGCCTTTTCTTCCCGCCTTCTCCAGCCCCCCGCGGAATCGCCGCTACCCGCCATCCCCGCGGGAATCCAGACCGTCCCTTCCGCACAACAAACAACCGCGGGAATCGAAAACCCTTCTCCCGCGGTTTTTTCTTCGCTTCCCGCCGCGCCGATTTCCCGCGGGAATCGACCGGCGCCGCTGGCATCGCCCCTGGAAATCCCCGCGGGAACGCCCTGGGAGTTTCACGAATCGATCTTCCCCGCGGGAAATCCCCTCCGGTCCATGGAAATCATCCCCGCGGGGAAAAAGGAAGTTACAAATCCCGCGCTGCTCCCGCCTTCGCCGCTTCGTCGAAACGGGGAAACTGGGGAATTGGAGAAACGGAGAAACGTGGGGAACCCGATGGCGCGAATCGCGGGAATGGATCTTTACCGCGGGAATGGAAGGAGAACCGCGAATCATCCCGCTCCCGCGGTTTTGGAGGCAAAATTTCCCGCGCAAATGCCCCTCACTCCCATCCAAATCGTGGAAACTGGGGAAATAAGGGGAACTAGGGAAACCGGGGAAACGCGCAGTCCGCGAATCATCGTGGAACCGGGAACCGCGGGAAATTTGATTCCCTTGGTTCCCTCCGTGGCTCCGATCCCCGCGGTGAGTTCGATTCCCGCGGTTCCGTCGGTCCCGTCCATCCCCGCGATTTCGTCCGTCCCCGCCACTCCCGCGGAAGTTCCGTCGGTTCCCGCGGGACTGGCGAGTCCCTCCCAACCGATTCCCGCGGCAAAAGGCCGGCGCGGAAGACCGCGGAAAACCCCGGTTTCCCCGGTTTCCCCGATTCCCGCGGAAAAACCGGCGCGGCAGCGGCGATTGGCGCGCGAAGTGGCGAAAACCGCGGTTTCCGACGAGCCGGCACAACCGCGGGAATCCGCCAAACCGGCGAAAACGTCGAAAACGTCGAAACCGGCGAAACCGAGGTCCTCGAGATCGTCGAAATCGTCGAAACCGGTGAAACCGTCGAAACCGTCGAAACCGTCGAAACCGTCCCGGTCGACAAAACCGCGGGGATCCGCGAAGGCGTCGAAGGCGTCGGAAGCGTCGGAGGCGGTTCCGCGGGAATCGGAGGAGGAATCGGAGGGCGTGTTGGTTCGCTCGGATTCCCGCGGTGAATCGTAGAAACTGGCGCGGCGCGGCACGTTGAAACGTCGAAACCAAATCCGGGAATTGTACGCCTTGGAGGATGAAACGCCCGCTCTGTCACGTGCCAGCGAACTCTTCGAAGGTCCCGCGGAAACGGCGCGTTTCTTCAGCAGCATCGAAACGCCCTCGATCTGCGAAACGCCCGCGCCGTCGCAGGAATTGTCCTTCACTTTGGTGGGCGTTTCGGGGGCGTTTCATCGTAGAACGAGGAGAGTTTGTTCGAGAAGCTGGAACCGCGGGAAGTGGACCGCGTGGTGATCGAGGAGCAGCGTGTGCAGCGAGCCCCGCGGGGCGCGAAGGGCGCGAAATCGCGGGGATCGGAGGGAAGTCGTCGGCGCGATCGGAGCGGCGTGCGGATGACGGTGGAGGACGAAAAAAACCGCGTGCGCGGAACGATGGTGTGTAGGAACGAGGAGAAGGGAGTGAGGGACAGACGGGGAGCCGCGCGTGGAAGTGCTGGAGGAGAGCGACGCGCTGGAGGAGGAGGAGCCGAGAGAGGAGGAAGAGGAAGAAGAAGAAGAGGAGGAGGAGGAAGGAAGATTGTTTGATGGGAATTGAATAAAGGATGGATGAGAGAGAGAGAGAGCGGTGATATATAATATATACAATTGGTTTTGGATACTTGTTTGTTGTTGATTCATTCATTGATTCATTGATTCATTCTTTGATTCATTGATTCATTCACTCATGTATCGAACAAACACTTGAATTCGGTTTTATTATTCTTGCATCTTCTCTTTCTTTTCATTCATTCACTCATTCACTCATTCAAAGCCAAAGTTGGTCAGCAAAATCTGCCGGAAGCGTAGATCAACGTTTTGTTCATAGTACGCTCTCCACTCGCTTCCCATGCATTCCTTCATCGCGTTCAGCACGTTCAGCAGCATTTGTCCCAGCGACAAGTCCGAGATCGGGCCCCACGACGCCACCATCATCGCGAACTGCGGGAATCCGCTCGGGAACACCGACGGCTCGCGGTTCAGCAGCTGGCACAGTCCGCGCGCCGCTTGCTGCTTCTCCAGATTGTCGGCCAGCTTGCCCACGTTGAGACACAGCGCGCCAAAATAGTCCTTCACGAAGGCTGCGCTCGCAGGAGCGAACAAACAGAAGCGACACACAGTGGTCGTGGAGTTATCGCGAATGCCCGGAGGCATGCGCGGCTGGGAGAGCATGGAAATGAGCATGGGCAGCACGGCCTCGGCGTAGACGCCAATTTCCTCGCCGTCTTGGACCAGCATTTCGCCGAGGGACCAAATGGCGTTGTTGCAGACCCGCGGGTATTCGATGTCCATGTACTTGACGCAGAGCATCACGAACTGCTTCACGTGCGGACGGATGGAGGGGAAGCAATGCTGAGCGAGGTCTCCGAGGATGGAGAACGCGCTCTGGCGCACGGTGTCGTCGCTGTCCTCCATGAAACTCATCGTCATCGTGATTAAATTGCTCTTCTCCACGAGGGGCATCGCTTGCTCGCGCATGCTTCCGATCACGCTGCTGATCACGTCGAGGGAACTCGAGATGAACAGCTTGTCGGGGAGCGATTCCTGCGAGTGAGAAGGGGAAAACGGGGATACGTCGGCCGATTGGGACACGTAGGCCATGTTGACCCGATCGATGATTCGCACGCAGCGCATGAAAACGCTCTCGCCCATGGAGCTGAATCCAGGACCCATCGCCTAGAAAGCGTGAGCAAATGAAGAGAATAGGAGTGAGTCAAAGCATCAGAACAATCAATCAAGCAAGCAAGCAAACAAGCCGAATGGAAGGTTCAATCGATTCAATGGAAGGAAAAGTTTGGTGATTCAATTGAATGATTCATTCAATTGATTCATTCATTCAATTCATCCAAATTCAATTCAATTCACTTATTTCATTCATTCAATTCATTCAATTCATTCAATTCATTCAATTCAATTCATTCAATTCATTCAATTCATTCAATTCATCCATTCAATTCACTCTCCACATACACTAATCAAGTAATACAGCGTTTCCAACACCGCCAGCATTCCCTCATCCAAATCATCCAGCAATTTCCACTTCGCAATAATCGGCGGCAGCAGCATACTCGCGTACTGATTAATATCCACCACCGGACTGTCCACCAACACAATGCACACATCGCTAATCAGCGACAGCAGCGCTCTCTGATTCCACTCGCAATAAAACTCAAAGCATCGACACGCGTTCTGCAGAATCGCATCGAAATACTCCGCGCCCAGCTTCCCTTCTCCATTCGTCACAATCGACGAGAAAAACACCACAGCCGCCAGCTGCACCTTCCGATTCTCCTGGTTCATTCCTTTCAGCATCAAATCCACCAGCGAATTGATCTCCTCCGCGCTCAGCGACTCCAGCAGCCACTCCATGTACTGGCAAAGCGACCACGACGCGATCGAGAACAGCAGCGGATTCGCCGTGCTCTGCAGAATGCGCAGCAGATACGCGTAGATCGCCGGCATCTGCTCGTTCATGAAGAACGAACACCCGCTCGAAATGGCGCCCAGCGCGAAGATCGTGCACTCCTGCACCAGCCAATCGCTGCTCTCCATTCCCTGCTATGCCTCACGCCGCGTTTTCTCCCTCACCGACAGCACCGGCGCGATGATCTCCAGCACGTCCGCGTTGTACGCATTGCTCAGACAGTCCAGCGCCCACGCAGAGGCTTTCCGGAGCGTCCACATGCCTTGATCTTCGTCCAGCGCCAAGCTTCTTCGCTTCATTTTCTCTCTCGAAAATTCTACTTGTCTTCCTTCTCTTGCCGGCACACGAACGGACGCACGCCGTCCGCGTCGCACGCAACCGACGCGTCCACGTTCAGCAAATCCAGTTCTTCTTCGCTGTACCGCATATTCTACCCCCCATTCCCCGCCACAAACAACCCTCACCAGCACCAGCATCGGAATTAACCGCGGCAAATACCCGCTCAGACGCTGCAGCACGTCGTCCTGCTCCTGCAGCGTCGCGAAGGTGCTCCAGAACTCTACGGTTCACCGCGGTTTGGAGCGCTACCGGTCGCCTGGGTGGCCACAAAATGATTTGGGTGCTGGGACATCTGCAGCATGAACTCGAAAACCCCGTCCAGCGAGGGCAGAAGCGCGTCCACGCGCAGCGAGAGGATCGACACCAGCGAGTTGCAGATCAGAGCGAGCGTTTCGTCGTTGGTGCGCGTGAGAAGCCACGATAAAGCCTGGGTTTGAGGGAAATAACCGCGGGATACTTGGAGATAGGCGTCCATGTTGACGAGAAGGGCGTTGGGCATCGCGTCGATCGAGTTTCGCATGCAGCTCACGTTGTGATACACGACCTCCTGGCTGGGGTGTTGGAAAAACGAAATGAAAAGAGGGATCAAATCATTAAGAGGGTAATTCACCTCCGCGGAGTCCAGCTCGTAAATATTGTCTTCTGTGATCTTGCTGAGACAGCTGAGTGCCGTTACAATGCACTCCGTGTTCTCGCTCTTCAGCATTTTCATCAAGGTAGGTAGGAGATCAGGCCATGCCTTCAAACTGCCCACAGTCACCAACTGCGTGGCGATGACGCCAGCAGCATTACGAATTGGCTGAATGGGATCGAGTAATGCTTGAAGAACGCAAGAACGAATGTACGCTTTGTCTTCTTCAGAACTTTGATAGTAGCAACCCTTCAAACTCGATTTTAACGTGAATCCGGCAATGATGCGGACATTGGTGTCCATTTTCACCTTATCTCCAAATGTATATATAAAGCAAATGTATCGCAAAAAAGCGGGGTTCTGTTTGGCCTCCTCTAGTTGCTACACATCACACAAACCAAGGAATTGCACATTGTAAGTGTTGTGAACCATCTCGCTGTTCGTTCGGTTACTCAAGCAGAGAATATTGGCCAGATTCTGCAATGACTCGAGTTCGGGAGTCCAGTCCATCAGGTGAAAAAGGTGAACTCTAGGTTGTTATTTCCAACGCGTAAAGCCATACAAAACAAAAAGCTTATATGTGGCTGTTGTGGGGCGTTTCATCCAACATTCGCTTTTTTTCAGTAAACAAACAGAAATTGCAGATTAAAACAGAGCAACAAGTACAATTCCAACAATAAACAGCAGTAATGCCAGAGCCATCATCCGAAGTAGGTAAAAAATGGAACACCACGAAGAATAGGTCATCTCGCCAATCTTTTTGTTCTCTTTATTCACAGAAGTGATATTCCGCTCCTGCAAGTCTTGCATCTCGTCAATTTTCTGATTACTCAGAACCACGCGCTGGTGCAATTCGTCTGCACATCACTCAACAAAACCCATTCTTACTCCCCATATTATAGAGTTGAGACGTGCTATTGTTGATTTCTTCCAGGATTGCATCATGGATGGCTTGATCTGCATCCGTTGAATGCTTTTCATTGATTGCATCCAATTTGAGCAATCTGCGCATCTCACTTAGCGTCAGCGACTCGAATTCATCTTTCTGCTTTCTCTACAGTGGACCGCCATCAATATAAAATACAGCAGGAGACGCTTCTTGCGGTGGAGGTGGAGATTGCTCCATAACTTGTTTTTCTTCGGTGGAATCTTTCTCTTTCTTTACAGGCTCCTACATTTTATAGCAACAATTCGCTCCGACCGATTGGAATTGCTCAACTTTTGCTTTGATCTCATTTAAGGATTGTGACACAGAACTGATTTGCGTTTCCGTTAAGTTTCCCGGACTTTCGCGTACACAAGAGGAAAACTCCTCATAGATCTGTCTTAGGGGGATTCAACTCTTAATACAGCCTACTCAAGTCTCTTCATATACGCTTTCAATGTTATATACTCTTCGCTTGTTTTCTCCACATTCTTGCTCAAACACGTATTCAAAAGGTCTTGGCAGTGTGGCAACAGCCGTCTGTACTGGATAATGCAATCCCGAATTGTGCCCTCCATGAATGAATGAATCAATTGATGGATTGAACAAACACTTCAAAGAAATCGATTTCAATTAAGCCGTGAGAATGCAGGCACCTCCAGCAGCCTTGATCTTCTTCTCAGCAATGCTGCTGACGAACTTGGCCTTCACCACAATCGGTCTTTCAATGCGACCTCTGCCGAGGAGCTTGAACACTCCGTGAGCCTTCAGATCAATCACAGGAGCCTTGGTGGTGTCCTTCATGGCCTGCTGCTGAGCCTCTTCGGGGAGCAGATGCCACAGCTCGTCCACATTGATAGTAGGGCAGTATTCGGTGTTACGCTTCAAGTGGAAGTGTCTCATACCGACCTTTCCGAAGTATCCAGGGTGGCTAGACGAGTAAACCACGAAATCGACAAACACTTACAACTTATCGAAAAGGATACGCAGATGGTGAAGACCTCCGGCCTTACCACGTCCAGAAGGATGGCAACGATGCTTTCCTAAAGATGAAGAAACACGGAAAAGGGGCTACCAATACGTCCGTGTCCGGCACTAACATGACCTCTGGCCTTTCTATTCTTGCTGAATCTACTAGGCTACAACCAAATAAGAATCCTGTCCAAACCACAAATCAGCTTCACAGGTCCCATTAGTATTCCACTCACAGGACACTACATTGAATCACTCTCCCTACCATTGTTTTGAAGCAATGAAATCGATTATTCTGCTTTTCACAAATGGTGATGTCATAATCGCGGTTTTCTGGTACTCTTTCGTAGGATATGCTTTTTGCAAGATGAATATCTTAACCATGAGTACACATCATTTCACGACTCTCCAAAACAAAAGCGGCTCTTTTCATAATTTGTAAGGTGCATCAATGGCTGTATGATTTTTGAAGCGGTGTAATTTGTAGGAGGCGTTTTGTAAATGGGATGATGAAAATACAGGGTTGAATCCCTTTCTTACTCAGAACGTAAGCGGCAAGGGAATTGGTAATTTCCTTGTGAAATACGTATTGGGAACAGTGCTATTCTGTGTTCGACTTCCCTTTTTCTTGATTCTTGCAATTCTGTTTGTTTTATTAGACCTTCTTGGTCACCTGGTGCTGTAGATGTGCTCCTGTAAGTATTAGATTGTGGGAAATGTTTTCAAACGTTTGTATTGGTCGTGCGTGATTTCTCCGATAAGTCGTCTGCTCTTATTCTTTATGGGCGTGTGGTCGATCGATGTATCCTATGCGGAGGCACAAAAACTGCGCATTCGGTGATTTCCCTCCTACTTTTGTTTATTACTAGTACTCAAGTGGATCGTTTTTCTGTCTCTTTGCGCGACATCCAGTCGAGTGACGTGATTATCAGCAACTGCGTTGGGTATGTTCAAATTCTGATCTACTCCGCCATGTTCTTTTCTTTTTTTCTAATGTTCATTTCCAGTATTTCCAACGAGTTCGGCTTCGTTAATTCCAATGGTGACATCATCGAGTGCGGCCTTCTGACCGCCCTTCGATACTGTCTGCGTCCTTCCCCTCTTTTCTCCCAAAACCGCGGGAATCCACTCCAGTCCAAGTCACGTGCTCGTCCCCTCATCCTCTTCGCGGAGAGTTTTCCCACCAATAACCGCGCCGTACTGGGTTTCGCGGGTCTTTCGTCCGCCACGTACGCCTCGTTCCCCGCGGTTCACCTCTTCGCGCTTCGGTTCACTTTCGTATTCCGCAGTGACGTGTAGATTCGGTCCGTCGCGCGTGGCGGGATCGTACCTGGTGGGCGGGGCGGCGAAGCACTGCGCGGGGCTGCTGAGCCAGGCGCGGCTGCGCGTGGCGCTGCAGTGGGTGCACAGCGAGGATCTGAAGCTGCTGAGCGCGCCGGAGAAGCCGAAAGCGAAGACGGGACTGGGAGCGGGAGCGGGATGGACGGTGGCGCGGTTGAGCAGCCGGACGGAGATGGGAAGAGAGAAGGAGAGGAAGGAGAAGGAGGAGAAGGAAAAGAAGGAGGAGGAGGAGAGAGAGAGAAGTGAGGAGGAGAGGGAGAGAGAAGGACGGTTCTTCTATGAAGAGAAGTTCCCGGAACTGATCGCGATGATGCTGCAGACGAAGGTGGTGAAAATGGGGCAGAAGCAGGGATTTGAGTTCATTGAGTACTTCAACGAACGAGGCCATCGAAAGGTCAAAACGAACTAAGTGAATGAATGAATGAATGAATGAATGAATGAATCATTGATCGATCGATTGAATGATTGAATGAATGAATGAATCGCGGATCGATGGATGAACTGGGTCTATTTTGTCTCTTCTGTTTGAGCCCAACAAACACGCCAATCTTCTTCACCCAATGTACGGCTATTAACTATGAGGCTTCTCCTTCTTCTGGCGGAACAGAGCGAGCAAGGAGGTCTTCGACACGCACACCACCTTGAAACGCACTCCGGGAATATCTCCCACGGCGTGTCCAGAACGACCGAATCCAGCAATCAGCACCTCGTCGTTCTCATCCACGTAGTTCAAGCAACCATCGCGAGGAACGAAAGCGGTGATCTTCTTGCCGTTCTTGATCAGCTGCACACGCACGCACTTACGAATGGCAGAGTTGGGCTGCTTAGCCTCCACTCCCCTAGCCATCATCTCAAGCCATAAAACACGTACACCTTCTCGAGGACAATTCCCTTGGCCATGGTGGCTCCTCCGAGCACGTTGGCCTTGATGGAAGAGATGTTGTGTCCCTTCTTGTACTTCTACACCGTCAGACGCGATTTCCAGAAAACTACCTTATCGGCCCAGCGCTCCTGGCGACGGACAACACGCAACTTGCGAGCAGCACGAATACCACAAGGTTTTCTAAAAACGCACAGTTAGTCCGCGAATCCTTATTCGACTCCGAAAATCATCCCAATTGACAAATTCGCCCATTCTACGTACCCTTTACCCATATTGATATCTTAAATCGGTTGGAAGAAGACTATATTCCGTCCCATTCAAGATGGGAGTTTCATCCATCGACCTCCTGGGTCGAGCCATCATACAGCATTTAAATACAGATATTACCCATCCCCTCATCCTAATTTTCCTTATTTTTTCTACTAATAACTGACCTTATTTTCAGTATATTTCAGTGTTTGGAGTAATAGAAGTTGAAGAAGAACCGTCTCATGCTAAACAAATGTACTGTGATGTTGTCAGTTGTCCTATTTGTGCTGTTATTTGGACTATGCTTTTTCCTAAAGGTCTACGATACTACAGCGCGAGTAGACGACGACCTCAATTCGTTGATCACCCTTCCTAACATTGTTGCGGTCCCAGCAGAAACTCACATCAAACGTATTGATTTTTTGTATTGTTTATTATGTCTAGGTGGTAGATGAGGAATGTTTGGTAATATCTAGCTCCCAGTATGCGCCAGGAACTCGATGATAACAGGACCCCCTTCGAAAAATCCTCTCAGAACCCGTTGTTTTCATTTTGCAAATCGATCGCTGTAAACAACACGGTGATGACATCATTTACGGATTTCGGCTATCTGAATATTTTTTACACGTTTTACAGACTCAGTCATCTCGAACAATATCCAAACTTCTTTGTGACTGTAATCGATCACAAATCCTATGAAGTGCGCATTTTCCTTTCTTTCTCGAGTGTGTAGGATGTTAAAAAGCGCGGAATTCCAGTTTTTTACTACCGACCAGTGGGAGTGGACGATGAGATGATGAGCAAGGGATCGATAATCATGTCGAAAGACTTCCAAAAGAAAGTGGTAAACAAACTCGATTTTATCCGACTTGTTCTTTCGCTTGGCTTTGTCACACTTTACATGGATTGCGATCTGATCCTCTTCCAGAACCCTTGGCCCATTCTTTCCACCTTTTCTTCCAGAGATTACGATTTGGTTACACAGCGAGACGAATCTTTAAATAGCGGGTTCATGCTTCTCTTTCCCACAACCCAAACGAGACTTCTTCTAAGCTGCGCCACTTTACATATGAAACAGGCAAACGAACTTGATCAGGAATCGATTCTCTTTTGCTTACCTCGATTGAGTGGTTTGCGGCTACATTTGCTGCCATTAGAGCAATTTAGCAGTGGACGCTATTTTGCAGAGAGTCATCAATTCTATTGGGATGCTATTGGTACAAATCAATATATGATGCATAATAATTGGATTATTGGAACGAACAACAAATTGTATCGATGGAGGGAAATGAGACTGTACACCGAAGACAGCGACGAGTACTACTCGTCTCCAACGCGGAACTATCTGATCGTGGACGCTCCCTTAGAGAGAAGAAATCGAGTCGAGTTCTTGATGCAAGCGGCAGTCCTGAGCCGCGTGCTTCAGCGCGTTTTTTTAGTTCCAACCTTTTCCTGTCCCCCCGAATTTAAAGTGGAGCAGTGTAATCTATGCAGAAACGATAAATTGTGCTTCGAGAAGTTCCAGAAGATAATAGGCGCAGATTTTCGAACATTCGTTGAGTCTCTGCGATTTGCTCACGTCTAGGAGTTCAGAAGCAACCCGCTTACTCCGCTCGATGTTCGGCAAGCCATAGAGAATGGGACAGTGTTTCATATCGTGAATACTCCTGACGGAGAACCGAATTCCATCGTGTTATCTTCTCGCTACTCACAGCGCGCGATTTTGCTTGCCTTTGCAGACTACTCGTCAATTCGTGTTCTAAAGCTTGACAATCTTCCCCCCAAGTTTCCCAAGAAAATGATTATGTGAATTGTTTGATAACAAACAGGAAATGGTCTGTAAGCAATAGCCTCGATCTCAACACCCACATCCTTAGGAAGACGAGCTACCTCAACGCAGGAACGAGCGGGGAACGGAGCATTGAACTCTTCAAAGAACTTCTGGTAGATGGCGTTCACCTTTCCAAAGTCGTTCATATCCTTAACGAAGACCGTGGTCTTAACAATATCACGGACTTCATATCCGGCAGCCTCCACGACAGCCTTGACATTCATCAGACTCTGGCGGGCCTGAACTTCAATATTATCGGAGAAGGTTCCAGTCACAGGGTCAACGGGGATCTGACCCGAGGTAATCACCAGATTGCCGAGCTTGAGACCCTGAGAATAAGGTCCAATAGCAGCGGGCGCTTTATCAGTCTTAAGAATAGTGCTCATTATAGATCGTATCGAAAAAAGTATGATATTCGAAAAGGGGGAACTGGGGAAATGGAAAGTGGTTTCATGATTACGAAGGTATTTGACAAACATCCTCATTTTGTACTCATTTTATACTCATTTTGTACTCATTTTATACTCATTTTGTACTCACCTCGAACTCACTAAAGCACTCATTGATCACGTTCGGTGTATTCAGCATCAGCCGATACGGCTTTCCTTTTTGCTGTAATGATTGGTACCTGCGTCCTTCCTCGCGCACAAAGCTCATGAATGAATGCCGATGCAAAACAATGCGATTATCGGCTGTATGCGTTACGTTGATATGAGGAGAGAGATTGTCGAGAACACTGAGGATGATCTTGTTGTTTCGCTCTCCCTTTTCCACGTCCAATCCAGCGTTTCCCATGATGTTTACGTCGTGATACTGCACATTCTCTAGCTGTCTTTCGCCGTATGCCTTGACGAACGAGAACAAAAAGTGAAGTGAAGGAATAGTAACAAGAAAAAGGAATACAAAGGAGATCGTTTTGAGGGATGGAAACGTTTTGGTTGGAATTGAGTGGAAAGAAAAAAGCAAGTGGAATGAAAAAACGAATGAATGAATGAATGAAAGCAAAATTGGAAAGAAAGAAAGAAAAAATGAATGAAAGAATGAATGAATGAATTTCACAAGTCTATTACATGATTTTCCAAGATTTTCACAAGATTTTCAAATAGTTTCCACCAATTTCCACGTTTCCCCCTCTCCCAACATCGAGGATATGCTATAGATGGCGAAGAACGTCACGGCCTCGGAGTACTTCCACAGCAGCATTCGAAACGGCTGCGTTTTGAAATTGGGCAGCAGCGTGCAGTCGATGCTGTGCTTCAACAGCTGCATTCCCTTCTCAAACTGCTCCGTAAACACAAAATACCGACACACTTCGCGCACCATACTCGACTACGCCTCACCCCGCTTCTCCGTTTCCACGTTATACTGCACTCCTTGCTGCGTCGCGTTCGTCATGATCCGCTGAAACAGCTCGGCGTTTCGCTGGCGCGCACAGTGCCACAGCAGGAGTTTGTACGTCAGATCGTCGGGCCGCGCTTTGCCCAATCGCTGCGTCGCGTGGTACAGAAACTGCACCGCCAGATCGTCGTTCTGCTGCACGTACCACAGCAGCAACGCGTTCAACGACGTCTTCCGCAGATGCAGCTGGTCGAACCGATCGCTCAACTCGCGCAGTTTTGATTCGCTGAACACGTTCTCCCACGTGTCCAGCACCCACAGCGCGGAATCCTCACGGGAATCCCCGCGGGAATCCGAACTTCGAAGGGACTGCACGATCTGGTCGATGAGGTTTTCGCCGCCCTGCAAGTCCTTGAGAATCACGTGGACGTATTGCGGCTGTTTGGTCTTCAGAAGCAAGTCGATGAGGGTGGTGCACGTGATTCCGTCTGGCCGCACTCCCGCCAATTTCATGATTTGGTAGATCTGCAGGGCGCGTTCCCAGCTCCCGCTCTTGTTGTACCCGTTAATGAGGATGTTGTAGGTCCACACCGTGGGCTCGAGGCCGTGCTCGCGGATCAAATCGAAGAGTTTTTCGGCTTCTGCGAAGGCTTTCGATTTCACGTAGCACTGCATCAAGGTCTCGAAGTCCACCACTTTCGGGGAGTAGCCCTCGCTCAGCATCATCTCCCAGAGACTTTGAGCCGCTTGGGAGGCGTTGGCGCAGAGACTGCAAGTGCGGATCGCTAGTTTGTAATCGTCGATGCTGATGTGGGGGAACTTCTCGCGCATTTTGAGAATGACTTCAAAGGAGGTTTCGAAACCCCTGTATTCGAAGAGAATGTTCAGCATCTGAGAGTAACTAGTGAGTTAGCGATAACACGAAACAAACACACATATAATAATCCCAGTCGAAGGAACCTATCATGTTGTGGATCAGAGAAAGCACATCCTTGTAAGAAACGCGCTCATCGCGGTAGATGAGCTGCTTGAATATTTCAAAGGCCTGAAGCAGTTCATCCTGTGTAGCATTCTCCTTCAAGGTGATCCGACGTACAAACCTTCCACTTAGAGGAGAAAAGCAGGAATCTACTCCTTTCGCTCGGACCCATTTTCCATGTTTAGTTCATGTAATTGCTTTTTAAACCGAGCCTTCGGCGTAGCTAAAGGACGAGGCTTTTGAGTTCCCTCGACTCGTGCCCCAAAACTGCGACAGAACAGGAACGATGAGTCCGCTACTAGATGTCGAACCAAATGAGAAAGCCAAACAGAAGGAACGATTGAAACTACCCAATCGCGATAAAATACGTGTTGAATAGTTTACACTATGTGCAGAAAAGCATCCAACACAGCGAATGCTATTCCTCAGAACAAACATTACAAAACTATACACTCTCAAACAAGTCCCTTCAATATGGCAACTCAATTTTGTTTGATCGCTCGTGAGTCACATCGTAGCATGATTTCCTTGTAGATTTAGCTGGGTATACAATCATGACCAAAGTGTACTTTATGAATAACCACTGTACAGTTTATCATATTCATCTTTTACCAGGATGTTAACTTGGACAACGGTATTTCTGATCATGGTTTGACTTATTATCCTAGTCAGGAGTTTTACAGAAGTTTCTAGATAGAATGCAAGAGAGTCAAGGGGACGCGAGCGTTCTTGAGGAACTTTTCAAAAAGTACTCCATTGATGTCAATGCATACGACAGTTCTGGGCTCACCCTTTTGCATCATGCCGCAATGTTGGGTTATGATGATTCTATATATGTTCTTTTTCAATACGGTGCTAATTTAAATCAACTGACCGTGGTATTTTGCAGGAAAACCTATTGAGCGTAGACTAACAAGAGCGTGGCAGCTGTTGCATCGGAAGCTGGATTTGAAAACACAGCGCAGTTTGTAAGTACGCTGTGCGAGGAAAATAACGTATCCTCCGCGTGGTTCGAGTCATCGCCTAGGCGTTTCTTACTGCGATTCAAAATCGTGATCTAGAATATATTAAGGCGCACGACAAATGTCCGGACTGTAAATTCTACCGAACTGCCAATGGTTTGTTTCCCCTCCATTACGCCTGCAATCTCGCTGCCTACGGTACTCTCCATCTTCCTCCGCACACCTAACCCCCAGAGATCGTGAACGAGCTGCTCTCCGTCGGGTTCGATCCTAATCAGCCGGACAGTTTCGGCCGCACTCCTCTGCACTGGGCGGCGCTTCTCCTCGACTGGGACCTCTTTTCCACACTGATCTCCCACGGGAGCGATCTGCAGGCGCGCTCGCTGGTACCCCCTTTCCCCGTTTCTCCCTTTTAGACGGGCAAAACGCCGGTCTGTCTCTGCTACCATTTCCTCAAAGACACCCCCTCCAGCGACTTCTCCTCTCTCTGCGACGCGGTTTCCCCGGTTTCTCCTTTTCACGGGTAGTCGTTCTTCGACGCGATCGACCGGCTGGACCTGGAATCCTGCGAGAGCTACCTCGATTCGCGCCCCGCGGACTACGTTCTCCAGCTCGTCGACGCCGAAGGCAACTCTCCGCTGCACTACGCGGTGCGGGACCGCGAGGCCATCTCCGCCATCGACCTGTCGCTCCAGGCCGACGTCGTGCGGCTCTTCCTCCAGCAGGGCTTCGATCCGCGCCGCGCCAACGCGCAGGGACTCTCCCCGTGGGACCTCGCGCAGCAGAATCCGTACCCCGAGATTCGCAAGGTCGTGGAGGCCGCGATGGCCGCGGGAATCACCCCCGAAACCACGCCGGAGGCCGCGCACGAGCCGATGCCGCAGAGCAGTTCGGAGGCGTCCCCCGCGGAAACCGGGGAGAGACGGTGCCTGTGGCCGTCGTCGCGCGTGCAGGAGCTGCTGGAGGTGGCGGGGCTGGAGGAATACGGCGAGTTGTTCGACAGCAATGTGGCGGCTGCGCGGTCGAGTGAGATTTAGGGCTATGTGTATTGCCACGACCTCTACGCCCTCAGCGAGGACGATTTCAAAACCATGGGCGTGAAGTTCGGGCATCGGAAGCGCCTCGTCGAGCTGCTCGGCGATTCCGACTGTCTCCGGCAGTTCCTGGATCGGATCGGGCTGTCGGAGCGCGAGGAGGCGCTTCGCGAGCTGGGCTTTGAATCGGTGTGGAGCCTGCTGGGCGTGGATGCGGCGTACACAGAGAAAATGGGACTGACGGAGGACGAGATGCGACGCTGGCTGGTCGAGAAGGAGGGATTGGTAGGAGAGGAGGGCGGATTGGAGGCATAGACGGCACCGCCGATTCCGTCGGTGCGGAACGACGAGAGCTGCGAGAATCTGCTGCGGTTGATCTTCAGCGAGGCGGAGACGCGGCGGATTATGGCGGTAGGCGAAGAAAGGGGAGGTGAGGCGCAGGACGGAGCGGTGGACACGGTGAACGTGCTGCTGTTTTTTAAAATGAGCGACCAGGAAGAGCTCAAAATCAGGTTTGGAGAGGCCGTGGGGATTAGTTACTTGGTGATGGTAGGGCGTGGAGAGAGTAGTGGGTGACGCGGTAGCAAATCAAAGAACAGAGGATAGCTGAGAAAAATAAATAAACATAAACAGATGAGGTGTTTGTTGAAAGAAACAAAGGAACAGGCGTACTGCTCGGTCCACTTCTTGGCCGTAGCGATGAACTGAGGGAGGTTGTTGTGAACTTCGTTGCCAATGTCGGGATCGACAGCCATTTCACAATTCGAATAGTTCTTGAGCATATCGTAGACAATATTCATCACGGTGGTCAGGTTGTTCACGGCCTTCCACTGCTCCGAGATCGCCTCGTTGCAGAACTTGCCATTATCCTTGTCAACCAGAGGGTGATAGATATGTGTGACGAATTTTATCTATCCATTAGCTAAGGGTCAAGAAGGACGACAGATGGGGGAACCAGCGGATAATTCGAAGGGATGGTGATCTCCAAGTGGAAAGCTCCACCGTCATAGGGAGTACCTTCAGGACCCAGAATAGTCGCATCCACCATGTTTGTTCCCTCACGAACCTACAAATCATGCCTTGGTAGAAACCATACATTCAGTGTCGCAAAATCAAGAGGATCCTTGTCCAACTTCTTGAGCTCTTTGTTTACTTTGTTCATTTACAATTAACACTTACAGGAAAAAGAAGATGAGGAAAGATGGAATCCGTCTAATTCTGGAAATCCATAGATCGAGCCGAATCTATCTCAACTGGATTTCTGTGATATGGAGTTTATTCGGCTCAAAAGAATCCCAGGCTGTGGATCCATTCATCGTCTGGAAGTTATGGAGGCAATGTGATTGGTAGGACTACGAGTCAAGCTGCTTAGAGATTGTCTTTATGACGGTCGGTATGAATCCAAGAAATTGAACACTCGACTTGCTCCTATTTCGGTATGTTCCTCTTTGAATCGTGATATTGTGTTTTTGTATTAATAATTAGGAATTACAATTGTAGCAGATAAAATGGGCTATGTAGTTGCGATTTCGGATCCTGGAATTACGCCCGTAGAACTTTCCCTATCTCTCCTGGGTGTAGAATCGTAGTTTATTTACAATTGAATGACTGGTAGATTGTTTGCAGTGGATGATCACTCAGTAGTGATTGTCACTGCCAATCACTCTGTGGTCATGCTTACCTTCAACATAATTAACTCGAAAATCGATGTATCTTCGCGTCCTATACCCATTTTGGCTCCTGTTAGTGGGAAACTGTCTTTGCGAGGGCAGTATTGCTGGAACCGTGAAGAACGCTGTATGTATTACATAAACAACAAGGGATACATTCAACGAACAGGGTTGCAAACGCCTTGGAAAGCTTCGTTTCTATGCTACTCGTCATTATTCGGAGTCCTTTATGTGTCCGAGGACTATCGCTCTCTCTGTATTGGGTCTGAAATCGTTTTCACTGTGCCTTTTTGCATCAGTTGGGTCCAATGTTTTGAAGATCCCTATGTGTTGATTGTCTCAAGGGATGAGCGTTCTATGCAGTGTATTCTACTCGATTTGTGCACTTGCGTTCGGTTTGCCTTGTGTGATTGTCTTGTAGACATCCTATCAACTCTCTATGGATCGAATCGACCTGTCGAAGGATGCTTGCTACTGGCCAGATGCCAAGTTTGTCTTTCTGTTTGACTGAAATACGTAGCTGTCTGCTCTTTCCAGGTACAAGTGCTGGCGAGCTGTTTGTATTTGAATTGGATTCTCTGTCCTCCACACAACTCACAAACAAAGCCCATCATCGCATTCGATTGGACTGTTCACACATCACCACTCTCCACATCGCTTCTCCTTCGCAATTCTTAGTAGGCGACGCCTGTGGTGACGTTTTCTCCATCCATTTGTCCCTTTAGTTAGTTAAGTATTTGTTATTTGTTTGTTTGTGTTGTTTGTTGGTCTCAAACACTTGATTCATTACAAGATTAACAAGACTAGTTTTACCATACGAATCGCAATAACAATAATAACAATAATAACAACAATAACAACTGTCTCTCTTTCAACATCCAGCTGCTTCCCTCGCTCACACCTCCACGATCTTCCCATTAATCGGCCGGCTCTGCATCCTTCCTCCCTGCTGCGCCACAAACATCTGCGGGTTTCGCTGCTTCATCTGCTGCGCCTGCAAGTGGTTCCCCGCCACCGGCATTCGCTGCATGTTCACTTGATTCATCCCTGCCGGCACGCGCTGGCGATCATACACCTGCATCATCCCTCCCTACACCTCACGCCTTCCACGTTTCCACACTTCTCCCATCTCGCGCCCAGCGCTCATTCCCTCCTTTCGCTGCAACGCCGACATTTGCGACACGAAAAACCCGGGATTGCGCAGCTGCTCGTTCTGATTCTTCAGACATCGCTGCAAGAATCGATTGTTGTTGCACGTGTGCTGAGAGTCTGTCGGACAGTACGGATACGGCTCGATCGACGGCTTCGAACGACGCACCCGCTCCAAACTGCTTCGCGGAATCTTCTGCTGCTTCAAATTCACCGACTCTTCCAGCTCCGCCTTCGCCGCTCCTCGCTTCACCGACCTGCTCTCCAGCTCCATCACCAGCGCAGTGAACGGGTATTGACGGCTGTACCGGATTGGCTGCTCCTTCTCCGGCGGTTTCACAGGCGTTTCGGGGGATTCGGGGGACGGAGCGGGCGCGGAGAGCGTCGTCGCCGCGGTGGCGATCGAGGAAACCAGCACAGGCGCTGGCGGACTGATCGGGAGGACCGGTGTTTCCCCGGTTTCCCCGGTTTCGAGCTTGAGATCGAAGGAAATGACGGGAGAGGAGTCGTCGAGCTCGTGAGACGGCGTGGCGGCGTGGTTGCGCGCGGATTCCTGGGCTTCCCGCGAGAAGGAGGGCAGCGAATCGAAGAGATCGCGCAGCCCTTCCATGACTTCAGTGGCCTGCGATTTGGTGTGCGTTAGAGCGGCTGTTTCGGGCTCTAGTTTGACGGGGATGTCGCTCTCGGGCTTTCGTTCGATTTCGTTGAGTTGAGTGTGTTGCTTGGTGGACTCGTCGAGAATTCGCTGGCCCTGCTCCAACGCCTGTTCATACGGCACTACGATGCCGTCCTGCGGACGCCGATGGCTGTCGAGTAAGTGTTTGAACTTCGAGGAGTCCGTTTTGATGAGGATTTGCGCGATAGGCAGCATGCGGATCGCGTTCTCGCGCAGTTTTTTGATGTCTGCGGGGCGCTGCATCGGGAACGACCGCACCGGCACGCGGTTCCGCATCGTTTTGTCCGGGTTCTGCAGACTGTTCAGCGACGACGGGTCCGAAGCCAGCGACGACGGGTTCCGGAAGCTCGCAGGCGCGCGACGCGCGAGGTCCTTCGTGCTGGACGCGGGCGTTTCGGGGCGGAGGTAGCGCTGGAGGCGTTTCAGTCGGTCGGTTTCGAACTTGGCGAACTGGGCGTCGCGCTTCTTCAGATCGGCCAGCTGGGTTTCGTCGAGGGTGGAGGGCTTGAAGAGCGCGCTTTGAACCTGCTTGGATTCCACGGCCGCGAAAATCGCGTCGATCGGCGAAGCGAAATCCGCGGGTTTCTTCGCTTCTTCCTCCTCCATAGCCACGGATTTCGGAGTGGTTTCGAGACGATTGTCAAAGTGGTCATCATCATCTTCGTCGTCGTCGTCGTCGTCGTCATCTCCCGCGGGAGAGTCCTTCAAATAGGGGTAGCAATAAGCGAAAAAGGGGTTTTTGGTGGTGGAAAGCGTCTTCTGCGGAATGCAGGTGTATCGAATTTGGATGGGAATTGCCGCGTCGACCAGCCTTTTCCGCTCCGCGAGGAACCGCCAGTTCTCCGGGAACTGCTTCCAAGGGTGGAGGCGCTGCCAGTTCTCCAGAACGAACACGTTGCAGATGAGATTCCAGCTGGTTCCGAACTGGGAGACCAGCGTGAGCAGCAACTCGTCTTCTTTTCGCGTCCACGTGAACGTATTCAAGCGAACCTTCTGATTGATGAAGTTCCAGATCGACTCCGGCTTCTCCTTTTCCTCCTCTTCGCCCTCGCGCGCTCGCTTCCTCGCTCGCTTCCGCGTGCTCTCCGTCATCTCGCTCGATTTGCTCACCGACACCGACAGCGACAGCGCGTTCCGCATCGAAAACCGCTCCGGCGTCGCCGTGAACCGGTTCTTCTCCACCGGCAGCGTGCCGTACAGGAAGCTGTCCATCTGATACCCCGGGTTCGCGTTGAATTCACGCAGCATCGACTGCTCCCACGACACCAGCGACCGCTCCACGCCTCCATACTCCCCCAAATCCGAGCGATTGCACCCTCCCGCCCCGCTGCCTCCGCTCAAACTTTCCATTTTGAACTCGCCGCGCGCCGCCAACTCGCCCGGCAATCCCGCTTCCGCGGGGATCAGCGAGGCCTCCAGGGAGGGGTACGCGCACACGTCGGGAGCGGGCATTCCCGCGGGGAGCGAGAGCGAGGAGGGGTCCAACGCGAAGGACCCCGCGGAGGGTTTCAGGCTCCACGACGCCACGTGCCGCCACGGCCGCGTCGAAAACGGCTGGATTTGCTCGTTTTCCGCGGGAATGACGGGGTACGTGGGGAACGAAAAGTGGTGCTGGAGAAGCGGCGGGTTCAGCAGCGCGTCCAGCTCGTCCTCTGAAACCGCCGTGGCCCGGAGCGACGGGGAAAACGGGTATTTGGCGTCCACGGCGAAGCAGTAGGAGAGAAGTGGAATGGCAGAAAACAGGGGTTTTAACCGAATCGCGGTACTCGCCTGCTTCTGAAACTCCGTCAGACGGTCCAGTTCCACGATCCGCGCCCGGTTCTCCGATGAAACGCCCACCGCGGGGAACTCTACCGATGAAACGCCCTTCCTAGCGGTACGTTCGTTGCAGTTCCACAAAAAGTCGCGATTTTCGGCCTGCTGTTCCCAGAGCGTCCACAGCGTGGGATCCCACACCTCGCAGAGCGAGGGGCGGAGCTCCTTCTTCTCTTTGGGTCTACAAGTGAGCGTGGAAGCAGCGAAATCGAACGTTCCGAGAGCGAACAGAACGCGCTTGGCGTCGTGCAGCGCCTTCCGATCGGCCTTTTCCTTCCGTTCGCTGAGGCTCACGCGCGTCTCCAGCTCCGAGAACACCTCCTTCACCGTCGCCGCGGCGTTTCGCTTCGTCCCCAGCATGAACAGCACGTTGTGGTACAGCGAGTCCCAGTACCCTGGCCGCGGTTTTTCCCCCACGATGATCTGCTGCACCATCGGCGCCGCGTAGCACTGCGCTCCCGCGGGAATCTCCGCGCCCGACTCCGCGGCAGACTCCGCGGGGACGTCCGCGAAGCGTCGAAGACACACCAGCGCGATCGTGGCGCTGGAAGCGTGGTTAAACCGCACGCACTGGCGATGATCCCAGAAGGAGCACGGGTTGGAGTTTGTGGGATCCCCCCGGAGCGGCAGCACGGCCAGTCCCTGCTTCCGCAGCAGCGACGCCAGCGACACCGCCATCGCCTCGCTGTCTACGATCACCAGCTGCTTCCACCGCTTCGCTCGGCCTTCTCCCAGCAGCTGCAGCACGCGCCGCACGCGTCCGCTCACCAATACCGGCGCGTCGTTCCCCGCGGGGGGCGCAGAGGAGCCCGGACGGAGGCGTTTCAGCGCCCAGAATTGGGAGGATTTCTGGTTCTCCTCGGCGAACGCCAGCCACTTGTAGCGAAACGTGGAACCCAGGAGTTTCGGCGAGTCGGTTTCCACGCGGGGATGGCTGAGCCTCCAGAGTTCCGCGGGGATCCACGAACCCGCGGTTTTCTCGAGAAAGGGAGAGAAAAACGAAAGGTCGCCGAGCGTTTCCGGCTTGAGAGAGACGCGAACCGCGGGGATTTCGATGGAGTGTCGGAACACAATTCGCTTATACGGGGATTCGAGAAGGAGTTTCACTTCGATTTGGCGCAGACGAAGCGTGGAATAACCGCGGAAATTGGGGAGCGTGGTGAGAACGGATTCGTACGGAGAACGGTACAAAACCGACCATAACCAGCGCGGCCACGTGATTCTACAGAGAATCGCGGTTATTCTCGACGTCTACTCGATGGGAGGGAGAAAAGTCGGGTCTCCCCGCGGTTCTACAGGGATTTCCACGCGGGAATGCAGCAGAAAGAACGCGTACAGCACGTCCGCCGCCAGATCCGACCCTCCCATCGTGGAAACCGTGGAAACCGTGGAAACCGTGGAAGTCGAAGACGGATTGGAGGGAGTCGGTGTTGCCGCGGAACTGCTGGACCCCGCCGGATTTCCCGTCCCTCCAATCGCAGAAATCGTAGAAACCGTAGAAATCGTAGAAACCGTAGAAGGCTGGAGAGCGTCCATGTCCCAGACCTCCTTGACGGCGCCCAGGAGCCCGTCGCAGAGGCGTCGCTGCCAGTCGGTCCAGGTGACGGTCTCCAATTCGAGCGGCAAAAGCGAGTTCCCGCCCTCCCCCGGGTCCCTTCCGGAGCGGTGCTGCCTGGTGGAGCTGTAGTGCGCGGTGGGCCCCACGACGGTGAAGGTGGCCAGGTTGAAAAGCTCGTGGGTCTGGTGCCCGGAGTCCAAACTCTGTCCCAGCACCGCGCTTTCGACCGCGCCGCTCAGCCGCTGCGCCGAGTCCAGCAGGCAGAACCGCCGATTGCACCGCGCACACAGCTCCTCCGCCTCCGCTCCCGCGTCCTCCAGCGCCGACGCGAAGAGCAGACAACCGCGGGACGCTGGAGGGCTCTGGAAGCGGCGCAGCTGGAGGAGAACCGCGGTTCCGGAGCGATTTGGGGAGACGGAATGGCGCGGAAGCCGGATGGAGGCGAGAAATTTCGCCATTTCGCTGAGCCTGGGAATGACCGGGATTCCAAAAATCGCCACGATTCGGGAACGAGGATGAAACTCTCGTCGACGGCGTCCAGCTCGCCGATCAGCTGCAGAATACAGTTTTCCAGAGTGAAACCCCCCTCCAGGCAACTCACCACACATGCGAGATTGTGGGATGCGCAATACGCCAAATAGCCAGGCAGTTTCATCGGCTTCTGCGCGTACAGGTCGGAGAGGGAGGGAGTTTCGTCGGTGACCTCCGGGTTGCCCTGGTTCCCGCGGTTATACACCGATTTGATGTAGCGTTCGAGGGAGGGTTTCGTTTTGTCCTTCTTCACCGCGGGGATCTCCATCGACTCGACGTGTGCGTCGTGCACCCGCTCCCAGAACTGCGTGACCATTCCCGCGATTATCCTGCAGATCTGTCGATGCCTATTTTCGTCCTGATTTTCGTCCTGTTTTCGGAGCAATTCCCGCTCTTTCTCGTCTTCCACCTCCATTCCCTCCTGCTTCACGTCGAGTTCCGCGGGGAAGGAGGGCAGGGAGAGGAGTTTCGGGGCCTGGGCGTTTCGGGAGGGTTCGATGAAACGGTAGAAAAACGCCTGGGCTTCGTGGGCGAGAATGTAGGCGACTTGGATCTTCCATTTCCGCTCCTCGAGGAAGTCGTTGGCCATGAGAACGGACTCTTCGAGGAAGTAGTCGTAGTGGCATTTGCGGCGAAGCGGTTCGGGGTACATGCGGAAGGAGGGAGCTAATTTCTCTTTGAGGGTGTTGTATTCGCGGAGAATGGAATCTCGCTTTTGCTTTAGCTTGTTGATGTCGGATGAAAGACGCGATGGAAGGTTCATCCGCGTAACTCGCGAGGAAAGTTGGCGATAGGACGGCGTTTGCACCATTTTGTGTGAAGATTGTTGAGACTGTTGGGACTGAGAATATTGCGTCCTTTCTCGGCTCCCGCTAAAACGGATACTAATCGTAAAAGGACGACTTCCTTGGGAAGCGACCAAATTTGGTTTTTCATCATTGCTTTGATTGCTCTAACGAATAAGTAAATATTTTAATACAAATTACATCCTTCACACGAGCCAACGCCATAGAGGCATATTCTTTGTATATCTCCTTTTCGTTCTCTTTTTGGTATCGTTCACATAAACTAATTCTTTACCCCCAACAAAAACACAGTCTACTCTAATAGTCGAGCCACTTCTTGACTATCTGAGAGTCTCTTTGGAATAGGTGTTGTTTCTATTTCCATTTCCACCAAGAGCCTCAGATCTATGGAGTATTATTCTGTTAAAGTTTGAACAGTAAAGTAATTCCTTTCTCCTTGATTATCATGTCCCCATGTATTAATAACTAAAACCATTCTTTTCAAACAAATAATTTCAAAATATCATCAATCAATAATTATATATGCATATATATGGAAAATAAAGTACAAGAAACAACTATTGCGTATTACACTGCGATTCATCGTCCAAATCCAAATCAGCGATCTTCGACCGCTTTGTAGGCGACTGCATTTTCACTGCTGGCTGCACAGACTGTCTTTTGGCCTCCACCACTCTTCTCCCTCTCACCGGCGACACCGGCTGCTGCATCGCCGCCGCCTGCTTCAATTCGCTGATTTGCTTCTGCAGCTCCTCGTTCTTCACGATCAGCCGAAGGTTCTCGCTCTCCAAAAACCGCTTCGAGCCTCCATACGCAGGCGTGGTGGATCCGTGCGCCTCCTTCAGATCGTTTTCCAACTCGTCGATCCGCAAATTCTTTTCTTCCACACGCTGCGTTGACTCCACCACCTGGCTCTTCAGCTCTACAATTCACCCGTATCTCTCAACTCTACCCAACACTTCGTTCTGCAGCGTCTTCACTCGATCTAGCAACTCAGTGGCTTCCTTCCGGAGCCCCGCGTTCTCTTCTTTCAGCTCGTCTTTCGTCACCAAAAGCTGGCGAACTTTCTCCTTCACGTCTTCGCCCAGCTTGTTCTTCTCCAAGTGAGCGATTCGCTTCTTCGCCGCCGCATATTTCCGCTTATACAAGTCGTTTTCCTCTGTTAACTCCTGTTTCACTCGCCCGAATTCCTTCGCGCTTTCCTTCATCGCTTTGAACTCCGCGTATTTCGACTGAATCGTTTGCTGCAATCGCGCCACGCGGTCTTCCGACTCTTTCAACGCGGCTTGCAGACGAAGCGTTTCATTCGGCTGCTCGTTTTCAGGCGGTTGCTTCATTTCTGTATCCATTTCCATCTGTTGATTGTGTTCCTGGTTGTGTTCCTGCTCCTGACCGAGTTCGGATTCGCTTTCGTCGTTCGAACTGTCCTCCTCATTGATGACAGCCGCGAGATTCGCAGCGCCAATCGATGGAGAAGAAGAAGAAAAAGAAGAAAAAGTTTCGTGTTGTTTTTCGAATTGTTCGATTTTCGATTGGAATTCGGAGAGTTTGTGTTCCTTTTCGATTAATTCGCTGCGAAGGCCATCTCGTTCTCCTTCGAGTTTGGATAATTGTGTGGTTAATTGCGTGATTTGCGTGTTTCGCTCTTCGATGTCTCGTTTGAATTGCTCGCTTTCTTCCTGGCGTCGTTTCAAATTCATTACAAACGCTTCTTCTTTCATATCCGCTTCGTCTTCCAGCTTTTGACGCTCTTTCCACAGTTTCACGAGTGATTTTTTCAATTCAATAATGTCATCATCGCCAATAATCACACAGGCCTGCAGCTCATCGATTTGAGAATCGTTCGAATCGATGACTGCCTGCAATGATCGCAATTCGACTCTCATTTGTTGGATGTATTGCGTTCGACTCTGAAGCTGCTCTTTCTTCTCTTCGAGCTCTTGCTTCAAAGCGTTCCGTGAAGAAGTGAGTTCTGACACATGACGAGAATATTCCTTCTCCTTCGATTCAAGATTGGATTGAAGAGATTGCACTTCAGCAGTCCATTGATGCATGAGCTGACTCTCCTTCTGTTCTGAGAGATTGCACTGCATTTGGAGCGCTTTGAGAAGATTGGATTGCTGAGAAATGGATGATTTGGCTTCTTGGATTTCTGTAACATCCTTCTCATGTTGCAATTTCATTTCGTTCAATGTATCGATGTCTTTTTCGTGTTGTGACTTCATTTCATTCAACGATTCCACATCCATTTCATGCTGATTCCTCATTTCATTCAACGATTCCACGTTCCTTTCATGCAATTCTCTCATTTCATTCAACGAATTCGCCATTTCCTGCATCTGCGCCACCAACTCACTCATTTCCTTCTGCTTCGCCTCCAATTCTTTCTCCGTCATCACCAAATTCTCTCGAATTCGACCCACATAACTACTCAATTCATCGTTATTCCTCTGCATCGTTTGCTCCAAATTCTCATTCATTTCCTTGCTCTTATTCACCTCATCAATCAGATTCTCCACACAAATCAACGCTTCCTGAGAAATCTCCTTCAATCCCGTTATTTCCAATCCCATTTTCTCTTTTTCTTGAAGCAATTCTTCCCGATCCTGAACATGCGAATCGCAAACGCGCTGCAAATCCGCGCATTCCTTCTCCAAATCCTCCACAGTCTTCGACAGCCGCTCGTTTTCTTGCGTACTTCGCTGATTGGCTTCGAGGAGAGAAGAATGGCGCGACGCCAACTGCGCCTTTTCCGCTTCGATTTGACAAATCTGCGCTTGAAGCGATTCCAATTTCGATTTCAATTCATTCAATTCAATCTCCGTTTCATTCAATTTCGCACTCAACTCCGCGTTTTCCTTCTTCAAGCCATTCTTCAATTCGCTCTCTTCCCCCACTCGTCCCTCCAATCGATGGATCTTCTCTAAAAACCCGATCTCGTTTGCCTCCATCGCTTTCTTCGCCTGTCGCAGCGCGTTGATTTCCTCCACAATCCCGTTCATCATCTCCGACATCTCCGAAATCCAACCATTCTCCCCCGTTTCCACGGTTTCCACGGTTTCCACGGTTTCGGCCATGGAAGTCTCCGTCGCTTCGCCCATCGAAATCGACGATAACGAAAGCCGTTTTGCTTCGGCCATCCATTCCAACTCGCGTCTCCGCATCGTTTCCACTTCCGCTCTACCCATTACCCCTTTTTCCCGCGGGTTACTGCGCCTTGCGAAGCATGGCGGCCCAGTCTGTGTTCTGTGCGCGCAGTCCCGCGGTTTCGGCCTGCAACTGGGCGATTTTCTTCTCTGCGTCCTCGAATCGATTGATGACTTCGCCGAGTTTCCCCTGCAAATCCTTCTCGCGCGCTCGCGTCAGCACCAATTCCGCCTCCACGTTCGACTTCTCCGTGCTCTGCTGCTGCAGCAGGACTTCTTTATCGCGCACGTCGCGGCTGAGTCCTTCTAACCGCATCTGCGCCTCGCTCAGCTCCTTCTCCGTGCGTCGCTTCTCCTCCAACTCCATCGCGTCGTCCGTCGGCGATTCCTCGCCCTTGATTTGCTTCTTCAACGCCTCGATCTCCCGCCGCAGCTTCCGAATCAGCGACTTGTCGTCCAGCATTTGGTTCACCTTCGCCGCTGTGTGCACGTTCTTCGCGCTCTGCGCGAATTTCAGCGTGCTGCTCGTCTCCGCCTGCCCTTCATGGCTCCCTTTTCCCCTACACAAAACGAAGACGCCGGCGTTACGCACGCGATAATCGCGGTGCGCGAGTTTCCGTCCAGCGAGGTCTGTAGCAGCCGCGTCAGCTTGCTGTCGCGGAAGCTCACGTGGCTGTTTTCGGTCCGCGTAGCCAGCGTTTGAATCACACGCGACAGCACCGACAGACTCAGATTGATTTTCCCCGCTTCCGAGAGCCGGTCGTCCTGCGCGCCCGTGTGCTTCACGCTCTCCGAGCCCGCCAAATCCACGAGGGAGAGCTGCCCCACCAGAACGCCGGTCGAGTCGTCGGGAGATTCGAGACAGTCCGGATGGACGCGACTTTCGCAGACGAGCTTGAAGATCGTGTGGGAGCGCGAAGACTGCTGGTTCATGTTCGTTACGCCCACGTGGCGGTTCTTGTCGCCACGGTGCAGCAGCTGGGAGTGAAAGGGAGAAACCGGGGAAACGTTGAGAACGTCGTCGTAGCTGCGAAGCACTTCTTCTTTGGAGTCCACGTACACGCCGCGGTCGTAGCTCTCGTGGATGCGCAGCTTCACCGAGTCGGGGTTGAGCAGGTCGCGGACGTTTTCCTTGTAGATTTCGACGTAGGAGCCGCGGAGGATAAACTGACGATTGGGAGTGTTCGCCATGTAGTCGAAAATGTCTTTGGTGGCTAGGTAGATGAGGCCTGGGCTGCTGTCCTCGCCGTGCATCGTGTAGGTTTTGCCGGAAGAGGTCTGACCGTAGGCGAAGATCGTTCCTGGATTCAAATGATCGATCTGAAATGTACCGTTCATTCCATGCATAAAGGAATCGACAATTCGTTTTCCTACACCTTCATACACCACAGTAGTGGAAGAATCCGGACCAAACACACGATCTAGCAAGTTCAATACGTTTGCACAACCAGTACCGTAGGTATAGATCGAGTTGGGAATGGACGATCCGCGATCATCCGTTTGACTAATACAGTTCACATCCGGATTGCACCTCCAGCACACAGTATCGCCTTGATTTAACTACATCCTCAGAGCCTCTCCCTAGCGAACTCACTTCACGAGCATTCATTGGTCGCATCCGAACGGCAACCACAATATGCTCCTGTGGTGGCTCACCCATTGCTGTGCCAGAGTCTAACTGTTTCGTCTATAGTGCAAAAATGTCTTTTAAACTTCCTGCGAAAAAAAGCCCAATTCCTGGAATTTGATTATATCTCACAATAAGCAACGATGCTTCGAAAAGAACTTTTCGCGCTCTGCAGGATAGGAAATGTCGTAGCAAGCAGCGGATACAGAGCCGTTCCAATGTCAGTTCGCTGCATGAGTAGTTTTGGGGGAAGAATTCAATGGGGTCAACCCAAGAAGTGTACTTTCCCTGTTCAAAGCAGTCTTCGCAATCTGTATGGGTCAGTACGTGTTTTTTGTGAACAGTGAAAGTACAGAATCAGTTCTTCCGATACAATCACGATAATGCGGGAGCAAGTGCAGAAGATAAGGAATTGGCCCAGAAACGTGAATCCCAAAAGATTGCCTATTGGAGTTTGGGAGTTGACGTGTTTATGACAACTGTAAAAGGAGGCGTAGGGTGGATGTTGAATTCTACTGCGATTATCGCAGATATATCCTATTTCCCCATTTGAAGAAGTCCTTCATTTCCACGCTGCACACTCTCTATCGTCCATGGTCGTGGACGTCGTGACGTTGGCATGCGTAAGCATCTGTCGTCGCCCTCCCAACAAAAAGTGGATATTTGGCTATGGAAAAATCGAAACCGTTCTTTCTTTCTCTTCTATATTCACTCTCCAGATGTCGTGTCTCGCCGTCGGCAGTCTTCTCATCGCCACCGCAGGTGGCGTGTTCATGCACATATCCATCATGTCTGTCGCCTTCTAGTCCCTTCACTGCACGCGTATGAGCTCTTCATGGCCATGATGCACACCGCCCCCGCCGAGACAGCCGACGCAGCGATGCAGGTGGCTTCGATGGCGCACACCTCCCTTGTGAACAACCCAACGTACAATCTGCTTCTCAACGGCATCGGCGTCGGCACCGTCGCCAGCACGATTCTCATTAAATTCTGGATCTACGCCGTGCGCAGTCCCTTCTTCCTCTCTCCATTAGTGGTCGAATCGACTCGCGAAGAAGTACGACAGCAACGTTCTCTACGCGAACGCCTTGCATCACCGAGCCGACGCGCTGTCGTCCATCGTGGCGCTCGCCGGACTCTGCGGCCGCGTATTCAATCAAACAATCAATCGAGGCGTAGTATGTGGGCATGCCGTGGCTGGATCCGATCGGCGGCGCCATGGTGGGGTACACCATTCTCAAAGCGGGCTACGACATCTGCCGCGACGCGATGCGCGAAGCGCTGGATGTGAGAGTTCTGCAAAGGATCGATCGTAGCTGACGGTGGATGAGAAGACGCGTCTGAAGCTGATCACGGCGATCAACAACGCGAAGAGCGAGGACTTCACGATCGAGGAGATGTTGGCGCGTCGCTCGGGGTCGTTCCTTCACACGATCGTCCGGATTTGTCCCCCGCAGAACGCGTCGCTGGAGGACATCTACGTGAACAAGGACAAAATCGATTTGGCGCTGCGGTCGCTCGACGGCGTCTCGATTTTCTCCGTGGAGATGATGAATCCGTACGCTCATCACAAGCAGTTGCTGCTCGGCGAGGCCAGTTCGGTGGCGGACGGAGCGCCGAGCGCGAGCGAAGCGGAGAGCGAGCCGGTGGAGATGCTTCCGGAGAGCAGCAATAACGACCAGTCGATCATTCCGGAGGACGATGACGATGTGGAAGTGACGATTGATAATGAGCAGTTGGAAGGAGCGGAAGTGAAAGAGCTGGAAGGCTCCAAGTAGTCGTAGTCCTTTGGATTGTTTGTTGGAATAAACATGGAATGAAAATGAGAGAATGATTAAATGGTTATATGAAAGCATGAGTGAATGAATGAATGAATGAATGAATGATTGATTGATTAAAGGGATGGATGAAGGTGGAGAGAGTTACGATATAAATGTATAGAACACGAAGAAAACAGTGAACAAGAAGAGAAAGAAGATCGTTTTGATGAGACACCAATCTAAACAGTCAATCCGCCATTCAATTCGATCACTTCGCGTCTTCAGAAATCGCTCAATCTCTTTACGACCGCGCTCCAATCGCGTCTGAGCAACATCCACTTCGATCTCGACGCCGTCAATGAGCTGGTCGTGCTGCTGAATCTCGTCTTGGATCGTGTGCGCCATTTCATTCAGTCGCTTCACGCCCGAACTCAAATCGTCGATCATTTCTTCTTGTTCTTTTACCAATTGCTGAATTCAACTCCTTGATTCAAGGCTTACCTCTTTGATATAACGTCTGCCTTGCTCCGAAAGAGACTCCGTTGACGCTTCTTCCGTGGCTGTGTTTAAGAGATCATCACGAAGCGTTTTGGTTTCTTTTCGGATTGTTAGTCGCTGCTTGCGCATATTGTCGCGCATTGAATGAACAAGCACTTTTATATCTGCGAGGTATTGCCGTCTTCTTTCGACTTCTTCCTAATACTCACACTTCGAGCATAATAAAAAACATTGTCGATGTTTTTAAAACGCGAATTGCCACGGTTCTTCTCAATTATATTCATACAACGGGTCAGCTCCGATATCAAGTTTTCCATCTCATCCAGGTGCGATAATAAGTCTTTCCATTAGGATCCACAACAAAACAAACCCCGCGTGTACTTTCTTGCTTGATCGATCGGCATAGAACCGTTCTTGTTGTCGGTGAGAGCTTTCCATTTCTCAAACAATTCCTTCGATTCTACCAGACGTTTGTCAAAAGTTCTAGCCAATCACTTCGTACTCTCACATTGTACTGCTGCACATAAAAGTACGGATCTCCAGATATGTTCGGGGGCTGCATTAGATCGCGGAGGAAAATGAAAATGTGTGTTCAACAAACAACTCCATAAATCAAAGATAATACTACTAACTTCTAATCAAACCACCGTCCTCTCTAACTTCTCTTCTTGTACCCTTCCTTGGCTCCTCGTTTCGCAGCCCCAATCAAATTGTTAAACTTCCCCAACGCCTGGTTCTGTTTTTTCTTGCTCAGCATACGCGAGTCCAGCTTAATATACGCGTACGGCTGCAGCTTTCCCTTCTTCATGTCTCCTCTCGCTCGCGTGGCCTTAAACATCGATCCGTCCTGTTCGCCCCGAATTTTGCCATTCCCAACCCGCGAATTCGGGACTTTTTTTACCATTCCAGAAGTCCGGTTGGGTCCGCGAAGCGGAATTTTATCCGCCTCCAGCGTTTCTTTCTCTTCGTTTTCGTCCTTTCCCGCGGTTTCCTCCTCTTCCCGCACGATAATGCGGCCTTCCTCGTCGAATTCCACCTAGAATTCATCGAACTTCGAATCGAAACTTCCTCGGAATCCTCGGATTCTTCGGTCTTCTTCGATCGAATTCCGCGGGTCGCGTCGTTGACGTCCAACAAATTCAGCGGGTCGTCTTCTTCGTGGATGAACCGCGTTCGCGTCGGTTTGCCGCCAATTTCTTCGCGGTCCTACATCACAACCGAATCCAAATGAAACGGCCGCGTTCCTCTGGGCGTTTCGTTTTCGCTCGTGCTTCAAAAGCGCGGCAAGAAGCGGCTGGTCTTTCGCGGGGATCAGCGAGCGCAGCGCGTCTTCGCCCACGCGGTGGAGCAGCAGCGACAGAAGATTTTTGATCTGCCAATCAAATCGAAGCGATGCAAGAAACGCGGTTTCGAAAGCGATTTTTGTTCTTCCCGACGTCCGTCAGCGCGCACTGGATAACCGCGGGGAGCTCGGTCGCGAGGTCGTCGTCGCTCAGCGACTTCGCGGAGGTCTTCAAGAATTTGAGGCAGGCTTTGGCGGTTTCGCGGGAATCGCCGACCATTGCGTAGCAAATGTGCAGAACATTCACCTGGATATTGCGGAGATCCCCGCGGGGATAGTGCGCCAGGACGCTGGCGATGCTGAGCAGCGCGGCGGCCTGCATGTGGGGGTTCTGCGCGGCGAGGAAGCTGACCAAAATGCCGAGGAAGGAGGGGAGAGAAGCGGTGCTTTGGGATTGGTCGGGCATGGAAAATGGAATTCCAGAATTCTCCATGAATTCTGCGTAGGCGAGGAGAACGCTGCGACTGACGGCACGGACCTTTTTGCTGGGATCTTTCATGTTCATCACGACTTCGGAGAGCGTGGTGAGGATAAACTGAATGTGATCGGGGTTTTGAGGATTCAAATGATTGGCTAGGAAGTCGAGACAGCGAAGTCGGTATTTCTTGCTGACCACGTTGAGGGAGAGAATGGTCTCCACGAAGAGGGAGGAGAGATCGTTCAGATAATTGGAAATGAGGAAATCGGCGTGATATTTGCACACGCATAAAAGACAGAAATAGACCCGTTTTTGCAAAATGGGAGCCGTTTCATCGCCTAAATGCGGGCGAATGCATCGCATGATGATCACGATTTCTTCGTCCCGCGCAAACGGAATCACGGTCGATAAGAGTCCTGTCAGAATGATGCTCTGCCCCAAACTCTGCTCCGCCAATTCGCTTTGCTCGTTGGTGAACGCCGTGAGAAGCTTGGTCAGCACTTGGTTCAGCATTTTGCTCACCAGATCCGTCGACGCGATCGAGAACACTGTTTCGATCGCGCAGCGAATCACCTGCACGTTTCCGATGTCGCCTCCCTGCCCAATTCCCGAGTATTTCGGCACTTCGGACGAGTAATCGCCGTGCCATTGCTCGTAAAGCGACAGCAGAACGAGCAGAAGCGACTCGCTGCCGCTCTGCAGAACCGCCAGATTCGCTGCCGCCTGCGCGGCTTCGATGCGCGGAGCACGCGTCGATTTGAGGATCTCGAGGAAAGGAAGCTACGAATGACTCGGCAAAGCCGAAGGGTACGAGCTCTTCTTCGTCGTTGGCGGCAAGATCCGCGGTGGAGGCGACGGTTTCGTCGTCGGAGGGGTCGGATTCGTTGGAGGCGTCGAACGGATTGCTTCCCTGCGCGATCTGATTGCTTCGGATCAACAGAATGAAGCCCTCGCAGATCCGAATGCTCAGAGTCAGGTACGTTTTGTCGTTCATCGCTCCCAGAAGACTCGTGCTGAATTGGGGAATCGTGGAAGCCGTGTCACGTGCCGAGACGCAGAACGAGGGAAACAGACCCCACAGATCGGTCACATAAGTCTGCAGACGGCGATGCAGAAGCGAAGAAGTGGTTCGCTGCGCCGCCACGTGACAACGCTTCGCGATGGGAACGATCCTACAATGGAGAAACGGGGAAACAGGGAACTGTTCGAAGAAAAACTGGAGAGAAGCGGAGGTGTGACGCACGTGATCTTTCAGCAACTCAAACAAATAAAAGTGGTTTTCGTCCGGAAGACCCTCCGAATTCTATCGAACACCAGCCAGCCAATCACCTACGAGGGCCGGAACCGCGGCAAGGAACGCCTCCGCACCGACAGCTTCGATGCAGAACCCCAACGCTCTCGTTACAATGACCAAGAATCTTTGAATCAAAACCCGATCAAAATGCAAACGCAGCGTCTCCCTGGGAAGAAGAGTCGTAGATCGCGACGAGCTGCTGAATCACCGGGACGAAGAGCGAGGGGAAACGAGGTCCAAAGACGCGAATCATGGACGAAAGAGCGGGCAAGACAAACACCCAGGCATGCTGATATTTGAACTGCAGCGTACTCAGGAAGATATTCACCAGCTCCTGCACCGAATCCTCGCTCATCTATCCAATCACCGACCCCGCAACACTCCTACCGCGCTGATCCCGTCCACGACGTCCTTCAGCGAGGTGAAGAAATCGATAAGATAGAGCGAGATCGCTTTGTGCACGGCAGAATCTGCCGAGGCGAAATACCCGATCACGCCACGCATCACCACAATCAGCGGCTCCTCGTTGTGCTGGGAGAGGTACCAGCGAGCACAGAGACACATCACGCGGACGTACTCCACGATGTCCTTGCTGGAGGCGCTGTCCGGCGTCGGCAGGCTCTGCAGCTGCGAGTAGAGAGAGGAGAGGAGGTCGTCGGAGACGAAGCGGTCGCTGGAAAGGAGGACGTCGAAGGGACGAAGCAGACCGGCGTCGAGAAGCGGTCCGTAGCGTTGGCGGAACTAGGATGAAGGGAAGTGTAGGGGATCGAACTTGGAGAAGAGAGGAGAAGAGAGTGGGGATGGAGTCGGCGTGGAGGGAGGGTACAAGATGAGAAAAAACGAGAAGGTAGTTGAGGAGTTCGTGGAAATTTTCGCCGTCGAACGATCGGCAAAGCCCTTCCAATTGACGAAGAAGGTAATGCGAAGTGACGGTGAACCCCTGATCGTAGTGGCTTTCTAAAAGACCGCGTAGCTCATCCTGGAGCGTACGACGGATACTTCCATTGTCTTGCTGGGAAATGGAGAGTAGCATGGAAAAGGCTTTTCGTACCAAACCTGATTCCCAGACCTCATTGCTTATTTCTTGGGCTTTGAGAATGGAACTAACGCAAATAACCAAGGAACGAGTAAGAGCGGGCTCCATTTGGTTCTCTCGGTTTCTGTATATGTTCAAGAAAATATCCAGACAATCATTGCACTTCAGACGCTTCACATTTTCCGAAACAGCAGGAAGAGCGATCTGCAAAAGGAACAGCAGCTATTTGTAATGTAGATCATAGTGTGTATTACACTCCGGCAATGATCCTCGCTTGAGTTCAGAGTGGACATGATGCAAGAGAAATATTCCACTGGGGAGGGGATATAGCCATTTACCCCCTTTTTCGACTTAATAATATCATCGATCGCCTCCAATACACAAAAGTCCTCTGAGAGCAATTTATCAGAACTGTTTTTGTGTTTACGAATCTCCTCATAAATGTCGTAATTCATGGAAGCGTTCATAGCTCAAAAATGAATCTAGTAAACGATTCTCACCAAAGAACTGGTTTCCAGAATTCGTGACCATTTTAGTTCCTGAATCAGAGATGATTACACCAACATTCTATTATCACACACTACGTTAGATAGACTAGGAGTTTGCGAAAATAGGCGGAATTGTTTTCTCAGTCACATTTTTGTAGATGCTCAAAGCGCTTGGAAGAGTCAAACATATTCCTTTCCTGTGGTGTAAGAGCTGGAATTATTTCACTCCAAAACGAGCGTTTGCAGCAACTTCTAAAGTCTTTTCTAATTTACTATCGTTAATGCATAGAAGAATGACTACTTGCAATATGTTCGCAATATTGGTATTTTTGCGCATATTGACGCAGGAAAAACAACTACAACCGAAAAGATGCTTTATTATGCAGGAGTCGTCCGAACGCCTGGAAATGTAGACGATGGGAACACAGTGACTGACTTTCTTCAAGAGGAAAGAGAGCGAGGCATCACAATTCAGAGTGCAGCGATTTCCTTCCCTTGGAAAAAGCACGTTATCAATTTAATAGATACGCCAGGCCATGTTGACTTCTCTGTGGAAGTGGAACGTTGTTTGCGCGTCTTGGATGGAGGAATCACAGTCTTGGACGGTGTAGCTGGTGTAGAAGCTCAAAGTAGTTTTCTATAATAGAATGAAATGTAGCCGAAACGGTTTGGGAACAAGCAAATCGATATTGCCTTCCTCGCATCATCTACATTAACAAAATGGATCGAATTGGGGCAGATTTTGAGCAATCAGTATGAATACTCTATAGATGGCTAGAGAAATAGATCAAAACGGTTCAAGCGCGCCTGGGAGCCAATTGTCTGCGTCTTCAGCTACCTCATATCGAAAACGAAGATCTTGTTGGGATCATCGACATCGTAAAACAAAAAGTATCACTCCAAACTGGTTCGTGACCTAGTACATTCCATTATCGAACTCGATTGATGAGGATCCAAACGAAAACAAAGAAGTTACAATTCCAGACTCTCTAAAAGAATCTGCATTCACCGCTCAAACTCATCTAATTGAACAATTAGCCGAAGAGGATTCGTCATTCGGGGATTTGTATTTGGAAGGAGACGAGCGGATGCGAGATCCAAGCCAACTTCAGCAGGCAATTCGTCGTGTTCTGCTCCGTAGAATCAATCCACTATTCTAACGATCAAGGAAGCAATCAAACTAAGGAGTTCTCTCTTATCCCCGTTCTTTGTGGAAGCAGTCTGAAAAACAAGGGAGTGATTCAACTACTGGATGCAGTGATTTCGTATCTCCCTTCGCCTCGAGAAATCCGCTTTCCCAATCTTTATCTTCATTTACACAACCAGTTTGTGTCGATTCCCTTCGCTACCTGTCTCAAAGGAGATTCTTCCGTGCCTCTTTCGCTAACATCCTATCTGAAGCACTCTCCGACTCTTCTCTATGTGTTTAAAATCCAGTGGACGGCACAAGGGATCCTGGGATACGCTCGTGTTTATCAAGGAACGATCCAAATAAAAACAGCTTTACTGAACACGCGAACCATGAAACAAGAAAAGATCCTTCGGTACTTTTTGTCTATCTCTTTGATTCAAGAATCCTCCAGGTCTCAGCAGATCATACTGATACACTGAACGAAGCTCGCGAGGGTCAGATCGTGGCTATTCAAGGCATAAATACGCTTCAAACAGGCGACACGCTCATATCACCAAAAGACGCGTATCCCGTTCATTTTGAGCCATTAAAGATCCAAGCACCAGTCTTTACAGTGAACGTGGAGGCAGAGAATCAGCTGCAGCTGAACAAACTAGAGAAGGTGCTACACATTTTGGAGCAAGAAGATCCATCGCTTTTGGTGAAAAACGACGAAGAGAGCGGTCAATTGCTTCTTTCTGGAATGGGAGAACTGCACTTAGAAGTCTTGCAGCAGCGATTGAAGAGAGAGTTTTCGATCGATGCTTATTACAGTAAGATGCGAGTGAATTATCGAGAGAGCGTGCGAGGGCCCTTATCATTTAAGGACACAATCGAACGGGTTGTAGGATCAAAGAAATATCAGGTCTCTGTAGGGTTTGAAGTGGACAAGAGCGAAAACGAGCAAAATGAAATTGTATTTGAAAAAACAAAGTACATAGCAGCGGATTATCTTATTTAGATTTTCACATACGCTCGCTCCTCTCTCAGACGAATCAACTCGATGTATTGAAGAAGGAATCAAATCTTGTTTATCTCGAGGTCCTCTACTTGGATATTCGATGATTCATTCTCGGATCCGAATCGACCCCAAACTCTGCTTGTGGGACGTCCAAACTCCGCCTGCCATCATTCAGTCCGCAGTAATTTCTTGCCTTGCTTCAGGATTGCGGAAGAACGCAGTTCAGTTACTCGAACCCATAATGAAATACGAAGCATCGGTGAGTAACACTTCACTTGGAAATATTCTTTCCGATCTTACTGGCAGTAGGTATTTTGCAATCCAGTTTTAATGCAGAGCGAAGAGCAGAGATTAGCAAAATAGAAGGGTTTGGATCGGTATAGTAGTTTTCCAATAAGAACATAGAACAATGATACTAAATCGACTATTCATGCTTTTGTTCCGCTCGCTGAAATGATTGGATATTCGTCTACCATTCGCATACTCACTGGTGGAGAAAGCTGCTTTTCATTGGAGTTTTACGGATATCAAGACGTCCCTGACAATATTATCCAAACAATGATAAATCATACTTTCTTTTATGTTTGTGTGATATAGAAATTTGGGAGTTATAACAGCTAGAGGGCTTGAATATAGAGAAAAAGGATAAAGAAGCAAAATGTTATTTACAAGAAGATCAATATATATGAGACGATTCAAAGAATAATAAAGATATTCTAAGAGACAAATGAACATATTTTAATAGAAAACATGATGTCCTGGAGATCAACAATTTTCCCAATGAAATAGATTGTCAGAAACAAAGTTGATACATACAGTGGCAAAAAAGCATAATGGATAATAACAAACAGCAAAGGTCATTCATTCATTCATCATTTTTATCAGACCTAAGACAATGTCTTTTCAATTATGTCGATTCAATGTGAATGAGATCAGCAAGATTGGAATGAACATCTAAATGGAATCAAATTTAGAAATATCAATTCATACTGTTGATTACTGCGTTATAAACATTCTGGAATGCATCAGGCAAATCGACATTATGAACATTTGGAATATCTAATTATGATCAATATTCGAATAATCGATATACTTTCGAATATCACTGTATTGGGAGAAGCAAAACTCGCTCCTTGTGAAGTGATGGATGTTAGATTTGGAAGATCTAATTGATGAATTCTATATATTCAAATTGTTATTACTTCGCATCTGTAATAATGTAGGATATGAGTCATCCAAATATCCATTAAGTGCAAATATACGAAGATTAATAGATTGTAATTGTGGAAGATCTATAGAAATGAATGAATATAGAAATGAAAATTGAATACTTTCGATTATTGTTGTTTTCGATTCATAGAATGCAGAATCACCTAATGTAATCGTTTGTAGACTAGGTAGATCTATAGAAATGAATGAATATAGAAATGAAAATTGAATACCTCGAATTATGAATGAACTAGAATAGAAATTAGAGGAAAAATAACCTCCAATAGATCCAAAATTGATGTATTGTAATTTTGGTAGATTCTTCAATTCAAATTCGCCTCCAAAATCATTGAAACTATTTTCACCAATATCAATTGATATCAATTCATTACAATTCAATATGTGGAATGATTTGGATATATCATAAGATATCCATCCGTTTATTACCTTAATCTTAGTAAATGAATTGATTCCGATTTTCAATGAATTCAATTTGTTCAATCCATCAATTCTAAATGTATTCACGAAACCAAAACTATCATCTCTAATTTCGATTGATTCAACAATTGTGAATCGAGAGAAATCAAATGTAGTATAATTATAATCATTACAAGTCCAATTAGGTAAAATGATTGAAGAATTAGAAGAAGGAATGGATTGAATGAAATCACAAGAATAAATGATTTGAGGAAGATATTGTGCTAATTCATAATGAACATCTAAATGGAATCAAATTTAGAAATATCAATTCATACTGTTGATTTTAGTATTGAATAAAATACGGAATGCATTCATCAAATCGACATTATGAACATTTGGAATATCTAATTATAATCAATATTCGAATAATCGATATACTTTCGAATATCACTGTATTGGGATTTTCAAAACTCGCTCCTCGTGAAGTGATGGATGTTAGATTTGGAAGATCTAATTGATGAATTCTATATATTCAAATTGTTATTACTTCGCATTTGTAATAATGTAGGATATGAAAAATCCAAATATCCATTAAGTGCACTGCTACCAAGATTAATAGATTGTAATTGTGGAAGATCTATAGAAATGAATGAATATAGAAATGAAAATTGAATACTTTCGATTATTGTTGTTTTCGATTCATAGAATGCATAATCACCTAATGTAATCGTTTGTAGACTAGGTAGATCTATAGAAATGAATGAATATAGAAATGAAAATTGAATACCTCGAATTATAAATGAACTTGAAACGAAATTAAAGGAAGAATAATCATAATCTCCAAAAGATCCAATATTGATGTATTGTAATTTTGGTAGATTCTTCAATTCAAATTCGCCTCCAAAATCACTGAAACTATTTTCACCAATATCAATTGATATCAATTCATTACAATTCAATATGTGGAATGATTTGGATATATCATAAGATGAACCTCCACTATGTTTATCTTGAGTAAATGAATTGATTCCGATTTTCAATGAATTCAATTTGTTCAATCCATCAATTCTAAATGTATTCACGAAACCAAAACTATCATCTCTAATTTCGATTGATTCAACAATTGTGAATCGAGAGAAATCAAATGTAGTATAATTATAATCATTACAAGTCCAATTAGGTAAAATGATTGAAGAATTAGAAGAAGGAATGGATTGAATGAAATCACAAGAATAAATGATTTGAGGGAAATATTGTGCTAATTCATAATGAACATCTAAATGGAATCAAATTTAGAATTATCAATTCATACTATTGAATTCACTGCCTATAATATTTATGAATGCATTCATCAAATTGACATTATGAACATTTGGAATATCTAATTATGATCAATATTCGAATAATCGATATACTTTCGAATATTACTGTATTGGGAGAGACAAAACTTTCTCCTCGTGAAGTGATGGATGTTAGATTTGGAAGATCTAATTGATGAATTCTATATATTCAAATTGTTATTACTTCGCATCTGTAATAATGTAGGATATGAGTCATCCAAATATCCATTAAGTGCATAATAACCAAGATTAATAGATTGTAATTGTGGAAGATCTATAGAAATGAATGAATATAGAAATGAAAATTGAATACTTTCGATTATTGTTGTTTCCGATTCATAGAATGCAGAACCACCTAATGTAATCGTTTGTAGACTAGGTAGATCTATAGAAATGAATGAATATAGAAATGAAAATTGAATACCTCGAATTATGAATGAACTAGAATAGAAATTAGAGGAAAAATAACCTCCAATAGATCCAATATTGATGTATTGTAATTTTGGTAGATTCTTCAATTCAAATTCGCCTCCAAAATCATTGAAACTATTTTCACCAATATCAATTGATATCAATTCATTACAATTCAATATGTGGAATGATTTGGATCTTGTCTCGTTTTCAGAAGTTTCCACATTGTATTCTAAAGTATGTGTGAATGCATTATCTTGGATATATATGTATTCTAAATGAGTGTTATCGCGAATCTCGAAAGTACTCACATTTTTGAAGTTGGAACTTTCAATCCATAAATATATCAAATCAGGGAAATTTGTGATCGAAAATGTTAAGATATCTTCATCATTACATGCTTTACTATCGATATGAAGGATCTTGGGAGAATTGTCTAAGTCATAATAGTCCTGACAATTTGATATTATAGTTTCTGGCAGGATTCCATAAGAGAAATGGAAGAACATAGATGTAGAGAGTTTTCCGGTTAATGAGATTCTCTCACTTGTTCCAAATTCGCTCTGAATTACAAAATAAGAATCTTCATTCCATCCATTATTGATTCCTTCCAAATATATTCTCATTAATTGTGGTTTAATACATCCAGTGACAATCTGCGTGCTATTGGAAGTATAAGACAAAGTCAGGAGTTTAGTTTGTCCATTTCCATAGTATATAATCATGTTTTCATAAGTATCAGGATTGGATCCATAGTATCTTTGGATAGAATAGAATGTTTCACCAAGGGGACATATTGAAGTAGTGGGAGATTGAGTGGATGGAGATAAAGTAGTTGGAGGTTGAGTAGTTGGAATGGGAGTAGGAGTTGGAGTAGGAGTGGGAGTGGGAGTAGGAGTAGGAGGTTCAGTAGTGGGTACTTCTGTAGTTGGAGTTGGAGTCGGAGTAGTTGGAATGGGAGTGGGAGTGGGAGTAGGAGTCGGGGTAGGAGTAGTTGGAATGGGAGTTGGAGTCGGAGTGGGAGTAGGAGTAGGAGTAGGAGTAGGAGTAGTTGGAATGGGAGTAGGAGTCGGAGTGGGAGTAGGAGTAGGAGTAGGAGTAGGAGTAGGAGTAGGAGTAGGAGTAGGAGTAGGAGTAGGAGTAGGAGTAGGAGTAGTTGGAATGGGAGTTGGAGTCGGAGTGGGAGTAGGAGTAGGAGTAGGAGTAGGAGTAGTTGGAATGGGAGTGGGAGTGGGAGTCGGAGTAGGAGTAGGAGTAGTTGGAATGGGAGTGGGAGTAGGAGTAGGAGTAGGAGTAGGAGTAGTAGGAATGGGAGTAGGAGTGGGAGTAGGAGTGGGAGTAGGAGTAGTAGGAATGGGAGTAGGAGTAGGAGTAGTAGTTGGAATGGGAGTAGGAGTAGGAGTAGGAGTAGGAGTAGGAGTAGGAGTAGGAGTAGGAGTCGGAGTGGGAGTAGTTGGAATGGGAGTAGGAGTAGGAGTAGGAGTGGGAGTAGGAGGCTGAGAAGTAGGAGGCTGAGAAGTAGGAGGTTGAGTGGTTGGAAGCTGAGTGGTTGGAACAATAGTTGTAGGAACTACTGTAGTTGGAAGCTGAGTGGTAGGTAGGAAAGTAGTGGGAATTGGAAGAGTAGGAGTTTCTGTAGTAGGAATAGGATCAACCGGTACAATTTCCACACTTCCTTCATGTCCTTCGTTCTTCTCGATCGTTGTTTGAATTTGTTGTACTACTTCTATCGAGACATCAGCTTTGTATTCAACGCGTGTTACGTTACTCAACGAATTTGCACCCAATTCCAATGTGAAATCCGAGCTGATCTGAGTCACAGACATCACAAAGAAATTCAATAAGGACTGAATTCCAACAACCATATTTATCAATAGAGGAGTGTTCAGACCAAAGTATCCATCCATATCTATCAATCTGCGTGATACCGATTGAGAAAAGCAACGATCACTTATATTGATATTTTCGATGATAGGACAATCTAGTGTAAACGTGAAAACATTCGGGAATGTATAATCTTCGAGAGTCAAACTTCGCAGATAGTGATAAGTAATGTTTAATACTGTAACATCGCTAGGATCATAATGTGTGAATCGCAGTTCGGAAACACTCATAGAAATCGTATCTATGTCATCTTGTGTATCATAAGAAACGGTTTCTGGAGGTACTGATTTCAGTTTGATCGACATCGCATATCCAGCAATTCCAGCATAGTTTGCATTTGTATCATTATCAGTAACAGGAAGATTCATCTCGATATTCTCGCAAGGTACAACGTTGAATGTCACAGTCCATTTTGTTTCATCGTATCCCTTCATCACACCATACAGAGAAGGTTGATAAGCACCGCCAGTATAAATATCATCACCTGTCACATCGTTCACAGTCTTCATTCGAATCAGATCGAGAGCCATCAGCACAATCACAGGATTTCCCTCAGCAATGAAGTTCATCAATCCACTCTTGTTCGGAATATCGTTTCTGGTTATATCAAAATAGAATTTGGGAGTATTGGCTGAACAGAGCTCGTTTTCATCGAGCAATCCAGCCACCGCTTCGCTCATCAGTCCTTTCTCTCTCACAAATGCAATCATATCCGAAGGAGTAACATCGTTAGGTTGGATTTCTTGAGTTTGGGGAAGACATTGAAGAACATAGGACAAGGACAGTTGTTCATGATAGTTTTCATTTCGCAATGCAGTTTCTGCAGCAAGAATCAAGGCACTTGCCCATGAAGAAGAATTCGAATTGGAAATCGAATATTTCTCAGCTCCAGAACACAAATCGCGACGAACGATGTTGATTGACTTTGAACCTGTAGTAATATCTTCCGAATCAGCATAGGAACCTTCTCTAGAGTATGTTATTCCGAGTGTCATCAACTGTTCCAGATCATCGTTGCTGAAGTCAGACAGAATGGAAAAATTCATAGGATAGTTTCTGTAGATTGCTTTTCTTTCGATTTCGAAGCAACTTTCGACCCAAATCATCAAACGTTCTCTACTACTCATAATACGATTCATTTCTTACTCTATATATTTTTCACAATCTTCTCCACACTTCGAGGGATAAGATTCGAGATACTTCGAAAAACCTTCTCTATCACAGGTATATGCAGGAAACGCATTAATTAGCTGTGAAACAACCAATAACAAAATGATCGCTTTCATCATCAATTCTATCTAACCTCTAAATTAACGAACGTTAACAGCATCGATTATTGGAGAACCGTTTTGTTCCTAATTCTGGATTTTTGGAATTTGGTTCTAAATTTGACGTAGAACCATTCCAAATGTTTAGAATTAAGAATCTGATAGTTATAATCCATTTAGACTGAAAAACAATCAACTTAGCGTTGTATTGGAAGAGTGAATCTAGATGAATGATAACGAGGAATATATGCTTTTGGAGTGTTTTGGAATATGTTAGAAGTAGAAACAATGAACTGAAGTATTTCGAGTTTTGATATAGACAGTCCATCTATGAATTGAAATGAATTGAAATGAAATGAAATGAAATGACAATAGAGGTAGTAAACAAGTCTTGTATTATGTCAATATATATAGTTTTATAATACAAAAAAGCATAAGATAATGATAAATAGAATACAAAATAGAAGATTTGTGAGACCTCTATGAAATGTAGTTCTAAGTAGAATAGACATGATGAAATGAATCCAGACGTGAATGGCAATACTGTCACGAAGTATTTGAATAATACTCTCCAAAGAAACAACTTGTTACATATAAACAACAATTCTTGAGGAATTGAAAGCATCGTGCCACTCTATTAATCTTGCATTCAATTTTAAAAGGCAGTCAATGATCCCAAGCTTATAGATTCCTTTTCAAAGGAAAGCCATCTTAACTACATGTCTATTCAACAAACACAATGAGCATCGACTATTTTCTTTTCTTTCCATTTCGTTCTCGATCTGCAATTGCATCTGGGTGGTTGGGCAGCAAATGACGATATCTGCAAATCCTCTTCTCATTCATTATAGAACAAGTCTTCTTATTGAGAAACTCAAAACAGATCCGCGCCCCCTTCGGCGCGAACGGATTCACCTCGAAGGGATCGCACTTCCTCAGTTGATATTTCTCGATTTCCTCCTTCGTGCACAGCCCATTCTTAAACCGATCCGCGATCGCATCCGGATGATCCGGATCCAAATGGCGAAACCTGCACGTTCCTCCGTTCCTCTGCCGTTCGCAGCTACTCTCAATGCCCCTCCTCGCGCCTACTATCCCTTATTCGAGTAATCAAAGCACAGATTCGCTCCAAGAAAGGAGTCTGGATTGTTTTCTCCGGGCGGAAGCGAGTGCGTTCCTGTCTCTCACCCCTTCCTCTCACTTCTACCCGCCTTCCGCTGCGCAGTCGGCGCGTCGCGCGACGCTGGCGAGCTCCCCGTCGGCGACACTTCGCGCCGCATCTCGTCGTCGTCGGCCATTCCCGACATGACGGTAGGCGCGGAGATTTGCTTGCCGTAGAGTCCGCCAAGCTCGCTGGCCTGCGAGTCCATCAAGATGCGAAGATCGATCCCTCCGTCGAATCGACGCCCAAAACGCCGAGGATCTTCGCGGTAGCGATACTGCGAGGGGAGATGCGATCGGATGTGTCCTTCAGAGCAGGAGTTATCGCCCGCACGGGACTCTGCGAGTGGGGCGGAGAGTCAATACAAACCTGCTTGGAAATCGAAGTAAACCGCGGAGTCGTGATCGGTGGTGTCGTAGGACTGCACGCGGACGGGCGACGTGGAGGAAGGCTGGCTAAACGGACTCTCGGTGGCCTGAGGCGACTCCAGAAGCGACTTTTCGAAGGGCTGAGCGGGGTTGTAGGAGTTGGAGATGTAGGAGTCTTTGATAGAGAGAGAACCTTGCGAAGGACGGCGATTGCTGCTGCGACGGAGCAGCTCCGAGTTGCGAGGGAGGCTGGAGTTGGTGGGGGAGTCCGGCTGGATCGCGTTGAGGCTGCGAGTGGAGAAACGGACGGAAGCTCGAGGACTGCGAAGCGATTGAAGACTTCCGGAGCGGTAGTCGCGAGTCATGTTTTGGAGAAGTTGAAGAGAAGAGTTGTCTTGAGATAGACGCGGGTAGTAATCGCTCTGGAGATAAGAGCCATTTTCACTGTAATATCCAATGTCTGGAGTACAGGAGTAATGGCTAACGGGGTCAGCTTTGATTAAAAATAATATGAATCGATACGATACTGATTGAAGAGGGAAGGCACATAAGAAGAGTAATCTAAAAGTCAAGCAATGGAACAATGCCTACCATCTGAACGTCGAATAAACAGGTTTTGGTGGACATAATCTTCTCTATTCGTCGATCGCATTGTAGGACATATTAGCGGTGAAGAAGAGGAGTGATTAGGTTCAATGGTCTCTTCCATTCTACAACGTCACAGCATCGAACAGAACCATTACATTCACGAAAATTTAGCAAAAAGTAACTAAAAGCAAAAAATCCAAACAATTCAGAAGCCAGAAATAATGGTATAGACACACGCACAATAGAAACAGAAAAAAAGCTAGTCCTGCTGCTTCGCCACAAAAACTCTTGTATTGAATGATTTTAGGGTAGCTTTGCTTTTTCCTCAATACAACCGCGGTTATGAATTTATGAATTTCATATGATAAAACAAACAACTCTAATTCGATGTAGAACCCCTTAAGACATCGCAACAGCGCTCACAAACAGGAGGCATGCCTGTATTGAACTCTATTAAAGATTTGTGTTTCCAGCAACGTGGACATTTTTCTTGGTCCGACTTCTTAATCTAGTCATCATTGGAACTTTTTTCACAGACTTGTAGAGAGTAATCACAGTCTAGTGCCGTACAGGGAAGATTGGCTTCAAACAAGACAGAACCCTCTAAAGGGTTTCTGTAAACCTTGCCAATGAGGTAGACTAGTGATTCTTACATTAGAGCAGATAAAAGCGTCGGATAGATCATCCTTTGAGAAAGAATCAAGCACACTCGACAGCTTATTCTTTGAATCTAAATCAAAAGGAAACTCGCATTCCTACCTGTCATAATACTCAAATCGACTTCGAGTGCAGATTTCACAATTCCCTCCTTTTTCAACTTCTCTAATTCCTTGTTTACCTCACCCCGGATCGACTCCACACAATTCCACGCCGTCTCCACCTCCTCGTTCTTCCATTCCGGATTCAGCTTTACGTATGTGTTCTGGAAGATACTTCCCTCTTCCTTCAGCGCACTGTAAATCTCCTCTGACAAAAACGGCGTGATCGGCGCCATTAGCTGAGGCAGCACATCGAGAATGGTTCGCAGAACGGTTTGCGAAGCTCTTCGTCGAATTGAGTTGGGAGCATCTGTCTGTATGTGAACTACCGCGCATGACACGCACATAAAGTCGATCTTTTATAATGTCAAAATAGGTGGCTGAAAGATCAGAAGCGGCGAACGAAACGAGCGATCGATACCTGCACAACAAACGTGGAAACGTGGAAATACACATCTGTGAAAACGAAATGATCGTAGGCCTGTGTGATTTTGGTGGAAAGAGAGAAAAGGCGACTCAAACACCACTTATCGAAGAGCGACATTTGGTCATACGGAACCGAATCGCGCGTTCGATCGAAATCGAAAAGATTCGAGAGCAAATAGCGGTTCGTATTGCGTAGTTTCTGATACGATTCCTGCACCTGACGAGTCAACAAGCGTCGAAACGCGCAGTACTTTGAGCAATTGCTGCAATCCCAGCGAAATATCGTAAGTGTAATCCGAAGAAGCCACCCACAAGCGAAGCACATCCACCGCCCATTGCCTATCTAAAAGACTCGTCGGCACCTTCTTCGAATTCGATTGTGTTCCTCTCAAAGCTGACTGTGTTTCGGTCGAATTCGATGGCGTTTTCTTGGAATTCGACTGCGTTCCTTTCGAATTCGCCGGTGTTCTTTTGGAATTCGCTGGCGATTCGGCGGATCCGAGGAGCTGGGAGGGCGTAATGAGGTTTCCGAGCGATTTCGACATTTTCTGTCCCTGCAAGCTAACGCCACGGCCCGAAGCGAACCTTCTCGTCGACTAAAAACCCGTGCGTGACGAGATTGCGGAAAGGAAGCGCGCCTCGATGCACCTGGCTGGTGAAAATGCTCGATTGGAACCAGCCGCGATGCTGGTCGCTGCCTTCGAGGTAGCTAGGATTCAATCGGAGAAACTGGGGAAACAGATCGACGATGGTGTTGGGGTAGTTGTGGAACCAGGAAACGCCGCTGTCGATCCAGACGTCCAGCGTGTCTTGCGATCTTCGATACTGAACTGATTTCGAATCGGCTTCGCGGATCTACGCTTTCACATCGGTTTCCCCGGTTTCTACTTTTGGATCCACGAATTCCTCATCCTTCACCGCGGAATCGAACCAATAATCGGTTCCCTTTTCCTCCAAAATCTTGATAATGTAATCAATGTTCTGTTTGTTCATCAAAACCGTCTCTTTTCCCGTTTCGTCACGTCGGAATACCGCGGGGATCGGCACGCCCCACGCGCGTTGGCGGGAAATACACCAATCAGGACGGTCGGAGATCATCGCAGTGAGTCGCTGGCGCGACGATTCTGGAATCATCTGGACCTTCTACAGGGCGCTTGATTATCATGCGACTACTTTTAGTGAATCGAGAATGGGTTGATTCTGCACGAGATGCTTCGTTCGGATGAACCACTGCGGGGTGACGCGGAAAATAACCGGCTTTTTGGCCCTCCAATCGTAGGGATAGCGATGAGTGATTTCGCCGCGATGCACCAAATGATTCGATTCGGCAAGCCATTCCATCTACACTGCGATCCTTCTGCGTTGCATACCACGCGCTCGCTGCCCTCTTCCAGCACGCTGCGTCCGTTGATTCGATCGTCCCACGCGTTCGCTTTAAAATTCCCGTTGTCGTCCACGTCTTCCTGCAAGACATAGCGAGGGACGTTCGCAGGAAGCGAGACGCGCGGAATATCGCCTTCGCTCGCTTTGTTCTCGTCGCCTGGGACCTGGATCACGTTGTGATACACGCAGATATTGAAGTCGTCGAGGCCGTGAGCCGGCGCAGTGTGAACGATTCCAGTTCCTGTGTCGGACGTGACGTGATGTCCTGCGATCACGGTGTGAGATGTGTGCAGTAAAGGATGCGAATAGACGGATCCTTGCAAAGAAAGTCCGGAGAGATTCGAAAGAACGATGGAGAGAGGGACTTGGAGGAGCGAGGAAAGCGCTTCAACGCGGTCTTTCATGACCAAAAAGAGCTCGTTTTGGGGAGTTTGCACAACGACGTATTCCGATTCGGGGCTTACAGAAAGACAAACGTTGGAAGGAATGGTCCAGGGCGTGGTAGTAAAGACGAGCTATCGTTTAAAAGGAGGGAAGAGCTGCTCAACGGCTTGAAGGGAGTGAGAGGAGAGAAAGGACTGCAAAGCAGGATTGGGAGAGCTTTGGAGATCGAAAGAGACGTAAATGCTGGGGCTTTTGTGATCGTGATATCTGCAAATGGAGAAGGCAAGAGAGAAGAATACTCGAGTTCGGCTTCGGCTAGCGCCGTGTGAGAATGAGGGGACCAATAGACGGGCTTTAGGCCTCGATAGATGCAGTTCTTTGCAACCATATCGCTGAACAATTCTAGATCTCACTCTATTTATGAAAGCAAACTCAACTCATTTATTTCGTACTCCTTTGTAAGAGTATAGTAACAATCAGAATCGAGGTTCTGTAAAGGAGGTTTAGTGGTTCAATTATATAAAAGATATGTTGCACATGATTCCCCACTCGTTTATCGATTTCTTTTGTCTCTTAATCGTATCAGAAGCGAACTTTCGACAAAGACTGCGTATTTTCAAACTGTCGGTTTGCTTTTCGTTTTTACACATGCTCTGCAATGCCTTCAACTCTATGGGAAGACCATGACAATCCCAGCCTGGTTTGTATTCCACACAACATCTAGCTCATCAAATAATACATGAAAATGATACCCAGTAAGCAGTTTATGACGATTAATAATATCTTTCAGGATCTATTTGTATAGAATACGGAAAACACTAAATACCTTGTTTTCAAAGTGACCCATATGTAGATCGCCATTTGCATATGGAGGACCATCGTGTGTTATCCACTTTCTATACTGAGAACCACTTCTTGCCTGTTTTTGCCAATTATAGAGATCTACATTACAATATTTCATTGGAGTCATATACATACCAGATGTACACCTTTTCAGATATGGTTTCTCTCTCAGTGCAGGATTGGCAAACATTGGAAAGGAAGTTTTCGGACTGTTGATTGTTTTGGAAAATATCTTAGATGCCGCCTTTCCAATCTTTTGGCTCATGAAGATAGTCTCAATTAAAGGAAAACTGGTAGGCAGAGATATTTTTATATTTGACATGTAGTAGCTAGTATAATGCAAAAGAACACAGGAAGAAATGGAGAAAAGGTAATTGGCAAAAGTTGTTGTTGATACAATAATTTATCATCATTAAAAGCGATTGTGATTTGTTTAATAGTAATGATCGCTCTTTTTGAAACGAACAACACCAATTGCTAATGGTTGTTTTATAGAGCGGCCATTATTTTTAGAGATCGATCTCTTTTCTTTAATAGGATAATTCAACTCAGTACAAAGGAGAAATGAAAGAAAATCTGATGGTGTTACTTTGATATCATATAATTGCTGAATATGTTGTGTCTGTAGAGAATAGAATGATTAGTATTATTTTAAAAAGCAAAGATCTTTAAAATGGTTTTCAAACAAACGAGTTACTACTCCATATTAGTGAGAACGAGACTCAAACAGATTCGCAAGAACAGGAGAAACGTCTAAGAGTCAATCTTTATTTGAACTCATACTGCTAATCGTTTTTGTGGTCACTTTCTTAAATGGGTTTGGTAGGTTAAATGATTCCAGATTAGGAATGTCTAAAGTTGATCAACAGAGCACAGCAATATACTTTCTAATACAACAATTCGATAATTACGGAGATAATAAACGATTTCGGATGGTGTTTGACTAGCTTGATAAGTTTTACTCTCAGAACTTGTTCCCGTCCTATTTGGTGCAGTCTTCGACAGGTTAGAGTTAATTCCATTTACCACTAACCCATTTTCAGAGTTAGGCTTTGGCATTGTTGTAGCTAGTCCGTTATTTATTCCTCCTGCATTATTACCAAATCCTCCTGCATTATTACCACCATTATTGATTGCAGAATTTCCAGCATTTGTACTATTGCCAAAACTATATCCTCCTGCAGTAGTATTACCACCATTATTGATTGCAGATATTCCGCCATTTGTACTATTGCCAAAACTATATCCTCCTGCATTATTACCACCATTATTGAATGTAGGTCTTCCATTATTTGCATTATTACCAAAACTAAATCCTCCTGCAGTAGTATTACCACCAAAACTGAATGTAGGTCTTCCACCATTTGCATTATTGCCAAAACTAAATCCTCCTGCATTATTACCACCAAAACTGAATGTAGGTCTTCCACCATTTGCATTATTACCAAAACTAAATCCTCCTGCATTATTACCACCAAAACTGAATGTAGGTTTTCCATTATTCGCATTATTGCCAAAACTAAATCCTCCTGCATTATTACCACCAAAACTGAATGTAGGTTTTCCATTATTCGCATTATTGCCAAAACTAAATCCTCCTGTATTATTACCACCAAAACTGAATGTAGATTTTCCACCATTTGCATTATTACCAAAACTAAATCCTTCTGTATTATTACCACCAAAACTGAATGTAGGTTTTCCATTATTCGCATTATTGCCAAAACTAAATCCTCCTGTATTATTACCACCAAAACTGAATGTAGATTTTCCACCATTTGCATTATTACCAAAACTAAATCCTCCTGTATTATTACCACCAAAACTGAATGTAGGTTTTCCATTATTCGCATTATTACCAAAACTAAATCCTCCTGTATTATTACCTCCAAAGTTAAATCCTGTCCCTCCAGTTTTCTCTTTGCCGGATGTACATTTCGCATTATCATTTCCAGATTTTTGGGGGCATTTGTCACGAGATTCATTTCTTCCACTAATTGTTGTTTTTAACTGGTTCATCCCATTAATACCATCATCCGTTGGTGAAACACTTTTCAAAGAAGGAAGATCTATAACTTTCGAATGGCAATTATGTATTTACTCCGCATTATTAAAGTACACGAGTCGTTATCTTCACCATAGAGTGCATATCTGCCAAGTTTAATATACTGGAGTGAAGGAAGATCTATTGAAATCATTAAATATACCCCAATTGAATACTTTCGATTATTGTTGTTTTCGATTTAGGGAATGCATAATCACCTAACACGATTGTATTAAGATTTGGTAGATCTAAAGAAATTATCCTTGGAATCAACTCGAATACCTCGAATTATGAAAGAACTCAAGTAAAAATTATAGGATTGAGCACAATTTCCACCAATTCCGATTCTGAGAGATTGCAATTGTGGTAGATTCTTCAATTCAAATTCACCTCCGAATACGCCAAAGCTATAATTTCCAATCTCAATTGATTTCAGTTCTTCACAATTCAATATGTGGAATGATTTGTATGTATCTTCCAAAGATAATGTACACTTATGTTTAGTTATTGCAAATGCATTATAATTACCGATTTTCAGTGTTTGTAATGTGTTCAATCCATCAATTCTAAATGTTTTTACTGATTCAAAGCAGCCATCTCCGATTTCGATTGATTCCAAGTGCTTCGACCTACTACGCTGACTCTAGCACAAGTAGT